CTTTTTTTTTTTTGGAACGTAAGGACGTGTGCAAAATGCACTCATTGCTCAAACGGGCCCGCGTAAAGGACATCGCCAGGCTCTCCGTTCATCTCCTCCCAAACAGAGCGAGCATCCAGCTCTGCTCCTCTCTTGGAGACTTCGCCAGCAAGCAGCGCCTTGGCATCTTCACGTTCCAAGTTGACTGCCAAAGCAAAACACCGTCAGCTCTGATCAGATCCCACACGACGGGAGTTCAAGGGGAGAAAAAACTTACCGTGCAAGCTAACGGCGGCGCGCTTGCCGGTGTACAGGGCATGCGGCACGTTGGTCGAGTTGTCCGAGTTCGCGTCTCCCACGGCCCACACGCCGGGCACGTTGGTCAGCAGGCTGGCCGACTGGTTGGCAAACAGCCTCCCAGCGATCAGGTCGACGCCCAACCGCTCGCCCACGTCGGAGCGCTGCTCCTTGGCGAAGCTGGCGAACAGCGCGGCGCGCTCGACGGGCTCGCCCTCGCCGAAGTGCACGCGGAACGCGTCGTACTCGGCCGCGGTGGGCAGGCTGGGGTCGGACACGGCGTCGTTGGCGACGCCGCCGTCCTTGAGGCGCTCGACGGCGGTGATGGTGCGGTTCTCGACGCGCACGCCGAGCAGGCGCAGGTACTCCTCCCAATCACTGCCACTCTCGGCCGTGGCGGTCTCGGCACGCCCGGCGGCCGTGTCGCTGCCGTTGACGAAGGCGACGACGTCCGTGTTGAGGGTGCGCATCTCGCGCACCATGGCGGGCACCTCGCTCAGCGGGGCGAGGATGCCGAGCGGCTGGTCGGCGTGCTCGTGGCCGTCGCACCACGGGCACCAGAAGAGGCCGCGGCCCCAGGACTCGGCCACGCCCGGCGTGCCGGGGAGGAGGTCGCGCAGGCCGGTGGCGAGGACGATGCGGCGGGCGAGGTGGGTGGTGGTGGTGGAGGAGGTGTCGTTGGAGAGGGGGCGCGAGGTGACGGTGAACAAGGGGGAGGAGGACGAGTTGGACGAGGACACGATGGACTCGACGGTGCCGTTGGTGAAGGTCACGGTCTCGTAGTGCGAGATCTGCTCGCGGGCGGCCCAGCGGAAGTAGGCCGGGGTGACGCCTGGGGGAATGGTTTGCTTAGCGCATTGAGGGGGCTAATTGGGTCGTCGAAGTATCATCTGAGTGCTTACCGTCGAAGCCCAGGACGTCGTGCATGTGCCTGGTGTCCGCATTGCGGTACTCGGCCGAGTCGATGAGCAGGACGTTTCTGCGGACGCGGGCGAGGCCGCTCAAGGCGCCCAGACCGGAGGGTCCGCCGCCGATGATGATGGCATCGTAGGTTGGCTCCTGGGCCTGGCGGGGGAGGGCTGCTGCCGAAGAGAGGGCGGCCAGGGCGAGGTGAAGAAGAGAGCGTGGAGGAACCATATTGGCGGACAACGAATGACTGCGGGCACTATACAGCGGCTGTCTCGATCATGAGCGAGGGCCCGTCGCCGGCTTTAATATCAGTGAGATGCAGCTCAATGGCAATGACAGCGGGCACAGCACGACTGAAACATGATGCATGGCACCATGCAGGCGCAACTGGCGAATTCGTTGATCTCACGTCGCCCAGTCTGTCGTGCTTTGCGGGAGCGAGTCGCAGCCATGTTGTGTAGGCCATGCTCGGGCCCCAGCACCGACGGGTACGGGCTGACTACCGCTGCCAAGGCCTCGTATCGGGCAGAGCCATGTAGTACGCCTTGCAAGTCGTGCTTGTGTACTTTCCCACCTGCTTGATTTAGCGAAATAAAGCCCCGGAGCCTGGCCTTTTATTCGTTCGAACGTGGCCATTGTATGCACGTACGCCCGACCATCGGACCCAAACTTTGGCTTGACTTGACTTCAACGCAGTCATGCCACCATAATCTTGATTTGAAAATTTCGCTCTGCGCACCTCCCCGCTCTCAATGTCCGCTGCACACTCTCTGCCTGGGGTGCATCGCTGTGCTCAAGCTATGTACATACCTAGAAGCCTGGCCTGTACGTGATGACAAGTCAGTGAGTCCAATGGACATGCACTCGCTTCACCAAAGCACCGCTCACACTGCATCGGCAACGGGATTGAAGAGACATTATGCATTACTATTTTTTATAGGTTTCATTACTCGCCGGATCCCCATTAGCTCCAATACCAATCGTGTTTTTTGGTTTTTATATTAGGTGTTTCGTAAAACAAAGAGAAGGCTCCTCGCTCGCATGCTCTAGGAGCTGGAGTCGGCACCGCTGGGGCAGCTGAGCGCGGTGCAGGAATCGCTGCTGCTGCTGCGACGCCTGGAGGAGGGGCCGCCGCGCATCTTCATGCCAGCAGCGTTCTCGAGAGCGCGCTTGGTGGCCTGGACGGCGTTGGGGCAGTAGGTCGAGGCGTCGATGCAGATGTTCTGGCCGCAGCAGCTCTGGGCCAGGCACAGCTTGCCGTCACCGCACTCGGCGTTGGTGGAGCAGGTGGTGGTGCCGCACAGGCCGTTGCGCACGCAGACCGAGTTGCCCTCCGGGTCGTAGCCGCAGAGGGCCTGGTCGTCGAAGCCGTTGGGGTCGTAGTAGGTCACGTAGGTGCCGCAGACGTTGGGGTTGGAGCAGCCGGTGCCGGCCTCGGCGACGACGCCGCCGTTGTCCTGGGTGGTCAGGGTGTAGGTGTAGGACTCGCCGATGGTGACGTGCACGTCGCCCTGGTACTGGCCCACGTTGGTGGCCTCGGCGGCCGGGTCCGAGATGTCCTTGGTGAAGTAGGAGCAGACGGTGCCGACGGGGTTGTTGTCGCGGTACAGGATGTAGGCGTTGAAGATGTTGCACGCGTTGTACGTGCCGTCCGAGTTGGGGTGCGCCTTGTTGTAGGCAGTGTTGGCCTGGCAGCCGGCGGCACACGCGGCCGGGCTGAAGGGCCCGTCGTTGTACAGCTCGTACAGGTAGTAGTTGCTGTCCTCGATAGCACCGCCCAGAGGACCAACAGGAGCGTTGAAGTTGTCCAGAGTCGGGGCGGTGTAGGGCTTGTTGTAGCCGTTGGACGCGGCAACGACGACCTGGAAGTCGCCCTGGTACTGGCCCGTGTTGGTGGCCGTCTCGGCGGCGACGGGGTAGCCGTAGAGGGTGCACTTGACGTTGGCCGTGGCGTCGGGGTTGGTGCAGACGTCGTAGTCAGGGCGGATCGAGGGGTCGCGCTCGATGTAGATGTTGAAGGCCTGGCACGAGGAGTCGGCGTCGCAGTAGGCGGCGCAGTCGCTCGGGCTGTACGAGTCGAGCGTGTAGACGCCGCGGTAGCCAACCTGCTGGACGGCGCCGTCCTGGTTGCTGAAGGCCTGCGTGTAGCCGCTCGGGGCGGTGGCGCCCGTGGCCAGGTCCGAGTAGGTCGAGAACGAGGTGAAGGCGTCGGCCGTGTTGGGCGACGGCAGATCCAGGGTGCCCGTGGGCAGAGGGCAGCAATCCCAGCCGTTCTCGGCGCACTTGGCCTCGGCCGCCGTGAGGTCGCGCTTGGCAACCGTCGAGTCGGTGGCAGCCGCCGTGGCAGTCGCGGTGGCAGTCGCGCTAGCCGTGTCGTCGTCGGTGACGGTGGCCTGCACAACAGCAGCAACCGTGGTGGGGTTGAAGGCCGGCGCAGTCGAGCTGTACGCATCCGGCTCCGGGCCCAGCGTGGCGGGCGTGGGCGCGGCGAAGAGTGCGTTGAGCATGTCCGGGTCCAGGTCGGGAGCGGCGGCAGGGAGAGCCACCGCGCCGGCCAGGCCAGCAGCGCCAACAAGCTGAACGAACTTCATCGTGACTGAGAGGGCGGATGATGAGATGCTGCTGGAGAAGGCAGGAGAATGCAGGAGATGGGAGGAGATGGGAGGAGAATGTGCTGGTGGTGATGAGAAGTGGGCAAGACACCTGGGCCTCTTTATACAGCTAAGCTTTTGGCTGCTGTGCCGTGGCAGCAGCTGGGCTGGCGCCACGAGGAGGTTGAGGGACGCCCAAAACGACGCCCACGGCGGGCCAGATGGCGGGCGCCGAAGTGGCTTGAGCTGGAGGCCACGATGCTTGGCATGGTGGTGAGTGGCGCTTTCCTCAACGGGACTTGCAAAGGCAGATTCCGCCACAGCCAAGTCGGTGAGGGTGCCGTGGCGCTGGTCAAGCTCTTGCTCCAGACCTCGGGCTGCCCCCTACCCTCCCCCCTCTGCGATCCTACCACGTACGCTCATGGCGACCCCGAAGGCCGAGGGCTGCGCACTAGCCACCGAGGCGCACGCCGTCCCTCAGCCAGATGCTTAAGCCCCGACGCTAAACTCGATGCTCGCTTTCGCGCATCATCTGGATGCATCCTTCGCTCAATAGCTATACGGTACCAAAAAGGAAAGCAAGGGGAAACCTTGCATCCTACTCTTTCTGTCGTTCTTCTGCACCGCCCCCAGGCCTAGACTTCCAGAAAGAGAGAGCTGAGCGGAGAGGGTTCGGCTCAGCCCGCAATCTTAACAGCAAACCTTGTCTCGTGGGATTCCTGGATATCGCCGACGCCAGCACGCCCGGCGTCTGCCGCGCGGCAATTCTCCTTGCCTCTGGCCACCGCACCTGGGATACGGATACTCTTTACCAGCTTTCACATTGGCTTGCTGCAGTCGTTGCATGCAGGGCGCTGCGAATGGTCCACGTGGTCGTCGTCCGAATTCGACTGGCCGCCCCTGAGTCCCGCAACTTCGGCTGCCCACGAGGTCAGCTAGGCTAGTTTTGGACTGGTCCAAGGAGATCCGGAGACGGGAGCGGGAGTCGTCGAGCAACTGCCGTATGGCTAGGTATTGCGCTTCAGCTGAACAACAACTCATCCTCAAGGCACTTCCCGCAAGCGTCAAAGCTAGCCCTCGGAACTCCCGAGCATCTGGCTCGTTATATTGGGAGTAGGTATTGGCCCCCAAACCTTCAGCCGCGCAGCTTGCTCTGAAAAACTCGGCACCTGGTGACCCCGTGCATTCTCAGCGTTTACCACGGAGCGTTTGCAGGAAGATGATGAACGGTTACGAATAGTATGGTTTAGATCTTGGGAGCATCGACATTCGCCTGGTTTTAGCATTGTTGCAGGTATGTAACGGCGAGAATTGTATATCACAGCGATCCTACGCAACGAACTCTTGTTTTCCTTTTCTTTTCCCGCTCGGCCACACTTCAACCTATTCGACCGAACTTTGTGTCGTTCAGTTGTTTCCGTCAACAAGACTCGTGGCGTTTCCTCGGTCATCACCGGAAAAAGAGTAAGATAGAGAGGAAGGAGCTATATTTAGTACTGTGGAAGTGTGCGGGGTGGCCATCTCACCACCAAACATGTCCGCCACCACCATGACACAAAAAGAGAACGCTGCGGCCCCCGCAAAAGCAAAAGAGATGCGTCGGCCGGGAATCGAACCCGGGGCTCATCGACGTGCTCAAGAGATATAACCCTTGACATGGCAACGATGAATTTTACCACTAAACCACCAACGCTTTGTTGTAGCTGATGGAAATAGTTTTGCAATTGTGTAATATATGCAAAATTTATGGAGACAAACTCGGAAGCATCGATCGAGAAGTGCTGTGTTCTCAAGGTGCAGAACAACGAGCTCCAAACATTACAAAGGCAATTCCGGATGTGGCTCGTTTGACACTCCCGCCAAGGAATGAGCGTAAGTTCATCCCTGATGTATACGGTGATGGTGAAAGTATTCTACAGAGCTCTGGAGGCCAGACAAAACAAATCACCCGCAAGCAATGGGCGTTTTACGAATTCCAACGTCGGATGCTAGGCAGACATCGTGATCAGTATGTATGCAATTTAACAACTCAAAAGCAAGTGCTGTTGCTTAAAAAGGCACGCAGTCTTTCAGTCACAGACCAGTGAAATCCCTAGAACATCGTGGGGTTTGGTTATGAAGAGATCAATTTTACTAGTAGAAGAGGCCCGAAAAGTTCCTCGTTACAAGGTAAAAATGCGTTTTTTTTTTGTTTTTTTGCTTTTTCAAAGAAAAAAAAGAAGAACGGAAGATGCCAGTTTCGCCAACAAGATACTCACTTCACATCGGCGGCTGTGTTGAGGTCGTCGAATTGAAAGGCTCTTGATAAGGCATCGACGAGACGTCGTGGTAAGTTGTATCTGCGCTTTGTTGAGCGCTGACCTGATGCTGAAAAGGGGCCGAGAATGCGTGGCTGTCGGGTGAAAAATCGAAAGCGAGTGAAAAATCGAAAGCGAGTGAGGCGTTGATGCAGACCAAGCCATTTCGCTTGAGGCACTATATGAAGGCTGGCAAAAATTGGCTTGGGGCAATTGGTCATTGAAACCCCAGAAGTCGAGTGGCATGTTTTCAAATGAACTACCGCTCGGGCCATGAGACAAGTCGTATTGTGCTTGAGACGCAAACATTGAGGTCGCCTGGGCGGTACTCAGCTGCTGATTGTGTAACGATTGTGGCGTTTGTGCATAGGTGACATAGGCCTGTTGATTCATCTGATCCATACCGGGATATTGGAGTGGAGTTCGGTAGTCCAGCTGTTGCTGGAGAGTGGCACTGCCGCGGTCAACCCTCGGGGTGCATTGAGAAGATGCAGGTGTCCCTCTGACCGGAGCACGCATCCGTGAGCGAACAGATGGACCGTATCCAGAATCGTTCTCCGGCTTAAGTGGGTGAGTCGGCAGAGCTACGCGACAGTCGTGTTTCCTCAATCGTCGGCACATTGCTGGCCCCTTCATCCGTAATCGGCGTGGGAGCCTGCACAACTTCAGAGACTACTCCATGCCCTCCGAGAGCGGTAGTCGGTATGCTGGAAGTTTGTGTCGGTTGCTCATGGCCGCCTTGATAATAGACCCCATTGGCTCGAGCTAGAGTTGCTTCCCTTTGCCAGAACGACGCCGAGACTTCCTCTTGGCAGTCTCTTGCTAGATCGACAAGTTGGCTTATCAAAGACTCCCGCAGATGTCCATTATCAAGTTCGACAGTTCTCTCAAGTTTTGCCCTGACAAACCGTGGTAGCTCTTGCCGAACATACGCATCAAGTTGTGCAAGTTCCTCAGAGTATGGCGTGCTCGGTGCGCCTCCTTGCTCATGTTCGCAATCTTCCATTGTCAGTAACTTTGGTTTCTTTTTGGGTCATGAGTTGGGTAGAGGCGAGCCTTACAGGGATTCGGATAAGTTGACTCGGAGTCATGTGGGAATAAGATCCTGTAGGTATCTCTCCATTTTTGCTCCACGGTCATGCTCCTCTTATCTCGCCTCCTGGTCCTGAGCTCCACTTCTTGTTCTTTGTCAAATCCCTCTATTGGGGGTGGGTTTGGTAGTTCTTCACATTGCTCCTCGGCGGTCAGATGGGGTTTTAATTGCTGTTCGGAAGCGAACGCCACGTAACACCGGGGACAATGGATCGACCTCCTGTGGTGTCTGTAAAGATGCTCTCTTCTTTTGTCAATATTTGTTTTATCAGATATAATGAGGCGCTTGAACTTACCTCAAACGATAAATTGTAGAGAATCCCGGAATCACACACGATGTGCTTTTAGGGGTTATTATCTCCCCTCGCATGGCCTGCCTCTTGTAGTAAGGACAACCAAGCCTCCTGTTACTGTCAACTTGGCTTGGGGACTTGGGGTCTCCAGAAGGATCAGGATTCTGCTTTTTGCTTCCATCACCATCCTCTTGCCCGCCTGGAGGGCTAGAATCATTGGCCTTTCGTTTCCCTCGAGACGATGAAGATGTGGAACCGAAAGAGGGCCCATTATTGCGTGTATCGCACTCACGAGCTCCACCGAAATCTTCCCCAGCATCACCGGGATTTGCCTGATAGTCGTATTGGCCCTCCTTGAAAAGCTCCAAGAAATGTTCCATCACTTCATCAACAACCCTTCTCTTGCGTTCCTCCAACAAATCCTGGAGCATGTCGCCATGAGGGCTGCTTGGGGACACAACTGAGCCATCCGGCGAATCCACATAAGACACATCGCTCGAAAGCTCGGACTCACTCGATACAGAATGACAGTCGAAGCTCCCTCCGTCTACTGTATCATGAGTTTCATTGACTTCTCCGTTTCGTCAGTGACTCTGAAGGTACGGTGGAGGATTTGTGATATGAAAAGACCATTGGAACTAACCTTCTCCGGCCATAGGATTATCCTTTGTTACGCAGGGCTCCACCCTTGGGGCTTCGGCGTCGCCATTGGTCAGAAGGTCTTCTGACCCTCTCTCATGCCGGTCGTCTGAGTCCAAGTTGATGGTGGAGCTTTGGGGGGGATGGAGTGTGGTACAGGCCAAGATTTGCGGAGTCGTAGCCCATTGACCACAGCTGTCAAGCCCATGACAGGCATTGTGAGATTGTAGTGACGGCAAAGAATCGTGCGGAGAGGGGGGGATTTTAGTTGTGAAAGCTAGTGTCATCCAGGTCAGAAACGATGCCATGATGAGGATGTACACTTCTCGTACCTGTGGTTGCTGTACTCGATCGTGTGAGAGCAGTGGCGTCTGGAAAGGTGCAGGGGCGGTACCATGCGCTTCGGGCATCCCGCGAGTGGCTTGAGCTGGCGCGCACAGGCATGGTGGAGTTGCTTCACAAAGCGGTCTGGGTAAAATACGTCCTAAAGTAGATTCGTAGACGATGGGTGATTGAAGGGATGTGGGCAGCTGTCGCCTGCCTGGTGCGAGCCGCGACGGGGCTGTTAGCCAAGCGCCATGGTGACTTCCCAAGGCTGGAGACCGGGTCCGGATTCTGATGGGCACTTGCCTTCCCAGTCATGCCTCGCTCTTTCCACGTAATGCCTCGCTCCTTCCGGTGACGTCGTCTGTGCCATGGCGCCTTTCCAACAGCCCATGTGTCCAACCTTTTGCTTTCGCCCCCGCCTTATCCATCCAGCCCGACACTTTGGCTCCCCCTTCAATCAGCCCGGCCGCAATGATGCTCAGCACCGTGCTCACCAGAAACCCCCACTGACCTCGAAGCACGGATACAGGCAGCGCTGCGGGAAGTGCGTCGTCGAGTTCCCACGCACAAACTCATCTCCAACGATCCTGTTCCACCTGTACCGATCGCGCGGGCTCCATCTCCCGGAAAATTTGCTGTAGTCACCCTGAAAGCTGTTCGCGAGAGGCAGATAGTCCTGCTGCGGGATGCTCGGGCAGAAACGCAGCTGCCACATGTACCAAAACAGCGTCCGCTCCTCGTACACGAGCGCAGACACGGTGCCGACGAGCAGGAACGCCCACCACACGTACCGCAGCGCACGGAGCTCGCGACGGTGCAGCGTGCCCAGCCAGACGTGCAGGGCCGGGTACAGCAGGAACGCGGACCCGACGACGGCGAGGACGGGGTCGGCGTCGTGGTCGCGGACCATGGGGGTCAGGGGCATCCGGAGGTGGTCGCTGAGCACCCGCGTCCCGTTTTGCGCCGTGACGTTGCTCTTGTTGTATGTGAGGTTCGTTGCTGTCTGGTACGTCCCCGTCCAGTTGCCTTCGACCTGGACGATTTCGTGCTTGTCCGCGTCGAAGAGGCCGGAGGGCGCCATGCGCTTCCACGCCGAGGCCAGGACGAGAGCGTGCATGGCTGTCGTCGAGCTGTAGGCCATGATGACGCCGACGAGGGCTTCTTGGAACCAGGCGAATCCGGTCTTGAATCGGGCCCGTAGGTGTTCGAGGAACAGTGCCGCCAGGATGAAGGCGTAGTAGATCAGGCGCGGTGTTGCGGCGTATGTGCCCGATACCGGATAGAAACACTCGACCCATTGGGTTGAGAAGTTTTGGTTCTCGCCAGTGAGGCCGTTTCCTCTGATCCAGTCGTAGTCGATGGTGTTGTGGTATGGGACAATGCCGATGAACTGATCGGGCATGAAAGGCAAGACTTCTGACGGGTAAGGCTGGCCATCGCCGTCGAATTCCCGGAACTCCATGATTCAGGGCGCGGAATCTGCAGGGGAACTTGAAAACGTATTCGAGCGCAGCAGACGGGCAGGCACGCGTAATGCTCTGAGGGGGCGTGGGCCAAGTAACACTGGGCTCATTTATGCCAAGTTCAGCCCTGTGCTTAAGGCGGTACAAGCAGATACTGGGACTGGCAAATCGCCGATCCCCATGTAGCAAAATAGACCTCTTACTGGATAAGAACCACAGATAATCATCACTTCTGCCTGGTGGCTGGGCTCTTTCAGCTCTCAATTGCAGATCACCAACTCCGCTGCAGCAACGCACTTGGTTACGTCGTGCTTTACCAAACTCTCATTGCGGCCTTGGATACGTCAGCCATTCACGGCGCGTCGTTCATTGGATCTCAGATAGCGCTTACTCATGCCACGCAGGTGACCTATAGCAGAAGAAAGTAAGGGAGCAACGTGACCCTAGGTGCGTAGCTGGGCACATGCCTCGACTTGCTTACGGCGCACTGCAGTCGCTACTGCACCATGTCCGGAATATTCCTGCTGTTTCGTCTCTTTAGCCTCGACTTAGCAGCGCCCCGCAGCAGTCTTACATGAAGGTAGTACAAACTAGCGCCACATCTGCAAGCTGGTCTTTCATCAGCTACAGCTCCCCGTCGCCCCTGCCCAAGTACTGCTCGTACGGGCTCGGCAGATTCACATCCGGGGCCCTCTGGTCCTTGTACCACGGAATGACATCCGACGTCTCCATCATCCACTGCAGCACCGTCTCGCGCATCTTGGCCCTGACGTGCTGATGATCCGGGCTCGCGGCGAGGTTGTCGACCTCGTACGAGTCGTTGCGGCGGAAGTACAGCTCGTCCGGCTCGTACAGGCGGTACACGTACGTCCACTCCTTGTCGCGCACGGCGACCGACTTGCCCACCAGCGCCGTGTCGTTGTGCTGCAGCGCCGTCTTGATGTCGTAGGGAAAGGGCCCCTGCTCCAGCAACGGCTCCTCGCTCAGCAGGAAGCCGCCCTCGGTGTAGGCGTACGCCTTGTGCGGCAGCACCTCGCCGCGGCCCGCCGCGTGCATGGCGTCGACGAGCGACTTGCCGAAGTGCATGTAGCTCTCGTTGACGCTGGCCAGCTGCAGCATCGTGGGCACCAGGTCGACCATCTCGGCCATCTCGTCGTAGACGTGGCCGCCGTCGGGGAGCCCCGCGCCGCCGACGATGAGCGGCTCGTGCGTGAGCTGCTCGTTGACGGCCGACGGCCACTTCTCGATCAGCCCGTAGTCGCCGAGGAACTCGCCGTGGTCGGTGAAGAACATGGTCACGGTCGAGTTCCAGAGGCCCCGGTCCTTGGTCGCGTTGACGATGCGGCCGAATTGCGAGTCGAGGCGCGAGATCATGCCGTAGTAGGTCGCTTTGACTTCGCGCCACAGCTCCGGCGTCGCGCGGTCGAGGCCGTAGGCCGAGTGGATGGTGTCGATGAAGCGGGGCTGGTAGCCGCTCTGTTGTTTCGGTCAGTCAGCAAGAAAGCAGTGCTATACCTCGAGTCAGAGTCGGTCCTTACCATGGCCTCCCGGTCGACGGGCAGCGGCATCTCGTCGCGGTCGTACATGGAGAAGAACGGCTCCTCGACGGTGAAGGGGCAGTGCGGGAACAGCAGCGGCAGGAAGAGCACCCACGGCTTGTCCTGCGGCGGCCTCTCGAGCCACTGCAGAGCGCCGCGCACCATGGCCTCGTCATAGTCCAGGGCCTGTGTGGCGTTGCGCTCACCCTTGTAGAAGACGCGGTTGAGCACGTCGTCCCTGTCGGGCTGGTAGGGCGGCGATGAGAAGGCGGGCAGCGTCTGGCTGGTCAAGAAGCCGTACTCGTTGACGCTCAGCTCGGTGGCGTTGTCGGCGTAGAAGTCTCCCCGCGGGGCCAGGTAGGCGACGTGGTAGCCGGCCTCCTTCAGCGACCGGAAGACGTTGGGCTCCCACGGCTTGAGCAGGTTCTCCAGCATGCGGTGGCCGCTCACGTGCGGGTACTGGCCGGTGAAGATGCTGCAGCGGGACTGCGAGCACACCGAGGCCTGCGTGTACGTGTTGGTGAAGCGCGTCCCCTCACGCGCGAAGGCGTCGATGTTCGGCGTCTTGATCAGCTGCTTCGTCGTCAGCGAGTCCCCTCTCTCTCTCGGCGCCCTCTCTGGGAATGCCCACGTCGTTGCCGAAGATGCCGACGGCGTCGTAGCGCAGCTGATCGGGCATGAAGAGGATGAAGTTCGGCTTCTCGATGGCTAGTCCATTGGGCTTTGCTGGCTCCGTGTACGGATGGTCAATTGAGTAATCCGGCTCTTCGTTTGGCACTTGGGCGGTTGCCGAGCCGATGAGCAGCGCAGACAGCCATGAGGTGCGCATTTTGACCCAGATCAGGACCTCCAATCAACGTCGACACCGCTTGCGATTGGCCGCGGCGACGACCGCCTTTTAAACTCAACGGCCCTGGCATTTTTGCAATTGCGCCAAGGCCCGAATGCCCCGCCCGTTTCCTTCCAGGGTGTCGTGTCGGGCGTGGAATCTACAAGTGGTGATGGGTGCGGGGTGGTTTTCGTCATAGGCCGGCATGCCCGCCAACTCCCGGCGGTGAACCGATGGCGCCATTCGATCTGCAATGCTGCATACCAACACAAGCCGGAAGGTGCCAGGAACGCATGTAGAGGGCTAAACATGAAATCGAACCAAATACACTGACAGACGGTCGACCTCCACTGCTTAAAGAAAGTAAGGATTCATCATCTCATGGGCAACACTTCTCAGCTACTTCGCCCTAGTACAACAGAACATGCAGGAACGTGCCAAGAGAACATGAGTTCGCTAAAAGTAAAAGGTGGCAGGGAGCAATATTCAGTCGACAAAGACTTGACTGCAAAAGAGACCGATCCATCGGCAGACGTCAGCGCATCATCCCCAGTCTCACCGGGAATCATGCCGTCGTAGTCTCCTTCTCCAGCCCTCCACCCGACCCATCCTCCGGATTCAAGTCCATGTTAGCTGGACCGTTGATGCAGACGCCCTCCTTGCTGAACCGGCTGCCGTGCACTGGGCAATCCCAGCTCTTCTCGGTGCGGTTCCAGCACACGACGCCCTTCGAGAGGGGGCATAGCGCGCTAAAGCGGTGCACTTGGCCCTTGTCGTCCTTGTACACGGCGACGGGCTTCGACCTCTCACTTTTGGTGTTGAGCACGCCGCCCTCGCCGCAGCCGAGTTCCTCCATGTCGTCCACGTCCGACCGCAGGAAGCGCTTGTACTGATCCGGCAGCGCCTTGACGACGTCGGCGACGCGGGAGGGATCGTACAGCGCCGCCCAGGGGTTGGCCTTCCCGTCAATCTCGTCGGCGATGAGGCGGCCGGCGAGCACGCCTTGCGTCAGGCCATTGCTGATGTCGCCGCCGCTGACGATGAAGGTGCGCTTCCGGTGCGGCTTCTTGCCCATGAAGCCCACCTGGCCGACGGGCTCCCAGACCTGCCCGCTCCAGCAGTAGTCGACGGCGCCCGCCCGGCTGAAGCGCTGGCGGAACCACTGCTCCAGCTCTTCGAAGCGGCCCTCCGTCTCCTCCTGGCCCACCTTGTGGTCGCAGCCACCGACGACGGCGTAGTCCTCCATCTCGTCGCAAGGCGTAAGCCGCACGTACTTGTACGCATCCGTCGAGTCGTACAGGAGGCAGTCTTCCAGCAGGCCCTTTGGCACCCGGATAGCGATGCAGTACGTCCGCTTGCACGCCATCTGCCCGACTATGCTCAGCTCCCGCAGCGGCACACCAGTCGCCTCGACGGCATACGCACACTTGATCGCCGGGCCGTCCCGAGTCGAAACCCTCACGCTCCTGTTCCTGATGCCGCCGACCTCCTCGACGCCTTCCTCTCCCTCATCCTGCTCCTCGACCGCCGTCACCCGCGTGCCCGTGTAACACCGAAAGTTCGACTGCCTCCTCAGCCACTCGAACAAGCCAACCACGTACTTCGTCGGATGGAAGGCCGCCTGGCCAGCAAGCACCGCCGCGCCGCGCTGCTCGATACCATGCCCATCCCACCCCTTCACCACCAACCCTTCATCCCACGCCACCTCCAACCCCACCGCCCTCGCCTCCCGCACCCCCTCCACACCCCCCTTCCCTTCCCCCGACACCACCCCATAAGCCATACACCTCCTATACTCACACTCGATCCCCAACGCGCCCGCGACATCCCCCACCCTCCTCACCGCCCACTTCCCGCCCTCCGCCGCCGCCGCCGCCGCCGCCGCCGCTCCTCCGTCCCCTCGTTCCCGCGCACCGCCGTCATTTGACAGCGGCGACGGCGGCAGCGGCAGCAACACCCCGCCACCAGACGCCACGCAGCACCCGGCCGACCTGCCCGTCTCGCCCGCGACGACGTCGCGCGCCTCGAGCAGCACGACGTCGTAGCCGCGGCACACGAGCTCGTACGCCGCCGACGCGCCCGCGATGCCCGCGCCGACGACGACGACGTCGCAACTACATGCCACGTCGCCCGCGTCGTCATTGTCGTCGACGGTGGCGGCGGCGGAAGAAGAAGAAAAAGAAGAAGAAGAAGAAAAAGATGTCGCGAGACGCGGAAAGGTCGGATAGGCCGAGTAGGGCAGCGAGTGCGTCCAGACGGCGTCCGTCTCGCCCGACGTGCGGAGCGCCTTGTTGGCCGGCTGCGACGAGGCGGTGAGGTAGCGGGCGCAGGCGGGGCGGGTGAGGTCCATGTTGGTTGGTTGGTTGGTGGTCGTGGTGGTAAACGGGTCTTTGGTGGAGCAGGTTTTTTTTTTCTGGAGGAAGTGTATGTATGTGATGCGATGTAATTTCAGTTGCTCTGTGTTGTGTGAGAGAGAAAGAGAGAAAGAGATTGCTGCGAGCGAAACAGTTTCCAAGGACAGATATAATATCTTGCTTTCTGGCAGCAGCAGCAGCAGCGGAGCAGGCAGGCCATTGAACCTTGTCCAGGCTCCATGTCCGAAGCCACATGGAACGGCCGTGCGCTCCTTTTTCTTTGTCCCTCTATCACTTCCGCCAATGGCATTCTTCTTCTTCCTCTTTCTTCACGCTCGTCCGTACCAATTCGGGTAAGCGTGATAATGCCCTGCAGCTGCTGCAGATCAATTCGCTGGTCGAATCGTAAGAATTACGTATGTTGTGACTCAATGTGACACAGATGATTGTTTTTCTATTTGCCTGTTTAGCAGACCGGTAACTTTAGGAAGCATGTGCCTACCCGAGTTCCGGATGATCCGCACACTATCCCGCATTATTTACGAGATATTGAGCCTATCATCAGATGTCTCCCATGGCGCTACTATACCTGCTTTTCTGGAAACTCCAAGCGAAGCCTTGTTGAATCATGCAATGTCTCGCCTTCGCTCTTGCCCTCGATCTTGTGCTGCATCGGAGAACACGCGCAAAGAGCGAGACAATCCTCAAACCGAAAATATTCGAGAAGAGCAGCAGTCAAACAAGAAAGACACAGCCCCTTCCTTACTCTTAGTACTCAAAGTCGTCATCAACGCTCGGTCCCTTGTTCTTCGTGACTGCCTCCTGCTTCCTGTACATATCCGCAATCTGCCTCGCACTGGTCGCCTGGTCAGGCTTCTTGTCGTCGCGTTGGTGGATGAACCGTGGGAACCGCAGACTGATGCCCTTGCCCACACCCAGCACGTCCATTGCGGCCATATACCGGGGGCTGAGGGTAAGGTCGGCCGTCTTCACCTCCCAAACAGACTTCGGCTCGAACCACACGTCCGGCTGGTCCTTGTTCCCTTGCGAATGGGAGTAAAACGGCTTGGGGCGGTCGATTACAGTTGCCGAAAGCTCTGCGTGGAGGCTGGCCAGAACTTCTTCCGAGAAGCCGGTGCCGATGTTGCAAACGGTTTCGTATGTGTCATTGGATGAGTTGTAGCACGCAAGCAAGAACGCTCCGTAGACTGAAGTGCGCTTGCCCTTGCCGTAGTAGGCTCCGAGCACGACCAGATCAAGACTGTCACCCACACCGGAGAGATAGTCCTTCTTGACCTTGAGCCAGTTCTGCGAACGCTTCGAGGGCTCGTAGCTACTCTCCTGTCCGTCGAGCATCTTGACCATGAGTCCTTCGCAGGAGGCTTTGACAGACTTCTCGAGGAGATCCTGGATCTCATCGAGCTCACTGGTATCGCCAAATTGGGCGAATGCAAATTCACCCTCGACAGGAGCAAATGACTTGTGAAGGAGATCGCGACGCTCACGGAACGGTTTGTTGACGAGCGCTTCTCCGTTCAGATAGAGGAGGTCGAATGCGTAGACACAGACCTTGACTTTGACGTCTTCGATTTTAACGTCCTTCCTCTTCCGAGTCATCAGCGTCTGAAACGGCAGCACCTTCTTCTCATCGACATCCCATGCGACAGTCTCGCAGTCGAGGACGAAGCTCTTTGTTCCGTCCTTAACCCATGATGGCAGCTTTGCAAGGATGTCCGGATATTTTTTGGAAAGGTCCTCCGAGTTGCGCGAGAAAATGTTCGAGACTCCTTGATCCGTTTTCCCAGCGGTAGGTGCTTCCGTTGCATACTCTTGGGCTGCGTCGTGCGAAACAAAGTGGATTTGAGCGCGTTCGCCATCATACTTGTACTCGCACGTGAAGTGCTTGCCTTCGAACCTGTCCAGGACTTCGGTGATCGATTTGGTCGGCTTGGCCAGCATAGGCTTGAGAGGCACACCTGGTTGAAGCTTGCAGTGCTCTCTCAGGTTGGAAAGGCCGTGTTTGAGCATCGCTGGAATGATAACCTCGTAACTCGGAAGTTCGCTGGATTACTGTTAGAACGAGGCATGCACAGGAGCAACGCACTACTGACCTGTACACCGACTTCACAGTCTTTTCGCCCTTGGCTAGCTGCTCGGTGTTGGGAACATTCTTCCCGCTGGGGTCCAGTTCGTAGGCAACCATAGCGTGCGCCAAGGACACCAGAACGGACTTGTCAGCCAAACCCAACCGCAGTTTGCCCTCGAGCATTCTGACGATAAACTTGGCCTCGCTAGGACCACCCTTGTCCTTGAGGATGTCAACACCTTTGCTGCCCTTTCCTGTCAGGTGTGCGTCAGACGCGGAAAGAATCTTCTTGATGGCAGCAACCTTGCGCCCCTGCGATCCTTGGCCTTCTACTGTCGCGATTTCTATCAGACCTTTGTGGACACCGCGTACGGTCAAAGGCTTCGGCTTGAACATGGTCGGCTGATTAGACCTGCTCTTGGCTGCGACCAGACCTAGATCACCGATCTCAGTCTGATCTGCCTTGATGACAGCCAGACTTCTACCAGTGGTCTCTCCGATGGCCTTCATGATCAGCGACTCTCCAATGCCAAGCTCAATGCCAGCGTAATCGGCCGCCAGCTTGTTGACCATGAGCATCACAGTCGGAAGCAGGTCCTCGGGCGTCAGGCGGAGCACCTGACGGAAAAACTTGGAACAGTACGCTGAGATTTCCAGACGCTTGGTGGTCATCTCAATCTTGGAGAAAGCGGCACAAAGTGCGGCGTATGGCACCGGCTCTCCCGCCTTCCAGTCTGGATATAGCTCTTCGCCATTGTCCTTCAGTGTGGACTGGACTTTTTCCCTGGCCTTGGCGGCCTTCTTCTTAGCAGCAGGCTTTTCTTCCTCGGAAGATACAACTTCTTCATCTTCCTTCTCGGACTCTGCGGCTACAGACTCAGTAGGCGACGCATCATGTTCCGCATCCTTTGTTGTAGCCTTCGGTGGTGAGGCGGCCCGCTTCGTGGACTTGGACTTGGGCTTTTTTGGAGAAGATGGCTCTCCATTGTCGGCCTCTTCGCGCTTCACCTTCGTTGTGGCCTTTGTGACCTTCTGCGGCTTGGATGATGCTTCTGGGGGGGAATCCGACTTTCGCGATTGGCGCGGCTTCTTTGCGTTACGCTTGTTAGGAACAGGTTCATCGTCTTCCTCGTCGCTTTCCTCGCGCGCTCGTTTCTTCGAATCTGCGAATGTCAGTGACCCGAAACCGAAACACCATGTCCGACCCGCTACTCCAAGTGAGACGCGCATGTTGGCGATGATGACGGAAATATCAACGCCGTCGCTATGGCCAAGTGCACGCTGTGCATAGTTGAAGGCCTGATGGTTGGCGAATGGGAGCAGCGCCGCGACGCGATCGCGTGGGTCTCCCATCATGACGGCAGTGTTGTGGAGAGTTGAAGAGTTTGGGATGCGCAACGTCAAAATCATTGGGGTAATAGTGTACTCACGGGCACTGTCCGAGTCACTCGCTGCAGCATCCGCCTCCGACTTGACCTCGTCCTTCATCTCCACATCCTCAACTTTCGACGATGCGACACGTCCGTTCTCTTCATCGACGTTGCCTTCCTCTTTCTTCACGGTATCGCCCTCCTTTTCCTCCTTTTTGGACTTGCGCGATGCGGCGTTTGCTTTGGTAGCGAAGGACAATTTCGTCTGCTTTGGAGGCGGGCCTTCTCCGTTCGGCTTTCCGAAGAACTTGCTACGCCGGAGTCAGCAATTGTCCGAGAATGGAAAGAACGTCAGGGGTGGCGGGATCGCGCACCCCAGGGTCATCTGCGTGGGCTTGACATACCCCAAGGTTGCCTGCTTAGGTGCCATGGTGGTGTACAGAGCGGCTCTCGTGAGCAGCTGCGGAGAATTAGAAGAGTACAAGACAGAAACCGGCCTTATATATGCGGCGAACGACAACAAGGAGGCCAGGCAGCGACGAAGGATCAGAGACGAAGAGGGTGCATTGGCCTTGGGGAAGAACGGCATGGCACGACAGGCGGCAGCGGTGGTGCAGCAGAAAGGCAGCCGCCTCGACTCGCGCTGCGACGCGTCTGCGCGTGCGCCGCTGCCTGTCGTAGCGCGTCATGACGAAATCCACCCGCCCGCCCGCTAGTGGCTCGTGCGGGACTACCGTCCGTCCATCCATGCGACGCATCGACTGAGCTTCCTCATCCGCAACTCCACCTTGTCTGCGCGCTTCTCAAGCACCAATTCCGCAGCCTAAGCTCCACTACACCCACGCTCGCCCACCACGGCCGGCCTGTTCTGGAAGAAGCCCCCCGCCGGCGCAGCGGAGGAGAAGATCGAGCGGCAACCGCCTGCTGCCGACAGCACCATGTCAAAGCCGTACGATCGTCCTGAGCTGACGCCACAGTTCTGCTTCAATCAGACCGCCCTGCGAGGTATGATCAAACCCGACCTACCCCTACCCCCAACGTTTTCAGACGCTCCGTAGAGATCCCTCAGAGACCTCATGGCCATTACTCATCGTTGCCTGCGAATAGATTTCCTTCGCCTATCTCGTGCCACAATAGACGATTCCATCACCCAGAACCTGAACTCGCTCCTGACCCCTGCATCTGTCGGCTTCGATCCCTCTTCGACGAGCACTCGCTCGACGTTACCACCCGGCACGCGCCGTCAAATTCCGGCGACCAGCTGCGATTACTTCAAAGACAGAGTGCTGTTCCCGTCATGGCAGATGCGCTCTGATGTTCTGAGCTACTGTGCGAGTGTGGCCACATCATCGGATCCCGACGACCCCGTGTCTATTCTTCGTGAGGTGGAGGACGCCAAGGTCCGCGAACGTATCGTTGATGAGCGACTGGATCCCTACAGCGCCCGCTATTTCCCGAAAGAGCTGCGGACGGAGATGTTGGCGAACGTAGTTAGGAATGAGCGGATGGTGGAGAACATCATCAGGACTAGAACATGGAGTTTAGTGGGGGAGAGGTGCGGAGGCGAGGCTCGAGGCTTTGAGGACGCCTTGAATGATTGGAGAAAGGGGCAGGAGGGCGGACCGCAATGAGTCGTACGGATGGCACTACTTTTGGACGAACACTCCGCTCAGGTGCAGCCATTTGAAAGGCGTTGGGAATTTGGAGAACGGCATGCTTTGATTGGCACATTTTGATTCAAAGCGTTCAAGCGTCTAAAATATAAAACACGTAGGCGTAAATCATAGTAAACGAAGCTAAAGCATATAGAAACGAAAAACATATATTGAATACGCGGAAAGGCACATAGCAAATCCAAGTAAGTGTTTAGCTGTTCTACGGCGAGATGATGAAATGAGCAATCAACAGGTCACTTGTCCACTTCGCGCTGTTTCTTGAGGCTAGCAGCAACATGCTCTTGGATTCTACAAGCATAGAAACCATCGCGTGGATTTGTGAAGCAAGGACACTGAGCTTCTTCAGGAGTTGGGACCCTACGGGGGCACAGCTGCTTGGCAATACATTTGGCTGTGCTGCTAACAGCTTGCTTCAGCACTGAGCCGGTAGATTTGTTGGATGCTCGTGCTGCAGCGATGGCAACGACACGTGCATATTCATCATCAAGAGCTTGCCTCGCGGCAGCTTCGGCGGCTTCTTCAGAGTGGATTGACTCAGGGGCGTTTATATGTGCCGGTGCCGCATCCTGATTCTCACCAACGACGACAAAGCTGTCGACACGGTCGGTTTCTGGAATACTCGAGAGACGTGTATGAGTTATCGCACGCCTAGCCATTGGTATGGCTGCGGTACTGCAGCCGAAGTCCCTGGAAGTGATGGGGGAGGCCATATACACCGTGCTTCGATTTCTCCGAAATCTGGTATTGGAGGCATGCATATATATATGCCTATATGCGAGGGCAGAACAATGTCTTTGTGGCGCCTGACAGTGTTGATGTATGCCTCGGATGCATTCATTGTTCTTCGAGACGTTAAGAAACAATGGCCTCAACTGCAGAGAACAGTGGCTCTGTGACCCAACAACATCGAAAAATTCGACGTATATATTCTTCAAGTCTCGTTATGCCTTGACCATCATCAGATCATCGAGATGTCATCTCACGGACGCAATCCCGGCAATCCAGGCGATATGCCGAGCGCCTTGGACACTCCCCAAAGCTCGATCATTCTCGAGTTCCCTGAGGAGCCTCTTGGTGCCACCCCGATTGGGTCCAAGTGCAGCTTCTGTACGAAGGATCTGCCTGTTCAGCCTTGCCACAGCTACAAGGCAACCCCGATCCAACTTCCATGCGGCTGTGTTATGCACTATGGCTGCATCTTGCTGTGGTTCGAGACGCAGGCGGCGAATCCGGCCCCGCCTTCATTCAAGATTCGCCTGTCCTGCTTCAACTGTGGGGGGATGATCGACCATCCGGAGCTCGTCTACCGTGAAGGCGAGAACGAGCCCTATGTCTACGCAGTCTGTGATGAGCAGCGTCGTGCCATGGTCCTCACCATCACGCTCGTCCTCCCGCGTTCGATGACGGCGACGTGTGACCCGAAGGACACGACCTTCGGTGACCCTAGCCGCGGCTTCCCGCAATGGCACGACGGCCTCTAGATTGTCCCTTCGTGGGTGTGTTTGTGCAAGCCATTTCCTTGTCATTTGAGTCCGATGCATGCGCAGTTTGAGAAAACGTAGAAAACCAACAAAAACAGAACCCAAAACCAAAGGGCCTAGAATTGGACCTATAGAAACTCCTAAAAAAATACTGAAAAAAAGGCTTTGAATCGAAGCCATAAAACCATACACACATTCATTCATGCATGCAATTCGTGACAAAGAGAAAAGAGGATATCGTAAGAAGAAGGAGAAGAAGAAAAAGAAAAGAAGAAACAGGGAAACCAGCTCCACCAGATACTCGCCCCAATCATACTCAAACAAGAAACAGGGAAACCAGTCCCACCGGGAAACCCGCCGGCGCCAAATCAAACCCAAACAAGAAAACAGCAGGGAAACCAGCTCCACCGGAAACCTCGCGCCCCCATGAACAATAATCAAACCCAAACCGCCCTCACCCTCTCCCTCCCACCAGCTTTCCCCACACCCCCCGCCGGACCCATCTCCATCCCCATCCCCATCTCCATCCCCTGCACATCCCCCACCTCCACAACCTCCCACTCATCACCACCCGCACCACCAGTACCCGCCCTACCACTGACATCCTCCACGCTCTTCTGCGCCGCCGCCGCCACAGCCGCGTGCCCTGCATCACCACCACCCCTCGCGAACCTCCACGCCCCCCTCGCCAACCCCCACATGTCCCTCTGCGCCGCGCGGCCGCTGCTGCTGCCCGGCCGCCTAGCCGCAACCGCATCCTCGACGCCCATGACGACCTCCTCGCCAGACAGCCATTCGGCAGCAGCAGCGCCGCCACGACCATACTGCTGCTGCCGCTTCTCGCTGCCGTCGCTCTTCTCGAGGGACAGCCTCGTGCGCAGGTTCTCGTAGTCTTCGCTCGTGGCGACGGGGTGCGCGACGGCGGGGTCGAGGAGGCGGGTTGAGGTCGAGGTCGGGGTGGAAGGGTGGCCGGCGGCGCCGCGCTTGCTAGTGGTGCGGGCGGCGGCGCGGCGGTGGTGGTGCGGGCGGAACGAGGTGAGGCGGGAGGAGAGGAAGGAGGCGGGGGAGGAGGGGAGGAAGGAGGAGGCGGAGGGGAGGAAGGGGGTGAGGTGGTGCATTGGGGGGGTGTTGGTTGGTTGGTTGGTTGGTTGGTTGGTTGGTTTTTTGTTTTTGTGTGTGAGAGAGAGGAAGTGGTTGTGTGTGTGGTGTTTTGGTTGCGGAAGTCGCTGGCGGTAGTGACGATTTCCGGCGACGGTGAGGTGTTGTAGAAGTGCGCAGCTCGCTTGTTTGGTATAGAGGGTCGAGAGGAGAGGCAGGATGTTGGTTGAGAGAGAAAGTAGTTGTGCGATAATGCGCGCTGCGGAACTCGCCGGCAAGTGCTCGCGCTGGGTATAACAAGTGGAAGAAGCAGAGGAAAGCAGGTGGTGTTGGAAAGCTCGGTTGTGGGTTTGGATGGGTAGTTGGAGCTTCTCAGTGAGGCGCAGCGTGCGCTTCTCTTATTGTAACAATTTTCTCTCTGCTTCACGTTTTGCGGACTTCGCTTGTTGCGAAATCCCGAAGGGTGACAGCGTGGCGGGCGGGCGGGCGGTCGACTACGTGGCATTGAAGTCAAACCGCGACTGATCGTCAGTGACGGACTTACTTACTCAACGGCGGTGTCGCGTTTGCGTGTTGTGTTGGTCATGGGAACATCACTACGTAGTCAGAGATCTTGAAACAAAGCCCACTTATTTTTTCTTGTTGGCTTCTCAGAAAGCACAACGCATTGCCGCTGATCCGGCCGAAGCCGTCTATCGCGGCAGTGGATGAGGCAGAAGACAGAGAACCTCACACCTGCTCAACGCACAGAGCAGTGCAACCAAGGAAAGAGAAAGAACATTGCGTGACGGGCCCGCCAAGATCCGTTTAGTTGTCAGCCGTCCGGTTGCCGGAATCTGGACCGCCATCGCAGAACGGTGGTCACAGCGCTCCTGGCAGATAAGAAATGGCCACGAGTCCGGGGTCGCAGGTGAGAAAGCACGGGTATCTGCAGTCTAGCCAGTATTGGGTCAAGCTTGATGAATACTTGTTTAGGTCACTCAAGAGAAGATGGAAATGAAAGTGACGGAGTGGGACATCATTCTCTAGAAAGCAGTTGCCACTATGAATGAAAGTTTTTTATAAAAAGCCAAAGCAATGAATCCGTGTGGAAAAGTATCCTGAACAGCTGCCTCTCTGTTAAGAGCCTCAATGAATCAAAATGGTCCATGCGTATCATCTCGAATAAAGCAACTGGTGTCGGAAAAAAGGTTTCGTTGCCGTTTTCGTTGTTCTGGAACAATTAGTGTAATTGAGCCACACCATTGTGCCGCTCAGGACGAACCCATAGTAAGCTCCGTAGAAGTTGTAGGCGCCCGAAAAACGCCAGGATCGGCCAAGTTTTTGCATCGAGCGTAGTCAAGCTTCGTGGTCAGCACGTCGTCGACTCAGACAAGGACGCCTCCATCCTCGTCGTCATCAACTTCATCCTCGTCGTCATCAACTTCATCCTCGTCATCATCAACTTCATCCTCATCCCAAACAACGCCCTCATCACCCTCACCACCACCACACCTCTCGGCAGCAGCAGCGGCAGCGGAAGCAGCAGCAGCAGCAGCGAACTCAGCCTCATATTCACCTTGATGAATCAGGCAGAACCTCCATCCAACACCAGGATAGCCCCAGCACGGACACTTGAGCTCCTCGGGAGTGCCCACCGGCTTCTTCAGCCACCTGCTTCCCTCAATGCGCTTGGCCAGCGGCTCCGCACACGTCTTCAGGCCCTTGATTCCCTCCTGCACCGCGTGCACGCCGAAGCCTCTGATGGACTGGTCCGTCACGCGCCTGCGGTACGCGTCGTCGTACGCGGCGTCCTGCGCCTCTTGTTCCTCGCGGCGCGCGGCTTCGACCTCGTCGTCGGGGACGATGTCGTATGAGGAGTCTTGCGAGGATTCTCCTTCGCTCTGCTTCTGCTGCTTCTGCTGGGTCACGTTGCGCGCGCTGGCCGTGTGAAGATGGGCGTTGTCGTCGTCATCAGTATCGCCGCGTTTCTGCTTCTCGATGCGAAGGCGTCGGCGGAGTTCCTCAGCGCTGGCGGCGTCGGCAGCGGCCTGCTGCTCGCGGGCCAGACGCTCCATCCTTTCACGCGGCGGCGTAGGGAACAGCTCGGGCGTGCAGGGTGTCGGCGGACGGTTGTGTGCGTAGAAGTCGCAGCCCTCCTCACCCTCCGCAGGGTCGTCAGAGCCATGACCTGAACCTGGTATGTAGATAGCTTCTGTGAGCGAGAGATGGGAAATCAAAGACTGACCGGATGATGTACGAGAAGGCATCTTGGTGAGTACGGTAGTAGTGCGCCGCGCCAGCTATGGGCGAAATTAGAGTTGTAGAGGGATGGTGGATGATAACGGTAAGAAGGTCTGGAGGGACATGAATTTATAGACTCCATGGCCAAGGTGAGGTGCGGTTTCTTGGTGACAAAGTGAGGGAGTTTACCTTAACACGGGCGTTATGTGAACAACTGATGGGTTCCTAGTTTCCAAACAAGTGATTCTGTCTACCACCAAACGGGACTGCACAATCCTTTGAGTGAAAGTTGACGGCCATGGAGTTCTGCTAAGTTGGATGCCTGAGCTCTTAATCCGCATCTCAAGTGAACTGGGTGTTTGAGTCGCACAATGCTGTAGAGATGGTCAGACGCCTTGCTACAAGTCGATTGCGATATCAATGTTGTTTCTGCGTTATCGCCGTGTTCAAAGACAGTGCTCGGTATCGTATAAATGATGCTGGGGCTGCTGAAGAACGTGTTATGGGCTGTTGTTTTGTCGACTTGGTCCGGAGCGCGAGGCTATGGCTATCTTGCCGGCAGTCGCATGCCACTCTCCACGCCTGCCCAACTGTTTTCATGTCATAAGCCATTGCACGAACATCGGCCATGCTCAACGCTCCTTCTCTTCGACCGCGAATCAGCATCTTCGTCCCTCTGAACGTTCGCATTACGTTCAGAGTAACAATGCCTCTTCTCCCCAGCTTGGCGCGAGTGAGATAGCCAGGATACAAACAAACGATTTGCTTCGCACGTGAAGACTTGCCGCTTCGGGCTACTGTGCGGAACAGCAACGGATTTAACCATGCCGAAGGATTCAAGTAGCGACCTCAGCACGGATAGTCGTGAGGCTACCCATCGCATGCTTGGGATTTCACCAAGACAAAGAAGCACGAAATATTGGAAGAAAAGGGAAACAAACAGAAATATCAAGATCATCTCGCCGCAGGGACAGATTGGCGAAGAAAAAGCAACAACCCCAGCAACATGCTCTATCGCGACGACGACACACTGCGCAAAATGCACAAAAAGCGCACCAGCATAAAAAAATAAAAAATAGTCGCAGTTACATGTTTAGTGCAGAGAGGGCCAGAGCAGACTTTGCCGCTTGTACCTTTTTTTCCCACATAGCCGGGATGCACCCGCCTTCGAAAGCACCTACCTTAGTCGCCGGCGTTTTAGCCTTCGTGCGGCGGTGGCTCGCATGATCACCACGCCAGAGGTAATAATGTCCTTCTTCCCCCATCCTTGTCGCGGCGGGCGTCGGCATTGGTGTCGGCGTCCGTCGTCGTCGTCTCCTTGGCCCCCTTCGCGACGACGGTGCAGGTGATGCTCAATTAGCCCCCAGCCCAGCCCAGCCCAGCCCAGCCCAGGGCGCCTTATTTATCAAACCATCTCGATGCACAAACACGCCCTCCCCAGTTTGGATGCTGGTCCCACCGTCCAAGGCCGGAGATTTGAAAAAGGGGCCGATCGGGTCGCTGCATGAGCGGACGGCAAGGTGAAGTCGGCTGGGTCCCAAGAAGGAAGGCCACGGCTCGGGGCATCATCCGCTCGGGAAGAGGTGCAGCGGGATCTTCAAGAACCTCAGCGGAACGCGCTCCGGATTAGCCGAGTGAAAAGGGGAGAGAAAGAGAGAGAGAGAGAGAGAGAGAGAGAGGGAGAGAGAGAGAGAGAGAAAGCAAGAAGCGAGGGCGTGTGCGACGGACGGGTACAGCATCATGGCAGCGTCGCAGGGCGCAGAGAGAGTGCAGTGGCAGCGGACCGTCGCCTCGCGCTCACTCACGGCGGACAGCTACGCGGCATGGAACAGCCGCTTCGTCTTGCCCTGGCGGGCCGCGGCCCCTCACACCATCCTTTCCCGATTTTCTGCTCGGGTAGGTGCGTAGGTGCGCAGGTGCGCAGGTGCGTATGCGTGTGTGTGCACCTCCGCCCTTGGTCGTCCCGACTTCCCCGTCTGCCGCTCTCCCAGTTAGCAGGGCTGCAGCAAAGGGCGGTTATTGGGCGGGGGAGCGAGCAGAGGAGGGTGCGTGGGTGCGTGCCTCGTGCGTGCAATCGGGGAGCACCGGCAGGGCGGGAAAGCACCCCCGACTACCCAGACTCCACCAAGCGCCGGCGGGCGGGCCATGCGCGAAGCAATCCGTACCGTCCGGAAGCCTCGCTGCGCTGCCCCGAAGACGTTCGAAGGTGAACAGGACTGCTCGTCCTACTTTCGTCGTTAGCAGCGGCCTTGCATCTTGGGATTGCACCCTTCCCGGTTCCCCGGCGCCTTCGCGAGCGGTGGCAGCACTGGCAGGAGCTGCCATGGCCGAATGAGGCATATGCGCTCCTTCGCAGCTGGCCGAGGAGACGTCGTCGCCGGCTGGGGCTTTGACCACCGAGAGACTGCTAGACCCGCCGCGCCGCCTGCACGCCTGCACGCCTGCACGCCTGCACGCCTGCACGCCCGCCTCGCCTCTGGTCATGTGCTGCTGCCGTGCCTGTGTCGCAATTGCGTGCGAGAGGCCAGGCCGATGCCTCTCCCGTTGGCTTGCCACCGCGCCGGGCTGCGCTAGACTGCTCGCCGCACGCCGCGATGCGCAGAGCCCGTTCGGGCTGCCTTGTTTTCAGCCGGCGATCGCTGCCCGTTCCTCCAATCATGCCGCCACCAGGCTCCAGCGGCCGGCTCGGGGAAGGACGGGAGGGAACGGGGTCCGGCAGCGCTCCGAAGGGACGGCACAACGGGGTCTGAGGTGAGGGCGGTTTGAAATCCGTGGTCTGTGCTTTATTATGTCCGGGTGGAGGGTGTGGGGAGTGGCGTGTGGATGTGTTCGGTGACGTGAGAGAGGCGCAAGCCCTGGCTAGGGCTGAGAGGGGAGGTGCACCGCAGCGCAGGTACTACCGCGCCGTGCGCCTGACCCAGGACGACCCAGGACGACCCAGGACGACCCAGGACGAGTGACGACCCCAGGACAGGATGAGCCAGCTCGCAGATCGCCCGCTAGATCTGGCCCTTTTGCTCGGGGCGACCCCAGGTAGGGCTGGCCTGCCGACTTTGGTTTTGCTTTTTTTGCCGCCACGCCGCCACCTCTGCTTCTTCTGCCCCGCGCGGCTGGCTGAAAACCCCGTCCCCCGTGGGAACCCACTCGTATCGCGGGAACACGCAATGACGTGCATTAGAGCCCGTGGATGCGACGAATCACCACTTCTGCACGCCAAATGAACATTTCATGCTTATCACGCCCCTGCCTGGCCGAAGAGCCCTGGCTGGTACACGCCTCTGATTTTTCACGCCTTTGATTTTTTGTAGTATGAGCCGACGATGCTGAAACCAACCAGCGCTGGGGCTGTGGTGAGACCTCCGTGCACTCCTGACGAAATCCCGCTTCGTCTCGCCACACCTTAACTGAACAGCAGGTTCAGCACCTTCTCGAGGCCGTTCCTGCAGGAGAAAACAGCCGTTAGCGTGAACAACGAGCACGGAAAACAATCAGAACAGGACGGAACGGAACCTACTTTGGCGGCGTTTCGATGAAGTTCCTGTGGTACTCCTCGATCTCAGCCAGGTCCTGCAGCAAGTCCACGTCCTCTGGCTTGCGCAACTCCGTCTTCTTGAAGAGCTTCCAGAAAACGAACAGGATGGGGAACACGGCGATCATCGTATACCTGCGCCAGTCACGTCAGCGCTCTTCGCAAGCAATGCCGATCAGCCAGCACACCGGCTCGACCACTTACGAGAACAAGAACGACGGCACATCCCACATCCCAGGCAGGAACACGGTGTAGCCGCTGACAAAGGTCATGACGAAGCAGCCGGTGAGGCCATAGTACGCGGCATACGGCTGCAGGATGCCTTTGTACGGCAGCGTGTCGCGACTGATGCCCTGCACCTCGAGCGCACGCTTGAAGCGCAGGAACGTGTAGCACATGACGGAGAAGTTGATGAGCTGGCTGGCCGTCACAAGGCTGACAAACCACGTCAACACAACCGCCGCATTCTCCGACACCTGCAGGAACGACAGCAGCGCAATCAGCAGCACGACGAGCACGCAGTACACCGGCACACCCTTCTTCGTACACTTCGTCAACACGCGCGGCGCCTTGCCCTCGAGTGCGAGCCCGTACAGCGACCGCGATGCGCAGTACACGTAGCTGTTGCCCGCGCTGAACGCCGCCGTCAGTACCATGGCGTTGACGATGTCGGGCAGCACGCGGATCCGCAGCCGGTTCATCGCCACCACATACGGCGACGCGGCCGCCCCGGGCTTGCTGTCCCGAAACGCCGCCGTCAACTCCGCGTCGTCGTATGGCACGTTGATGCCCACGCACAGCGAGCCGAGCACGAAGAAGGCCGTCAGCCGGTAGAAGACGGCGTTGTACGCCCGCGGCATCGCTTTGCGCGGGTTCTCTGCCTCGCCTGCCGCCATGGACACGTAGTCCGGACTGGAATCGAGGGCTCGTCAGTTGATCGGTCGTCGCAAGAAGCGGGTTTTCGTGTGGTGCATTTCTTGCTCACCCAGCAATCGTGAAAGCGGCTTGGATCAAGCACTGCAGGAATCCAAGGAAGCGGCCCAGAGTTCCATCGTAATAAAGCTCAGTGAATGCACCAGGGTTGTTCCAGTACCTCCACAAGAGCAGAGATTGTTAGCGGGTCGAACGCGTCCTGGCGGAGAAACGGGGTGGACTGCTTGCTCACCTGAACCCGAACCGGTCTCCAAGGGGGTTGCCCCCAAGCATGGTAATGAACGTGTAAAAGATGAGCCCAATGATCAGCAGCACCTTCCCTAGCGCAGCCCAAAACTCCGTCTCACCGTACCACTTGACGGCCAATACGTTGATCAGACTAGTGGACAACCTCGTAAGCACTAACTCAATACCCGACGGGCCGTCCCCTCCTCCGTGGCACTGAAGACGGGCAAAAGCAAATGGATGAAGGGGTATTTGATGGAATGAAGTCCCACTACTAACCCATAGAGAACGATGACGATGGAAATGATACCGCCGGCCGGCACCACGTCGCTCCAGTAATGGATGATGATGTTGCAAGCGACGATTTCGAAGGGCACGAGTGCGGCCTCAAAGACGAAGAAATTCCAACCGGCGGCGAAGCCGAAGGCCTCGTCGACGTAGCGCCCGGCGAAGCGGATGAAGGGCGAGGATATGGGAAGATATGTGACCATCTCTGCCATGCCTAGTTCCGTTCATATCGACAGTCAGTTTCTTCTTGGGGTCCACATAGGGGAAATTCTCATCGTGCTTCTTGGCTTTTGATTCATCTCTCCTTTGTTTTTTTCTTATCATAGCAACTTCCGACGAGGAGTGCATAGGGCTGCTGTAGAAACCTGCAGAGCTCCAACTTGGCAATGCACGTTCGGCGAAGACGGCAATAAGTAGCGCAGGATGAAGAGAGGTGAAGAATGAAAAGGAGAAAATGAGGGTAATGGTGGAGAATTCGTACATAGTGTTACTGCAAGAATGAACGAACACCTGTTGCGCACGAGGTAAGCAGTCATCCAGCCGACAAGCCAGTCACTAAAAGAGACCAAAAGCAGGGGAATCCGGAGAGAAAAACTCACCAGATGGTAAACGCCATGAACAAACTCGCCGGTCCTCCATTGAGCAGACCGTTTCCAATCTGGACGTACAGCGCCGTCCCAATCGTGCCTCCGATGCCTGCATAAGAGATCGGGGGGGGGGGGGGAGGCCGTCAGCAATCAGTTAACTCATCGGGACGCTGAGTTCTATCACCAACCAATCAACTGGATGTGCCGTGGCTTGAGCTTGCGGTGCGTGTGGTCGTCGGGCTTTTGGCCGGAACGGATGGACGCGGACTCGATAGGGCTTTCTTGGTCGTAGCCGCGCTTCTCGGGATCGCTGCGCAGCCTCTTACCGTCGAATGGCGGCGGTGGCGGCGGCCCCGACTCGCTCGCGAAGTCGACTCCGGTGGATGTCATAGTGCTTTGAAAGAGCCGAGAAGGGCGGATTTGAGAAATAAAAGATTCGTCTGCTGGCCGGACTAATGAAGCGATTTGAGCAGGAGGGAGAAAAACTCGGTCACAAATGCCATGGGCCCAGGGAGGACGAAGAGGTACGAGAATAGGCGCGGCGGCAGGTGATGTTTATGTACGTATCAGCGCCGACGGCGATTAAGTTGCAGGGAAGTTGTATCCTGCACGTGTGCCACTGGCGCAGTCGTAGCGTATGGTAGTAACGGGGCAAAAGCGGTGACAGGCGGCAAAGCTCAGATAAGTGTCTTGGGAGAAGGAGAAGAGACTTCAAAAGAACAAGGTGAAAAAGCAGGCGGCGTAAGCCCTCTGGCGATTGATTCAATCAGCGTTGGATCTAGACGCCAATGCGGTGCTGCGAGCGATTATTCGTCCGCGCCTTGCCCTTATCGAGGACTCTGCCCCATTCCGATCCGAGCCCTTGGCTTCGGGGACCCCGGTTTTTGGGATAGGCGGCTGACCGTTCACGTCGTAGCCCGTCTTTGGGCCTGCGGCTGGCGGCCCACGCCGCAACCACCCGCCCGCTCTCATGTCAATGTGCTCCCGAGCCGCTACTCCAGACGCGCACGGGCCCGAGGTGGTTGAGAGACAGATAGAAGAAGGCCACGCAAAATGGCATCGCATGTTTGCACGGCTGGAAGGACTGGAGCGCCTTATTTCTGGGCGCTTGCCCTGGCTACCCCTCGCGCCGCTGTGATGGCTGACCTTGGCGAGAGTGCTGAGACCTTGGCGTAGCATGGCCGCCAACGCCGCCGCCGCTCGGCTTCCTGGGCGACGGATCGACATACTTCACTGTGCGATCCAGCTCAGCTTGTCCTCGCAAAGCCACGCTTGACACTGCTACCCACGTAAACAGCGACTGCAAAAGTTCTGAAATTGGACCTGGTCCGCGACCGCCCGCCTTTTGGTATCCTGACCTAATGGTATCCGTTTACGCCCTCCCCTAGCATGTCCAGCTCCCCCTTCAGAGACCGATACGCTTCCTGTGCCTCTCTCTCCCTGCGACTGACAAACGATACTTCTTCCCTAAGTGCATCCAGTCTCCGCGGAATTGCCGCTTCTTCTGAGATCTGCAGCGTGCGGAAGCTGTCCAGGTCAATCTTCGTTTTTTCGTAAGCCTCCGCTGCATCCACGATTTTCTGTCGCAACGTCTTTGCGCGCTTCTGGTACCCGCCAAGGTGGAGCGCAAGCTTTTTCTCGATCTTATTACCCTGCTGGGCGGTGGCCATGATCTTTTCTTGGATGTTCTAGAAAGCCTGTTAGCGAGCTGAGCCAAGCTGTCACATGAAATCTTGAACTTACGTCGAAAGCTTCAGTCATGAGCTGGTGCTCGTCGATCTCATCCTCGCCGTAGCCTGCAAGCCCAGGCAAGACAGAAGACCCGTGCAGCTGCTCCCACGCCCTCTCAAATTCCTCAGTGTCTTTCCTGTCCAAGGAAAGCTCCCGAGCAATTTCCATCCGCGCATTTTGCAGCGCCTCGTTTTGAAAGGCCTCGACGGCCTGCACCGCGCCACTGACCTTTGCCTTGCCGAATCGCTTCGCATCATTCGCAATTAGAACAGTCATCTCCTCCAGCACTGCTTTCTCAACCGGATCCGTAGCTGCAGATGCCTTCGCCAACATGGCGTTCACGTCTACAGCCGTGGGGCGTGGGAGGGCCTTTTGATATGCTTGCGTCTGACTAGCAAACTCGATCCGTTCTCTGGCCTCCCGGATCTCTTTGTTCCTCTGGTCTCGGATGGCAGCGTCCTCCTCGGACATTTCGGCGTTGATAAGCTCCTGCTGCTCTTCGGGTAACTCGAGTTCCCAATCAGTCTCCTTCGGCTTCGGCAATGCCGCAAATCTGCTCTTGATGTCGTTCCGCATGGCTCGCTCATGCAGCTTGATATCACGCGGAGTCTGTCCCACTAGCTGCATGCCGTTCTCGCGGTTCAGACTGAAATTATCTCTTGGGGTACGCATGGGAGTTGCACCGGGTCCTTGGCGCATGGGCGTTGCTCCGACGCCACCCTGGCGGAACGGAGTGGCCATCGGGTTGGGTGTAGCCACAGTTTGCTTACTCGGGGCGGCCCCTCCAAACCCGGTCGTTCCCTCTTCGTACATTTCAGTGTTCTCTCCACCCAAGAGGGCTGACTGAGTCTCGGTTCTGGCCCGCGCGTTCCGGATCTCGTTGGCAATGTGGTCTTCCTCTTGGGGTGCTCTCGGGGTGCGGATCGGAGTGTTTCCAACAATGTTCGCGTAGTTGCCGATTAAACCTCGCGTGGCCTCATTGTCGCTGCTGCCTGCAAGCCGGTTGGCTCTTTCGCCCACCATTCCCATCTTCACAATCTCCTCCAACTCGTTCTCGCTGACTTGCGGCGCTGGCAGGACAAGGCCTCTCCGCTTGCTACTTTGTTCCGCCTCCCTGATCTTCTGCATTTGCGCCGCCTTCTGCGCCGCCGCCGAGATTGCTGCCGCACCACTCTTGTCGTTCTTCCTCTTCTTCCTGTCCTCGCCCTCATCTGCCTGGTCAGCTTTCCGCTTGTTGGCCAGCTGCTGCTTCCTAGGATCGAAAGCCTCCCTTTGCCTCTCATTACGCTCCTCCTCTTCCCTAGTATCATAGAAGCCTGATGCGGGACCCTTCTCAAACGGAATGTCGGCGTTGTAGTCCATCTGACCCTTCTTGACCGTGGTAACCTTGATGTTGATGCCGGCATTCTTGAGCTCACGGCGCTTCTGCAATACGGCCAAGCGACGCGATTCCTCAAGTTGACGCTCCCGAGCCTTGCGCTTCGCTTTCTTGCCCTGGGTGTTGGCAAGGCGCGCACGCGCCTCACTGAGCATCTCCTTCTCATCCTCATCGAGGTCGATGGTATCAGGGCGCGCGGGTTTGGATTCGGGATCGGGGTCGAGCTCGCCAGGGCTGGATGCCGTGTCAGTACCACGAGCAGAGAGAGCGCTGGCAGTAGGACTTACCGTAATCTCCTGACGTCGTCGGCGCTGGGGGCGGCCGTCTCTCCTCCTTCGGGACCGCCCAGAGCGAGTTCGTCATCCTCCTTTGCCTCAGCCTCATCAAGAAGCTTCTGGTAGCGCTCCAAGCACTGGGTGGCGGTCCGACCGACGATGGGGGCAATGGTGCGCCATTGCGTGGGCATCAGCTTGGCGAGGTGCAGCAGCTTCTCATCCTCCTCCTTGGACCACTCGATCTTTCGGATGCTGGGGTCCAGCCACTCGTTCCAGCGGGCCTTGCATTGCTTCGGTGTTTTGCGGGCGAGCAGGGAGGAAACGCGCGCCCATTGGTTCAGGCCGTACTTGGAGACGGCGACCTTGACGATCTCATCCTCGATATTGGTCCAGACTCCTCCCTTGACGACGGGCATGGTGGCGCGTTCGGGCGCGCGTTGGCGGCTCTGGGTAGGTGGAGGTGTTGGGGGGGAAGATGGTCAGGTCAAGCACCGCGACAGCTTGCTCAGAAGTTTGAGATGGCGCCGAACCGCGACTCGCCGCGACTCGCCGCGGCAGCTAGTGTCACGTGAAGCACTGGGTCTGTGCGGGCGCCGCTCAGGCCTGAGGCCGAAGCTTGACCCCCGCGCACTTTCTCTTTTGCTCAGGGTGATGTCACTCTGCGCATCATGGATCCTCACGCTCGTCCGATGGCAGACTCAGGTCACACCTCTTCCACCAGCATCCACCATGACTGCATCACGCATTTGCGCGTCGCCAGTAGCGCGACTGTCCGCCAGAAGCTATTTGCTGCCGAGTCACCCTTCAGTTCGGAAGGTTTCTTCATCATCGAATGCACAAAAGCCCGATGTTGAAGGCAAAAGCCAAGATGTGAATGTATGTCTCTAGGCTTTGACGCCTACCTAAGCTCAAAAACAGGTTTCTGATCGAATGGTAGGCACAGGCAGGTGGAAAGTCCGAAACAAAGCCAAAGCCAAAGACGCAGGCCCAACTCGACGATGAACTCAAAGCAAAAATGGCTGGCATTTCCGGCGAAGGAGGCGAGGCCGGCATTGAGTATGAAAACGGCGAACCGGTAGCCATGAAACGCAGTGTGCGTAACAACATGTTCAGGTACATCTGAACTTGGAAAGATCGTCCAGGGGCCCAAAACAACCTTGCTCGACACTCCGATCACCGGTTCATGGTGTTGCATCCACGCCTTCTCTCGATGCGTGTCCATCGTTGTCCCTTTTGGGACACTTGACTTCTCCCAGTCAGCAACACGTGGCCCAACGTTAGGATACTAGCTGCATGTTGATCGCGAACACGACAAGCCACACTCCACTTCGGTACGGTCAGCATGGTCATTCCAGAGCGGGCCGCGTCAGCATACATCTAAAATTGGGTTCACAATATCAAGGACGACCATGTTGTTCGAAGGGGCACTTTAGCCCAATGATTTTCCTGTGACACTTGCAAGGACCGGGCACCTGATAGAGACCCGTTCTTGGTCCAGATTTGCGTACAGCAGGCTGCCTGTCCACAACTAAGAAGCCGATCCATCTCTTGGCAATCTCTTCCCGGCGACCCAGCCAATCCCAGTCATGTTTGTAGCAGCGCCATGGGCATCTCTCTGGCTTACTGAACACTAGAGGCCGCAAGGGTAGTCTGTGCGCTTGCCGCTCGGCCCGAGTCTCCCGAGTATATGAGTACTGAATGGTATCCCTACCAGCGTCATTATTGCAAACTCTGCATTGTTCAGACCTATCCACTCTTTGACTTCCCTCTTATCGGCTCTTGCCGTCCACTCGTTTGTTCCGTTTTCCTCCTACAATCATGGTCCCCGACATGGGCTTGAAAGAAGCTCTGACCCCTCCATTGCGGGGCGTCACATAGTGGGTCGCCTCACTCAAGCTACGTACATGTCTTGTGCGCTAATAGCAGCAGTCATGATGTATATGTTGTACACTACAACTTTGCTGATGTTGGTCTGTTGAGCACTCTCGTAGGCAGATGGGCATGAGCTGATTCCACAGACCATTCTACTGCCGTCGAGGAGTTCTGCACCCTGCTTGCGGACTTGGAGTCAGTGGGACTGCACACTGAAGTCCGGGCCGGCTATGACCGGACTCTGCTGGTTTTCGTAAAGGCTTCACACGAGCTGCTTGGAAGAGAGGTGTACAAGTCTAGGTAGGCTCGTCATTCCACACGCTCGCAGTTGGCTACTGACGCTTTCTAGGGTCAAGGATTGGCTATATGGAATCACTCGCGAACACCCTGGTGGCGGAAAAGATACAGTAGTGGATGGTGAATTCGAAGCGGAGGACATCCTCTCCATGTTCCATTTGGTTTCCTGGAAAAAAGAGCTCGGCGGCGCCGGCATAACTCCCCAGTCGGGAAAATGGGAGAACGTGGAATCCATCTTCCCTCTGCACAACAAGAAAAAGAACCAAGAGCTCCTGCTTCATCTAAGCAAGAGCATCTTCCTGAGAGTCGAAGACCTTGACAAGATCAGAGACCTCTTTGGATCGAAAGTATTTTGATGCTCCCAGATATCCCTTGATCCTGGAGTTGGACTGACTCCGGGCTGCCCAGGTTGCCTTCTACTTTGCCTTCCTGCAGACTTACCTGGTTTTTCTGTTCTTTCCCGCCATCACCGGATTCCTCGCATGGATGTTTCTTCCGCAGTACTCACTTCTCTATGCCTTGATCACGAGCCTGTGGTGTACGGTCTTCCTGGAATACTGGAAGTTGCAACAGGTCGATCTGAGCCTTCGCTGGGATGTGAGAGGCGTCGGAACCTTGAAGGTCAACCGTCCAACCTTCCTACCCGAGAAGGTAATCACAGATCATGTCACTGGCGAGGTGATACACTATTTCCCCAAGTGGAAGCAGATTACCCGGCAGACACTGCAGATACCTTTCATACTCGTCTCTTTTCTTATACTCGGAGCTTTCGTTGTCATTGTTTTTGCAGTAGAGGTTCTCATCTCGGAGGTCTACGAAGGCCCTTTCAAGGACTTGCTGGTAAGACCGATCTTGGGGGAGCATTCTTGAGCGGATACTGATTTCTTTGCAGGAATACCTCCCCACCATCCTTCTTGCTGCCCTCCTGCCATTCATCAATACTTTTCTTGAAGGAATTGCAACTGCCCTTACGGAATACGAAAACCACCGCACCCAGGATCGGCACGAAATGTCCATCACTCAAAAGATCTTCGTACTCAACTTCATCACCGAGTACCTGCCAATTTTCCTCACTGCCTTCGTCTACGTCCCGTTCGGGGATGCCGTCGTCCCGCAGCTCGAGCTACTCCTACGGCGCTTTTTGGGCGACGCGGCCCCCTTATCCCTTGGCAGCAACTTCCACAGCGACCCCAACCGGCTGCGAAACGAGGTCATCGCGCTGTCAGTCACGGGCCAGATCTCCAACTTCGGCGAGGAGCTCGTGCTGCCGTACCTCAAGCACAAAGCGTCGCGGTGGTGGAAGGAGTACCGGGCGGAGCACTCGCACACGGCGACGATCAACACGGTGGTGCGCGACGAGCCGGACGAGGCCGACTTCCTCAGGCGGGCGCGCAACGAGGCGTCGCTGGAGCCGTACAACGTGCAGGACGACCTGACGGAGATGGTGATCCAGTTCGGGTACCTGGCGCTCTTCTCGCCCGTGTGGCCGCTCGTCAGCATCGGCTTCCTGCTCAACAACTGGGTCGAGCTGCGCTCCGACTTCCTCAAGATCTGCATCGAGCACCAGCGGCCCGCCCCCGTCCGCACCGACGGCATCGGCCCCTGGATCGACTCGCTCGGCTTCCTCACCTGGCTCGGCTCCATCTCCACGGCGGCCGTCGTCCACCTCTTCGGCAACGGCAACACCAACGCCAACGCCACCCTGAGCGTCAATCCAGGCCTCCCCGGCCGCAGCTCCTGGCACGCCCTCCCCACCACCATCTTCATCACCGAGCACATCTACCTCGTCCTCCGCTACGCTGTCGCGTACGCGCTGCGGCGCTTCGGCAGCGACCAGATCCGCAAGGAGCGCGCCCAGCGCTACGCCCGCCGCAAGCGCGTCCTCGCCGAGCTCGAGTCTCGCGGAGACTGCTCGCTGGGCGCCGGGCTCGCCGGCGCGGACAAGGAGCGCCGCAAGTCGCTGCTGCTGCTCATGGGCCACGACGACCACCGCTTCTGGACGAGGCAGATCGAGGACGGCGTCAGCGCGGAGGTGGGCGTGGGGTTGATCAGGGCGCTGAGGAAGACGGAGGAGGCGAGGGGGGAGGAGGAGAAGGAGAAGGCGGCGGCGGCGGCGGCGATGACGAAGGAGGATTGAGGAGGATTGAGGAGGAGGGAGGGTGTGGGTTGGGATGTGGGCCGAAGGAGCGCACGCGCTGTGCGTCGTTCGTTGAAGAAAGGGGGTAAGCAGAACTTTTGAAGGCTTCTCCCCGTAAGATGATGGATTGTAGTAGTCTTGCTTGGTGGTTTGTCCCAAGCGTCCGTTCTCTTTGTCGCTCTGGTAAACAGCACTCGTTTAATGGATGACATCTTACGAATCTTGGGCTTGAGAAAAGCAGTGAAGGCGGTCACTTGTAGACGCTAGAGAATGACTGTCCCACGACATCTGTCAGTCCCGCACTCACTCATTCATCAGTCACGTGCCCATCTTGGACCACGATGTCGTAGTTGAAGAGCTGCCAGTGCCGGGTGCGCACCTGCTCGTCTGGGCGCAGGCGGCACGCGTCCGTAGACTTGGCTGGATGCCATTTCTTTGCGAGTTGGTCTCACATCGCTGTGGGCCTACAGCTTTATGAACGATGGGGACCGACAAGAATCACAGCAAATCATACGGACGACGAATTGACATCAACCTTTGCAACCATCTGTAAGTTATATGGCCACGCAACCGCGGTGCCGAAACATCAGCAGGAAAAGGAAGGCCGACGATGAACATCGAAATCGAAATAGGAATAGACTCCAACAGACAGCGAGCGGGAAGGGGCAAGGGGGCTAAGTTCTGTTGCCTCAAGAATGTATAAACAGTACAAATGCAAGAGAGTAAAAAGAGAAAAAAAAAAGGATGAACAACGACCAACCCAGGGTATAGTTCCAGCCTGAAAGGAGAGAAGACGAAGAGCCGAACTGACCAACAAGACAAAAGGTAGTCATCTCGTTGAAAGTGGGAAGGGAGATGACAAAAAGACGACCGTGGGGCTATCGAATAGATAGAGGAATCGAAAAGCCAAAAGTGATGGAAGATTCCGAAAAACTGGATTCCATGCTGCCATGATAAACGCCCATTGCCCATTCCCCCGCCGCTTCCCATTTACTACTACCAAAAGAACTCCATCGCAGATGCAAGAAACTCGCTATGAGTGAGGTGTAGAAGTCGATGATGATACACACACGCGTGGCGCGTAGACCGTAGTGCACGCGCTCGCCAGCCACCAAAAGAACCCCGATCCCTTTATCCTGTCACGCTTTTTTGTGGCTCTGACGAGCAAAGCCGTGTCCTGAAGTCCGAATCCGAATCCAGCCAGACTACCGCGCACCTTGTCTGATGCCAATACGAAGGGCCGGGAAATTGGAAAATAGGGAAGACGCCCAAGGAAAAAATGTCGAGTACTCAGAACAGAACGGCATCGCCCGTCCTGCCGCCGCGTGGTCAGCCGAGGCCTCGCCCGCCGAGTCCTCCGCCTGACTTCGCAGAAACTCCAGACGCTTTTTCTCTGTCCACAACAACGCCGGTGTATATGCAGGAGGCTCCGACTTCCGTTTTTGTATAACACGCCTCCCCAGGATTAAGTCAGCAATTAACTCCCCCAACCGGTTGCAAATTTTTAGCTCTAAATTTTCAGTTTCCGTCGTGTAGGTCGTCCATCGTCGCTATACAGTCGTCCAATAGACCTCATGGTCCCGTGAAGAATTGTGTCAATCTCCTAATGGACTCGTGGATAATCAATCTTGCCCGCGACAAGAAGTCAAAAAGGATCAAAAGCCGCGGGTGAGAAGACTAGACCTAGTGAAGCAGGCCCTGGTTGTTCGACGCGTCCACGACGTTGTCCGAGAGGTTGATGAGCAGTTGCGCAAGGCAGCGCTTCGTTGCGGCGTCGTCGCGGAGGACCGAGGAAAACGTGGCGTCACGTAGAGGCTCGGGAAGGCATTGGCGAAGGGCCTCACGAGCACGGGCGTTATCACTCAGCCTTTTTGCCTTGGGTCAGCGTACATGCTCCAAATGTGCACCGGGAGAACGTACCTCAGGAAGCAGCGCACGACGTGCTTGAGCAGGCGGACAGTCTGTTGTTCCACAAGCTGGTTGACCATATTGGAGAGAACGGTGCCGACGGCGTAGAAGCGCTCGTACGTCTGGCAGATGTAGGCCAGGCCAAGGTCATCAAGGAGGATTTTTTGAACGATGAAGATGGCAACCGTCTTGCTCAGCTCCGAGCCCGTCTCCATTATGCGAAGGCAAAGGGGAATGATCTCGGTGGTCAGGAGGAAGTTGATGACATCGGAAGAGTCATTCTTGACGAGGGCGCCGATGACACCCAGGGAAGTGAGACGGAGGTACTCAAACGGGCGCGACTTGGAGGTGGTGTTCAAGAACGGGTACAGGAACAGCGGGATATGGGCTGCAAGCAAATCAGTCAATTGCATCGACGCGAAAGGGCCAATGGCTGCTTACCGCTCAGGAAGAGCCCACGGGTCTCGGTGTGGGAAGCGACGCACTGCAGCAGGGCGAGTGCGTTGCAGACGCGGTTTGAGGCGGCAGCAGTGAGCTGCGAGGGGTTGAGCAGAGGATATACGGAGATGATCTCCTGGAGCAAGGATGTCATGACGCCTGGACGACGGCGTTAGCCCTGTCGGCGGGTGAGGAGCTGCGCATGCACGCGCGACGTACCAAACGAGTGCCACAGGATCATTGCAAGCTCAGGGACCTGCTCACGCTTCTTGCTCAGCTCGAGCAAGGCGGTCTCGCGCGTCTGGGGGTTCATGAGCTGGGCGATCCACTCCAGCACCCGGCGGTTCTCTTCGGTCATGCCCTGGTCGACGGCGAGCGTCTGGTCGTGCTGCTGCTGGGCAATGCCGCCGATGCCGGCGGCCGAGGCGTTGTTGCTCGCGGCGATGCGATTGTAGTGCTGCTGCTGGGCAGCGGCAGCGGCGGCGGCGGCGGCTTGCGCCTGGGCGTGCTGCTGCGCGGCATGGTGGGTGTGGGTCTGGTGGTGGGACTGCGGCCAGTCGGCCGGCGGATGCTGGTACTGGTGCGAGAAGACGTGTTGGCCCAGCATGTTGTGCTCAGTGGGGGTGCGAAGGAGGCGGGTGGGTGTCGAGGCGGGGTGTGGGCAGCGAGGCGCTGTGCGTCGTCGGTCGGTGAGGATGGAGCCCAGTAGTGCCGATGCGCATGGAGTGAAGTTGCGGGCCGCCCGCCAAGCCTCTTGCGGGCAGCCTGCCACCACCTGGCTGCCCGCCGTGCGCCCATGGCAGCGGCGCGCGTGGCCTCAACGCCTCAGGCATCATCGCTGGCCGTCTGTGCGAGAGCCTGGGCCCGGCCCCCAGCCCCAGACCCGACCGCTGACGACCGCTGCAGAAACGACAGCACGTGCTTCACGGACCCCTGCATGCATCGCGCGGCTTTGTCTACCTCTAAGACCGGCGGGGCATTAATTTGGCTCTAGACGCGCCTTGACGAGACGAGAACTCCGCACAACAATGACCCTTCTCGTTATCAGTTTTCGCCGTGTGCAACAAAGGAGAAGAAAGAATGCCGCTGCAACCAGACCAGTCTCGTTTTAATCCATACCAAAACAAGTATAACAAAAGCCGCAACCGTGGGAACGAGAGTACACATGTCCCTGCCATTAAACCTCTGCGCACAGCCAACTTTATTTAGGACTGCCGAGACTCAAGAAGGGGAAAAGGAAAACCGGCGAGAGACTGCCCTGCTGGTCTGATCCAACCACAGAAAAAGGAACAACCGCTCAGAGCTTCAGCTCGTTCAGGATCTTCTGCGCGAGACTCTTGTACTGCCACGTGCCACCATCCACCTTCTTGAACTGGATGCCATGCAGCGACAGCAGCGGCACCTTGACGATGGAAATCTCGAACTTCAGTGCCGTGCTTCCCCCCATGTCGTGTTGCACGTGAGTCGTCGTCTCACCAGCCGCGCGTGCCCGAGGCATGCTCTCACGCTCTGCCACGTCGCTCTCCTCTGAATCCTCCGCACTGGTGTAACTGTGGTCCGGCCTGCGCGGCAGTCGTCCCGACTTCGGCGTCGTCGGCGACCTATGAGCTTCATGGAACTCGTCGCGCTCGCGTTGCTCAGACCCCCTCAACCCGAAGCTGATCTTCCGCCGGTGCCCGAGCGCGCTGTTTGATGCCTGGTTGGGGCTCGCCGGAGGAGCGGTGCCCTCTGCGTTGTCAGCGTCGATGCTCGGGCTGTGCTTGCAACTGAACCCGCTGCGACTCTCCCAGTACTGCACTCCGAGCTGCTTCAGCACACGGATGATATCGGCCCTGATGAACTGGAGCGGCTTGCTGCTCGTCGTAGAGACACTGAACAAGCCCTTCAAGTATACTGGCTTGATCGTTTCCGGGCTCCGGTTCTCTCCAGAGGAATCGTTGGCTTCGGCTACTTCGCGCTCTGTCTCTTCAGGCAAATTGCCCTCCCGCGTCTGCTCCCGACGGGCCCGGCGGGCCTGGATGCTCTCTCTGCGAGCATGACCAAGCGACTTGGCACGGGAGGTCGGGTGAGACTGGCTGCCCAGTGCAACTTCTTCGGAAGCTGTGTCTGGCGCCGCATGGGTTCTCTGCCCGCCCACGCTAGACTTGTCTGATCCACTCGTTGGCGGCGGATCCTGGTTCCCTTCAGATGCAGCAGCGCGCCTGTTCAACATCCGCCTGCGGAACTCTGCTGAGTTGACGCTTGCTGATCTTCCGAGCCCCTTCAACTTCGACGCTTGTGTTGTTGCGCCTGAGGTCGGCGGGGCCAGCAACTCAGGTTGCTCCGGCGTAGTCTCAGGCTTTCGGGTTGCTTGCTGAGCATCAGCACTCCTATCTCTTGTTCTGCGCACACTGAAGCTTCTCAGCATAGAGCTGCCAGTAGAGCCTGATGGTTCGTTGATGGCCGGAGGAATCGGAGGCGGGTTAGACTTGTCACGGTCGTGGTCATGACGTCTTCTGGTGCTGAACCGACGGAGAATGCCTGCAGCAGTGCTTTCCTTCTTGACGGGTGCAGGCTCGTGAGGGGGCGTAAGCATGCTGGGAGACGTAGCGCCTGAAGGAGAAGGCACCTGAAGGTTGACCTTTTGCAGCCCTTCAGTCACCTCGTCTTCTCCATGCGTCCTCGCCCTAGGCCTAGAGCGCCCGCCAGTCGGCTTCTCTCCAGCGTACTCGTAAGAGCTTGCATTCGTGTACGCTGCTTCCGGAGCAGCGAGTTCTGGCATTTTGAATGGCTTCTCTCCTGGGACTTTGGGCATGCTGAGACCTCCAGGATTTTCTTCCTTCCGTTCCCTCTCGTGTTTCTCCTTCACAAGGAAATACACGGAGATCAGGGGGCTGAAGGCATTGACAGGATCAGTACCCACCGTCAATGCTTCGGAAGATGGGTTGGTCAAGGTATCCCGGCTCATAGAGTTGCGTCTCTTGTAGAAGTCGAACACTCCGCGCTTCCGCTCCGTCTCCGGCGTCTTATCCTGTGATCGCTGCGCAGCCAGACGACAAGCGTTCTGGTATTCCTCCGACTGGATGATGTTGGTGAGCTGAGAGGTGATATACTCCGGCGTGCCGAAGTCAAAACCGGTCATCTTATCGATCACCTCGGAATCAAGAGGAAGCTGAAGCGGCTCTCTCGGAGGAAGGAAGTTCTCCGGGGGTGAGTTGAAGCCCTTAGTAATCCAAGGATGCGTCATAATCTCGCCGAGAGTGGCGCGCTGTTTGGGATCAGTGACGAGCATACGGGAAATTAAGTTTTTACACTCTGCGCATGATGTTAGTACTCGGATTCAGTGCAAACAGAGGGGACGAGACGAACCCGCACTGAGCCACGGCGGATACTCCACATGCCCCTTCTTAATCTTTGCGTGCAGCTGTGGCATACTCTGATCATCGAACGGCACTTTTCCACAAACCAAAACGTAAAGAACTATGCCAAAACTCCAGACATCGACTTCTGGCCCAGTATATTGCTTCGCTTGCAACAACTCGGGGGCCGCGAAGTAGAGACTGCCGCAAAAAGTCTTTAGCTGGCTGCGCGGGGAGAAGAGGTTGCTCAAGCCGAAATCAATGATCTTGATGTCGCCAGTCTTGCTGATGAGGATGTTCTCGATCTTGAGATCTCTGTGCACAATGCTGTTGCGGTGGCAGTAATCGAGCGCGCTGGCGATTTGGCGGGCGAATTTGCGCGCTTGCTTCTCCTTCAGCCGCCCGTGGGAGATGATGTAATCCAACATCTGGCCACCGTTGACATATTCGCAGAGCATGTACCAGTGATAGTGAGTCCTGACCACATCGCGCATCCCACAGATGTAGGGATGGTTGACGAGGGTCATGATAGCCGCTTCTCTGGCAGTGCGTACTTCCTTGGAGTGGTCCGCTCTCTCGCGATCAGCCTGATTACGGTGCTCGTCGGTGGACTGTCTGGGCACTATCTTGACGGCAACCTGAGACGCGGTGTCAGATTGGCGGCCACCACAAAAAATAAATGTCGTCGTCTTACCTGCTCGTTCGTTTCAGTGTTTCTAGCTAGCTTGACCTTGCCCATACTACCAGCGCCGACGGTTTTCCCAAGCGCCCATGTCCCCGTCTGAGCGGATATTGTAGTTCTTCTCCTGCCAGAGGTATTGTTCGCAGCCGGCGCCGGGCGGTGGCTGGGCTCCGCAGCAGCGGCAGCGCCATTGGTGGGAACGCCTGTGGCCGACGCGTCAGAAGTGTAGCGGGCGTGACGAGAGCGCGAGGAGCTGCGCTGACCGGTTTGGGAGGCCCGGTCCCGAGACTCGCTTCGGCGAGAGGAGGCCGGGCGGGCGACATTCGATGCCTCGTGGTCTCGCTTCGCTACAGCCTGAAGATGGGCCTGCTGGCTGGAGCTGGAGCGGCTGTGGCCCTGGGACTGCGAGAGCGAGCGGTGAGGGGAGACTGGTGGGGCTTGGGCGGTCGAGCGGACGGAAGTGGACTGGGCGCGATGCGGCGGACGGCCGCCCGCTGGGTTGTGAACCACGGCGGGCGACGCTGAGGCTGGCGCAGACATTGTAGCGGAGGCCGCAGGGAGCGGATAGAGCCGAGGACGGTGACAGACGGCTGGGGCTGGGGTTGCGTGGACGCGGACGGTCGGCGGTGCCGCAAGGTGGACGGATTAGGCGCGCGACCGTCGTAGCGCAACAGAGATGGGCGGATGCCGCAGCGGGCTGGTCGGCGCCTTTGGGGTGTTGGTATGGGCGCCGGCCTACACGGATTGGGAGGTGGTGGGCAGGAGACGAGCGTCGCAGGAGCCGGGCGGGGAGCTGAGGGCGCGTTTGTTTGCTGGAGATTAGCACTCGTAGTCTGTGGAGTGCCCGAGCTGCCCAGCGCCGTAGGAAGTCATGCGGCAGCGCGTGGCTGATCCGCAGGTGGTCGGTCGCAATTGGCAGGCTGCTCAGAGGGGTGTGCGGGTGCTGCGACGGTTGGGCAGGCGACGGAGCGTCTCAACGCGCGATGAGGGGTGGTAAAGGAGGGAGAGGCCGGCAGTTTGGGCTGCACTGGAGGCTGCCGCTGGTAGCACTGGCACCTACGAACACCTAGGGTCCCTGTTTCGCTGGCACTTGGCGCGGCGGAAACGAGCTGGCCAGCGTCATCGCCATCGCGACCGGTCGCCCACGCCCGAACCGCGCAAGATCGGCGCCGAGGGCCCGCCCGGCGCACGCCAAAGGTGGAAAACAGCTCCATCACCTCGACAAGCTCGCAGCCGTGCCTGGCAGCAGTCAGCACAAAGCACCCGCCCACCCCGACGCGCACGCCTCAGCCGACTCTCTGCGCCGCTGTCCCTGCCCGTGCCTGCCGCCTGCCTCGAAACTCCCCTGCAGCCCCGCCCTCCCGCCCGGCCATGGCGCACACCAAGCGTTCGCGCGCCGCCTTCGAGGCCGACCTGCAGCAGCACGAGTCGCCCTACGCCGTCGTCGGCACTCCGCTGCCGCCCCTTGACGAAAACACCCGCGACGACGGTTCCTACGTGCCGCTCTGGAAGCAGGAGGCACTGGACGAGCGCGGCCGCAAACGCTTCCACGGCGCTTTCACGGGCGGCTTCTCTGCAGGGTAAGCCTTCTGTGGCGTACGCCTCATTCCACCGTTATAGAGCAACGATTGTACGTCTAGCTAAGGTACTTCAACACGGTAGGCTCCAAGGAAGGATGGTCTCCGTCGACGTTCGTGTCGTCGCGGTCCAGCCGCCACAAGGACCAGAAGAAGACGCGCGCTGAAGATTTCATGGATGAGGAAGACCTGGCCGACCAGGCTGAGGCCCAGAAGCTGCAAACCAGTGGCGCATTTTCCGCACTGGGGTCGACCGGCGACGACGTGGCCCGCCGAGATGCTCTCATGGACATGGTCAAGACGGCCGGCGAGACAATTGGCTCAAAGTTGCTGCAGAAGATGGGCTGGAAACCCGGCCAAGGCGTAGGTCCGAAGGTTCGACGCAAGGCCCGTCTAGACCCAGATGATGAGGCCGACGGAAACCAGCAGACGCACCTGTTTGCGCCGGAGAACTCCCGAATGATCACCTTCGTACGGAAAAACGATCATAAGGGTCTCGGATACGAAGGGGAAGCCCGCCTTTCAGGAGCGACGAAATTGCCCAATGACCCCGACCGCGATGAAGACAGCGATAACGAACGTGATGCTGGCCCGCTGGGTGCATCGCGGAAATCCAACGTCAGGAAGCCAGCCAAACGAGGAGGCTTCGGAGTCGGCGTGCTGAATGATGACGGCTCCGGCGAAGAAGACCCCTACGAGATAGGACCGAAAATATCCTATAACCGCACCATCGGAGGGGACAAGAAGCTCAAAAAGAAGAAGGACACCACCAAGGCAGCTAGCGGTTCTGCCAATCCTCTTGTTAGCGCCAAGCCAGTCTTCATCTCCAAGAAAGCCATGAGCAAGAAGGCAGAAGGCTTCCGTAAATGTCATGATGGCAGATTGCCTCTTGAGGGCTTCATCCTCGCCACACAGGCACTGACTTTGTCTGACGGAGCAAAGTATGCACCTCCGACTATCCCAGAGGGTTGGTCTAGTTCAATGAAAGTAGGGAGTGGTCCCAAGCCGTCCGAGGGCGCCCAGTCCGTTACAGATGCCGCCAAGTCATCTACCCTGGATGCAAAGGCCCGCGCAGCTTTACTTGGGGAATCGGCTTTGCCAGGGAAATCGGTGTTCGACTATCTAAACCCCGCAACACGAGACCGGCTAGCTGCATCCACCGGCAAGGCGAACCTCCCCGAGGCCCGTGGCGAAGCCGCTCCCGAGGGTTTCCGCAAGACTGAAGCTGACCGCCAGAAGCAACTATGGAGCCTCGTGCCGCCTCTCGAAAAAGAGATCGCCGAGGGAGCGTTGAGCCGAGGCATAGGAGGCTGGATGCCGTATTCTGAGGACGAAAAAAAGAGAGCCAGATATCGTGGCTTCCTGGAGCTGCGGGCAGAACTGCGGGATGCTCTACCAGAGCGAGCTCCAGGAGCCTCCACAGACGACTGGGTCCGAGAGCTGCAGGAGTTTGCCCATGCAGCACGAGTTTTTCGGCCAATTAGTGGCATGATGGCGTCGCGCTTCACATCAGCGTCGAAACCGCCTGCGTCAAGTTCCGGGGAAAGTGCACCGGACACGCCACTAAGCAAGCCGGCCCCAAAACCGGCCGACCCCGCCGAAGAGGCAGCGAAGCTAGGGATGTATGGGCCGATGACTCGGCAGATCCTACAGTTCTACCCGACTCGTCTTCTGTGCAAACGCTTCAACGTGAAGCCGCCAGAGAACGTCCAGCCGGATCCAAACAATGCACCTGGGGATGCGGCGTCGACAGCTGCCCCCAACCGAGATCTGACGGTTGTGTCGCAGTCGGCAATACAGGAGATGATGCGCGAGAATGCTCTGAGACAACCGTATTCGGCGCCGTCGGACGGTGCCCGTGCAGCGGACGCGCAGCCCATGGCGGCGCCTGTGCATGCTCCAGTGGACGTGGAGCGGAACGAGGCATTGGAGTCAGAGAAGGCTGGCGATGCTGTCTTCAAAGCCATCTTCGGGAGCGACGACGAGGACGAGTGAATTGGAGCATCGGCGGAAAAGAGACAGTGCGTTGAGTAGGTAGCAACATGAAGGAACAACGATCAGACCTTGGTAATTTCTTCTTTGGGAGACCCTCTGCTCAGGTACGCGGCGATTGTGATTGGCCGTTGCAACAACGGATCGTATTCTCATCTCCCGCGCTCGTACTCCTCATGCGAGATGGGCCAATCAGCGATTCGTCGGCATGTTGCTTCAATCAAAGGCCGCAGAGATCTCATATCCACGTTTCCCGCTCTGGTTAACCGGTTCCGAACGCGACCGTTCGGACCCGGATTCGAGCGCGCCACCCTACGCCCCCTCCCACTCTTTTCACTCTCGGCTCGGCAAGCAACCAAGCGCGGTGTGGAGACGGCGACCAGACCGCCAACGACCCAGCAAACACCGTCGCCGAAATGCAGGGACTGCCTGTCGCGAGATGAGGCCATGTCGATCAACGAAAAGATCTCCACCTGGTGTGAGACAACATCAAAATCCGCAGCATCGAACTTCGTTCCTTCACAGGCCCGCGATCGACATTTAGTCTCAGCTCTGCACGCGTGACTTTCTTCGCTAAATCATAGCTCCAAGAGCACACTTGCGTGGCTGATTGATCGACATCACCAGATTTTTAGTCGTGCTCGTTCTTGATTTTTACTTATTTTACTTTCCGATACTCAGCCACATGAGTATTCTCTCTCTGTGCTCGGGTGCAATGGAAGTGCCTGGATCCCTTGGGTGCACAGGTTGCAGGAATTGGTCGCTGCGGTAGACGTGTGCTCGCTCTGTGTCAACACGGTTGTCGCGTGGGAAATGACGGCGCTGTCACTCTGTTCCGGTTACCTGGACCGTTAGCTGATTTTACACGTAAGACATGCTGAAATGCAACAGATTAGGAGTTTGGTCGACTTCTGCCCGTTTTTCTACTAAATCCATATTTGAGACAAATCAGCGTGATCAACGTAGGATAGTGAAAGGGTACGGAACATGACTGCGAAGGGTAAACTTGATTAGAAATACATATAGAAACGTCTGACATGAGTATTTGAGCCATGTGGAACTTTTACAAACGATGGGGCAGGGTATCTTGAGCTTCCGAGACGGTAGATACAGTCGAAGCGAGACCGACTTACTGTCCTGAGTCGAGAACGCGAATAGTAAATGGACTGAGGGGGAAAAGTGCGGGCGATCAGGTCATGAGCTGGCTTTATCAATTCGTTTAACGACAATTTCGATATACTTCGCTCTCTCGAATGCTGACTCCATTTTCAAATTCCATGTCCAGGACGTCAATGCCACCATCCGCCCCCGAGCATTTTGCAATTTCCCACTCACTAACGACAAGAAAATACCGACCTGGCTCCCTATGCAGATTTATCTTCATCAAGGCCTTTCGTCTTTCAAAAGTCGCTGGATTGATCAAAGTTGCGGATAAGATCATAGTAGAAGACCATGGCCTCGACATGCGAGAGCATTTCGACACGCTCATCGACAGTATGAGGATTGATTCTAGTACCCTCGCGGCCAGGACCGTAGCGGTAAATGTTCTTCGTGAGGTTCCAGTAATGTTGTGTGTCAGTGTTGCCCTGGTTCGCCAACGTTAGCTGGATGCTGCGTAAAGTTATCTTCAAGCAACAGCAAACAAGCTTACCATCATCATGTCACCAACCGGTACCACAGTTCTTCCTCCAAGGGACGGAATGTTCTCAAACGTTTGTCGAATAGTCCCGCTAAACAGCTTCCAGACTGGGTTGTCCAAGCTCGTCGAAGTGATGGGCGCCGGCTCAAGAGGCTGGTCCAAATCGAACGTCAGTTTTCCGATAGATTGGGTGGCCGGCTCTTCGACAGTGCCGAAAATGTTGAGAGCAAGACCATGTTTCTGCGCAATTGGCCGCAGAAGACCAACGGCCTTGTTTTTGATGTTCTCGAGCGGAGCGTCGTGTGCGGAGACACGGTAGTTGACTTCGGCGTGCACGCTCTCGGGCAGAGCGTTGACCTTCTTGCCGCCCCAAATGACGTCGGCCGCCTGCGATGTCTGGAAGATGAAGCGTTCCTCTTCCCGACTCTCGGCAAGACGTGCTCCCAGTACTTCTTCGTCCTCGTTCTTGGCGAGGGATTCCGCCAGCCATGGCTCGACCTGGTCGGGAGAATATTTGGCCTGGCATTCAAGTAGGTTGCGGAAAGAATTGTCACGCGCAAGCCGAGGGGTGTAAGGATGGGCTTCCAGCTCGATGAGAAGCTCTGCCATGATGCCAATGCCAGTATGCGGCGGCGGGCGCGAGCTGTGTCCGCCATCGACATCGATGGTAAGAATAATGTCAATGTAGCCCTTCTCGGTGACACCTGGCTTGGCGTAGACATAGTCTCCGAGGACGTCCAGGCCCATGCCGCCCTCGTCGACGATCATGGCGATGTTGTCTTGCCCCCACTGCTTTTCAAGCTCCACACCGAGCGTCTTCGCGCCACGCTTCCCGCCCGTTTCCTCATCAAACCCGAAGGCGAAAATGATGGTCCGTTTCGGCTTGAAGTTCTGCGCCAACAGATCCTCCATGACTGAGTAGAGGCCGATGAGGTTGTTTTTGCAGTCGACGGCACCACGACCCCAGAGGTATTCGCCGTCATAGTGCCCCTCAAACGGGGGATGTGTCCATTTCTCGACAGAGGTAGCAGGGACGACGTCTTGGTGTGCAGCAAGGAGAAGCGGCTTCAACTCTTTTGACGTACCCGGAAGCGTGTATATGAGACCATATGTGTTGACTTTGGTCAAGTTCATTTTCTCATGCCTGCATCACGTTAGGCTTGGCAACTAATAAGAAGATCAAGATTGTCGTAACATACACCAAGGGGAACATTTCCTTCAGTGTCACGTGAAGGTCATCGAATGGAGCCCAGCGAGGGTCCACATCGACGTCGCCGTTGTCATCGAAGCTCTCAGTGGGAATCTTGATAGCCGCAGCCATGCGCTCCACTTGTTTCAGGATATAGTCTTCCTCAAGAAACTTGAAGGGGTGCTCCAGTCCATCGTCAACCGGCGCGACTGGCTCGGGGATCGAGCACCAGGAGTCGTGATTGATTGTATCGACGTGGGGACTGGCTCCCCCACTTATGGTCCGAGGAACGCGAGCGAGAGAAGGAAGGTTGAACAAAAGAGCTCCAGTAAGCAAGGAAGCAGCTAGGGCTACGTTCCGCTTCTTGCTGGGCTTGTTACCGGTACGCACCGGCACAGGGACTTTCTCCATCTTTTCCATGGCGACCGTGCAGAATGGAGTGAAAGAGGGGGAGAGCTCATGGTGCCGGGCGAGCTCGAGTAGTTATCCCCACAGCCAGGGAGTAGCTGGTGACCGATGAAACGGCGAGATGTCGCATTTTACCGTACCTATCATACGCGTATGGACTCGGCCTTATCAAAGCACCCTGCGCTTTGGGTAATCAGCCGTCGAGAGTGGTGTAAAGAAAGCGCGGCTTCGGCTCCTTCGCTGATTAGGCGAGATAACGCCGCCGATGTTGACGATAAGACCTGCCCAACCACTGCTTCCCTTCTTCCATACTACGCATGCTTTGTAGGTGATGGCATCAGAATTCTTGGACACAGTGCAGCCTGCCGCTGAGATGAAGTGCTGATTTGTAGGAAGAAGGGCTCTGAAGGACAAGAGCCGAGCTCTCAAAGACGTCCACGGCAGAAAGGGCCTTCAGTATCGTAGGCTCACCCAGCTCCAGCCATGGGAGCTTGCTGTATCAGGACCATCTAGGTAAAACGGCGGATGAGAAAGCGAGGTGCAAGGTATTCAGCAGAGCGAAATGAAACACTGTACGGTAACGGTCTCGTCAAGCGTGGAGGAATGACCACGCCACGCGCGAGGAGGCGTTGTTGATGGATGGCGCATGACCCCGTGGCTACCGGCGAGAACTAGTACCTGACACGAGTTAGCCCTGGGTAGATTGCCCGACATGGTTGTTCGCGGGGAGAAGCTGCAGTCCGTGCGAGCAGAGTAGTAGTAGGTACCTAGCAACATGGACATCGGCCCGCGGCATGCACATCCCGCATTACCCGGCGTTACGTCATTTCCGTCATTCCCAGGCACCATGACTGCTCTTCTTAGCTTCCCGTCCCATTCAGACCACAAAAAGCCCTTCACGCCCCACCATCCGCATTTACCTCGACAGCTCTCCTCAGCATATACCCAATTGACCCCCAAACATCTCAAACACCAGCCATGGATGTATGTGAAGCTCTGTTTGGCATCCAGCGACTTCATGCTGAATGCACCATCTAGGTCTTCTACGCCTACACGTTTGGCACAGCCGGGTGGATGGCCGTTCAGGCTACGCCAATGATCGTGTCGCCCACCATGATCGCAGCCTTGCTCTCCCCGCAGGTCCGCGAAGCGACGAGTAAGACCCTCCTTCCAGCGCATACTGCGCCACGCCCAGAGCGACCACCCGCAGACCTCACTGATAACCCGTGCTTCTAGCCCTCGAGATCTACTTCTCGCGCTCCCTCGGCTTCTCGCTCATCACGCTGGGCATCCTAACCGTTCTCCTCACCGGCTCGGTGCCGCTGTCCTCGCGCCTTAGCGGCTGTAAGCGCTCCACCTGCACAGTCTCTTGCGTTACGCAAACCCTCCCATTGTCTCGCGAAATCCTGCGCATGCTGACGTCACTTTTCTCTTGATTCAGCCGCCGGCGGCGCAACAACCGACCCTAACGACCCGAAGGCGCCGTACGCGCTGCCGACGTTGACGGTGACGACCCTGTACCACACGGCCGCCGCCTTCTACATGTACGGCATGTGGACCGAGACGGCTGTGACCTCGTTCGCCTTCGGCGTGGCCGGTAGCACCGTGCTGGCGGCCGTGGGCTTGTGGTGCATCCTGTTCGCCAGCAGCGACGGCCGCATCAGCCGTAAGACGGGCGCCGACAAGCGGACGAGCGGGTGGCCGTTCAAGAACAACGAGGCGGACAAGAGGAAAGCGAGGAAGTCTAGGTAAATGCTGCGGGTGAGCGACGATTGGTGGCATTGATGCATTGCTATCTTCGTTGTCAAGAACACCGGTTCCATTGCAGTTGAGTCATGTCTGATTTCTCTACCCCGTTATGCATGGGTTGGCGTACGTTCATGAACAGTTCAGGCGTGAGGAAAGTGGCTTTGGTAGTAAATTTTCCAGGGCTTCTCCCCCAAACATCAAGACCTGATAAATTGATGTGCTAACCCGATGTCAGCAATTCTAACAAGACCACCTGATTGCACATGCGAGTATGCGCTAACACGGCACCAATGTCCGTTTTGCCGTTAAATGTGGTATCTTTTGATCCTCACTCTCGTGGCGCAGCATTCGAGCTTGCGAGGTAGCTCACACGTTGCCTCCCCTCACCAATTGCTGCTGGTATCACCAAAGCCGGTGCGTACGCATGTCCATAATGCGACGATGCAAAGTGCCTCCCGAAACGCCCAAACTATGCCTTTCCCCGAAATTTCAAACACAAGACTTCCAGACCTGAGATTTCGGGGGTGTATTCCTGTTTTCCTGCCTGATCCTCAAGTATCGCGGGCATGAAAGCCTACAGCGTGAGTCTCTTCTCCTTCTGGAAACCCTCGACCAGACCCAGCATGGATTTCGCCGCCACGGAGTCATGGCCTTGCGGGAACTCGATGAGGCCCTTGCGCAGCGCGGCGAGGGCGGCCTGGCCGTAGCACTGGACGAAGCGGTCGAGCGAGTCACCCTCGACCATGGCCTTGAGTACCATGTAGTGCGTGGCCGTTGCCTCGTGCGGCGGGGTGTTGACGATCCGCGAGAAGGCGCGCCAGTAGTGCGCGTTGGGCAGCGGGTGCACGAGCGCGCTGCCGACCTTGATCTTGCGCAGCGCCAGGCTGGCCCATCCGGCGCCCAGTCCCGTCATGCGTTCGAGATGGTCCTGGCCCGAGCACCACTTCGTGCCAATGCGCCTCCAGCCGAGCCGCTGGCGGCCGCGCTCGCTGTTCTCCGGCCCGTACATGCCGAAGAGCACGCCGCAGCACTTGTGGTACTTGGCCAGCAGGATGTCGGTGAGCGGGACCTTTTGATTGATGCAGTACTGCGGGAAGCCGAGGATTGAGACGGCGATGATGCCGATGGGGTCGGCGGCTTTGATGTTGACGCCTGCTTCACTGACGAGCTGGTTGATGATGGCTTTTGCAAAGTGGTTGAAAAGAAAGATTAAGAGTGCGGAAATGTTGCAAGGGCCGGGTGGTAGCTCGGCTTGTGTGGAAGAAGCGAGGAATTGCTTGACGTCAACCGTAAAGCAAGGCGTATTGACCGCTGCAGTGAAGCATGCGCGAAGGTGTTGAAGCTTGAGGAGAGCGCACAGTCAGTAGTCATTATCCCGATACCAACGGTTCCCTTCTCGAGACTTACCACATCCCTGTTTTCCCGGGGATTGAGAGTGAGTTGTCCCATCCGCATGCGTATCTCACGGCGAAGGTCGCCCGCAATTTTCTTCAGGGCAGCGTTGTTCTTCGTCTCATTCTGGAAGTTTGTCCGGAAGGTCTTTAGCTGCTGGTGGATATTGAGGTACTCCCTGTGAACCGCCTCATGCTCTGCGAATGAGGACACCAATGGTGAATTAGAGGCCGCCAATGGTGGTGCTGGACGTGCCGCCGTTGTTGGTGCCGCACCGCTCGTCACAGCTGCAGCTACAGCTGGTGCTTGTTGTGTTTGAGCAGCTTGTTGTTGTTGTGCTCTGGCCTTCGCTGCGGCGTCTGCGGCGGCCGACTCCTCCCTTTCTTTCCGCTGCCGCTCCTCTTGCTCAGCCTTTCTCTTTGCTGCGTCGGCTTCCTCTTGAGCCTTTTGCCTCCGAAGACGCTCCTCAGCTGCCTCAAGAGCTTTCGCTGCTTCAGCCGCTTTCCGCTGTTCCTCTTCTTTCCTCTTGACCTCGTCGAGTTGGCGCTGCCGTCTTTCAGCCTCAATACGAGTATTTTCCTGGCGTATCCGGTCCAGCTCCCGGTGTTCGTGCTCTTCCCTCCTTCTTCTCTCCTGCTCCACTTGAAGGCGGAATTTTTCAGCAACGCGCTCGGCGCTCTGTCTTACACGCTCATGCTCGGCTGCGGCGGCGGCCAAGGCTTCGAGGTGCTTCTTCTCCTGCTCGGCAGAGGCGCGATCGAGCTCCTTGTGAAATTTGGCGTCGTTGTCAATCAGCATGCGGCTGAACTCCATGAGCAGCTGGCGCGACGGGCTGTCATGGGTCGGGGTCTGCGAATCGACTCTGCGTCGGGCTTCCTCGAACAGATGCTGCTGCGACGAGTCGTCGCCATTCTGGGCCGGCGTCTCCATAGGATCAATGGGGTCCATGGGTAGCGACAGCGCGGGGGTCACTCTTGGAGGTCGGAAGCGGGCGGAGGCGCAATTGGACGCGTTTCGACGCGCAGAGTGTATTCAGGTGAGGTGGTAGCGTCTTGCATGCGGTGACGCCTGGGCTGCCCGTGTTCTGCGCCGAGGTGAGGGCGCGATGTTGCGCGGATGCGGTCAGCGCTGCCGGACCATCGGGCGTAACTTTGGCGGTCGGAGGTAGTGCGATACGACGGAGGGTAGCACTGGAAGTGCTTGGGCGTGGTTGACGCGAAACGCGAATGGTCGAGGGTGCGGTCGTGTACGAGATTTGTTTTCGCATTACATAAGCACACGGATCCGGTAATATCGCTTTGTCCCACATGCACGAGCACGCGGGACTGGCAGCACTGGCCGGAGGAGGGCTTTGACAGCTCTGGTACCGCTCGGCAGATGCGGTTACTCGCGCTCGTGTAATTTTCGTGCTTCTGCGCTTGCAGTGGCCCAGGTTTCTGCTCCGTAGCAGCAGCATGGCTTCCACGGTGCCATTGCCCCCCCCCTGGTTGGCCGTTTTGACTGTAGCTTCTCCCGTGCAGCGTGTGCTCCACAGCGACAGCAGTTGCTGCAGTGTTTTTGCAGCACGTACGGTCGTGCGCGCGGGCGTGCTTCCCCTTCGCCTCTGCCACCCAGCGTCCTGTCCGGCGGCTCTGCGCTCGCGATGGCTAGATATCGTCACCGGTGGCTTGTGCGGCGTGATAAGCCGGCCGTGACGGGCCTGACGGGATCCAATGCGGCAATGCAATATACAGGCAACGCCCTCGTCGCGCGATGAGCGCATCGCGGGCGCGCGGCAGGTATTTGGAGGCGGCAGGCCGGCAGCACGGCGATCGGCTGCCTTAGTCAGCGGTTTCGTGTCGTCATTCCGGCCGTACTCGTGGCCGCCCGCGTCCGAGCGGGCGGGCTCCAGCTCCCAGCTCTGACGAAAGGCGTGCGCCGCATGCAGCGAAGCGCCCCCTGCTGCGGTGGGCGCGCCAGCACAAAGGACACCTATGGGCGGGCCGAAAGCTCAAGCGGCGGCTTGGGGCGCTGCATCCCCGGGCTCTGGCCTTGGTCCAGATATGGAGCTGTGTGATGGCGCAGCTCCCCGCCAGCCCGCTGCCGGACGGCGCTGGCAGGAGGGGGCGCCCAGCAGCAGCGCCCGCCGCGCCGCGTGCCCGGGCACTTTTTGCCTGCGCGGCGTGCTCGTGGCGGCGCCGTGCACTTGCTGATACTGCTGCTGGAGGTGGTGCTGTGGAACGCTTTGGCCCTGACTCGCGCGATCGCGGGTGACGATTGAAAGCGTGCGTGAGCGGATGCCGCTTTACCTGGAGCCTCGCCTAGCCGGTCTTTCAACAGCTGCTTTCCATCGCACCTTTCTCGCCATCCTCACCCTCCTTTCATCCCCCTCCTTCCGCCACCAGCTCCTTCCCTCCACACTCTCTGCAACCCCCGCAGCACCCTCTCCTCGCTGCCTTGCGGTCGACTTTTCGCCCGCCGACCCGCTGCGGAAGCCACACACCCGCTCCTGACTGGCAGCTCGCCCGCCTGCAACCCAATCCTTACGGACTCGCCTTCCTCATCGCTCACTTAGACGTTTTTGCGACCGTTGTTGGCACCCTCACGAAGGCATCCCTCTCTGTCACCGTCCAAGCGCGTTACCCGACGCATCCTCTGCCCGAGCTCCATCCCGGGCACGCGCCTGCCAGCACGCCCATCATCGGCTGCTTATTCGCAACCCAACAGAGCTGCAAGCACCGCTGCTCGTGAGTCCCGTCCATTTCGCTTGCTCCCGCTAGTTCCGGCTCGACCTACTGACGGCCCAGTCCGCGACCTAGATCTTCTGCCCACTCCTGAACACCGACCACCGACCATCCCGGGTCGACCCCGCCTGACATCTCAGCGGAGCACAGCGTGCATCAACCCCTCGTAGGTGCGCGAGATGGACCCTCAGGGAAACAATGGCCCCATGGGCCCGGCAGGTCGCCGCCTGCACATTGCGCATCGCCGCAGCCCGTCTGAGCTGACGCCCCTCATGAGTACGTACTCTTTGCCCCCCACGCCCGAATCACGTTTATTGCGCTGCAGACCACTCAGACGCCTTGTACGCCACTACTTTGACATGGCTAACGTTGCATGGCTTCTTCCAACCTACAGTGGAGCAACTTGCCATCGCCCAACAGATCGAGGCTCTCCAGCAGCAGCAGCAGCAGATTGCTGCTACGCATCAGCAATATGTGAACATGGGCATGATCCCGCCGCAGCAGCACCTTGCCGGCCAGCAATTCCAGATGCAGGGCCAGATGCAGAACATGCAGCAGCCGAATGCCTTCCAATTCGCCCAGCAAGGTCAGCAACACCTCGGCGTCCCCATGAACGCGCCCATGCAGGGCAACGCCCCCCACCGCCGCAACCAGTCTGCAATGCCGAACATGACAATGGGTGGCCCCCCTCCTGCTCCCTCTGCCGGTACCTCCGGGTTCAGTGAGTTCCAGCAGCAACAGCAGCAGCAGCAGCAGCAGCAGCAACAACAGCAGCAGCAGAACCAGAGCCGGGAGAACGTCAACCCCCGCGGCGCTCGCGGCTCGGTTGGCGGTGGACACACTCGTCGTCACTCGTTAGCTCTTCCCGAGGCCAAGAAGGCTGCCGAGTTGGCAGAACAGAAGAGGAAGACTTCTGGTTTCCAGTTCCCGATTCCTGGCGCAGCTGGCGCTGGTGCGGAACGCTCTGGCAGTCCCGCTAGCGGCGAGGCCCCGCCGAAGCCGGCCGGCCGCGCCATGGGACATGGTCGCAGCCAGAGTATGGCTGTTGGCAATGGCCGGGGCGGCCCTCGTGGTGGCGGCAACTTCCAGTTCCCCGCATCTCAGGGTGCTGCCGATGGCGCAGCCAACAACGACTTCCAGCGTCGTGGCTCTGGCCACACCCGCTCCTCATCCAGGAACTTTGAGGGCAACTGGAGGCAGCCCCAGAACCAACAACAGCCACAGCAGGGCGTCCAGGACCAACAGAACAGCAACATGGGCAATTTCAGCCTGAACCAAGCCACCGGCGCCGCTCCTTTCCAGCCTGGCCACCGCCAGCGTGCTTCCATGAGCCAGTCTGTCAGTTCGATTGGCAACTTCCAGTACAACCCTCAGCCCCAGCTTCTCCAGCTGCCTCAGGGTCAGCTCTTGATGCAGCCTCAGATGTTCAACCAGAACCTCAATCCTCTTCAAATTGCCCAGCTTCAGGCTCTTCAGGCTGCGCAAATGAACGGCCAGGGCATGGGTGGCCTGCAGGGAAGCCAGCACGCCCCCCAGATGTCCATGCAGCAGCAGCAGTCGCAGCAGCAGCGTAAGACGCTTTTCACTCCTTACCTTCCTCAGGCCACTCTCCCTGCTCTACTCAGCGACGGGCAGCTTGTTGCCGGCATTCTACGTGTCAACAAGAAAAACCGCAGCGACGCCTACGTCACTACCCAAGATCTTGATGCCGATATATTCATTTGCGGAAGCAAGGATAGGAACCGTGCCCTTGAGGGCGATTACGTTGCGATCGAGCTCCTTGATGTTGATGAAGTTTGGAGCCAGAAGCGTGAGAAGGAGGAGAAGAAGAAGCGGAAGGACAACACCGACCGCAGTAGCAGTATTGCCGTCAACGACGCAACGACGCAGCCCGAAACTGGTGCCGAGGGCGGCATCCGGAGACGTGGCAGTTTGAGGCAACGCCCGACCCAGAAGAAGAACGACGATGTTGAGGTCGAGGGTCAGAGCCTGCTCCTCATGGAGGAAGAGGAGATCAACGACGATCAAAAGCCGCTCTATGCCGGTCACGTCGTTGCCGTCATTGAGCGCGTTGCGGGCCAGATGTTCTCTGGTACCCTGGGTCTCCTCCGTCCCAGCAGTCAAGCTACCAAGGAGAAGCAAGAGGCCGAGCGCGCGGCTCGCGAGGGTGCCTCCGGCCGGCAGCAGCCTGAGCGTCAGCAGGACAAGCCTAAGATTGTTTGGTTCAAGCCTACCGACAAGCGTGTCCCCCTGATTGCTATTCCTACCGAGCAAGCTCCTCGCGATTTCGTCGAGAGGCACCAAGACTACGCCAACCGTATCTTCGTCGCTTGCATCAAGCGTTGGCCCATCACCTCGCTTCACCCCTTCGGTACGCTTGTTGAGCAACTGGGTGAGATGGGAGACCTGAAGGTTGAGACGGATGCGCTTCTCCGCGACAACAACTTTGGTCCGGATGACTTCTCCGATGCTGTTCTTCGCAACGTCGGTTTCGAAGACTGGTCGGTCGCCAATGACGGTGAAGAGGCTCTTGAGAGCCGCCGCGATTTCCGCGCTGAGCAGACCTTTACCATCGACCCCAACGGCAGCAAGGAGCTCGACGATGCCATTCACTTCAAGACTCTTGAGGATGGCAACCTGGAGATTGGTATCCACGTTGCCGATGTCGCTCATTTCGTCAAGGCCAACTCTCTCGTTGACCGTGAGGCCAAGAAGCGCGGAACCGCTGTTTACCTTATGGACCGCACGGTGAACATGCTGCCTGCCAGGCTTGGTTCTGATATCCTTTGCCTGAGCCCCGGCGAGGAGCGTTACACCATCAGTGTTGTGTTCAAGGTCGACCCGGCCACTGGCAACGTGTTTGAGGATGACACGTACATTGGCAAGGGTGTGATCAAGAGTTCCGGCAAGCTCTCGTACGAGCAGGTTGATGCCATCATTGGCGGCCGCAGCTCATCTGAGCTTGGCGATAAGGAGAAGGACATTCAGAACCTGCACTCGATCGCGCAGAAGTTCCGTGAGGCTCGCTACGGCAACCGCACCACGAACATCCCGCCGCTTCGTCTGCTCTACCAGCTGGATGATGAGAATGTCCCCGTCGAGGAGAACATCTTCAGCAGCTCTCCATCGCATGAGCTTATGGAGGAGATCAGCCACAAGGCCAACGCCGCTGTGGCACACCTGATCCACGCCAAGCTCGGGGAGAAGGCTCTTCTCCGCCGCCATGCGGGCCCCAACCCTCGCCGGCTGCAGACTTTCGCTGATAGAATGTCGGCCATCGGTTATGAGTTTGACCCGACCAGCAGCGGCACGCTGCAGAGCAGTCTGTTCCAGGTCGAGGACGCTGTTGTCCGCCAAGGTATGGAGACTCTCCTTGTCAAGACGATGCAGCGGGCCAAGTACTTCGTGGCTGGCAAGCAGACTGAGGACTTGTGGTCTCACTACGCGCTCAACCTGCCCATGTACACGCACTTCACCAACCCGTCGCGGCGGTATGCGGACATCATTGTGCACCGCCAGCTCGAAGCTGCGCTGTCCAACGGTGCGATTGAGTTCACCGAGGACATTGAGTCCCTGAACAAGACTACGGAGATGTGCAACACGAAGAAGGATTCGGCGCACAATGCACAGGAGCAGAGCGTCCACATCGAGTCCTGCCGTAAGATGGACAAGAAGCGGCAGGAGGCCGGCGGCGACCTCATCTCCGAGGGTATTGTCCTCTGCGTCTACGAGTCGGCGTTCGACGTTCTCATTCCCGAGTATGGCTTTGAGAAGCGTGTGCACTGCGATCAGCTGCCGTTGAAGAAGGCCGAGTTCGACAAGAACAAGCGTGTGCTCGAGCTCTACTGGGAGAAGGGCGTTCCCTCGTCGACGTTCATTCCGGAGGATGAGCGTCCCAAGCATGGGTCGGTGCGCGGCAACAACGCAGTTCTCGCGGCGCGCGAGGCTGAGGCGGCCAAACAGGCGGCCAAGGAGAAGGAGGAGGCTCAGCGGCGTAACATGGACACCAACACCATGTCGGCTGACGATGTGGATGCTCTCTTTGACGATGACGACGATGCGGTGTCGGACCTTGCCGACATGACGTCTGGCGTCTCGCTCAACCAGACGGGTGCGGACCGCCCGACGCAGAGCATGCCTCCGTCGCCGACGCGGACGGGCCTGATGGCTTCGGACCACGCTCCTCACCGCACCAAGTCGGACCCGAAGATTTCGCAGAGCGCCAGCGAGGGCATCGAGTCCAAGCTGAGCAACAAGGAGAAGTACCTCAAGCTGTTCACTCTCCGCGAGGAGAACGGCGACTACATCCAGGACGTCAAGGAGATGACTCGTGTGCCGGTCATCCTGAAGACGGATCTTACCAAGAGCCCTCCGTAAGTAGTGCCTCGTTTGGGGTAGTGAGATGTTGCTAACAAGTTTGATAGATGCCTGACGATCAGGTCTCTCAACCCGTACGCTCTTTAAGCGGGGCTGGGACCAGAAGCGTTCTATCAGCTGGAAGCTTGCGGTATGGGGCGAGGGAACAGATAGAGCGGAGGCTCGGACTGTGCTCGCTTTGCTTTGTACACATTCTTCGGAGCTGTACATAGCCTGTGCAGACCAACGGACCATTCCTTAGGGGGTGGGGTGGAGGACAGGACGGGGGCCGCTACTTTTATTCACATGGACGACAACATGGCTAGGACGGAGCGTTGCGGGCGGCCTCAGTGGGCAAAAGCGTCGCAATTTGCGAAGGAGCGATCAGATTGCGTAATGGAAGAAAAAGAGTGGTTTTTATGCGCAAGTGGTAGAGGTCGGCGGGGGATGGCGTGTGCATGGGGGCGTATGCTGTTAATGAGTCGAGTTTTAGGCCCAAATAAGTAGTCGAGCAGCAATAATGGTTAGACGATCTTGCGTTCGACGCGTGCCGGCTCCCGGACAAGCTTAATCTTAGGCTTGCGCTGGCAACGATGCGCTTGTCTTTTTGCGGGGCGCCGTGGCCCTGCGGCGGGGAGTGTGTCGCGGGGCGCGCAGCAGCCATCTGGGCAGCTTTCGGAAGGGGGGGCTTCCCTTCGTCTCCCTTTGGGCGTGGGGCAATGCGCTGGATGGGCGGCTTGGCCACGTTCCGCCTTGATGGGGCGGCAGCGGTTTCAGCCAGTGGCCCTCGCGTCGCAGGACCCCCGGCATGACACGCTCAACACCACACCCGCCAACCAATGGCCCCCCTCCCCACCGCTTGCGTCGCGGAGACAGCTACGGCGCCGCGCCTGCAGCCGATGCAGATAGCCTTCCCGCATCTGAAAAGCTTGTCGCAACCATCAGATTGGGTGCCTCCGCGCGGATGCAGAGGCTTCCGCGAGCAAGCCGTCTCAGCCCGGCGTATAAGTCTCAACTCTCCCTCCCAGGGACCGACATCTCCTCGCTTGGCAGCTCAGGTACAGCGGTCCCCTTAATACCACCTCCCGCTTCTTATATTCACTTCGTCCCGGAGCCCGTCCTCTTTCCTTCCTGAGGCTCCATTCCTGCTGCGCAGCTTAATTCTTCCTTGCCATTCGCTCTTTTCTTTCTTCCTCTTCCACGTCCCTGGTCGGACTACCATTCCTTCGAACGACAGCGACGACTCCCTTGCGCTTTGACAGCGAACCTCGCGATCCTTGAACCTACAGCTTCACCTAATTCACCAACCATGCCGAGCATAAGGAAGATCATCCGGGCCATCTTCGTCCTGGGCCCCGTCGTGTCCAACGCCGCACCCATTTTCGGCTGGGGTCTCCTGGCCCGCACCGACGAGGAAAGCAGCTATCCCGCACCCGCAGAAGACCCTGCCGCCGCCGCTGCCACTCCAGGCGTTGCTTCTACGCCCGCTGCCATGGCGACGCCTGCTGCTGAGTATTCTGTTGCTGCTGCTGCCGCCGCCGCCGAAACACCTGCGGCGGTCGAGACTCCCGCGGCCGAGACTCCCGCGGCTGATGCTGCTGCTGCTGCTGCTGCTGCTGAGGCTTCGGCCACTGAGGCGGCCGCAGCAGCAGCAGAGACGACCGCCGCCGCCGCTGGCGCCCTCTCCGACATCGACATCCTGCAATTGTAAGCAACCTGGTTTGCCTCCCCATGAGACAAGCATGCTGATCCCTCAACAGCGCCCTGACCGCCGAGCACCTGGAATCCGAGTTCTACAAGCAGGGCTTCGCCAAGTTCCCCGCATCCGACTTCACGGACCTGGGCCTCACCGAGGACGACGTGACGGCGCTGCAGCAGATCGGCAGCACCGAGGCCACGCACGTGTCGACGCTGCTCTCGACCATCGCCAGCGGCGGCACCCAGCCCGTCGCCCCGTGCGAGTACGAGTTCGGCCTCACCGACGCCTCGACGATGCTCAAGACGGCCCGCATCCTCGAGGCCGTCGGCGTGTCCGCCTACCTCGGCGCCGCCCCGCTCATCAGCGACCCCGCCATCCTCAGCGCCGCCGCCTCCATCGTCACCGTCGAGGGCCGCCACCAGACCCTGATCCGCAAGGCCGCCGGCGCCGAGCCCGTCCCGTCCGCGTTCGATACCGCCCTCGGCCCGAGGGCCGTCTTTACGCTCGCGTCGCAGTTCATCAAGAGCTGCCCGGACGGTTCCAACCTCAACGTCCAGGCGTTCCCGTCGATCGACCTGGGCGGTGCGACCAGCGCCATGGCGGGCCAGAGTCTGGTGCTCGAGGATCCCGCGCAGCCCGAGGGTGCACAGTTTTGCGCTTTTATGAGCAAGTAAGTTTTTTTTCAACTTCTTCCCTCTTGTTCTTTCTCCCTGGAGTATAGCTCTAACGTTGATTCAGTGGCGGCGTACAATTCTCTTCATTGGCGAACGGTAACTGCGAGGTCCCGCAGGGTTTGATCGGCGAGACCTTCATGATGGTTACGAAGCAGAAGGGTATCACTGACGATGATGTCCTTGCTGGGTAAGTCTTTACCCCATTGCTCCCTCCTTACCCATGCAAATACTAACCAATAATCTGTTTAGGCCTTCCGTTCTTGAGATGTCATAGATTTTGCTCCCTTCTTCCTTCAAGACTTAATCATTTCTTCAGAAGCCGCGTAAGATCCCGTGGCAGCAGGGGTAGCAACGCGAGACGTTGATAAGAGATATAACTTTTTGTCACTCATACACCCTCATGCCGGGATTGAGGGGAAAAAAGAGGAGGGAAAGCAGGGGATTATGCCAGGGAGGCTGGCATTGGATCAGTAACGCGTATGAGGAAATGGGGTGGATCATTTATCGGGCAGGGCAGGAACTTTTGCCCTGATTGCCTCTTCTTTCTATGCTTACTGATCCAGGGGGAGGGCTGTCACCATTCTACTTCTTTTCTTCTTCTCGTTACGACAAAGATGGCTCTCCCATTGTTACGTCTTCATCCTTCTTTTTCTTTGTCTTTTTCTCTCGAGATACCAAAACGTTGCGCAGACAACGATAGGGGAATCCCTCTCATGTGTAATAGCATAACATCTAAAGAAGCAAAAAGGAAAAACTAGATCCATTCAAGAAAAAAATGCACGCACACAGACAGACAGACAGACAGACAGTGAATAGCGGCCAGAGAAACCTTGTAACAGATCGACCAGGGGGGCTGGACATCGATCCTGCATTATCTCTCATTTCGGCGTGCTGTACAGCCGATGCAGAGATGGCATATGTAGATACTAATCTCGTCTCACAACGCGAGTGATCTACAAGGTCTGAAGTGGGGTTGGGGGGCGGGGGGGCGGAGCGAGAGATCGGTGCAGCAGTGCTGTAGCAAGGGGAATTAACACCGCACCCTGCAACGTCGGTTAGGAGAGAGAAGGAAAAAAATTTCCGTCGGTTGCCTCGCCATCTTTTTTTCGATCTTTTTTTTTTATCCATGCTTCCTTGTACGATTACACGATCCTACTCTTTGCCTCTCGATCTTTCTTCTACCCCGGCGCTTTGAACCCGCCACATATAAGGATTTTCGCCGACCACTCATATCATGCAAGCACTACGATGCCACCATCCGCGAAACAGTAGGTGGGCTTTCCCACCACCACAACCAACCGGCCATGCCTACCGCCATGGCGCCTTGACCTCGTCCGATGATCCCATTCCCCCCTACCCCATCAAAAAAAAAAGCCCAAAAATGTCTGTTTGTTGCCCGAGGCCAGCCAGCCCGCTGTTGAAGAACGACAAGCCGCGCGCACTGCATAGAAGATATCACACAGAATGGAAATACCTAATTTAGCCTAGTCTACCTCACCAGCATATATTTAGTCTCTTATCGTTAGGGCCCCTGAGAGGAGTCGATCCATCGGATTCAGACACCCCGCCTCTTTCCTCCGCCAGACCCTTTCCTGATCCGCCGGACCTTGGGGATGAGACGAGGGAAACGAACCATCTACCGTCGTGTGCGTCCTGGAGATGGCTGGCTGGCTGGCTAGCAATTCAGCATTTATGCTCCCCGTTCGGCTCAAAAGGCTGCGGGTACGTGAACTCAAAAAAAAAAGGGAAAGAAAGGAAAAAATAGGATTGGCAGCGGAGCGTAAGTGCCGCAGAAAGAGACGGTTTGGTCGCTGATGCGGAAGCAATCACAGAGTCGCTCAGGGAGCACAGCGGATCGCCAGGAAGATGTATTAGATTAAGAACGATTGACCAAGAGCGTGAATTGTGTTGCCAAACAGTTCAAATGACTGGTCCCAACACACTCGGTATGAAGGCGCCGGTTTGAGCAATGGCCGGATTTTGGACCTTTTTCTCGAGATTCATAAATAATATTGCGTAGCATGTGTGTGAGTGAGATGGACAAACGCAGACCTTGGAGCTGACTGTACTATGTATTGAAGTCTATGTATCTCAAGAAGTCTACGGACATTTCTCCATCAAGAAAATAAGAAGTGGTTTCGAGTCATCTGGAGGCTCCTGATTTTTTGATCCTATCCTACATCCAGAATACCAGCGGTGCCGCACTAGATAGGTTGCGGGAAGATGGAAAGATAGGGCAGAAAGAAAACAAAAAGGAAGGAGAGGAGCATCACAGACGCTACCTTCCGACAGCGGCTTCCGAAGCCTTCAAGCTACCAACGACAGAGAAGCATATGAGAGGCGAGATGACATACGAGAGCTAACAAGTCACAATTGTGGTCAGTCTTCACTCACTACGCATGCATAGGGTAGGGAGGATGGGGCACTGGGACACAACTCACCGTCAAAAACTTCGCAATCGACATCTTCTCCCTCTCATCACTCCCGTTCACATCGGCCAAGGCCGTCAGCTTCAGCGCCGGCGGCCCCGCCGGCATCAGCATCATGGCAAACCACAAGATGGGATCCTCGTCGAGGACGTTGGTGCGGGTGGCCAGGGCCCACACGAGCGGGATGGAAATCAGCGGCCACAGCACATATCTGACGAAGGTGATGATGGCGAACGGCAGCCACGGCACGTGGCCGCTCTCCTGGCCGGCCTTTTGCTTGCGCAGGCTGGCGCAGAGCTTGACGCCGACGACGACGACCTGCAGCGCGGCGAACAGGTCGCCGACGTTCTTGAGCGACGACGTCAGCCACGCCTTGAAGTAGCCGCCGGCGTCGGGCGCGGAGAAGAAGAGCCGGTGCAGCGCGGGCGTGAGGCCGATGAGGCAGCCCAGCAGCGCGCCGATGACGGGCGCGTTGGCGAACTGGTAGACGAAGCTGAGGGCCGAGCGCGCCCACGGGGGGAGCTTGGAGAGCTCGTGGGCGCCGCGCCTGTAGGCCTTGCGGCCGGCCTTGTTGCCCCTGCGCGTGACGGAGTCGGGTAGGAGCGATGTATCTTCGGTGGCTTGCTCACCGTTGTTGTTGTTGTCGCTGTCGTCGCTGTCGTTGTCGGACGATGACACGGCGGCAGGATGCTGCTGGGCTGGCTTGAAGCGACCGTCTTCGACGTCGTCGGCGCCATTCTCGTCATCACTGGCATCGTCTTCGTCGTCTTTGCCGTCGTTCCCTTGTTCAGGAGCGTCCTCTTCTTGGCCATTGAGCAGGCGGGGGCCGAGTGCGAAGGTCAACGAGTTGCTGACGATGGCATTGACAAGGAAGTACGACTTTGCGCGGTCAACGACGTCGTCGGAGCCGTCAAGGGCCGAGAGCACGCCGGTGGCGCTGAGGGACTGGACGAGCAAGAGCGGCAGGGATGTGGTGTTGTTGAAGGCAATTGCCGGCGTCACCCACGCGGGGAACTTGAAGATGCGGGTGCACAGCACGCCAAGAGCAATTGAGATGACGTTGTACACAATGGCGAAGACTGCAGGCATCTGTCAGGGATGGATCACTCTTGTCAAGTGACGGGTGCGGACTGACGGAGGATGGGGATGTATTTGGCGCCGCTATCGAGACTGAGCTGCGAGCCAACATTGTGGATCAGCAGGGCGGGCAGGAACAGGCGCACGCATGTCTTGGAGATGTCTTTGGCGGAGCTTTCGGAGATGAGGTTGAAATTGCCAGCAACTGCGCCGTAGAAGATGGTCAGCAGAACGGCGACCGAGGCCTGCAGGGCGGCCAGGAAGACAGTCAGGATGCTGGAGGCCATTGGATGGGGAGATTGGTGGGGGAGCAGGCGCGACAAAGAGGCGGGCGTAGTGGTTATCAGGCACGCCAGCTGAAGGCCCAGACGCGCGCGGGCGTCCAAGGCTACGTCATATTCGAGTGGCCATCCTTGGTTTCTTCCGTAGCTCGCGTTGGCATCGACATCTAGCAACAAGTCGTTCCTATTGATCAAGCTGCCAAGCCGGCTTGGATTTCGTCAGGGGGGGCTTGGTGTTGGGCGTTAGCGGTCGTGTTCTGGTCAACGTGACCGCGGAGTCTTCGCGTCGCTGCCCCCAACCACTTGCCCCACCGCGAAGCCTGGCCAGCCCACCTCGCAACACATCATCGCCATCATCTTGGCGACCATCCCCCGGCACGCGCTTGCACTCGCAGAGAAATCGCGGCCATCACGCATGCCCCGCCGGGACGGTGGCATGGTGGGGCTTGTGGGGGCCGACGCGGGCGTGTACGACGTCACACACTATGTCGTGGCCGGTGAATGCGAGCGGGCCGCCTGTCACGCAGATGGCCACTGGAGCAGGCGAGAAGGGTGCCAGTTGCCCGTCTGCTGGGCTGCCAGCGACACTGCACTCACAGTGCGTGGAACGATCAACACTCGTGTCGGTGCCAAGTCAGCACAACACCAGATCATCTATCATGACCTTCCGTATAGGGTAGTACCTACATGACGAGCTATGCAGATCCGGGGAAAGTCCCGAGAAAACACCCGGCTCGTGCACCTCGGTCACCGCACAGACCCCAAACTTTTCTCCGCAATCTGCAAACCTGCAGTTGGGACTCTCGTCAAGCGACGCCTATGCCAAGGAACTGATGCAGGCTGTCGTTCACACTTCACGTAGCGCCATTTTCTGAGCATAGCCGCAAAGAGTTTTTTTTTTTGGTATTTTAGAGTAACAAAGAAGTGGCGATCATGCAATCAGACGCTCGTCTGGTATGATGCCAGACGGCAGGTCCTGTAAGAGGACCGCAACAGTAAGCCGAGAAGAACCACCGTTGTAAGAAATAGGATGAGCAAAAGGCCACGAGTCAACCTCCCCATCAAGGAGAGGGACGTCAGAACTGCCCAATGCTGTGAAACCCAAACCCTCTGATGAAAAGCATCTAAACTGAGGAAAGGACAGGAACCCAGAATTTTGACACAAAACTTTTCCTGAACGGAGGAGACTAAGCGCCTCGTTCAAAAATCTCCGGGGGCTCACCAGCTCCCACACCCGTACACCTCTTACGCAAGAGGCAGGGCAATTCACGACTGGGGATAACCGAGGCTGAGAGCAATGTTCTTCCACTTCTCCGCCTCATCCGAGGCCTTCTTCTGCTCGTCGACCAATTCAGCAATACGCTTCTCCAGTTCCTGCACGTGCTCAAACTTCCTCTGCCGAGACTCACGCGCCGCAAGCGTGTTGCGAGCACGCTTCATCGCCACCTTGTCCTCCGGGTTCGTCACCGTGATAGGAGGCAACGGACCCTTGCGGCGACGAGGCTTGCTGACACCCGCGTTCTGGGTGAGAAGGGCAGGGGAGTTGGTGTTTGACTTGCGTCGGCTGGACGGGTCAACCACCACGGGCTTGGGCGAGCTGTTGTTCGAGCTGGACTGGGTGAAGGACTGGTTGCTGACGGAGCGCTGGAGTGGGGTTGCAGTAGCAGCAGCCTTCTCGTCTTCCGGGAAGAGCGAGAACCAGTTTTGAGAGGACATGTCGCCGCCGTCCTGGAAGATTGGCGACGTATCGTAGCTGTCACCGATGTACGGAGACTCGTTGATGGACGGCGACGTCAAGTTGGTGAAGGCAGCCGAGGGAGGCGCCGAGGCAAGCGGGTCGTGGAAGATGTCTTTGGGCGACACGGTGCCGACAGAGCCGGCCATGGAGTCGTTCATGGGGACAAAGCTGGCCGGGCTGGTGTACGCGTCCCAGTCGATCTCCACGTTGAAGGAGTCGAAGGGAGCGGCGCCCTCGAAGGCGGCCATGTTCACTTCCTTGTCTGACCAGACGTTAGAACGCGAGTGTGGCAGGCGCGGGACTGGCCGGTGGGAATTACCTGCGAGCATGGTGCCGGTGGAACGGTTCCTCTGGTGCTTGTGGGTATTGATGTTTCCTGTGCTACTGGAGAAGAGCGGGACCGGGGGACGAGAGTGTTGCGAAGTGGTGTTTCGACGAAATCCGATGGTTGAGGCAGGTGCGCTGTTGGCGTAGAACGGCGAGGCGTTAAACGTAGGACGAGACGGAGGAGCGCTCGGATGACGAGGGGGCTGCGAGGCCGGCGTCGGTTGATCGAAGAGTTGAAAGTCTTCCGAGGGGAAGTTCAGTCGTGGTTGCTGCGGTGTAGGTTGCCGTGCGGCGTGGGGAGCTGGTGAGGGGAGCCATGGTGTCTGTGGAGAAGCCGTGGTGAACGACGGGGCGTCGAACGTGGAGGGAGGGCGTCTGAAGCTGGAGCGCGAGGCTATGCTTGAGACAGTTCCTTGCGGAAACTGCTGTGGAGTGGAGAGATATGGAGCTGAAAACGTTGAGGAAGCCAAAACAGCGGAGGGGGGTTACGCAGCCATGATGTCGGTTCTCAGGCTGTGTATATATCAAGTGGTGTTGGTAGGCGAGGATGGGGAGGAAGGCTGCCTGAGAGGGCGCGGCGACATATTTGAACCGCGTGCGCGGCGTAGCGAACGGCCAAGGCTGGCTGTGACTCATTGTTGGGCCGCCCAATCAGCAGCGCACTGAGGTGGGCTGGTGCAGGGGGGCCCATGGGAGCGGCGCGCGTCGGCGTTGCGAGCTAGCGGCCGATGGAGGCTGCCAGGCTGCCTATCGCCGGCCCAGCCACGAGCGACATCTGATCTCTCGTCGCCCGTCCCCACCGCTGCACCGCTGCACCGCTGCACGATGGCGTCGGCGTCGGCGCGCCTGCTGCCAGCCTGCGCCAGATTTTTTTTCGCTCATCCGCCGCGCGCGTCGAGAGGGTCCCAAGGACCGTCGCTGCGCAGCGCGTCCGGTTGCGCAACCTGCTGCCTGGCCTGGCTGGCCTGGCTGGCCGCTCCTTTCTCGGAGGCGGAGCACGCGGCACGGCACACACGGTCTCTCAAAGCGGGCTAGTCGGCCAACACTGACACGACGCTGGAGGCTGGCAGCCGGGTACTGTGTAGCGTAAATAGCGCGGCAGGCGGTCGTGGGCGGAGAGTTTCGGCCCTGGTCGTCGACAGGGCGTCGCGCTAAGCCAGCCCGGGCAAGCTCGACGACGCTGAGCTCACACCTGTTCACGGGCAGCGCGGCAGCGCGGCCACGACACAGCCAAGGCGATAGGGCAGGTTCCGGTCAGACAGTCAGCCGCGCTAGCCACGCCGGTATCTCTGCTGCCTCGCCGCCCCCAAGCCACCCCAAAATCCTACCTCGGCGCCGTCGACACCGGCGCTGACTTGGGCATGCGCGGTGAGTGGAGCCAATAACGGTGCTGCCTGCCTGCCTGGCCGCCTGCCTGGCTGCCCGCCTGCCCGCCTGCCTGGCTGGGGGAACACGCGCACCGCAGCGCCCGCTCCTCTGGCTCCTCTGGCTCCACGCTCCGCCTCTCCAGCATCCCCAGAATCACCGGAAACACAGCCTGCATGAGTCACTCGTCACGGACCTGCGCAGGTTTCAGGGAGCGAGATCCGATCAAGTTACAGGACGACGTCTGTTTTCCGCCTCCCGCGGCCTCGGATCCGCCGACCATTCGCTGTCATGCAGATTGCCCTGCGCTGCGACCTGCTGACTGACCGCGCCCGGCTTACATATCCTGCCAGCATCAGGCAAAACCCGAGCATGGCGCCCGCCTGCTGATTCCCGGGCTCCGCTCAGCCTCAATAAACATGGCCCCCATTGGTCAATTCCATGGCAGCCAGGCCGTGCGCGTCTCACGGGTCCCAGCGCTGCGAGGCGAAGCGGTTGGTTTGACGTAGGGTGTGGGAATATACTTCAACGACTACCAAGCGTACCGAGACAGTACACCCACTTTCTTTGTCCTGCCGACCTACCCTCCCTTTCTTCCACCGTGCCTTTTGTTTATTTTTGCAGGAGTCATCTGAGCTTTCAAAGCCAATATGGGCAGGACGCGAGTGACTTCGGGCTAATCCAGTAATTCTCCGCTGGCGGTCTAGACGAAGGAACTAGGTACCGCCACTATCTCGACTTGATACCAATAGCTCAGGGTCTGGCGGCCTCTGCACAGCTGCCTCCAAGCGGAGACTTCTTACGGTGCGGCCTTTACGAGACCCTGTCTGGATGTGGGCCTCGGTCAGACAACATCCACCGGTCGCTTTACTTTCCTCACTAAAAACTTCCAGGGAAACGAACCATGGCATGCGTTTGCTTTGTATCTTCTGCAGGACCAACACTCATCAGACAAGCTTGATGCCCCTCTTTCTCAGTCTCTTCAGCCCTGACTGCTCCTCATCACGCCGATACAATGCCTCAGGACCCTTCTCGCTGAACTCTTCTGTATCCTTGCTCACCTCTCCATCCTGGAGCCAGTTCATAACCGTCCTCCATCCCTTTTCGTCCGGCTCCTCCTCGCCCTCTTCCACCATATACCGCATCCTCAACGCCGTCATGGCAGCCAAGTTGATCAAGCCGATCCGCATGAACCCCTTACCTTCTTCCTCCCGCTCCAGCAGCAACCCATTGACAGCCAAGTCATACTTGGTCCGTTTCTTGCCGTGAAACCCCAGAAATAGGCAGAAGCAATCAAGTACCTCGTCATCGCCCCTGGGAAAGTCTAGCTTCACCGAAAAGTCCATGCCCGTCTGCTGGCGCCAGGCTCTCCCGACCTCGCGCACCCCGCGCACAGCTCCATCGGGCCCCTTTCTGCGCAAATCCGCGTCCTCGTCGCCGTCGTCGTGGTCGATGACGACCATGTTGAACTTCTGCCTGATGGACACGATGTCGGGTGTGTACAGCGACTCGACCACGTCTGTCCCAGTGTACACGACCTGGATGCGCCGCATGTAACCCGTCACCGTGAGAGAGGAGGCCTCGGCTAGGAACGGACCGAAGGAGTTGCGTAGGCGGGGGTCGTCGACGCTGACGGTGGCGAGAGGCACTTGGGGCCAGCGGCCGTGGTGCTGGGTCGAGCCGCTGACGGAGAGCCACGACCAGGATGGGGCGATGTAGTTGAAGTAGACTCCCTTTTCCGAACTGTGATCATCCTGCTCTGGCTCTTCTTCTTCTCCCGTCTCCCCCTTTTCTTGTTCCACAGTCTCGGCTGGTGTCGTCTCTGGTTGGGCTGTCTCTATTTGCAGTAACTCTGGCTGCGACGGTTCCAATTGTGCCGTTTCTGTTTGTGTTGCCTCTGGCTGTGTGGTAATCGATCCCGAGGTAGCTTCGACATGAGTGCCTTGTGAATCACCAGCTGTTGGATTCACTGACGATGCTTCCTTGGTCAACGCCCGTTGAGCGGCCAGTTCCTTTGCGAGCATCCTCGCCCTGGCATAGAGGCCGGTCACCCTAGATCTCGTAATGGAAGTGTCTTGGGTCTTCTCGTCCGCGTCCGACGACCCCTCTTTCTCCTTGATCCCCTCGCCCCTGAGGATTTCCTCGGCAGTATTTAAGCACACCCGATCTATCCACCGTTTCTCCACCGCATGCGGCAGGGCGGAGAACTCGCCAATATCACTCCCCGGCCACCGGTCGGCCTTCCACAGCAAGCTCAACGGCAAGGTGCTCTCCCAATGACCCGCCACGTACGCATCTCCAGGCAGCATCTCGGCGAACTCCTCAGCCAGGCTCGACAAGATGATAGGCATGTCGCTGCGCACCGTCAGCCACTTTTGCGAAAAGCCTTCGCACAGCTCATTCCACGCGTCGATGACGACGGCGTCGTCGCCCACAGCCTCTCCCCCCGCATTAACGCCCTTCCTCTGCAAGTCGCGGGCCTGCCACTTCGCCTGGCCGTGCAGCAGCCTGCGGAAGGGGTAGCCGCCGGGGAACGTCTCGGACGCGAGGGCCTGGCCCGGGGCGCGGCTGGCGCAGCACTCCCAGACGAGCTCGTGCCGGGCAAAGTGCAGCACGCGGCGGGCGAGCTGGCGCTCGCGGTGGATCCAGGCGCGCGCGAACGACGGCGCGCGGTGCGCCCACGCGAAGGCGTCCGTCTCGTAGTCGTACATCCACCACGAGCGCACGAGGCCGGCGGGCGACGACGGGGTGGCGGCGCCCGGGCGGGCGGTGGCGTGGAACTGGATGGGGACGGTGTCGAGGGGGTCGCGGTCGGCGAAGAGGCCGCCGCGCGCGTCTGGGCAGTGGTCGGCCGAGAGGTTGAGCACGGCGTGCTTGTAGGTGCGGGCCATCAGCGAGGCTTCGCGGAACCAGTCTGAGGGCGAGTCTTGCACGATGCAGAGCGAGTCGATCCAGAGCCACTTGACTGTTTTTTTGCGAATGCAGGGTCAGCGTCCTGCAGAACGGCTGCGGAGAGGGAAGTGTGTCAATACCGTTGTACCAGCTGGCCACCTCGAGGGCATCGCGGAACGTCTGCGGCAAGTCGGCAGCGTCTACACCCTCGCCCTGCCGCTCGTCCAGGTTGGCCGTCGTCAGCACCGGGAGCTCCTTCGCGCCCCAGGCTCCCCAGCAATGGCTCAGGGTGATGTACCGATCACCAGCCGCGTCATGGCCGGCGCAAACGAGGCGGACCCTCCCGGACTCCCTCGCATGTTCAACGTCCAGCACGCGCGTGGGCCGGCTCTTGGCTACGAAGGCGGTGCACTCGTCGTGCGCGCCGTCTGCATTCTCTTCGCAGCGCGCGAACCAGCCCTTGGCCAAGTGCCTCGACCTGTCCGAATCAGTCCGCCCCTGCACGACGTCCGTCACGCCGTGCTCGGCGAACCACTGCCTCCCGTCCGGAAACCAGATTGACATGTTGTCGCCCAGGGAGTCGATGTCCCACAGCTGCATGCGGTAGTACGTGTGGTAGTTGGAATGGCTCCGCGGGCTCGTCGACCGCGTCCACACGAAATACAGCACTTCGCTCTCGCCCATGCCGCCTCGCCCCGCCCAGCACATTTCCAGCCGGTGCGACTCGGCGTTGTCCGGCCGGTACATGTCCACCACCTTGTTCCTCTCCAGCCGTTGATGCAGCCGCGTGCATATGGCGCACCCGACCGCTTTTGCCGCTTCCAAGCTGATCAGGTTCCAGTGGTGCACCACCGCTTTGGGCAGAGCCTTCTTTTTCTTCTTCCCCTTCTTTCTCTTCTCTTCATTCACCCCCTCTCCTTCTCCTTCCTCCTCCTCCGCCTCCTCCGCCGCCACCCCCTGCACATACTTGACATAATACCCCAACGCATCCAAACACGCCCAGCACAGCTTATGCGGCGTGCCCTTCAGCAGCAAGTCCCTCTTCCCCCTCCCCCTCTCCGCCCGCGGCCTCCTGGCATCGTCTTCCACGGCGATGGTCCTAACGAGCGTCTCGTCATCCATTCCGTACGTGAACGGCGACTCGTCGAGCGTGCGGACGACCGCGGGCGGCATGGGCACGTAGATCTGCGCGTCGGCGCGGTCGGTCCGGCCCTCTTTGGTGTTGATGACCTTGAAGACGACGTAGTCTGATCGGTCTCTTTCTTCTTCTTCTTCTTCTTCTTCTTCTTCTGCTGAGGAGGAGGGAGAAGAGGACGAGGACGAGTCTCGATCAGAGTATAGGGTTCCAACGTCATTGGCGTCTTCGTCTTCACCTTCGTCTGGACTGTGGGCATCGTCGTCGCTGCCTTGGCTATCCTTGCCATCATCGCCATCATCATCACCGTCATCATCGTCATCGTCATCATCATCATCATCATCATCATCATCATCACCACCACCACCACCACCACCATCAGAAGAAGAAGAAGACGAGGAGGCGGCTGCGGCGGTGGTGAGGTACGCGTACGGATCGTGCATGCGCTGCCGCCGCCACGGCATCTGCCTCTGCAGCGAGTCGTCCATGGCGTTGATCACGGCCCACTCGTCCCTCGACATGTTGTCCGGGAAGTTGATCGGGTCCGAGGCCAGAGCCAAGCTTGCTAGGTTGTCGTTCATTTTCTTCTTTTCCCCCTTTTCCTTGTTTTTTCCTGACTATTTTTCTTGTGTTTGTTTCGGATGGCTGTGCTCACACACACAAGAGGAGGACGTCAGAGAGAAATGGAGAGAGTGAGAGAGAGGGGCAAGAGTCATGATGATGGTGAGAGTGCGGAATATCTGGTCTTATGTGGCGGAAAGAGTATTTGGCCCCCACTTTGGAAAAAAGAAAGAGAGGCAGTAAGCCGGAGCTACTGAGTGTGGCTCCCCGTAGCGTCTTATTTGGGGCTTCTTGGCATGCACACGGTGAGGCCTAAATTGGACTGACTTCGACCTCCTGATTTGCTTCTCTGGCATCTCCTGGAAAAGAGATTGTCAGCAGATGTTGCCCCTTACAAGTAGTGATTTATAAATGACTGAAGGTTTCAGGTACCGAAAAGGTACTTGTTGTCGTTGTTTACCATCATATCTACCCGACTGTGGCTCAGCTCTGTTGGTGGAGGTAGTGTTGTATATCACGAATCATGTGGAAGGAATACTCAAAGTGTTTAACAGCTTCTTAGCATGCCTAATATACAGTGAAGAGGAGAGTTACTGCTCTGGTATATCGATTTTCTCCCCTCAAGATATCCCTTCCCCAGACTAACCATTGAGTTGCGAGCTAATGTGCAGTCAAAAGCAGACCTCCCGCTGTACAATCCCGTGAACATTTTTTGTGATATTCCCTCCACTAATTCTGCTCAGGTGGTAAACCAATACCTCGATAGAAACGCCGCCTGATGATGCCTAATCCAGTCCATACCGTCGTCCCATCATGTCGGTGATGCCATTTCAGAACCGCTGCAACACCCCCTTCACAACGCCGTCGAGAACGACCTGACCGGGGACCATGAGCTCCCTGATGCCACTGCCCTCCCCACTGCCCTCCTGCAACCATCTCTGCAGCAAGTCGTTGCTCTCCTTAGGCTTGATGTCCTTGTTCGCCGTGCCGACCGTCACGTGTGCGATCTTGTTCGCCGTCTCCCACTCCTTTGCCTCGGCCTCTCCCGCCGGCGGCAGCAGCCTGACGACAAAGCACATGACCCTGTTGTCCCAGACCAGCCGCTCGAACTGCACCTTCGCATTGCCCAGATCCGGATCCGTCAGGTTCGCAGATGCGGAGCCGCGCTGTGCGTGCAGATCGAGCATCTTCTGCCAGTGCTCCGGGCGCTCCTTGGCCGACGCGCGGTGGATGATGGTGACGTGGAACTCAGGCTGGACGCGACGCATGCCCTGGAGTTGACGGTAGAACTTCTGAGTCGCCATGTCCTGATCCTGGAAGAGGGCGTCGAGAATGCCGGCGATGCGGTTCGAAGGAAGCTTGATGCAGAAATAATCAAGCTTCGGGGCCTTGCCCTTCGGCGCGCTCCCGTTCTGATGCTGAGACTGTTGCTTAGCCTTGCCGCCGAAGTTGAGCTCATGCTTGATGTCAGGCTTGTAGTCGTTGAGAGCGGCTTCAACGGCAATGTCGAGGTCTTGAGCGGTGGGCATGGTGCCAAAAAGCTTGGGGTACTCCGAGTTCAGCTGGGAGACGATTGTCTCAAGGTTGTCTCGCGAAGAAGCGGTGACATCAAGATTGATGACCAGGTCGAACATGTCGTCCGGCGACTCATTGGCGTTGATGGGCTGGAATCTCTGCAAGAACCCTTCCATGATGCCGATGACCTCGGCAGAACCCTTCTTGTTTGCCTGAATGGTCTGGTGGTTGTCGCCACGAGTCAACACACGATCCTGCATGGCCTGGCGGATCTTGGCGTAGTTCTGGCGGTCGTGAACCCAATGCAGCGCGACGAAGCGAACGTCATTGTTCTGAAGGTTGTACTGCATGTCCTTGATAATCTGCTCTCGCTCTCTCCTCTGGTGGTTGTTCCTGTCCGAAATCACGACCGGCCTGGTTCTGAGTGCATCAGTGCAAGCCTCTGCAAACCTTTGCGGACGGTTCTTCTTCCCCTCGATGTTGTCGTTCTGGACATGTCCCCAACCAAACAGCTTTGCGAGCGCAACAGCCACCGTGGTCTTGCCGCAGCCGATGGTGGCGATCGGGACGAGGACGACATTCTTGGTAACTTCAGCCGATGCAACGTTGCCTTCACCAGCCTCAATCTCCTGCCTGATGACATCGGCACCACTGACGCCTCTCGCCTTCAAGAAGTCGTCACGCATCTTGATGATACCGTGGTTCTCGTTGTATGCCTTCCTGAGTGCGGGTTTTGCGGCAAGCTGGCTCTTCGCGAAGTTGATGTACTCCTCGGTGATCTTCTTGTGCTTCTTGTACTTGGGCGGCTTCCCTGCGATGATGGCCTTGGTGCACTCGCGCCACTGGCGGTACATGAGGTAGGGCTCCTCGAATTTGTACTTGAAGAACCAATCCTCATACGGGGCATTCACGCTATCCCGTGCCTGGCAGCGAATGACGAAGCCCTCAGTGTCACGGCCAGCGTAGGCACCCGTCTCGGCAACACCATCCAAGAAGGCCTTCACCTTGAAAATATCGTTCTCCATGACATACATGGTCTTCTTGAAACCCCATTCGTCGGCAAACTTGTCGACCAGGCTTCCAGGGTACGTCATGAACTCGGGGACGTTGATGTTGATTCCATGGAGGTAGAGTCCGGCCTGGTCGGGGGTGTAAGCTAGCACATGCTCCTCGAACTCGTCGTCGCAAAGCTCAGCCACGGCGGTTGCGTTCATGCGCCTGAGGGCGTGTGCCAGGTCCTCCTTGGTCTTCCCCACCATTGCCAGATGCCTCTCGACCCATTTTTCACCGGCCTGGGCGTGGCTGAGTGGCGTGTCGTCGCGCGCGCCGGTCGAGTGCTTGCTGCAAACGAGCAGCGTGCCGTCGTCCAGGCCGGCAATGAAGATGATGCAGCCATTCTCCTTCACGCTCAGCTCGTACGGGCCTCGCGTGTTGTTTTCCACATTCCGCCACTGCGTCTTGTTGACCTCGCCGTGGTTGAAGAATTTGTCGTAGCCGCGGACGGCGATCTCGTCAATGCCGGCCTGGTTCTTGTAGGTGAAGAGGCCGCGGGCGTAGCTGGGCAGATTCGGTTTCTTGTAGTCCCAGTCCTGCATGCGCCACGAGTCGACGCTGCGGCCGTTGGGCAGCTGGAAGGTGTGCTTGCGCACGGAGAAGCCGCCTTTGGACTTGCCCTTGGTAGTGTGCGCCTCCAAGCTCAGCACAAGCTCTTTGGTCTCCTGCGGATCCTGGGGCCTGAAGGGGGCGGTCTCGCGATGTGCCATGGTGAGAAGAGCGCGTTGGGTACGAACGGCGGGGTGGGTTGCGATAGGCCTGAGGCCTGTGGCGGGGTTGGAGTGGGAATTTATGCTCGGCGGCAATCTGGATGACTCCCTCTTCCGCAGCGCCAGAGTCAAGGCAGCGACGGGCTGTGCAGGGCGGATTGGCGAAGGAATTGGACGTGCGAGGGCGGGCGAAGCGCAAAAGCGAGGTGATTTGATTGCGGCGCAAAGAGAAAGGGCATTCGGTATGTTGGTGTGACGCATTTCGTGGCACGGGCCAGAGCGGTGGCGGTGTCCGAATGGGTGAAACAGTGCCCCGCGGCGACTGCAGGATGGACCCATAGTCTTGCCTCGGCCGCAATCCTCTGACAGCTGTCGTGGCGTCTTGGAATAAATAGGTGATAGGGAACCCAGCTCGCTTACTTAAGGTCCTCACAGGGCGTGGGGCAGGCAGGCACCAGGCACCGATCTTGTAGCACATCCACGCCGCGGGCATCTCTGATGGGACGTCATCCGGCGCAAGATCAATTTATCCAGTCCCTCCTTCCCCAACCACAATAATGTCCCCAACGCCCAAACTAATCCTCTATCGCGGCTGGGACGACCCGGGCAACTACGTCTGGTCGCCGTTCGTCACCAAAGTCGAGCTGCGCCTCCGTGCAGCAGGAGTCGAATACAAAGCTGCCTCAGGCTCCGTCAAGTCCGCGCCTCGCGGCAAGATCCCTTACCTAACCATCAACGAGACCGAGAGCCTCAGCGACTCGACTCTCATCATCGAGAACTTGACTTCCACCGGCCTCCTCCCCGATGTCAACGCCACACTTGGTCCTGCCCAGCGCGCCCACGACCGCGCTCTCTGCGCTCTGCTCGAGGACAAACTGTATTTCTACCACGTGAGCGCAGTCGTCGCAAGTGTATGTATAAACGCCTAGAAGAAAGTTGATCAAGTGCAGTCTTTCGAAAGATGGATCCAGAACTACTACGCCATGCGCGACCATGTGCTGTGCGCTCTGTCTTATCCGGTGCGTGTCGTTGTCGGTTTGCTCATCCACCGTGGCGTCAAGAGCCACCTTCATGGCCAGGGCACGGGCCGCTTCACCGCCGAAGAGATCGCCGCTTTCAGGCGACAGATCTGGGAAAGCTTCGACGACCTGCTGAGGGAAGCGAAGGGAAAGCAAAGCGGCACCGCCGACGGAGAAAAGCCGTTTTGGATCATGGCTGGTGACGGTCCCACCGAGGCGGATACGGTGCTCTTTGGCTTCGTTGTTTCCGTGCTCATTTGTACTGCGTAAGTTCGCTTGTCACGGGTGGGAGTGGGAGTCCGCAGCGTGCTGACACAGTGACACCGGCTTGCCCAGCTCCCCGGAGTCGCAGGAAGTCGTGCGCAGTTTTCCGACGGTTCTTGAGTACGCAGAGAATCCATGGTCGTTTCTTCCCAGATTACAGGCACTGGGAGTGACCGCACGGAATATGGCATTGGATCAGTCCCTGATGTTTGGAAATACTCGTTGAAATTCTATCATGGGATATCGAAGATAAGATCCTAAGGCCTTGTTTCAGCCAGAGGAATCCAATGTACAAAGTCTAATCGTCTGGCGCCAGCCAAACCCAATCAAAGACGAGATAGGATCCCACCCAGGTATTGCTGCACCCATAGACTCGGTCTTAGCCACCGTCATAGCTGACACACACCTGATATCATTTACTCATCGTCACCGAAGAAGACCTTGACGGGCAGCCAAGCATCACCGCAGACCTTGAAGCGGTCCTTCAGGCTGCTCAGCTTGTCAACATCCTCCTTGGACAGCTCCCAGCCGTTGAGGTCGAAGTTGGCCTGAATGCGCGAGGCAGTGACGGACTTGGGGATGACGCTGGTTCCGCGCTGGAGACCCCACTTGAGACTGTACATCTTGTTAGCCTGTGTTGCCTAGCAATTGGGCTCCGATCATCAAGGGCATAGGCTCGTCTAGCAGCTGGGCAGGACACAAGGAGACTGTAGCAGAGCTAGTTCGCCTTTCCATGCCCAGAGGCTGCCTGACCCATGACCTTGCAATCAGTCTAGCGATGGTTCGTGCAAACTTACAGAACCTGCTGAATGGTTTTGTTGTTGGCCTTGGCAACCTCAGCAACGGTGGGGTCTTTGTACAGAGGAGAGTCTGTGGAGCCAAGGCAGGAGTAGGCGGTGGCGTGGATGCCCTTCTCCTTGAGGTAGGCAAGGAGCTTGGGCGAGGGGTTGTTGGGGTGGAGCTCGATCTGGTTGACGGCCGGGACGATCTGCAAAGTCGTGTCAGCGTCTGCTTGTTCGCGTAGGTACTCCCGAGATGCAAGAATGACGCGCTCTCACGTGCCAGCCAGCCCAACAAATTTTCCGAACGTGGGCCAATGGCAGCATTGGAAGCTCGGAGAAACTTTCTGGAAACCAGCTCAACGGCTGTTGGAGGAACTCACCTTGGTCTGGGGGTCGTTCAGGAGGATCTCCAGGTTCTTGATGGCGAAGTTGGAAACACCAATGTTGCGGACACGGCCGGAAGCGGGCAGCTTCTGCAGCTCCCTCCAGGTGTCGACGAAGTTCCAGTCAGGGTAGTGCTTCTTCAGGTCGGCGGGGTCGGTGGACGAGGGCCAGTGCATGAGGTAGAGGTCGACGTAGTCGGTCTGGAGCGACTTGAGCGACGACTGAATGCCCTCCTCGACGCGCTTGTGCCACGGGTTGTCGAGCTTGGTGGTGATCCAGATCTCCTCGCGCGGGACGCCCGAGTCCTTGATGCCGAGGCCGACCTCGTGCTCGTTGCCGTAGGCAAGAGCCGTGTCAATGTGGCGGTAGCCGGCGAGCAGCGCAGCCTTGACGGCCTCGCGGACCTCGTTGGGCTTGGACTGCCAGGTGCCGAGGCCGACGGCGGGAATCTTCGCCCCCGTGTTGAGGGTGAAGGTCTGCTTGGTGAAGTCGAGCGGGCCGGCCATTGTGTATGCGCGGGTGGCGGGGATGAGGAGCTTGCGGGAAAGAGGGCGGAGGGAGGAGCGTAGGGAGGAGCGCAGGGTCAATTGAGCAGTAAGTGCAGCAGACATGAGTGGGCGAGGCCAAGGGTGGGCGTCTTATACGGCGCAAGGCGTTCCGACCAGCCCACTTTGTAGCAATGATCACATCCCACCGCGCGGCGGCGCGCCCATCCACCGGAGCTGTTGACGTCGTAGCGGGGCACGCGGGCGATGGAGGGGCAGACGCGGCGGCGCAAGCTTGGACCTGCCGCACCTGCCGCACCTGCCCACCTGCCCTGGCCGGATTGCACGGATTGCACGGATTGCAGCGGCCCACTGCATGACCCGCTCTTCTGCCTCGAGGCCGGCTAAATTCCCGCCATTGGCTAGACCGCCGCCGGCGGCAATCATTGCCCCGAGCACCCAAGCTCGTCGTCGCCGCGCGCCGGAATAATCTCAGCCTCTGTCCACCAGCCACCATGTCGTCCGGCTTCGTCTCCGCCGGAACCAACGACCAGCCCGTCGAGCGCGACGCCGAGTGGCTCCAGGCCCAGCAGGACCTCGAGGCCCAGCGCCGCCGCAGGGAGGAGGAGAGCAAGCAGACGGACGGCAAGAGCCTGTATGAGGTGCTGCAGGCCAACAAGGGTAAATCCAGGCCGGGTCGCTGCGCGCGTCGCTTAGGAGGGCTAACATGACAGGTCTTGGTTGACCACAGCAAAGAAGCAGGAGGCTTTCGAAGAGGTATTGCCCACCGTCGACTGACTGACCTCGCACGATCGCTGGCTGACCGCCGCTGCCCGCAGTCCATCAAGCTCAAGAACCAGTTCCGCGCCCTTGACGAGGATGAGGCCGAGTTCCTCGACTCCGTGCTGGAGTCCACGCGCGCCAAGGAAGCCGCGCTGAAGAAGGAGACCACCGAGCAGCTCGACGCTTTCCGCCGGCATCAGGAAGAGGTCGAGCGCGCCGCCCGTCTCACCGGCGCCACTGACGGAGACCAGCCCGCCGAAGAAGAGCACTGGGCCTCGGCCGGGAGGAAGCGCAAGAAGGCCAGAGACAAGGAGTCGCTCATGGGAATCAAGATCCGCCGAACCTCCTCGGTTGGCGAGAAAGGCGCATCATCCAATGCGTCTCCCAAGACCGACACCAAGAGCCCCGATCCTGCAGAAAAGGAGAAGGAAATCGTACCTTCTGCCGGCGTCTCCAAGCCGGAAAATGTGACCAAAACGGCCACCGGGACGGGTCTTGCAGCTTCCGAGAAGACGAGTGGAGTTGTTGGCTCGACAGTACCAAAAGAGACCCAAGCCCAAAAGCCCAAACCCACACCCGCGGCGCTTGGCCTCGGCGGCTATTCGTCAGACGAAGACGACTGAGCAGTCACGGGATACCTGGTAGCGTACTATTGAATAGTTAGGGATGGAAAGGACAATGAAAATGAAAAGAGAACAGGCGATGGGCTCCCAAGGAACAATGACTCTCTCTGGGTTGGAGCAGATCGGGGTTTGCTTGATCGCCTGAAGACATTAAATAATCTGGATGGAAGCGTGATGCGACTACGTGCAGTTCCTGCATCCAGATGTCAAGAATCCACTGGAAATCCATGCTGACGTTGCTCGATACTGAAGCTCGGATTCGCCGACGTGATGCCGGCGCAGGTTGAGTTGACTTGAGTAGCGTCGCTTGCACCTTCACCTCGCCAGCAACCTACCTACCCACCACTGCTTCGCGCACGCCCATTGCGAGATCCCCGGTGCCCCACGCCTCGACAAGCAAACACCTCCCGCCATGGTCGGCCCCGCGCGCGAGAACGTGCTCACCAAGGCCAAATTCCCCTCGGCCTTTGGGAAGCGCAAGACGCAGGCGTACTCGGACAGCTCGCGCGGCGCGCAAAGCCGCAACCTACGCACCATCGACTGGAACCCGCTGGGCACGCTCGTCGCCACCGGCTCGTCAGACCGCACGCTGCGAGTCTGGAACCCCGAGAAACCGCAGGTCAAGAATTCGACCGAGCTGCGCGGCCACGCCGGCCCCGTCGAGCGCGTCGCCTGGAACCCCACACGCGAGGCCGAGCTCGCCAGCTGCAGCGCCGACGGAACCGTCCGTTTCTGGGACGTGAGGAGCAAGGCCGCCGTGGGCAAGGTCGAGGTGGGAGGCGATGCCTTTACGCTGGCCTGGCGGCCGGATGGGAGCGAATTGGTGGTCGGAAGGAAGGTAAGATTACCAGCAGAGGAAAAGGAAGAAGTTTCAAAGCTGACGCTTTTGGGGAATGTCCCAGGACGATGTGCTTGTCCCAATCTCGCGTTCCACGTTTACGGCCCTACCCGCGCATCGCCAAACCGTCCAGACGAACCAGACAGCCTTTTCTTGGACCGGCCAGGAGCTCTTTCTGACCACCGGGGAAGGCCAGGCCAAGATTGTTGACTACCCCTCCATGGTACGCAAGGTTTCTCCCAAACTCACGATAAGGCCGCGTTAGTAATGAGAGCCGAGAACAGAACATCCTCCACGTCCTCAACGCGCATACCTCGTCCTGCTACTCGGTCGATTTCTCGCCAACCGCCGAGTACCTCGCCGTCGGCGGCTCCGACGCGTTGATCACGCTGTGGGACACGCGTGACTGGATCTGCCAGCGCACGCTGACCAGCATGACGGGCCCCGTCCGCAGCGTCAGCTTCTCCTTCGACGGCTGCTATCTCGTCGGCGGCTCGGACGAGGGCGCGGGCATGGAGATCGCCTACGTCGAGACGGGCGAGTGCGTGCACAAGATCGAGACGCCGTCGCCGACGCCTTGCGTCCAGTGGCACCCCAGCCGCTATGTGCTGGCCTACTCGGATGCTACCGGCCTGAAGATCATCGGTGGCACGGAGCGGTTTTGATATGTCTGGGATTGAAAACGGGTACGGCTATCGGTCGGCATGATGGGATGGTCTGCATCGCAACGGCGTTATCACGGGAGATCATATTGATATTTGATGGCGATTCGCAGTATACCCCCCGCAACTTTGTTGTAGAATCGAAAAGCGGTTTGATATGTGTATCTCTGTGCCAGCCACAGTCACGGAGTGTTCGTCGCCACGGAATTGTTTCATCGCACAAGAACCGGGTAGGTGGTGATGATCTGCCCGACTTCAAGCATCTAGGACTTACGGTCTGTGATGTTTAGCCCAGAACATGCAATGAGGAGTCGGCTGGGGCTCACCCAGATGATCCTTGCTGTCTCCTTAGCCATCTGGTTAGTACTCCATGCATTCATTCGAAAAAAACACCATGTGCTTCAACTCATTCCCCAAGCAACTCTAACGCCGCTGTAGAAAAGACTTCACAATCAAACCGATGAGTACCCTTTAGTCATAAATTGTTTCCTGTTACTGTTACAATAATTCTTTTACTTCGATGTACAGAAGAATTTCCAGAATAACCGCACGCATGCATAAGCCCATTTGAAAGAGAAAAAAAAAAGGAAAGAAAAGCCCGTATCAAGCTATCCAACCGCCCTGCCAAACCCAGCCGGCCCTACCCAACCCTCTCTATACCTATACCCATGCCCATGCCCATGCCCATGCCCATACCCATATCTATACCCATACCCATACCCACACCCACACCCACATCTACACCCCCACCACCCCCGCAAACCTCTCCTCCAACACCCTCCTCACCCCCTCCCCCCTCGCCATGGCCATCAGCAGCCCCCTCCCGGAAAAGACGTCCGCGTCCGGCCGGGCCAGCAGCGCGCGCACGACGTCGACCTGGCCGCTGGCGACGGCGTCCATGAGGGCGGTGCAGCCGTCGACGTCGCGGGCGTTGACGTCGAGGTCGGCGCGTTCTCGCAGCAGCAGGCGGGCGACGCGCGCGTGGCCGAGGCCGACGGCCGTGTGCAGCGGCGAGCGCCAGTGCTCGCCGCGGGCGTTGACGTCGAGGTCGGGGCGGGCGGCGAGGGCGGCGACGAGGGCGGGGTTGCCGGTGGAGACGGCGGCGGAGAGGAGGGGGGTGGTGGTGTAGGGGTTGTCGTCGTTGCTGGTGGTGCCGCTGGTGGGAGAGGAGGAGGGGGAGGTGGTGGTGGTGGTTGGGAGGAGGCTGCGGCGGATGTTGACGTCGATGTCGTGGCGGGAGAGGAGGATGGACACGGTGGCGACGTCTTCGGTGCGGACGGCGAGGGCGAGGGGCGCGTCGCCGGCGCCGTCGCGGGCGTTGACGTCGAGGTCGGGGCGGGTGCTCGTGAGGAGGCGGACGACGGCGCGGCGGCGGCGGGAGACGGCGGCGTGGAGGACGGTCTGCTTCTTGTTGGCGGCGGTGGCGGCGGCGGCATGGGGCGGCTTGAGGGGCGAGGAGGGGTTGCTGCTGCTGTTGTTGTCCATGGCGACGTCGTCGTCGGCGGGCGGCGAGGTCCGTATGTTGACGTTGACGGCGGGGCCGCCCAGCTGCAGGAAGCGCTCGACGACGTCGGCGTCGCCGGCCTTGCACGGGGCGAACAGCGGGGTCGCGCCGGAAGCGTCGCGGACGTTGACGTCTGCGGGGCCGCCGGTGGAGCCGGGTGGTGGTGGTTGGAGCAGGGCTTCGATGACGGCCTTGTCCTGCAGCAGGGTGGCGTAGTGCAGCGCGGCGCGGCCGTCGTCGTCGCGGCGGTCGACAACGCCGGGCGGCAGGGCGGCGACGAGGGTGCGCACGATGCGCGCGTGGCCCTGGATGACGGCGATGTGCAGGGCCGTCTGGCCCCTGCGGTCGACGGCGGCGGGGCGCGCGTCCGGGCGGGCGAGGAAGAAGGCGACCATGGCCTCGTTGCCCGAGAAGGCGGCCCAGTGGAGGAGAGTGCGCTCGGCGTTGCCGCCGCCGCCGATGTCGTGGTCGAGGCCGCCGGTGTCAGACGAGGAGGTGGTGGGCGAGAAGGTCTCGGCGATGGCCGTCAGCGCGGCGCCAATGGTGCTGCAGAGGCCGCATGCCGCGGCGAGGTCGAAGATGGTCAGGTCGGCGCGCCGGTGCTGGATGTAGAGCAGCTCGGCCAGGCGGTCGTCCATGACGTCCAGCGGCGGCTGGTGCGGGTGCGAGAACGAAGGGGAGGACAGGATGGTCGCGTGGCACCACCACCACCGCGGGAACGTCGGGGCCGTGTGCAGCAGGTCGAGCAGGTCCGACTGGTCGGCGCCATGGTGCTCGGCCGACTCGGCGTGGAGGTGCCACGAGTAGGTCGCGTACGAGGCCAGGGGAAGCGTCGCCGGGTCCCTGGACGTGTCGTGGTACTCCGGGAACGAGAGGAAGTGGAGCAGCCGGCGGGAGAGGAGGAGGTCGGTCGTGGTCCGGGTCGGGCGTGTCGACGTCTCAGGGGCGAGGATGTCCAGTCCGTTGCGGGTGACGAGGAAGTCCTTTGCGGATGCGTGGACGGGCGCGGCAATGGGCGCCGAGTGGACGTCGAAGGCGGGCACGTGGAGGAGACCGCGGCTGAGGTGGACGAGGGCGTCTGCCATGTCGGCGTCGCTGGCGATGTAGTCGGGCGCGGCGTAGACGTCTGCCAGGCTCTTGGTCTCCGGCCGGAGGACGAGCGCGACGCGGAGCTCACGCAGGGTCAGCGGTCTCGTGGCGAAGCAGACCCATTGGAGCAGCCGCAGACACGGCTCGCGCTGGTCGGCCGGCACGTTCAGGACCCGCTCGCGGTAGATGTCGTCGAGCTGGAAGGGGAGTCGCTCGATCGCCTCCCGGACCGCTTTGCGTGTGCGGCCCCTGAAGTCCCTCTGCACCATGTCAACGGCCAGGATGGCCCAGAGGAAGACATTTCTCGCCCTCTTCTCGACGACCTGGCTCACGTCCTCCAACTCTCTCTCGGTGAAGTGGTCCAGCGCGAAGGCCAGCTCGCCGCGCACGTAGTCGGCGATGTCCTCCGCGTTGAAGTCCTCCACCCGCACCTGCAGGCCGTTCTCGTCGCCCGGCCTGAACACTGCCTTCCCCACTTCCTCCCTCGCCGACACGCACACCCCGACCGCCGGCACCGCCGCCAGCTTCGCGAAGAAGTCCAGCAGATCGCCCACCGCCTCCTCGTTCCCAACTTCATCCACCGCATCCACAAAGACCCACAGCCGTCGGCCCCGCGACTTCCCCGTGCTGCCGCAGTACCTAGTCCGCGCGTGCTTGAGCAGCACTTCCTGCAGCTCCATCTCCGACAAGTCCCACCTGCTCAGCGCGTGGCGCTGCTGCTCCTCGCCGTCGGCCGCATACAGTGCTGCGAGCTCCGAGGGGGCATCGCTTCCGTTGTGAGGCAGGTAATCTCTCTTGTCATGCTGTAGCTGCTCTTGCTCCTGCTGGGCCAGTTGGTGGGCCAGCGCGTGCAGGAGGCCAGAAACGGGTTTGCCGCGGGCGTGCTGGTTCGGGTCCACCATGACCGGCTCGGCGGCGTGGAATGTGTACGAGACAATGGTACCGTTGCTGCTGCTCGGACGGTCACCGCCACTCTTGGGGCTGGTGAAAACGTCTTCTGTCGCAGTACTGGGGGCAGCAGCAGCCGTCATCATCATCGTCTCCTCAAAGTGTTCCACCAGGTTGGCCATCAGCGTCGACTTGCCCGAGCCGGGTGCGCCGGTGATGCGCAGGAGACCGCCGTCTGACGACCAGGTGCGGCAGGTGTCGGAGGCGAAGAAGGCAGGGAACGGAGTAGTGGTACCGGTGGTGGCGGCATCGGGAGTGCCGGCATCGACTTCGTCATGGTCGAAGTACAAGGCCGGTTGCTGCGGTGGCGGTGGAGTTTTCGGGAGGGCCGGGGGCGTCGGCGCTACAGCTATTGCTGGAGAGGGACATTCCTCCAGCTGGTAAGGGGCTGGAGGGAGTAGGCTGTCTGCTTGGGCGGCTGGATGCTGAGGAGAAGCCGCTGGAGAACCAGACTGGCCAGTTTGCTCTTCAACATCATCCGCTGCCGCTTCCGCAACATCAGGGCGCGCTTCTGCCAGGGCGGCATCCGCTGAAGGAAGAATGATGATTTCTTTGTTGTCGCTGTGTTCTTCGACGAGCGTCTGTCCGTTAAGGGAGGACGAGTACTCCGAGTTCCTGCTGCTGCTCCTGGTGCCGGGGCCGTCGTCGTCCGGGTAGCAGCCGAAGTCTCCGTCGTTGTCGAGGTTGTTGTTCTCCTCGTCAGCCGACGAGCCGGGTTTGCAGCTTTCATCTGGAACGTGTGTGTCAGATGGAGGGTTCGTTTCATCTTGCGGAGAGCTTCCTTCGGTCGGAGCGTCCCTACCGTCGAGAGGAGGACTTCTTCCGTCATCCGGAGAGCTTTTTTGGTGGTCACCAAGAGATCTTACATCGTCCGGGGTCTGCGAGATCAGTTCCGCATCGCAAGATGCGGAGTTGCCGGTAGCATGATCTGGCGTTCGCGGCCGCTCCTCAACAAAGCCATCCGCTAGTGACGGTGCAGACTGAGTGCTGGAGACAGGCGCTTGATCCTCGCCAACCAGAGACTCAGCACGAGACTCCGCACGAGACTCAACTCGAGACTCTGCACGGGACCCCGCACAATCCTCAACCCGGGACTCAGGTCGAGACTCTGCACGGGACTCCGCACAAGACTCAGCTCGGGACTCTACACGGGGCTCCGCACAAGGCTCAACTCGGGTCTCAACCCGAGACTCAACTCGAGGCTCAGCCGTGGGGAAGGCGATGATAAAATCAGGATCGGGAAGAGAAGTCGCGGCGCTCTCAGGTGTTTTCGGGCGGTACTCAGGTACGGCATACTGCTTCGGCTGCAACGAATCCACAGCATCGACACCATGATCCCGAACTTCAGCGGCCACGTGATCCACCTCAGTCTCCTCCACGCCAGACGGCGCCAGATCTCCCGGGCTTGAGATGCGGTCGTCGTCGTCGTCTGTCAGCGATGACCCCTGCCGTTTCTCAAGCTCAGTCTCCTTCTCTTCTTGCGACGTCGTCTCCCGACTGCCCACGGCCTCGTCTTCATCGTCGTCCGCAAAGTCCTCGTCGGCCAGAACCTCCGAAGCCGCATCGTCCGCACCTTCCGCCACAGCGAAGTCCGGGACGATGCTCTTCATCTCGCTCACATCCTCGACGACCGGCGGCGGCGGCGTCGCCGACCGTTTCTGCGGCCGGAGCGGCGCCGGCCTGAACGTCAACTCGGCGAAAAACGTCGGGGCCGGACTCTCGGCCGCAGCAGATGATGATGATGATGATGATGACGATGACGACGACGATGACGATGGTGGCAGTGGTGCGGCACTGGCAGCAGTTTGGACGTCCTCTTCTTCCCTCTCGACGCCGCTGTTCGGCGGCGGCGGCAGCAGCGCCGCTGCGCCGGATGCGGGCCCGAACAGTTCGTCGACCGTCAAGGAGATGGAATCGTGCGCGGGCTGACGATCGTCCTGCCCCTCTTCCGATGACGACGACTGCGAATACACCGATACCGAATCGTCGACGCTGATCGGCGGCGCGGGGGGGTGGTCCAGCTTGGCGCCTCCACCGTCCACATGTTGGCCCGATGACGGCGCCGCGGCGGTGTCGTCGTCGTCGTCGTCGGCAGCAGTGAGGGCGGTGGTGGCTGTGGGGGTGGTGGGAGGTGCTTGATCTGCTGCGGTCTGCGCTCCATCGCGGTCCATCGCCTGGTCGACTGACGGCCGGGCGTCGTCGTCTTCGTCGTCCTCGTGGCGGGGCTTTTCATCGCAATAGGAGGAGCCGCCATCGGCCCAGTCCAGCGCGTGCCTCAGCTCCTGGACCGACTCGGAGGCGGCGATCAGCGCGTACGCCGTCGCCGCGATGTCGTCCGGGAAGGTGCCAGTGAAGGGCGAGTCAACCGGTTGGCGGCAGAACTCGGCGCGGGACTTTAGCAGTGACGAGTGTGAGTCGTTGCGCCGATGCCAGCCCGGTGTGAGGTAATTGGTATTGGCCGTGTCGGCTGGAACCGGCCCCGGAGTGTGAGCATCAGGAACGATGGTAGCAGTCTCTGGCTGTCCCTCAGTGCTTTCCTCCGGCAGCTCTTCTGACCGTGCCGGCTCTTTGGACTCCTCCAGCCGAGAAGGAGAGTCTGACGGCTGTCGATGATGATGATGATGATGATGGGAGTGGTGGTGGTGGTGGGAAGAGGAGCGCGACGTCGTACTGCTGGACGACGCTTCCGTCCCAGTCGTCGTCCGCCCTTTGTTCGACTCGGAGATGGTCGACAGGTGCGGCGAACAGCAGCTCTGCACCGAGTAGGCCGACGACGCGCCCGACGCGAGCGAGGCTGCTCCCGGATTGCGCACCGTCAGCGCGCCCCTCGCCAGCCCATTCTCGGGCACGTTGACGGACGCCAGCTGCGGGTGCGAGCGGTACGAAGGCGTCAGCGCAGCGTCGTTGTAGATCGACGCCCGCGACCTCGTCCCCGCGGCGCCGGCGTGCGAAGAAGGCGGAATAGGGGAGACGGCGCGGTCCGAAGTGGTGCGGTTCGTGACGCTCCGGGCGGGCGGATTGAGGCCGCCGCCGCCACTGAGAGCTGCATCGTGCCGCGACCGGCACGGCGCAAAGAGCCGGTTGCGAATCCTCTTCCTGGTCTTACCGGCGGGCATGGTCGTGTGTGTTGTACAGTATGTGGGCCGGCAAGCTTGGGGAAGCTTGATATGTTGTTCCTGTTAATCAGTCCCTCCCCAGCACCGAAAGAAAGATCTGTTTAAGGGGGAGCCCTACACGCTGTTCACGTACACCGCTTCGAGTGGGGAGGTGGGTTTGGAGCATCGCTGGCCAATAAGGGTGAGGATCTGAGCAGGGATCCGATAGGTCTCGAACACTTTCGTCTTTGCTGCCTATTTTTGGGGAGACCCTTGGGCGCTGCCTGAGCTGTCCATCTCCCACATGGAGCAGTGCCATCAGTAAGGCTGGCCATGTGCTCAACAGCCGCATGGATGTCCCCAAGTTCGTGGAGGAGTTGCGAGCACCGGTGGCTGAATCGAGTAATGGGTATGGGGAAGGCGGTCCGAGCCGCCGCACTGGCCAATTGAAACGCCAAATCGGGACTTTGCACCGCGCGTTTCTGAGCACTAAGGGTGTTCCGGGCTCTTTCAGGCCGCTCTTAGGCGCCGATGCGCCACTTTCAGCTGAAGTTGCCGGATCACGTTCTTGCTTTGCTTGAGTTCCCACCAGCCTTAGCGAATGTTACTATATGCCGCATTAACGTGGAGCGAATCAAGAAATCGCCAAAGGATGGACGCTAACCACGGGTTTTACAGAGAAGGGGCCACCCTCATCACCATCATAACTACTGCAATCCAAAGAAACCATCACGCTCGGAAACACGGGCCATTAACATCGAATCATCACTTCTCCTCTAAGAGTAGTGCGGCAACTGCTTCTCCGCACTCTGGCTACCCGCGCCATTCTTGATGTCTGCCGGAGTTGGACGCTTGAAATGCGGCTTCAGCGGCTCCCAGCTTTCGGCGTTGTAGCCCTCTTGCACCTTCTGGCACTTCTTGAGGCCCCAGTCTGTGACCCCAACCATCAGGCTGCTTTCAAACATGAAGGCCATGCTGCCCTCGCCAACCTTGGCAGGCTTCAACTCAGCGTTTGACGCTTTCTCGTGCGTGTTTGCATCAGGGCCGTGAGCCGACATGACGTTGTGCAGCGATGCGCCGGCAGGTTGGAAACCACCTCCTGTCTTGGCGTCGTATTGGCCCTGAATGAGGCCCATGAACTCGGACATGGTGTTACGATGGTACCACGGCGGGCGGAAGGTGCTGTTGAAAGCTGTTAGCCGACATTTCTTGAGACTTTGAGGTGCGTGGTGACAAGCTTACTCTTCACCCACCAGCCATCGCGGTGGAAAGATGACAAAGTCAGCAATGGCGGTGCCGGCGTGGTCAGATGGGGCGGTGAGAACGGTGTAGATGGAGGGGTCGGGGTGGTCGAATGAGACACTGCCGATGGTGTTGTAGCGGCCCAGGTCGTACTTGTAGGGGTAGTATAGACCGTGCCACGCCACAACGTCAAAGGGGGTGTGGTTCTGTTTAGCAGCGAAGAGATGGCCGGCAAACTTGGATAGCAGCGTCCACTCGGAGTTTGTGTCTTCGTCGAAGTAGGCCACAGGCGCCTGGAAGTCACGGGAATTGGCCAGACAGTTGCTACCGATAGGGCCGAGCTCGGGCAGCTGAAAGTGGCCTTGGTATAGCTCGAGGATGTAGCCGCGCACGGGACCATCCGGCAGGGTCACGCGGTAGCGCACGCCACGCGGGATCACGCAGATCTCATTGGGCCGCACCAGCATCTTGCCCAGCTCCGTCTGGATATCAAGAGTGCCGTGTTGCGGCACAATGAGGAAATCACCATCGGCCGAGTAAAAGGCGTGGTGCGGGTCCATGTCCTTGCCGGCAGCATAGATGTAGATGCCGATGCCGGTCTTCATGACAGGGGTGCCGGCGCCGGCGACCAGATGCAGGGAGTGCACCCAGTCAACGGTCTCATCCAAATCAAAGGGATCCCACCGCAGCTGGTTGGGAATCTGGTGGATCTTCTCGAACGGCTTGTTCTCTGGGTTGGTGTTGAAGGTGGAATGCTCACGCGGCTCGAAGTTGCTGTGGGCCGAGGCGGGCAAGACGCGGTACAGCCACGACTGCTGGTTCTCGTGGCGGGGCGCGGTGAAGGCGGTGCCGGACAGCTTCTCTGCATACAGGCCATACGGGGGCTTCTGGGGGGAGTTGGCGGCTACGGGCAGCGCGCCCTCGACAGCCTCAGTCCTGCGCAGCGGGGTCAGCGGGGGTTCGCACGGGCAGGAGGGGCAGGAGGGGCAGGCAGGGCGCACTCATGGTAGGAGTTGAAGCCATTCTGGTATGGATATTTTTCGGGGACCGCGAACTTCGTGGAAGGCATCGTGCTCCTCTTGGTAGTCGGGGTTGAAGAACTCGGTTAGATTGCGCTCAGTGAGCGGAACAAGACTCGGGGGCAGCTGCTTCGCCTCCTCCTTGGACGGGCGGATTCTTTTAAGCAGACGGGCCCAGATGCGCTTCTGCTGGAGCTCCGAGGCCGAGGGCTTGTTGGGGTCGTCGTAGGAGACTGGGGAAGCAGACGAAGACAAGCGTTCGGCACCTCGGCCGGCGCTGCTGGCGGAAGGCATGCTGTACTTGGCTGCTGGCTCAAGCGGGTGTCGCAGGGGCAAGACGCCGGGCGGAACTTGAAGGCTCACAGCGATCGCCACGGGCCTGTGGAGAGCGGGGGGGGCAGTTAGTTGCGGCCGCTGCTGTTTGCGGCGCGCTTTCTTTTTGGCGTCTGGGCCCGGCCGAAAGGGTGCTGGCGGGGGCTGACAGGGGCCTGATGGCCCTTTGATTGGGCGCTGCAGCAGGCGCGTCGCTGCCGAGCACAGCGCAGGCGAGCGCAGGCCGACGCGGCGGCCACGACTAAATCACGCGCGATAGCGTGCGAGCGAGGGTAGCGAGGGTAGCGAGGATACCCGCTGCTTGAGCCGTGGCAATGCGGAACTGATCCGTCGACATGCTGCCCCTCCATTCCCCGCGGGTATGCTCGCTCTCCCGCCCGGCTTGCTTCGGTTGTCGCTGCGATGTCGAGGTGCCTGCCTCCATGGCGGCATTGCTCGTCTTGATGACCATCGGTCATCAGCTCCCCCTCCTTCTCCCAGAAAGATACATTGCCCCCAGCTCTCCCCGCGCACCGCCTCGTTGAATTGCTGTTTTCAATCACAATGGCGTCTTTGCGCTCCTGGTTCACCATCCCCAAGGGATCTCACTTCTCCCTCGCCAACATCCCCTTTGGCATCATCTCCACCTCGGCCAAAGCTACTCCTCGAGTAGCCATTGCAATTGGCGACCATGCCTTGGATCTGGATGCGTTTGCTGCACACAACGGCTTCTCCGCTCTCTCCACCATCCAGCCTCACCAGCACGTCTTCTCCGAGTCCACTCTGAACAGCTTCGCCGCGCTGGGCCGCCCCATTCACAGCGTTGTGCGCAGATACATCCAAGACATCTTTTTGGAGAACACACCGCATGCCTCAGTCCTCAAGGACAACGCCTCACTGCAGCAGGCGGCGCTGGTGCCGCTCAAGGATGTGAAGACGCACCTGCCCTTCCAGATCGGCGACTACACCGACTTCTACGCCGGGCTCAACCACGCCTTCAACGTCGGCGTGCTCTTCCGTGGCGCCAGCAACGCTCTGCAGCCCAACTACAAGCATCTTCCCGTCGGCTACCACGGCCGCGCCTCATCGGTGGTCGTGTCGGGCACGCCCATCGTACGCCCGAGCGGCCAGATCCTCACCAACCCGGCCGCCGAGGTCAAGACGCCCGTCTTCTCGCCCTGCCGCCGCCTTGACATCGAGCTCGAGCTAGGCGCGTTTGTGTGCCGGAAGACGAAGCTCGGCGAGCCCATCCCGATGGACGAGGCGGAGCAGAGCTTGTTCGGCGTGGTGCTCATGAACGACTGGTCGGCAAGGGACATCCAGGCGTGGGAATACGTGCCCCTTGGTCCGTTCAACTCGAAGAACTTCGGGACGACCATCAGTGCGTGGGTGGTGCTGGCGGATGCGCTTGAACCGTTCTTGGCGAAGGGGTTGGAGAGTGACACGGAAGTGCTGCCGTACCTGAAGGAGAAAAGGGCGGAGAACGTATACGACATCAAGCTGCAGGTAGATCTGAAGAGTAAGGCTGTCCCACAAGCTCGAGATGTATTAAAGACGTAAGCAGCTGACGCGCATGAATAGCGAGCTCGGGCAACACCAACACCATCAGCAAGACGACGGCAAGAAATCTACTGTTCTCGTTCCCGCAGATGCTGGCACACCATTCCATCACCGGATGTCCGTTCAACGTGGGGGACTTGCTGGGGTCTGGCACGATCAGCGGCAAGGAGCCGAATGAGAGGGGCAGCTTGTTGGAGCAGAACGAAAACGCCAAGACTACGATCAAGCTTGCTGGTGGTGAGGAGAGGAAGTTCTTGGAGGACGGAGACGAGATCACCATCACGGGGGTGTGTGGAGGTGATGAGGATGCGCTGGTTGGATTTGGAGAGTGTGTCGGCAGGATCGAGCCTGCTGTCAAGTTCTCGTTCTGATGGGAACGAGTTGCGGAGTCACATAATCAAAAGAATAAATAAATACAGATGCATCACTTCTCCAAATTGCTTTGATGAAGCATATGGTTCAACTGGTTCAACGTGCTGTGGAGTCTGCCTGATGCAACCAGCAGTGTTGGAGGGAAAGAGGAGAGGACGGTAGGAATTCCGCGTGCAGCTATTGGGAGCTATGGCCACAACAAACGTCATGGGCCGTGCCGCGGCGGAACTGCTCCGCGCAGTGCAGCAGGCAAAGGCAACCCCACACTGCCGATCGACACTACGCAGCCTCCCGCACCCATCAATCAAAAACCCCCCGGCACGCTCCACAACCGCGTCCACTGCGAAAGCATGCCCCTTCGATATCCGCTCCCTCGAAAGCCTAAGCCGGCAGCAGCAGCTACCCCGAGGTTCGTCAGCCTCCTCGGGGCTTCAATGGCAGCGAAGGTTCGATTGGAGCAGCTGGAATCCGGGGCACGCCTATTGGCTGAAGAAACACAGCCAAAGAGGTCACGGGCCTGGGCGAGCGGGCGCGAAACCAGGCACTGCGCACTAGCCCCGCGTTGCTTGCTGGCTGTCGCGGCTGTACGCGGCGGTGCACTGGGCGAGTCTGCCGTTTCCTAGCCGAGTTGACGAATGGCTGGCCACTTGGCCGTTGCTCAGGTGGAACTGCCCCTGCACGAGAGTATGCAAAAGTTGCAAGTTATATATTCGACACGCACACGCTCCGTCTCGGACAACCACCATCTCCTCTCTCATCAGCAGCTCTCCTTTCTCCCCATCAGCGTCGAGCCTGAGCCAACTTCTTCTCTCCCCTCACGTCTCTGTCATTCCCCGCATTTGATCGCCTTCCCTCGGAATTGAGGCCTCCTCACCGACAGAGTCCGCTTGCGCCAGCATGTCCATCCAAGCGGCGACCGTCGCTGTGGCAGCGGCCATATTCTTCCTCTATCGCCTCCTGAACCGAACTGATGTACCCAAAATCAAGGGTATCCCCGAAATCCCTGGCTGGCCAATCTTCGGGAGTCTGATCGAACTGGGTGAAAACCATGCAAGAGTAGCTCGGGAATGGTCCAAGAAATACGGCCCTGTGTTCCAAGTCCGCATGGGCAACAGAGTATGCGGCTATTATCAAGAAGTTTGCGGGGTTTTACGCTGACGACGGCCGCAACAGAGGATCATCTTCGCCAACTCCTTCGACTCAGTGAAACACTTTTGGATCAACAACCAATCGGCCCTGATCTCGCGCCCCACGCTCCACACTTTCCACACCGTCGTGTCGAGCTCCCAGGGATTCACCATCGGCACCTCTCCGTGGGATGAGTCCTGCAAGCAGCGCCGCAAGGCCGCGGCCACGGCCCTGAACCGGCCCGCGGTGCAGAGCTACATGCCCATCATCGACCTGGAGTCGTACGTCTCGATCAAGGAGATGCTCGAGGACAGCGCGTACGGCGAGAAGGACGTGGACCCGACGCCCTACTTCCAGCGCTTCGCCCTCAACACGTCGCTGACGCTCAACTACGGCATGCGCATCTCGGGCAACGTCAGCGACGAGCTGCTGCAGGAAATCGTGCACGTCGAGCGCGAGATCTCCAACTTCCGCAGCACCTCCAACAACTGGCAGGACTACATCCCGCTCATGCGCCTCTGGCCCAGCAAGACCAACCGCGGCGCCGACGAGTACCGCCGCCGCCGCGACGTCTACCTCACCCGGCTGCTGGACGAGCTCAAGGCCAACATCGCCAACGGCACCGACAAGCCGTGCATCACCGGCAACATCCTCAAGGACCCGGACGCCAAGCTCAACGAGGCCGAGATCAAGTCCATCTGCCTCACCATGGTCTCGGCCGGGCTCGACACCGTCCCCGGCAACCTCATCATGGGCATCGCCTCGCTCACCTCGCCCGCCGGCGCCGCCATCCAGCGGCGCGCCCACGCCGAGATCCGCCGCGTCTACCCGGACGGCGACGCGTGGTCGCGCTGCCTCGTCGAGGAAAAGGTGCCGTACGTGACGGCGCTCGTCAAGGAGGTGCTGCGCTACTGGACCGTCATCCCCATCTGCCTGCCGCGCGTCAGCACCAAGCCCGTCGCCTACGCCGGCGCCACCGTCCCCGCCGGCACCACCTTTTACATGAACGCCTACGCCGCCGACTACGACGAATCCCACTTCGCCAACCCCTACGACTTCGACCCCGAGCGCTACCTCGGCGGCGGCAAAGGCGGCAAAGGCGGCGGCGACATCAACAAGGCGTCCGAGGTGGCGGCGGGCACCCCGCATTACGGCTACGGCGCCGGCAGCCGCATGTGCGCCGGCAGCCACCTCGCCAACAGGGAGCTGTACACGGCCTTTGTGCGCCTCATCGCCGCCTTCGAGTTCCGCGCGCCGGAGAGGGCCGAGGACCGCCCCGTCCTGGACGCGCTGGAGGCGAACGCGTTGCCGACGAGCTTGACCATGGAGCCGAAGCGGTTCAAGGTCGGGTTCAGGGTGAGGGATCCCGAGGCGCTGCGGAGGTGGATACGGGAGAGTGAGGAGAGCACGAAAGATTTGTAGTGGGGGAGGGGGGGGGGGGGGGGGTGGGGGGGGTTGGTTGTGAGGTGCCGGCCGTAATTGAGATTGGGAAAGGGTGAGGAGGGAGGGAGGGAGGGAGGGAGGAAGGATGGAAGGAAGGAATGTTTCTCGCAAGTCAGCATTCATGAGTTGATATAAGAAAGTTTTGATTCCACTAAAGGGTACCTATAGACTTTGCAGTACGTATGGTACGTCCACACTACCTTTGCATTCTGTGTGGCCCAGCGGTCGCGCGAAGGTTCCATTGAGCGCGTTCCTATTAAGGTCTTAGATACTAGCGGAGTAGAGACACTATCGGGGGAAAATGGCGTCAACGCCAGCTGTGATGATGAGAAGAAGTATCTGCACCAGGAGTTTGGCCGAGACCCTAGCTGCATCGCAGTGCTTAAGTAGGAATGCGACGTAGGAATTTATCAATGGCAGGAGGCATGGATATTCGAGCTGGGAAATACTCCGATGGGCTGGCTAGGCCTGCTTCCTTGTATTTACGTGCGGCTGATTTGCGTCTACTTCTTCCCAGAATATCGCATCGAAGCTGGTCGGCGATGACGAAAGGAAATGGAGGATAAGAGCTAATGATTAAGGCTTTGCGTGGTGTGATCGGCGAGAGCGATAAACGACGGAGGATCGACGAAGGTCTTCAGGAGTGATGATCCGACAAGGTACTCACGCTCCAATTGATCGACGTTCCTAGCATACCGTGTTGGGTAATCATGACCTCATTCATCAGTCGCGGTATTGGTCATTCCACAATTCGGCAGCAAGAATGTAGACTGCGAGAACTTGCCGGAAAATCTTATCGTGAATTTGCACTCGTGCCTTTTGCAGCTGACTTACGAGGACTAGAATAGTCTCATGTGACCCTATAGAGAGAGTATTTCTAAAACTTTTCATGCAGGCTGTCAATCACATCGAAGTGTCGAGGCATGCACCGTCGAGAGACGCTCACAGCCTGATATCGAAACAATAGACAAATGAGCATGCGACACTGAGAGAAATTGATATCACGAATTAAAACCCCGCAAGAAAATAGTATAGGTGCAACTGCCGCGCAGGAAAGGGGTTGCAAGAAAGAAGGGAGAAGTGAAAGTCATAAATGTCTGTCCTGTTCATTATGCCCTCCTGGACCCCCTTCCATTGTAAACCATCACTAACGGAAGTTCCAGATCAAGTAGAAGACCTGACCGGACATCGCTATGTACGCCATAATGCCCACAACAATTGGAATGTGAATGCATGAGGAATGCCCATCTAAAGCATCAGAGCGGCCAAAGCGGCCAAAAGAGCGGCCCCGCTGAAGATAGCCCCATGCGCGGCACCGGAAGAAGGAAGGGGAGTTCCAGTGGCAGTTGTAGGCGTGGAGCCCGAAGTCGATGCAGGAGTGGTGACAGAAGTCGATGAGTTGCCGTAGGCACCGCTCGGAATCGGAGAGGGGAGGGAGCCGTTGGAGGACTTCTCGAAGTTGGCGCAAGTGATGCGCGTCTTGTTCGGGTAGTGGACGACAATGCTGCGGTTGCCGAAGAAGGCCCCGATGCCAGGAACCAGAGCAGCGTAGTCATCGGCGAAGCTACAGAGTTCGTCAGTTACCAAGTTACGTGGAGAGTGAGAGTGAGTCACGTACTTCAGAGATGAGCCAGGAGCCTGGAGCTTGCCGTGCTTGCCAGCGAGATCACCGACCTGGCAGGTCTGAGGCTGAGTGGCATCACAAGCGGGATCCTCGCCGCGCTCGTAGGGGTCGAGGTGAGCCAGGGTCTTGGTGCAGTTGCCATCGGCGGGGACAGGCTCGTCGTGGATGTGGTAGGTGTAAGGGCCATCGTCGACAGGAAGGCCAGAGATGGAGAGCTGGAAGCGGACGCCCTGACCACCGCCGACGGAGGAGGCGGTAATGCTGCCCCGGACAGGGGTGTCGTCGCGGTTGGGGAGAGTGGCGACGTAGACAGCGCCAGCAGGGTTGTTGGTGACGACAGCAGCGTCGCCGAGCTTGCCAGTGACACCGGCAGCGGCAACAGCGCCGGCGGCAGCGAGGACGAGAGTGGCACAACGCATATTGACGGTTGATGGGGTGGGCAGTGTGTTGTCAGTGATGTTGATGTAGCGAAAGGCAAGAGTCGGCCGACAAGCTGGGCTTATAAGGAGGAAGCCGACGAAGAAAGGTCTGAGGGTCGCGGTTAGAAGAGAATGAGCGAGGGCGGGCAGTGGTGTTTGTGCACGGGGCGGCGCGGGGGAAATGAGGGAATGCCATGCGGGTGTGACAGGCACAGGTACGTACCAATCAGGAAAGAGGCGCAGACGAAGGTGGGCGCGGTGAGAAAAGTCGACTGGGCGTGAGCGAAAGTGGCAAGATCTACGTGAGGACGACAAGAGGAGGCCGGTCGGCGGTGGGCATTTAAGCTTGGCCGGCTTGGCCGGCGTGGCTGCCAGCAGGCACGAGGGTTGTCGGTGGGCACAGACGCAGGCGGCGCAGCACAGAAGGAGCATCCACGGCCTCTCAGCGCCGTTTCAGCGCCGGCGCATCCGCCCAACGTGCAGCGCCCTCGTTTGGCCCAGCCGCGATGCCATGCCAAATATAAACAGGGCCGGCTGGGGTGGTCGCGTGCGGGCCAATCCGCTGGCCCCGCGGACTGTTCCCCAGATCACCGGCCCCTGCGCTAATGCCGGCGCAAAAGCTTGTGCAAAAGTCCTGTGGTCACCGGCGCGCGCCTGTGGCCTCCAGCCGCCCTGTCCCTGCCAGCCCATGCAGGGCTGAGCCGGCCCAACCGCAGCCTGCACCCCCCGACCTCCTCCAAATAGACCCCAGCAACGTGGCTGGCCATGGTGACATGCCGCACTGGCAGGTGCCGAGCCGCGCGAGATTACCTACCGCCACCGGTTTCGTCGCAGCTGCAGTATTCCCATCCGTGCGACGGCCGCGTGCGACAACGCAGAGCCCGTCGAAGGCGCTAAGCCGGCGCGAAGTCGTTGCCGTTCTCTCCGTGCGTGTGATGCCAAGCGCTGGCCAAGATTTAGTTCCCAGCCATCTCGAAACCATCCAGCCGGCCCGCTCCTCTAGCGCGCCCTTCATAGACATGGCTGCCGTCGAAACCTTATTACCGTCCCACAAACTGGTGGAACACATGAATGCGGCACCCACTCCACTCGTCTCCGTCTGACAGCTCTGTTGCGTCGCATCATCTCGTGGCACCCTAAAAGGAAAGCGTTCGGCCCATGAGCATCTCGCGTCCGAGCTTGATGTTGTGTGCGAACCTTCCCCGCCTCAGTCTCCATCAGTGCGGCAATTATGGGGTGAGCAAGGGATTCAGCACTGTTTGTTTTGTGTAGACGGAAGGCTGAGTCTCTCATCAAACATGCGACAACTGTCCAAGTCACTCCAGTCACTTTACCTCCTTTCCCTTTCCAACGCTAACGTCCACTTCCTCCACTCCATCCATGCTCCCTCTGTTCGGCCCCACTCCTACGATTACGCTTCCGGGGATTTCTGCATGCAATATCTGCTCCACATCAGGAACATCGGAATGCTTATGGCCATCGAAGATGGCGTCGATCTCCTCCAATGTCTTGCCTTTCGTTTCCACCCACGCAAAGACGAGGTATAGCACCTCTAGAACATCCCAAGAGGCGTTGATAATGTACGTCTTCCAGCCAATGGCATCCATGGCGAACGGGAAGACCATTGTCACAAAAAGCCTGCGCCAATAATTAGACTTTGATCCCGGCCGTGCGCACTGGAAAGACTTGGAACTTACCCAACGCAGTTGACCACGAACGTATACATCGCCATGCCGTTAGCGCGCATCGAGTAGTTCAGCACCTCGGGCGGATAGAGCACTGTGAGCGGAGTCCAGCCGAATGAGTACGAGCCTTGGAAGAGGAAGATTATGGCCACGGAAGCGTAGATGCCGGATGTGTTCGTTGACTCTCCGTACAGCTTGTTAAGGCCGGCGTACAGAAAGAGGAAAACGGTGAGCAAGGTGGTGGAGATAACGGCCATGGTCTTGCGGCCAAACTTGCTCAAGCAATAGGTACCGAGGAGGGCAACGCATAGACACCAAGCGTTCATAATGATGTTCTGCGGCAGGGTGAGCTACGCATGGCCCCGGCTGAGTCTTCAGTGAGACTCACTATTTCAAGCTGCGTCGTAGTGTCCGTGACGCCAGCGCCGTCAAGCATCGTGCCCAAGTAATACGAGACAATGTTGTTTCCTTTGATGTAATCAGCCATCTCTCCTAACGCCAGGGCCCATAGCAGGCTGATACGCACCAGAAAGCATGCAGATGACGGCAACGGAAATCGTGAGCCCAAGTCTCTTTCTGCGACTTGGCGTGCGTACGATCTCCTTCACTGTCATTTCTCCTGATTCCTTCTCCCACTCCAACGTGTCGCAGATTGACTTGAACTCGACGAGCGTGGCTGTATCCTTCAGGTCGCCATCGCTGTGCGTCAAAGCGAGCGCATACAGAGCCTCATCCTTGCGGTTTTGGTAGACCAGCCACTGAACGTCCCGTCAGCATATCTTCGACGGTAAAGGTCAGCGGGGAAAATCGTTGAACACCAAACGTACCCTCGGGCTTTCCGGCACAAACGGCAAGATCAAGATGCAGAGCACGCTGAAGACACCCTGTACCGCAGAAGGAAGCCTCCACGCCCACGTGCTGTCCATCATGCCCGTTCCATACGTGATGCCGGATGCAGTGAGGCCGCCAACGTACCCTGTCCGAATCTGTTGTCAGAAATCTCCATCTGTATGTACTTGTCAACAGCACCTGCAAGTACTCACAAAAATTGTAAAACCTGGAATCGCAGTCATTAGCATGTATTCCTGAAACATCCCTCTATGGATAGCGAGGGGCTCCCTTTCACTTACAGCCCCAATCCCCACGCCCTCCACCGATGCGGCAAGCACTCCGACAACCATACCGGCCCCGCAATCGACGTCGCCCCGTTCCCCACGCCAATCAGAATGCGCGACGCAGCAAACATGCCGACATTCTGCGCCGCGGCCTGCAGGACGACGGCCGCAATCGTCACGGCGGCGGCGATGGCCATGGCGTTCTTGCGGCCGAGCGTGTCGGACACAGTGCCGTAGAAGAGGCACGGCACGACCTGGCCGATGTAGACGGTTGCCGTGTTGAGCGCCGTCGTCGCGGGTGTCAGATTGAAGTAGTTTGTGTAGGCCGGCAGGATGTTGAGCCCGCTCATCATCGAGCCGTCGTAGCCGAGCGTCGCGGACGAGATGCACGAGCTCAGTATGAGCAGAGCGATGACGAGGCGGGAAGAGTGAGGGACCAGCGGCGTGGCTTCGAAGCTTGGGAGGGGGAGGAGCGCCATGGTTGACTGCTGCTGTTGCACGGTAGGCTGGGGTTTCTGTTCATAAGGGGGGGGGAAGAAGTTATGGCCGTGATGGACGTAGAGATGCCTCTGGCGTCCAAGTCGATCGAGACATCCGTTTTTGGACACCCGTTCGATTTGTACAAGGTCTTCATTTTATACGTCTTCAGATAACAGGCGGACCGGCGTTTCGGCCATGGTCCTTTTGTTCGGTGTTCTGGGGAAGAGTGGGAGGAGACGTCTTATCGACCAGCAACACTGATAGCATTGCGGGCGATCAGTGACTAGGATACTTGGCTGATGGGACCAATGAGCTTATCAACGGGCCCAGCAAGCTTACCTCCTTTCAAATCCATGCGTCGGTGCTGGTCGGGGAATCTGGGGTTGATAGCGCGTCGTCCATGCTGGCACATGCGTCTCACGGCGCAAGGGGAAAGTGGAGATAGCGGGCGGTCCGATGCCAAAGATGATGCCGTCATCCCAGAAGCTGCCTCGGTGCTGATTACTCCCTTGATTGTGTGATCGGATAATAGTATGCTGCTGGAGAATAAAGTGCGGAGGTATGATCGTCCAAGTATCGGTCATTTTGGGGCGCGGTGGTGCCGACAACGTCTAGGGATAATATGGCCATGCAGGCGGGATAACACGCTGTCGCAAATCAAATGGGAGAGCGCCTTGAGAGTCTGATGGGAGACATGGATAAGGACAAAAGATCAGGAATAAGAGAGAATGAACAGAGTAGTACAGCGCCGGGGCTTCTTTTGGAGTTCGTCACGAAATCAAGTAGGTCGAATTCGAATTCGCAGTCGGAAAGAAGCCATCAAGTCGAAAAGATACCGTGCCAGCCACCTGGACTACTTTTCCTTAGAATTACATGGCTGGCCAGTATTATGAACCGAGACTCGCACTGTAACTTCAGCCAGGCAGCGGAACAAGTTGAGATCTATAAAGACAGGGCAGACTCGGGAAAGACTGCGTGACCGCGTAGTTGAGCAGCCACTCACAGGCAGGCGAAACGTAGGCTGGACAGACAGACATGACATGATGCGAAGGACCACTTGGGTGCCAGTTGATCCGTGATTTGGTGCTGTATGATCGAAGGATGGAGGTTCGGGTCAGAGCGACGCCGAAGGGAAGCCGGAAGGTGCCACAAACCCCGGCGCGACGCTCGAACGAAAGCCCGGCATACGTGCGCCAACCAATGGCCGTCGCTGGAATTCTCTGAGTGAGTGGATCTCCGAAAATCTCTGTGGTTGAGCGGCTCCTCTGTCGGCGGATCGAGGGTCTGTGGGTCGGTAGGGTCGGCAGGGCTTTTTCGCGTCGCGCGTCGCGCGTCCCGCCAAGGAAAAGGGCCCGTGCGCAAAATTTCTCGCGCCTTAAAAGCTCGCCCTGCCCGCCAACTCTTCCTTTTTTCTTTAGTCGACTTTGTAAGTTCTACCCCCGGGGGTAACCCGCGCAACGCTGCCATGAGAGCAACCCGCTAACGTCTTTGCGAACAGACTCATAGAATCATTTCTATAGTAAACGTCTCCTTCTGAGCTCCTTACCAGAGCCACAGAATCTCCAACCTGGCTGATGATTCGCAACCCCGGTGCCCTAGAGTGAAGCCTTGTGCTGCGGCTCCGGCTGCAGTGGTGATGATCTCGTCCCTTTCAGATGCCTGGCTTCGGTCGGTCTGGCTGGGTGGGTGCTGGTGGTCGTCTGACAGGCTTTGAGAAAATGAAGCTCATTGACGGATCTTCTGGTGGTTCTGGTACATACAAAGAGGCCTTGGAGGCGGCGCACCTGGTCTACAGACCTGGATACATTGAATACAGAGAAGAATCTTTCTTGGACTTGGAATATCTGGATATGCTTCGTGAAATCTTTGTCTACGCTGCATCCTATCGCCTCCCATGATCACTCGAGCGCACACGCTACTCATGCAAATCGTGAAACGTGGCGCTTCAACACCACCCATACTTCTCGTTGCCTACCCACTCGATGGCCTCTGCGACGGAGCTGCCGTCCGCCGGCGGCTTACCGTACCACATAAGACTGGCGATGCTCTCCGTGTCTCTGTTGACCACCTCGGCCTTGGGATCCAAAAGCTGAGCGGCAGCGACGACCTCTGGTGTGGGACTCCACGCCTCCACCTCAGCCATATGCCAGTTTGCAGCCTCGCGCTGTGCTCTGGCAAGCAGCGCTGCGATGGCCGTAACCACCGTGTCCGGACGAACGTCGTCCTCGATAACCAAGCGAAGGATGTGCAGGGTGTTGCCCTTGCTTTGGTTCTTATCGGCGTTGTACCACATCCGTGTCCAATAGCACCACACCCGCTTGCCTTTCTCCTCCCCAATCATGGCGCCCTTGACCACCGGGTGGTTTCCGTAAAATTCCTTGCCGACAAACTCCTCACGGGCGTGGTGCCACCGGATGGTGTGAATGTCAGGCACAATGGCCACTCGGGTTTTACCGTCCGACGGGCTGTCTTTCAAGCTCTCGCGAAGCTTGCTTTCGTCGTGCGTGCAGAGATCCGGCAGATCTGCAGCGCCAAGGTCCTTCACTGGCGGCAGTTCCACAGCCTGCGACTGCTCTGCCGTTGCCGGCACCGAGATGTGTGCAGACCTGAAGGGCTCCCAACCGCGGTTCGCATAGAATTTCTTCGACGCGTCTATCAGATTGTCGTCCTCGCTCAAGGGAAGAATATGGAGGTGAAAGGATGCCCGCAGGACTTACCTTGCCGATGTCAGAGTAGAGGATGGAGAATAGGCAGTCCGTCTTCTCTGACGTCTGCCACGTTCTCAGCTTCTTGCCCAGCTCCTGCATCATCCGTCCTGCGTAACCCTTCCCTCTGTGCTCCGGCGGTGAAAAGACGCTGCCGATGCCGTGCGTAATCACGTCCTTTATCTGTCCATCCTTCGCTACGATTGCCTTCTTCCGGAAGCTCTCGCAACCGGCCAGGAGGATGCGTTCGCTGGCGGCCTCGTCGACCAGCACCCACCAGGTCTGCCCTCCGTCTTTGGTGATGTCCTGGCTCGAGAGGAACCGCTCGCGGCGGATGTATGCCTCGAGGGACAGCGCACCCCGCCAGGACGGTGCGTTCTTTGTCCACTGGATGACCTTCTCGTCCTCGGTGGGCTCCACGAGGGCCAGGGTCGGGCAGTCGCCCGGTGGGAGCTTATGGTCGTATCCGTTGGCGTGTCCGTTCATGTTGAAAGGGGCGTGATGGATAGTAATACAGCGGTGTGGCAGCCTTCTCCGGGGGCGTTATAGGGTTGCGGAGGACGCGGGCGCGGGTTGCGACGGGGCGCGGTGTATTTATGTGTCAAGCATGCGGAGATGGCTTTGACGGAGCAGAGGCCGTTGCACCCGGCAGCGAATGACCCCTTGAGCCCGCCTCCTGGGGCGGGCTTGAGAAAGGTAAGTCTCGCGCACAGATTGGAGGCAGTCCGACGGGAACCGTGGCAAGCCGGCTGGGGTGCTCCCGGGCAGATCACATGTGGAGGAGCGTAGGGCGCGGGTTGTGGAGCAGCGGCCAGGGGTGGCTCTCGTCTGACAGCATCGAGTTTCTCGTTCTGGCGTGCGCCATGACGCGCACCGGTGAAAGAAGATGTGAAGAGCAGCGTAGCGGACTGCAGTGGGAGCTTCCGACAGCTCCTGCCGCTTACAGATAGTGGGGACATGGGGGGGGGCCAGCCAGCGCCAGCCAGCGCCAGCGCAGTTTGCGGGCAACAGCAGATGGGCAGCACAAACGACATAGGTATGGAGCTGCGCGTGTGTGCAGCAATCAGACGCACCTTGCGAGCTTGAAGGCCGCCTCTCCTGAAGGCCGCCGTCGCAGCTGGAGGCTCTGCTGCAGCACAGTGGTAAGCCGCAGATAGACGAGGCCGCCGGGGTGCGACGCTAGGTAGCGAGGCAGCGAGGGCTGCTTCGCATGACTCGCGCCGTCGCGCTCGCCTGCCTCTCTGGCGCCAGGCGACACGGCAAGGCCACAGGGCCACAGGGCCACAGGGCCACAGGGCTGCGCCGCTTCACCAACGCGCGCGAACCACTCCCTCCGCCTGCACTCGCTCGCATCCCGCCAGCGGCACGCAAAGCCGCGCGGCTCCGCTCTTGGCTCCCGGCACTGCCGCCGACACTCCAGGTGCCCCCGGGCGGCGCAGGCGGCAAGACTCGAGTTGTGCAGCCGCGCTGACGCTACCCCTCCTCCCTCGCTCCAGCAGCAGCTCCCGTGATTGCGGCTGCAGCTGTCCGGAGTGCAGAGTCGTGGGCCGACTTTCCTCTCTCTAGGGCCGCCGGTCCCTTTCGTTCGCACATTCGCACATTCGCAGCGTGCGCGGCGTTCAGTTCCACAAGGTGACGACGTATCAATTTTCTTCCGTGTGCACTCTCGACTCCCACCTGCTGCTCGTGTTGATGCTGCCTGAGGCGTCGACGCCCTCCCTGGCGCTTTACCACCTTGGCCACTGTCCGAGTCCTGGCCAACTGCCACTGCCTCATTTTAAATCGCGCTCCATACCCCTCGTCGCATCTGCGCACACTCTCAACCTGATCCTGACCCGCCCGGCATGCCGCCCAACAACCCTCTCTTGGCTGCACCGCGTGAGATCATCGAGCTTCTCTCAGATGGCGACAGTGACGGCGACGTGGTTGCAACGCCTCGTCTTCACCGGCGGGACAATGGGGCCCTGACACCCAGGTTTGGTTCGCCGGTGTCCACAACCGCAGGATTCGATGTGGAGTGGGAGGCCATCATGGCGGCCGTCGAGGACGAGGAGACAGCCGCAGCTGTGGGCCCGGAGCCGACTGCACTCTTCGCGAGAGAGGCGCAATTCATGACTGAAGACGATTGTCTGGCAAAGGTCCTCGAGATCTACCCTGATATATCGCATGATCACGTGCGACATATGTTTCGTGGCGGCCTCGACGTGGGAATGCTCTCCGATAGCACGTGGTGCGACCAACTCATTGTGCGTATCCTGGAGGAAGGCAAGTACCCGACGGAGCGTGAGGCAAAGAGAGCGGCATTGAAGCGGAAGAGAGAGCCAAGCGAGGATGATGACTTTGACCGCACGCCTATGGCCAGCCGTCCTCATGGTGCCGCCAAAGCGTATCACGCTGCTGCGTAAGTCTCTCTCCTTAGATCGCTGGATGCCAGCTTTCGCTGCCAGGTGTGTGCCAGCACTCGCGTTGCGCGGCAACGTCTTCGACACAGCCTCCAGGCGCAGCCCCCAAAAGATCTGCCGCCTTTCTCGGACCACACTCTGATCTCTCGCAGTGTCAACGCCCTCCAGAACCAGTATCGCGAAATCCCCGTTGCATTTATCCAACACGTCCTCAAGCAACAGGGCACCTTTTACAAAGCCTTCCTCTGTCTCGAGGAAGCGGACCGCACATATTCTGCGACCGCTACCTCGGGAAGACCTTTTCGCAAAGTCCGCATTCGCGAACCCAAACCTCTAAACACAGACCCCATCGTTGACCAAGCCATGGAGACTGTGCTCCAGGAACTTAGAGCAGCAAAGAAGAAGCTGGACCAAGACGCCGGTAAGCACTTCACAATATCTCAAGCTACCAGACGGCTCCCTTATGACTAACACAGACTTTTCGCAGCCAAACGCCAACAGAAGGCGCAGAAGCTCCTGGATGAAGAGCGCAACGCGGCTCAAGCCCGCTCCACGGGCGATGAGTCGGAGTGCATAGCCTGCTTCGACAAAGGTCCTACCAATCGAATGATGTTCTGCGACGGCGCAGAGATCCACTACCTTTGTCAAGACTGCGCTCGCAACTGCATCAATGCGGAGCTTGACGCAGGCAGATGCCGCCCAAAGTGCTGTGCGCCGCACTGCGGAGCCGGCTTCTCTCGGTCGCAGCTTATGGCCTTTCTTGACCCCAAGGTATTCGATCGCTTAGAGAGGTTGCAACAGCAGGATGATCTGCGTGCGGCCGGCCTCGAGAACCTAGAGGCGTGCCCTTTCTGCGACTTTCAGGCCGAGTGCGACCCTGTGGAAGTTGATCGCGAGTTCCGCTGCCAAGCCGATAACTGCGGCATCGTGAGCTGCAGGCTCTGTCACTTGGAAAGCCACGTCCCTTTGACGTGCGACGAAGCCGCAAAGGACCGCAAGAGCAGCGTCCGCCACCAGATCGAAGAGGCCATGACCAGGGCCCTTGTCAGAACTTGCAAGTAAGTAGCAGCTCCAGCTCAAAGTCGCATCGCTCCCAGATACTAACCCGTGCAATAGCGGATGCAAGACGCCTTTCACGAAGAGCGATGGATGCAACAAGATGGCTTGCCCCAAGTGTGGTCATGTGCAGTGGTACGTCCCAGGCCTTTCTTTACAGCTCCATTATATTGCACCTCTGAAATTAACATTCAGCCTCCCAGTTACATCTGTGCCAAGAGCGTTCAGAATTACGATCACTTCCATAATTCAAACGGGAGCTGCCCCCTCTACGATGACAACATAGAAAGACGCCACATGAACGAAGTCAAGGCCGCCGAGGCCAAGGCCCTCGAGGAGGTCAAGAAGTCCAATCCAGACATGACAAACGAGGAGCTTAGTGTCAAACTCTCGGAGAGTGTCCGTAAAGAGGAACAAAAGCGAGTTGCAGCTGCTGAACGCCGTCGTCACCCAGCCGGACTCTTCCACCACCGTCTACCAGGAGATCCTATTGAGATACCTGCCGCGGGAAGACGACGTGGACGCAACCCTCTGCCGCTTGATCCAATTGCAGAGCCTATGGTAGGCGTGCCTCCCCGCTGGATGGTCCCTCCGCTACCAGACTTCGATGCCTTCAACCCCGCTCCGGATCGGGATCGGAACAACCTCCAGCAGATTCAGGCAAATCTCGACCACCTACGGCAGCTCCAAGCACATGTCGATGCCGCAAGAGCCAATGTGCGCCGCCCAGATGGCATCAATCCATTTGGAGCGCACGACGGCAACTACTTCGGATTCAATGCTATGTTGCCCGCGAACAACCTGGACAACGGCTACGCTGCGCCTCGTCATTACGAATATCGGCGTCTGGTCCCCGAACAGCCCCGGGCTGCCTTAGGCTATTACGGCCAGGCACAGCAGAATGTCGGACAGCCTGCGCTTGACAGGGACCGTCTTGCTGCAGATCTAGTAGCCCGGCAGAGGCTTCGGGCGGCTCAAATGCCGGCGCCTGTCGGGCAGGCTGTAGCTCCAGGGCAGGTGCGCTACAACAGACTGCCCACGTTGGTCCACCCGGCGGGTCAAAACCTGCGACAACATCAACAACAAGAACCGGTCGAGGAACAAAACGTGAACAGGAATTCGGCTATACTACGACACCAACAGCCTTAAGCAAGGCTGAACAACCATGATTCCTTGCATAGGCTTGCGCCACATTTACACTTCGCGCGCTCAGTCACATGAAAGACCTGAATTCTACCAGAAATTCCACTTTGTGGGAGTCTTTTTTTCAGCGATATGGTTTCCGAAAAGAGGACTTTCCGTTGCGACCAGAACATATCAATTACGACTTGATTCGATACCCCTCTGGTTGCTAGCTTTTCACCATGGGCGAGCCGACAGCCGTGCTCCGGCGCGAGCACTCTACCAAATATCCGAAGCATTCTAGCGTTCACTGCGGTTTCTCGAGCTATTCGGTACTCGACTCTTTCTTTTCATTCTGATAATCCCTCCTCCCTTGGTTTTTACCTTTTCTGGCTCTGACTTTTACTCCCGAACGAGTTTGCCTTCGTCCTTTGACAACAAGCAGGCCTTGGCTACGTAAAATTCGGGACTGCTGGCATAGAATCCGGTAGGATTTTCTCATTTCAACTTACGGCGCGTGGGGCATAGCGAGTCCAAACTTGTATTGCAGATGCGGAGGTAAAAAAGAAAAAGAAAAGCCCAAAGGACTGGCGCTTTGACATGTTTTCCCTTACCTCCTTGCGACTCAATCATGGAGAACTGAGCTCTTTGTTTCATAGAAACGGTGGATAGTAAATGAAATGAGTTATTAATTGACGGTTTCTTCCCACACAAAACAAGGGAATAAAAAGTAACCGCTGGATGCCATCATCAGCACCACCTTCACTACCCGAGCAGGTCACCTATAGTCCACCGAGCTCGCATTCGACTCCAAGCCCTCCTCGGCCATCACCTCCGCCTTGGCCTTGCCCTCCTCGATCCACATCTCGAACACCATCTCCCCAGCCCTCACCGACCGCACCGGCGTCGTCCCCGCCCCGCCCAGATCCCGACCGAGCTCGTCGTCGTCACGACATTCGTCTCCGCCCTGTCGCAGGCGGCGGCGGCTCTTCCGCACGGCCTGCAGGCCCGGCTGCACCGGTATCCACGGCTGCGGGTGCCCGACGGGCGGATCGACGCCGGCCTCGTCCTTCAGCTCGACGGCCAGCGTGAAGGTGCACCGCGGCGGCAGCGGCCCGAGCACGTCGCCGCAGACGGTCAGCTTCGCCAGCGCGGCGCGGAACTGCTCTTCCATGTCCACGTCTTCGGGTTGCTCCACCCCCGGCGCTCCTCCTCCTCCTCCTCCTCCTCCTCCTCCTCCTGCCGCCGCCGCACTCGTTGCGCTAGCGGGCGCCCTCGCAATCACCGTGTCCCGGTCCTGCGGCCGCGCGACGACGGGGAAGCGCGACACGTCCCAGACGTAGCGCTCGAGCGGCCTGACGCCGCCGCCGCCGCCGCCGCCGCTGCTGCCGGTGGCCGAGTAGACGACGAGGGCGACGCGCGCGACGGCGTTGCGGAGCAGCTCGGCCTCGGTCGCCGCGACGGCGTCGGCGACCCAGGCGCAGACGGCCGGGTGGCGGGACTGGCGGACGGAGTAGTTGTAGGCGCGGGCGGTGAGGAACGAGGACGGCGGGTAGAGGGCGCGTTGGTGGAGGATGGTGTGGATGCAGACGGTGAGGAAGGAGGTGAAGGCGGCGACGAGGGAGGAGAGGGTCTGGGGGGTGGTGGTGGGTGGGGGTGGGGGCGGGGGTGGGGGCATTCTCTTTCCGTCTGTCTGTGGGATTTATTTTTTTTGTTGAGAGAGAGGGTTATGTTTTTAGGTGTGTTTGTATGCTAGGTCTTTGACGGGATCGCGGTTTGGTTGGTGGAGGTATGGCCGTGTGGGCGGAAAACGTGGATTGGACAAGGTACTGTCTGAGGTCTCTTTCGGAATAGGGCGGCTCTTGACTGCTCAGGTTTGAGGTCGGTGTCTGCGGTACCAGGATCAGCAAGCTTTGGGTTCGAGACATGAGGAAAAAGCAGACAAAGGGTTTGGGGAAGTTTGAGGAAGACTGACGCAGTGGCGGCGGGGGGTTTGGACATGGCTGCATTGGGGCATCAAACATAGCCTGGTTGCCGGATAAGTCTAAGCAGCTGTCATCTGCGACCCATGTCGATCGCGGCGGCGGCGGCCTGAGCTTCTGGAATCGCAGAGTGAGTCTCGGAGCGTGTGGCTCGCGCGGTCACGTTTGCAGCGCCGAGGAGCGGCCGCGTGAAGTGCTCGCCCGTCTCGCCGCCTCCTCCGGTTCTTCACGCAATAATCAGACTGGGCTCCGTCGCGCATGCCTGCTTCCGGCCGCCTTGCCTGCTAGCGCCGTCGACTCAGCATCCTCGTTCAGATCCTCGCCGCGTGACGCCCGGCCCAATCCCTGGCCCTAGTGGACGCGCCCACCGCCCAAGCCCACCCAATTGCCCCGCGAAAAGAATAACACCGCTCGACAACCACGTCAACGCGTGTTTGTGGCGCCGCCGACGTGCTTTCTCCCCCAACTCTCGCGCCGTCCCCCCGCCCTCGCCCGCCGAACCACCGCACCCGCCGTCACCATGGAAGAGCAGCTCGTCCGCCTCCTCGCCGACACGCAATCCCCGCAAGACGGCCCGCGCAAGCAGGCTGAGCTGCAGCTAGAGCAACTCTACCCCAACGAAGCCTTCCCGCTGGGCCTCGTCACCGTCGCATCCCACGACTCGGTACCGCTTGATATCCGCCAGTGTGCGCTGCTGACGCTGCGGAAATACGTCGTCTCGACATGGTCGGCACAGTTTGACGAGTTCAAGGGCCAGCTCGTTGCGAGCGAGGAGACCAAGAGCCGGCTGCGCCACTCGCTGCTCGAGCTGGCCACCAGCAACACCGACGAGCGCAAGATCAAGACGGCCGCCAGCTATGTCGTCAGCAAAATCGCCTCGGCCGATTTCCCGGACCAGTGGCCCGACCTGCTGCCCGGCTTGCTGAACCTGATACCTACTGCCACCGACGCTCAGCTGCACGGCGCCCTCAAGGTGCTCGGCGACCTGATCGAGGAGTGCTTCAACGAGGTCCAGTTCTTCCAGTCCGCCGGCGAGCTCGTCAAGACCATGTATGCCGTCGCCACGAGCACGCCGCGGAAGCCGTCGCTGCGCGCCCTCGCCGTCGCTGTCTTCCGCAGCTGCTTCGACACTCTGGAGATGGTGATGGAGGACCACAAGCAGGCTGTGAAGGGCTTTGCGGACGAGACGCTGAGCGTCTGGCTCCCCTTTTTCATTGATGTGCTGAAGAGCAAGCTCCCGGATGCGCCCTCGGAGGATGAGAGCTCCGAGGCAGCAGAGATCTGGAGGGGGCTTGTAGTATTGAAGTTGCAGATTGTTAAGGTAGGAATTGATGTTTGCCCATCGCCGTTTTGCATGCCTTTACTGAATGGATTGCGCAGGCACTTATGAGAATACGCTCGGTTTTCCCCTCGTTGCTTTCGCCCCATAGTCCAGTCCTCTTCTCCGCCACGTGGCACGAGCTTTCTTCGTTGCAGGGCGCATACCACCAGATGTACATCGAGGACGACAGGCAAAGCAGGCTGGAGGATGCCGACGGACTTCCCTACACTTTGGACTTCCTTGTCCTCGAAGAGCTAGACTTCATGCAGGCATGCTTGAAGGCACCACCGGTCCGGAAGGAGCTCGAGTCGCAGCTGCAAGCTCAAAGCGGAAGCGGAGCGACCTGGGTCACCGAGGTCATGCAGCTTGCCGTAGCATACGCTCAGATCACCACCGAGGAGGAGGGCCTGTGGAACTTGGATGTCAACATTTTCCTGTCCGAGGAGACCAGCGTCACTGCCAACTACACACCCCGCACGGCTTGCGGGGACCTCGTTATCAAGCTCGGCGAGTGGCAAAGCGCAGCAACCGTCGACGGACTGCTCTCGTACACCCGTTCTCTGTACTCGACGGACCAGACCTGGAAGGCGAAGGAGGCTGCGCTCTACATCCTCAACCAGATGCTTGGCGACTTCCAGGATGTGGAGCGTCAGGTCAGCGCGGAGGCTGCTACCGGCTTCATCGACTTTGTCAGGTACGCCATGCAGCAAGAGGAGGAGTTCTTGCGGGCTCGCGGCTACCTCACTGCTGGCAGCCTTACCAGGACGTCCGGTGATGCGCTGCAGCAAATGGCTGCGTCGTTCATGGAGGCATCCCTCCAGGCCATCACCAACGATGAGTCAGATGTGGTCAAGGTTGCCTGCATCAGAGCCCTCCAGCACTATCTCTCAGCGCTCCCCCAGGCGGCCACGCTGCCCCTGCAGGGTGCGGTCGTCAACGCCATCTCAACCTATCTTTCGAGCCAGGACCTAAGCGATCTTGCTGATTCCGACGACTTGATGGTTACGCTCGTCGAGACTCTTCGCGACGCCATTCTTCTCGACACTCAGATCTGCCTCAATGGGGCCGGGCTGGATCTCCTTTTCACCATTGCCAGCCATGGCGCAAACAACTTCCAGCTCACCATCCTGGTCAGCGAGACTTTCGAGGAGATCACCGAGACTCTGGCCGCAAACGGCCATGAGACCTTTACTCGCCTGTGTCAGAAGGTGCTTCCCTCGCTCACTGGCGCCTTCGATGTCGGTACTTTGACCGAGGAGAACGCTCTTACCAATCTCGCTGCCGAACTGCTGTCCGTCCTTACCGAGCACGGCTCTGAGCCCCTTCCGCAGGGCTTCGTGTCTACTATCATGCCCAAGATCAACCGTGTTCTTCTTGGCTCCAATGACGAAGAGCTCCTCAGGGCCGCCACGTCTTCTGCCAAGAACATTCTCATCCACGACCACCAGCAGCTGTTCGAGTGGCATGATGAGACCGGCAAGGGTGGCCTCGAGGTCGTTCTTGTCATCATCGACCGTCTACTTAGCCCCAACGTCGACGACAACGCCGCTGCCGAAGTTGGCGAACTTGCCGCCGAGGTGGTGGAGAAGGCTGGATCCGAAAAGCTGGGACCGTACATGGTGACTCTGCTCCGCGCCGTTGCTGTCAGACTCGGCAGTGCTACACAGGCGCAGTTCATCCAGAGCTTGACGCTCGTTTTTGCGCGCTTGTCTTTGGTCAACGCTCACGAGGTTGTGGAATTCCTCGCAAACACTCAGATTGGCCAGCAAAACGGGCTGCAGGTTGTCATGGCCAAGTGGCTCGAGAACTCGATCATGTTTGCCGGGTACGACGAGATTCGTCAGAAGTAGGTACCGCCTTTTCCTGGGTTTGCTGAAGCACTCGATGGCTGACCAATGACGTGCAGCGTCATCGCCCTGTCAAAGCTTTATGATCTCAACGACGCCCGTCTAGCTCAAGTCCTCGTCAAAGGTGATCTCATTGTCCCGCAGAGCGATCGTATCATGACCCGATCCCGTGCCCGGCAGAGTATGTCCGAGTAGTTTCGCGCAGTTCACCATATACTCACTTGTGTTCCGTCCAGATCCCGACCAGTACACCATGGTCCCGGCCACGCTCAAGATCCTCAAGGTTCTCGTCGAGGAGCTGCTGTCTGCCAGCGGCAACATGCAGAACGTCAACGCAGCTGGCGCCAACGAGCTCCCCGACGACGACAGCGACGACGATGATTGGGAGGACGACGAAAACGAGCTGGATCTCGGTGCCGGCGTCACCAAGGCTGGTAAGTATCTACCCAGCTGTCTCCAAATGCGTGCGACTGACAGTGGCATGCGACCTCGCAGAGCTCATGGCGTACGGCGCCGACGACAGTTTCGGCGGCCGCCAGCGCGACGACGAGACTCAGGCTTACCTCACAAGCTTCTTCCACGAGGCGGCGCAGAAGCCTGGCTTCAACGAGATGTTCGCGGCGTTGACGCCGCAGGAGCAGGAAAAACTCAGGTCGATGAGCTGATGTTCTGTCATCAGATGTGTTTGTTTTGAAATGGTAAAGGATCAAGCATACGTTTGAGATGCAGTTGACAAGTAGATGGTGGATATGATGGGATGCAAAAGCGGGGATTACATGACTATATACCACATAGACGAAAAGAGACTGTACAAAAATGGGTTGCGTCATGTGCTTCGCTTCGTGTGTCACCGGAAGGGAAGAGCCAGCCAGGCAGAGGCTGCCTTCGGCCCAGGCCCGAGATGGACATTCTTTACCTACAATTGCACGGCAGCTGCGCCTCGTATCTCTTGGGAGCAGGAAGCCTTGGGCTTCTGCGGCGGGTAGGCTTGATCTCGGCGGACAGCGCCTTCCATTCCCACAAGGGTAGGCTCGATCTCGGCGGATAGTGCCTCCCATTCCCGCAAGGGCACCGGCACCGGGCTGCCCATATCTACCTAAAGCTCTGTACCTTCGCCTGACCTGAACACCTTCAGATTCCAACCCAGCTCCTTTGTCCATCAGTGCTCACGCTGGCTCTTTGCTGCCGACACAGCTTTACTTTCAGCATCTCACACCTCGCATCGAGCCCCAGCAGCGCTGACCGCCATCATGGACTTGAAAGCACTGATGACTGCTCTTCTGCTCTTCCCCGTCCTTGTCATGGCAGGCGGTCGACGCCACCGTACGTCCGCCGTTACGAGGTACTACGAAGTAGAGCATGAGGTGCCTCCGATTACGTCCTCATAGTAGGTCCCGCCTCCCTCCTCCCCTTCCACCTATGGTAAGCCACCATGAGCTGACCGCCGCGTCCAACGACAGCCCCGTCCTCAGCCAGCAGAACTGCGCAGCTCAAGGCCCGGATAAGAGCAGCGGCATCTGCACTAACAAGTGCATGCGGCAGTATATGACGGCAATGACCTTGAGCCCCGTCACCTGGGTGGGAGACAACTCAGTCTTCAGCAGCGCCACCCTCTTCTGGACACGTCCACGCTGGGGCGATGCCGATGGCAAGCACGTTCCGCTCTCCGACCAAGTGTCCGAGTACTCAAAGACGAAGTTCCTCCCATCCTCCGAATCCGCCGCCTTATCCAAAAGCCTCGCGCTACTTCACAAGAGTCCAAAAGTCAGCACGAGTTCAACCGTCCCCCAGAAAACGACAACAACGACAACGGAGACGACGACGGAGACGACGACGACGGCGACGACGGCGGCGCTGCCGGCCATCTTTCCCAGGTCAGCCTCTACGCCTACGCTCAGCGTCGCCTCGACAGCATGCCTGCCCGACCCGATGAAGCACCCGGCCGTGACTTCCCGCGATCCGCGAGACCCCTACCGCGAGGAGACCTGGGTGAAGCCAACGAATCCGGCATGCGACCGGTTCGATCCGATGGGATACAATGCGAATGAGCTGCTGTGGATGTACCAAGACAAGAAGAATCATGTCGAGTGCTGGGACTATGAGTCGTGCTGGGACCACTGCAAGAAAGTGAAGACCCGCGAGCACAATCTCAGGAACATCATGCTCGGCATTCTGGGTGCCATCTGTGGCATCGTGCTTGCCGCCGTGGCCTACAAGTTGTGGCAGAAGAAGAAGAAGGCGAAGGCGGACAAGGACACACAGGCGAGGAAGAAGTGGGGTCATGAGCTCAGTCCCGCCGCCGCTCAGAATGTGGATGGTCCGATGGATACCGTTGCTGCTTCTGCTTCGGATGAAGAGAGTGCGAGGAGAGCGGCCTCGTCATTCAGGATGGCATTCAACGGGGGCGTGATGAACAGGAGGGATGCGAATGCGTCGGGCAGCGAAAGTGTGCCTGCGCAGGATGATCGTACGGCGATGAGGAGGGCCTACTGAGTAGGAGCGGCGACGGCCCTGATTGTTCGACGGCTTTTTTTTTTCCTTTTTCTTTTGTCTTTCGAGTGTGTGGCGTCGAAGGCTCTATTGTTTGAGAAGTTTTATGTGGGCCTGATTGCGTCGATGGTCTTGTTGCTTTGGCATGGTGCCTAATGGGGTATTGTATGCTTAGGCGTTTGGTTCTGCGATTCGTTGTTGCTCTTACTCCTGCTTCTCTTACTGAAAAGTTTCAGCTTTGTTTTGCTTTTCCGTAGCTTCACAGATGCGTTACCCATCATCGAATACAAAATATTGTTTGCCGCCAGGCGAGCAGAAGATAAAAGGTTACCCATCATGACAAGCCTATGTGTCGATACTGTGGAGGGAGAAAGAAGCATGAAGTAAACGTGCTAAGCCTCACTACCACAGGCATATAGATAATACACTTCACCCTCCACTCCTCCAACTGATTGGAGCTTTTTTCGAGGCCCTTTCTATCATACGTTGTTTCGGAGATACTACTAATACATACTGAGCAAGGAGCCTCGAATATGGCTTCTACGCGGCGTGAATGCCGCATGAAGCTTGCTGCGAGCCCTGCCTTCGCGAGGCGCCATCGTAGGAGCGGAAGACAACCGCGCCCAGAGCAGCCGGACTCCTTTATGAAGCGCTGTCTCTGGGTTCAAGAAGCCGTTGCTACTACTTGGTCAGCCCGCCCATGAGATGTTACATAGGACGCAGGAGCACCGGCCAGCTCCACTCCGGGGAGCTCGGAGCGAAAGCGATAATCGGAGGGCGGAGGGCGGGGGGCGGGGGGCGGAGGGTAGTAGAGACGTCGGGCGTGGGATTTGAGCTGCACAGATTGAAGGGTGGTGCAGGGTGGGAATCGCGTAGGGCAATTGAATTTGTTTTCCTTCTTCCCCCCTTGTCGGTGAGCTCGATGTGTGGGACAAGGAATAGCCCCAAGTCGGACAGAGAACGTGTGGCTCTCCTCGTCTCGAAGAATCCGATCCGGATGCTCTCTGTGTGTAGTCAGGCTCACCTGGCGCGAACAGCAAAGCGAACGGCGATACGGGCTTTTCCGAAGCAGCAAGGCGTCGCAAAAGTAGGATAATGTTCCTGTGGCGCAAGAGAACGCGAGCACGAGTACAAGGCAAAACCCCCGGAAAACACAAGCCTTTAATTCCTTTTTTTTTGGTTCTCAATGTAATGAAAGTGACGAAGAGACATCAAGCACCATCGTAGATGTCCAACATTCATTCACGTACACTCAATCCACCACCTAAGGGGTTCTAGACCTACACGCGCCGCCCTCGTACTCCTCCATGGCCTCTCTCTTCAACTCCGTCACAAGACCTCCGCGGCCAGCTTCCAAAGTGTGACTAAATAACACACGTCCGTTTGTCTTTTTCCCAAAATAGCCCCGTGTTAAAATACTAAGCGAAGGGATATAGTGAGAAACAAAACAATGTTGAGTAATTGTCATCCCCGGCCCAAACGAGAAAACGAGCGAAAGGAAAACCAGTGGAGAGGCCGTGAGAGAGGGATGATCATGGGGGAAAGGAAGACCGCCAGAACGGTATCGACCAATCAAAGGGATGATTCAGTCGAGTGGATGCCGATAAGAGGAAAACTTTGTTTTTTTTAAGCCTTTCCCTGTTCCTTCAACTCCGATTTGAGGGAGAACCGCCGGACCAGAAAGCGGCAACCCGGGACGCACACAACGGGGGGTAGTGTTAGGGCTAAAGCGTGCATGACTCATGCTGCGCGCAGGAGAGGACCGCCGAAGAAGTGAAAAGGGCGGCAGATGTGGAGCGGGTCATGCAGCGCGTATGCGTGTCGACCGGGACGTTCGGGAGCGGGTGGGTAGCTGAGAGAGACGAAGGAGGAAGAAAAGGGTTCAGGATCTGCCGGGTGTGGGTGGCGGGCCGGGCGCGCCCATCCACACAGCACTCAGCCATCCGCTGACGCCCTGCTCGCCCGGCTGCGCCATGGCTGCCCAGTCTTCCCAATTGGTGCCTGCGATGAATGCGGCGATGTCGTCACCGCCGAAGCGAGTGTCGAGATTGTCCAACCACGCCTCCTGCGATGCTGGCGAAAAGGATGAGCCAGATGTGTACGCCGGTTGATGCGTGCCGTAGGGGTCTGCGGGACTGCTGTGGGGATGCTGCTGGTGCTGGATAGGCGTGAAGCCCGACGGGCGGTCGTAAGGGGTGTTGCTTGCGGCGGATGCGGAGCCGGGCGGGGATAGGATCGGAGAGTGTCCGGGCAGCTGAGGTGGCTTTGGCTGCTCGGGGGAAGGGTTCGAAATCGGAATGCGACCCGGTCCGTACGTGGTCGCCCCATTGGCTGCGTTCTGCTGGGATGCAGCCGCGGCCACGGTATTGATCGCGTTCCACCGCTCGTGCCGGATGGCATCGGGGGCGTTCGATGTATCCATGGCCTCACCCTTAGGCATCGACGAACTAGTGTCAGGGCGGCGCTCCTCGTCGCCCACGTCGAGCATGTCCAGGTCCTCGTTCTCGTCCCATAAGCTGCCAAATTCCCGTAATGACTTCTCCAGCAGCTTGTATTCTTCTAGGCCACCACCAGGCCCCCCTTCGCGAAGGGTGAGATTGCGCAAAGACTCGGCCCCGGGAGAAAGACCAGTCGTTGCTTTCGCGTTTCGACGGAAGTCCTTCTTGATCCGAATGAAATACACATGCACTCGTTTGAGGGTCCTGAACCAGCCATCAGCCATGTGCAGCGCTCTGCGCATCTGGCTTGTGATCTCGAGGGCCGTTCGTGCGGCCTCTGCACCGGGAGAGTCGCCGGTTTCGGATTTCACTGGATTGTAAGACTGTGTTCCTTTGCACATGTGGCCGTAAGGATCCATCCAGGGGAAGTTGATAGCATAAACACCTGTCTCATATCAGCCATTTGAAACGCTGGATTACTATAGCGAGATGAAGGCATACCCGTGAATGCAGCAGTGTACGCAGCGAAGCCGACGATTGGTGTCTCGACAAGAACATTCCACTCCTGGCAGATTCGCAGAAGGTCAATGACGTCCCTTGCAGACTTGAACAGTTCCCGTGCGCTTTGTTCCCAGAAGCCTTCCGGAACCGTGTATTCATCCGAGGAAAAACAAGGAGGATCGAGGGGCCCTTGTGGCTTGGGCGATCGGAGCGGGATGAAAGGGATATATTCGCGGTGGAGAATCATGCCAGAAAGGAGGTGCACAATGTGCATGAGGACAAACGGCGTCGATGTTCTCGATGTAATGTGCGCGGATATGTTGGGTGAGGTGAGGGTCATATCGCGAGGCAGACCATCCCTGAATCGGCTGTGAAGTCGCTGCAGAGTACAGAATGTTGAGCGGTCATCCCAGGGGGGGAATTGTTCCCGTCTGAAACAGTCAGCGACACATCCAAATGTGAGTCAGGCGAAACGCATACCTTCGTCCCCCACTGCAGGACCATTTGACAATACGTCCATACAAATCCAACACTTTGATAAAGCGGCTGAGGATGCCTTCATCGGAGCCGACCTCCCATCGGCCATCTTCCTCATCTTCTCGGCCAAGCCCCGTACCCGTGGCCGGAGACCGATCGCTGCTGACAGGAGTACCTCCGTTAGGCGATCCTGACTTCGAGCCCAGCATCACTGAAGTCTTCCGTTGGTGTTGGATATGGGCGCGGCCAACAACATCGTGAACTTCTTCGCCCAGCATCAATGTTTTGACTTTCTCGCCAAAAAGGAAGGCTCGTTCGCTACAAGGTAGTTGAATCCTCAGGTCCTGGATGTTGAGCATTTGCGGCCTGTATTTCCCACTGCTCAGGTATCGGTCCATGATGAAGCAGCTCCAGAAAGTACGTCTCCTCGTCTCCTGTTCGATGAAAGCATCCCCTTTGCTGTTCAGCGCATATTCTCTCTGACTGGTGCTTACACCGAGGTGCCGTGCTTCTTCGACCATGGCAGTTGATCTAGCCAAGGGCATATCGTCAAGGTCGGCCTCGAACTGAAGACCAAGTAGCTGTGCTCCACGAATTGCTATTCCGATTGTGACCCATGCCTTGGAACCCTGGCAGGACCCCCATTCGTGCAACCCGAGCATCAACATGGCCTGAATCCGCTGCAGGTCGGGGACCCCCGGATCGCCTCCGTACATGCTGGCGATACGGTTCCGGCATGCTGAAGCGTAGTACTCGGCGGCGACTTGGGGTTTTGGTTTTGAGCTGGAGGTCGAGTGGTACGCAACTAGCTGGGGGTGGAATCGGGAGGTCAGGGCTAGAAAGGCCAAGAGAAGAAGCGGAGAGAGGGCCGGGAGAGGACCACTGGCTGGATCGCCAAAACCAGAGTTGGGCGACTGTAGCGAAGACTGCCGCAAAGGCTTCAGGAAAGTGGGAGGATGCAAGAAAGGAAGATCAGTGGAATAGTGCGTCTGGAAAATCTCGAACTGCAGAGTGGTCAGCGGCGCTGATGTCGTCGTAGATGAAGACGTACCAGTTCCGTCCAGACTTTCGGCGTGAGGACGGTCGGATCTAGCGCATCCACTAGAGCATGGGGGCTGTCTCTGTTTGACGAAGAGGTGCCGGGAATCGAGGTAGAGCTCTTCTTGGGACGGGGCTGGCGCCGCGGAGTCTGCCACAAACCGAATAAGCACTTCAAGACAATCACACAAACAGCATGACAGAGGCGTGGCATAAGCGTATAAATTGCGAGGGAGCTGTTCTACTGAAAGACAGGAACGTCCGCAATCCTGATGAGGCTGTGATCCATCGGGCAAGACCATGAGACAAGGCGTGACGTAAAACACAGAAGGGAGCTCTAGCTACGAAAATGAAACTTACCTCACCAGCGGGACCTCTGTCCAGGATGGGGTGGCCAGACTGACTACTGCTCTCACGGCGGGCTACGGCAACGCCGCCGCCAGCGCCGGCGGCAGGCGAAGGATAGGTGCATTCGCGGCCGGTGGTCTCGCAGGCCCTGCACGTGGTGCCTACGCCATTGTTCACGCACTTTACTTTGCTTCTTCTGCAGCGGGCGCAGGCGATGGAGGACCTCATGCGAGGCTGCTCCGAGCGCCGGGCGCCCGCCTCAGGCGCGGCTCGCTCCGGGGTCTGCACCGGCGGCAGCGGGCGCTGCTGATGCTGCTGGGCAGAGGCCGGGAAGACGGGCAGCGGCGGAGCAGCGTGGCCCGGCGGCGGATAGGCCGGCACGTCGAGACGGGCAGTTGGCGGGCTGCCCGTGAGCGGGCGCTGCTGCTGGGCGGGAGTCGGCGAGAGCAGCGACGAGATGGAGGTTGAGTGATTAATGATGGCGGCGGACGGGGCGCAATCTGCGAGAGATCACGCGCGGGCTGGGTTGGTTGGGGTGGGTTGAGCTGAGGGAGCCGCGAGGTGGGAAGAGCAGAGCACGGCAGTCGCGCCGGGGTCAATGGGCTGACGTATCCCGAGCCGGGCTGGGCCAGAGCGAACGCGAGCGAGCGGCGAGGCGGGGGACTTGCGGCGGCAGCGGAGGGCGGGCTCGACGGGCTCGACGGGCTCGCAGAAAGATTCAGGGTCCAAGGGCCAGCAGGAGCGTCGGCGGCAGCTGGAGGCTTTTGTAATACTGCCCGAGAGCAGCGAACCGAAAGGCATGCAGATCGTAAAAGCCGGCCTTCCGCGGGTCCCGTGTCAGCCAGAGAAGCCGAGCGGAGATCAGCTTCGTCTGGGATGACCCGCCCCCGATAGGGCGTTCGGAACGAACCAGCCCATTGTCCTGCAGCGGGAGAGCCATCAACGCCCGTCGCAGCCAGGAACGGCCGCCGGCCAATTATTCCAAATTCTCGCAGCAACGGCCCGACCTGCGCATGTGGGCTTCTCCACGCCTCCGGGTCGCCCGTGAGGCGCCACCTCCCCATCATCACCTTACTGAACCGCGATACGAGTCGGCCGGACGCGCCTGCCACGCCGTTCCCCGGCCGCTCCACTCGCCCTCCGCGCCGCACCACGGCACTGCGGCTGAAGCCTGCCTGCCTAGGTACCTGCTGTGTACGTACGCCCCCCTGTCGCCCGCTCGGCGTCGACTTGGAGGCTTGGCTGACGCGACCTTCGGCTCGTCGGCTCCCTCATGCGCGCCGCACATGTCCCAGTTCCCGAGTTTCTCAGCGCGGCGTCAGACAGCGCGTCTTGCGTCGTGCCGGCTCTGGCCTCGGCCTGCCCCCCTCCGGCATCTCTAGCGCCGGCCAGCTGCTGCCCTTCCCGTGTGCTCTGTTGCGCTGTTGCGTCCACACGTCTGTGCCCAGCAATTCCGGCTGTGCCGCTCTCCACTGTCTGGTCGGCCTGCCGCGGACTTTCCGGCTCGTTGATGCTTCCGACCGCATGCGCAGCTTGCGTGCCTGCACGCAAAACTGTGGAGTAAAGCCACGGCCACTAGCTCCTACCCGGCCTGCCGGCTAACGTTTGCCTCGCAGCCGTCGGCTCCAGTAGTCTCACTGCAAGCTCGTCAGCCAGCGCGGGAGGACAGCCTTGCAGCGTGTGCTTGGCCGCTTCCGTCGCCGCGCGTGTGCATTTTCGGTATCCGGCTGTGGCCGACACCGGGCTCGCGCACGGCAGCAACACGCACACGCACACACACATACACACACGCCAAAATGCTGGTGTTGCTCAAGCAAGAACTGCCCCGGCGGCCATGAGGGCTGGTGGAGAAGGTTGCCTTAGGCATTATTGGAGGCAGGGCCGGCACGCCGGGGACTAGAGGTGTTTGGCGAGACGGCGTTCGCCGCCAAGTGAATCGACGCCCGCATCTCGAAGCTGCGGCAGCGGGATACGTCTGCTTTGTGCTTGCCCAAGAGATGACGGGCGTCATGTCGCCGCGCGTTGTGGGCGCAAGGGGCCGATCTTCATCACTTGCTGGACTGGTGCTGCCCGCACCAAGGCCCAGCTTGTCCCGGCCTGGGCTAGGCTTGCGGGCGGCAGGAACTCAGCCGGGGCGGTTTCCCTGCGTTTCCTGGAAATCGCGCGTGTCTCAGGAGCGCAACACAGTCCCGTAGTGTAATCCATATGTAGGCGTGGTAAACACGGCTGCTTGGGCGGCGCACATCTGTCCAGACTCCAGACATTGTTTGCTGCCACGCGGCCGTCGACGGTGCGAGCAAGATGCTGCGGGCCGCGGGCAAGCCTACGCTGGGCCGTTGTCTGGGCCGATCAGGAGGGCGCAGTCGCAACGGTGCCCGAAATGGCTGCTTGGGCGGCGCGTTGCGAGGGTGGTGGGACGCAGCAGGACTGTGGCGGCGTGCGATGGGCATGCAGGCCGCTGTGCCGTTGGGCGCGGGCTGCGGCGAATAGGGGCGCCCAGCGGCCTTGGGAGACCAGGCCGGCGGCCAGCAGCTTTCTGGTGTTTTGACCGCTGCGCTGCTGCCAAGCTTCCACCCCTCTGTGCCTCAGCCTGCGATTTCAACTCTGCCCGCTCAGTCACACCCACCCGCCAGCAGGCCAACATCAACGCAAAGGGGCTTGCTTCGTGCCTCTGCGACACAGCCGCTTCCACACCACGACGCGCGCACGGGCGGCCGTCGAGCGAGGCTCCGCACCCAACGCGACGTCTTCCGCCGTCCTGCCCGCCCCATCGCTCCCCATGCTACACACCGCGTCATCATACCACTGCTGAACAGTACGCGCCGCCAACCCACCGCCGCCCTCCTCTGTGGTCACGCCCGTTAATTCGCCTGCCGACAGGGACGAACCGCCACCATGAACGAGGACGACGCCATCCGGTCGGTCCAAGGCAAGATCGAGCGCGAGAAGGCGCTGATCAACGCCGCCAATGCCATGCGCCAGTCCACCAACAACCCCGCCGTGCTGTCCCGCCTCGATGGCCAGATACGCGAAGGCCGCCGCAACATCGAATATCTCGAGGGCCGCGCGCAGGAGCTGCAGATGCGGAGGGTTGGCACCGACGTAGAGAACTTGTCCCTCGGCTCCGGCAGCAACGGCCCGCCGTCGCCAGAGCAGAGGAGGAACCCGCTGCCTCCTCCACCGAAGGACTCCCCCGGCGAGTACGCCGATGACGGCAACTACGGCCAACCTCCACCAGGAGGCTACAGCCAGCTCAGTGGCGGCCAGGTCCTGATGCCTCCCAAGGCGCCGTATGCCGCCCCTGGCCCGGGTCAGCCTCGTCAGCGTGCAAACTACAGCAAACTTGGTAAGGCGGTGGCGTCTCCACGATGGTCCCACGTGTTGGAACTAATCTGGCGCAGACTTGATTAAATACGATACCCCGTATCTGGGGCCACGGATCCAACTGATGCTGTCGCAGCTCGAGTTCAAGCTTAGTGTGGAAAAGCAATACAAAGATGGCATTGAGAAAATGGTGCGCCTCTACCAGATGGAGGGTGACAGGAAGAGCAAGGCCGACGCCGAAGCCCGCCGGATTGAGAGCAACCAGAAGATCCAACTTCTCAAGCAAGCGCTCAAGCGCTACGAGGATCTTCATGTTGACATCGAGGGCGGCGATGGCCCCGATGGTAAGTTTTCCCTCGGCGTGTGGTAGAGTTGCGCTGAGAAAGATTGTTTGCATAGATGACAGCCTCAACGTACCGAGCGCCAGAAAACCTCTTACCGGTCATTTGACGCTGCGAGTCCATCAGGTGGCCGATGTGGATCACGCTGCTACGGGCCGCTTTAGCCGGGGACCTGAGACTTTTGTTATCATGAAGGTCGAAGATGTCTTCAAGGGACGCACGAAAGCTACGCGAAACGACAGGTGGACGGACGAAGTTCATGAATTCAGCATTGACAATGCCAACGAGGTTGAGCTGACGGTGTATGATCGAACCGGCGATCACCCGCTTCCCATCGGCATGCTCTGGGTCCGCATTTCTGACATTGCCGAAGAGATGAGACGAAAGAGGATCGAGACCGAACTTAACAGCTCAAGTGCCATGTGGGTTTCAGCAGACAAGATGGGCGCAGGAGGCGGCGCTCAGCCTGATATGCAATTCCAGCCTCCACCTGGACAGCCACAAGCTGCTAGCGGCCCTGGTGGGACTGGCGGTGGATCTGGCCAGGGCATGGAAGGTGCCGGCCCTCAGCCACAGACGGGTCCAATTTTTATCGATGCGTGGTTCGCGCTTGAGCCCGTAGGCCGTATTCAACTTACCCTGAGCTTCGGTAAGTCTTCCTGGGGAGGCCCATCCTGCCTCAAACTGACAATGTCACAGCCAAGCAAAACAAGAACTCTCAACCGTTCGACATTGGTCTCGGCCGCAAGGGCGCCATTCGTCAGCGCAAGGAGGAGATCCACGAGCAGTACGGCCACAAGTTCGTCCAGCAGCAGTTCTATAACATCATGAGATGCGCCCTCTGTGGCGACTTCCTCAAGTATGCTGCTGGTATGCAGTGCTCGGACTGCAAGTACACGTGCCACAAGAAATGCTACCACAAGGTCGTCACCAAGTGTATCACCCAGTCCAACGCAGAAACAGATCCGGACGAGGCCAAACTCAATCACCGCATTCCCCACCGCTTCGAACCATTCGCCAACATGGGTGCCAACTGGTGCTGCCACTGCGGTTATGTCCTTCCGTTTGGCAAGAAGCAGTGCAGGAAGTGCTCCGAGTGTGGCTCGACTTGCCATGCGAACTGTGTGCACTTCGTCCCCGACTTCTGCGGCATGTCCATGGAGGTTGCCAATCAGATTCTGGCTGAGATCAGCGGCGCGAAGAAACGCCAGACGTCATCGATCTCGTCGATGGGCTCGAGGCAGCTGCGACCTTCTTCAGGTGGGGGTCCACGGCCAACCGGCCCGCACCCTTCAGGCTCTTTTGCGGATTCGGTGCAGTCGGAAAGGCTATCCTACGGAAAGGACTCCACCCTCCAGACCAGGACCTCTTACGGCCAATCCCCGTCTTCACCAACCCAGCAACGGCCAACGACTGCCCCACGCACCCAATCCACAGATGCCACGAAAGCGGCAGCCATAGCTCTTGGTCAGGCTCCGCCAGCTCCCGGACATTACCAGAGGTCTTCGACCGACTACCAGCCCTCTTCTCCTTCGCGGTCATCCGGAGGCTACCAGCAACAACCGACATCGCCGCAGGCCCAATCCCCACAGCAATCCTCTTACAACCCGGCTGACTATGCGGTGGTTAGCGGGTACCCCGTCGGAACTTACAACCAACCTCCGCAACAGCAGCAGTCCCCGATACAGCATCCGCCTAGGCAGTCGAGCTACCCACAGCCTGCGCCACCACCAACGCAGCCGCTGCCGCCTCAACCTGGGCAGGCGCCCCCACCGCAGGCCCCACCACATGACCCTATTGCTGTGCAGCCACCCAACCAGAAGAAGGAGCTCCCTCCCCACAACTACCAAGGCACTGGCAGGCGCATTGGTCTGGACCACTTTAACTTCCTGGCCGTTTTGGGTAAGGGTAACTTCGGTAAGGTCATGCTTGCGGAGACGAAGAGCAATAAGCAGCTGTATGCCATCAAGGTTTTGAAGAAGGAGTTCATCATCGAGAACGACGAAGTCGAGAGCACAAGGTCAGAGAAGCGTGTGTTCTTGATCGCGAACAAGGAACGTCACCCCTTCCTGCTCAACCTGCACGCGTGTTTCCAAACGGAAACCCGCGTTTACTTCGTCATGGAGTACGTCAGCGGTGGTGACCTGATGCTTCACATTCAGCGTGGCCAGTTTGGTACCAAGCGAGCACAGTATGTCCAATTTCTTGTGTTTTCAGGTGCGCTGCTAACTTGCAAAGGTTCTACGCGGCCGAGGTCTGCCTTGCGCTCAAGTACTTCCACGAGAACGGTGTCATCTACCGTGACTTGAAGCTTGACAACATTCTTCTCGCGCTTGACGGCCACATCAAGATCGCGGATTACGGTCTTTGCAAAGAGGACATGTGGTACGGGTCGACGACGAGCACGTTCTGCGGCACCCCTGAATTCATGGCACCTGAGGTATGCACTTCCCCGACGAGTGATGTGGGCGCGACTGACGTTGGATAGATTCTTCTCGACAAGAAGTATGGCAGAGCAGTAGACTGGTGGGCTTTTGGTGTTCTTATCTACCAAATGCTGCTCCAGCAATCGCCGTTCCGTGGTGAGGATGAGGATGAAATCTACGACGCCATCCTTGCGGACGAGCCGCTGTACCCGATCCACATGCCGCGAGACTCGGTCTCGATCCTGCAGAAGCTCCTCACCAGGGAGCCGGAGCTCCGTCTTGGCAGCGGGCCGACTGACGCACAGGAGATCATGAGCCACGCGTTCTTCAGGAACATCAACTGGGAGGACGTGTACCACAAGCGCATCCCTGCCCCGTTCGTGCCGGCGATTTCGAGCGCAACGGACACGAGCAACTTCGACCAAGAGTTCACGAGCGTCACGCCGGTTCTCACGCCGGTACAGTCAGGTAAGTGTGCAGGAGCAATGCGGGGTGCGAGATGGGCAGATGCTAACGCGATTGTGCAGTGCTTTCGCAGGCGATGCAGGAAGAATTCCGGGGGTTCTCGTACTCGGCCGACTTTGTTTGAGCGCATGCGAGGAGGTGACTTGCATTTCAGCTTTCTTCTCGGTTGCACGATTGGTAATACAGTTAGCGGGCTGTACGCAGTGCCGCATTTGGCCTTCGTTCTTCTTGCCGGATCTCTTCTTTTCTGCCCTCATTCGCACACGGCGTCTGGAGCCATTTCAAGAAACAACCCCGTTTGAAGCTGCTTTCTGCGCGCGAGTTGGAGATGGACATGGGAGCGGGAGTTGAGCGGGTGGGTAGCGTGGGTAGCGTGCGCGGGAGGCCGATTGTGATTAGCCAGCAAGCGGATGTGTGACGATTTGAAGCAAGCGTGTTTTTTCTCGCGGAAAGAAACGGCGCGCAGCCAGTGTCCAGGGTGCGTGGAGAGCTACAAGTATGGATAGACTTCTGAGATGACAGCATCCTGTGCAGTGGTGTGAGAGTAGGGGTTTGATGCCATGTACTTGTCCCGTCGTGCCAAGCAGGGCGGTCCCACGGCAGTCCCACGGCGGCCAGGGTCAAAAGCTTGGAAGTGGTTGTGTGTGCTCCCGTCTTTTCGCCGTGTGGCCGAGTCTCGTCCTTTGGGGACCCCAATCGTCCCCAATCATCTCCACGGCCGGCCGGTCATACGAGCGGAGCCCCACACTTGCCAATTGGCGGATAATTACGTCCGGGTGGCAGCTCTGATCCCGACGTCATCATTGACGGCTCTGTGGAAGTACTACACACGGCGCGTCCATGCTCTCGGCCTGCCCGTTTCTCGTGTCCGCTGCGACACTGGCGACGCGTAGGTAGGTTCCTTTTCTGGCGGGAGACGGAGCGGGTCCGAGTGTCTCCGTTGATCTCGTGACTGCAGGTGGACGGCAGTCCAAAAGGCGCTGCAGGCCCGTTCAGGCCCGTTCAGGCCCGTTCCTGCCCGGCGGTCGCGTAGCTGGGCGGGCGGAATCGGGCAGGGATCACGACTCGCCGGCCACACTGCCTTGTCGCTCCCCGCACGCACGCCCGTCTTCTCCGTCTTCTCCATCCGCCCCCGCCGCCACCGGCTGACGCACAGCCCACCAATCCACCGCAGCCCTCGGGAAGCCTCCATAGGCTCCATCACGCTCTCGCTCGCTTGCTCGCCCTCCGCCCCACGCCCCGTGCGCCCGCCGTGCGCCTGCCGTGCCCGTTCATTCCCACCTTCACAGAGCCCCTGCAACCCTGCTGCTCTCTTGGCCGCTGGAGGAACGAGGCTTGTTGACGCGCGGGAGCTTGCGCCAGACTCGTCCGCCTCCACCGGCGCCCACCGCGCCGCCATGGTCGAGGGCAACGCCTTTCCCTTGCGCCGCTCTGCTCTTCTGCTCGCTCCTGTGCTCGGCATTGTCACGAGGCTATGCGAAACTGAGACGGCCGGCGCGATGTCACCTCGGGTTGCTTGTCGAGGCGTTTGCCGTTTGCTAAGGCCAGCGCCGCACCGGTGCAGGCTGCTTGTCCCGCAGGCCCTGCCGTCCGGCATTGCAGCGCCCCCCGGTTGGCACCTGAGCCGGCGCTATACGTCTTTGGGTAAGGCCCTCCCACCGGAGCCCGGGGGGCTGGCAGTCTCAGAGCAGCGCAGAAACGCATCTCACTGCGTTTTCTTGCCTTTCGGTGGGCTACAATGGAGTCTTTGCGTGCTGGGGGGGTCTGACCGCTCCAGTCTAGTCCCATCTGCCCTGGTCTTCCCCGGTATTTGGCGCACTGGGGTACTGTGGGCGAGCCCGCCCCGGAGTATATATGCACGCTGATCTCCACCCCCATACCTTTCTTCTTCCCTCGGCCCTTTGTGTTGTCGCCGCTTGAGCTTGGAGCTCTTCTGAACGCTGTCGCACACCCTCTGTCGACTATCGTACCCGCTCCATCCGACCCCTTTGGCTGAGAGGCGAGCTCGGTCGACAGTTGCCCATCATGGTGAAGCCTATGTCAAATATCTACGGTAAGCTCCATCTCGCCGCCAACTTCTTCCTCGGAACCGTCCGCTAACAATACTTCCAGCCCTTGCGGGTTTCGGCACGATTGGAGGAGCCCTCTTCGGTTTTGATATCAGGTGCGTCCCCGCAAGCGCGCAAATATTGTGCCCATCTCAGTACGGACCACCTCCCCTAACGCTCTCCTTCACAGTTCCATGAGTGCATGGATTGGAACCGAACAGTATGCTGAATACTTCAATCATCCGAGCTCCGATCTCCAGGGTGGCGTGAGTGTCTAGTTGTCCCACCACTTCCCCTGGACTCTGAACTGACCTTTGGTGAAGATCACCGCTTCTATGTCCGCTGGTTCTTTCGTCGGCGCCCTCGGCGCTGGTTTCCTCTCTGACAGACTCGGTCGCAAGCGTGCAATGGAAGTTGCAGCCATCATTTGGATCATTGGTTCCGCTATCCAGTGCAGTGCTCAGAATGTCGCCCAGCTTATCGTCGGTCGTGTCATCAACGGTTTCACAGGTAGGTCCCTCCCGGAGACTTCCATGTTTGGGCCAAGGGAACAGTCCAGCTGACCATACACCACAGTTGGTATCATGTCTTCCCAGGTCCCCGTGTACCTCGCCGAGCTCTCCCCTGGCCGTATTCGTGGTCGTGTTGTCGGTATCCAGCAGTGGGCCATTGAGTGGGGTATCCTGATCATGTACCTGATCTCTTACGGATGCTCCAAGGTTGAGGGTCCTGCATCTTTCCGTATCGCCTGGGGAATCCAGGGCATCCCGGCCTTCATTCTCCTCGGCGCCCTGTTTTTCTTCCCGGAGAGCCCGCGTTGGTTGGCCAGCAAAGACCGGTGGGAAGAGAGCTTGGATGTCCTGGCCTTGCTCCACGGCAATGGCGATCCCCAGCACCCTGTCGCGCAAGCGGAATACCTTGAGGGTGAGTTTTCCCTTAGCCACCCCATCGAGGTTTCATCATGGAAGCTAACACGATCCCAACAGTCCGCGAAGCCGTTCGCGTTGCGCAGGAATCAAAGGAACTTACTGTCCTCGGCCTCTTCGGTCCTAAGATGTGGCGCCGCACCATGGCCGGCACCTTCGTACAACTGTGGCAGCAACTCCTCGGCGGCAACGTCATGATGTACTACATCGTCTACGTCTTCAACATGGCAGGTCTTACCGGAAACGTCAACCTCTACTCGTCTGCCATTCAGTACGTCATCTTCCTAGTGACGACGGGCTTTACGCTTTGCTTCATCGAGAAGGTCGGACGTCGCCAGTTGCTCATCTACGGCTCCATCATCATGTGCGCTCTCAACTTCGCCGTCGCCGGCATCATGGCCGAGCACGGCCGTCCCGTCGACGGTGTCGGTGAGAACACGAACATCAAGTGGCAGGTTCTCGGCCATCCCGCCAAGGGAATCATCGCTTGCTCGTATATCTTCGTCGGTGTCTATGGTCTGACCTGGGCCCCTGCTGCATGGATTTACTGCTCCGAAGTCTTCCCTCTGCGCTGGCGTGCGAAGGGTGTCGGTCTGTCGGCCGCCACCAACTGGATCTTCAACTTCGCACTGTAAGTGCTACCTCACAACTTCTTCCTTTTCCCTACGATGAGCAAATACTAATGGTTTCTTTCTCCTCTAGTGCCTACTTCGTGCCCCCGGCCTTCGAGAACATTGTCTGGCGCACTTACATCATTTTCGGCGTCTTCTGCTTCGTCGGCACCATACACGTCTTCTTCTCTTTCCCGGAGACGGCCGGCAAGACTCTCGAGGAAATCGATGCCGTTTTCGAGCCCGGTGTCAAGGCATGGAAGACGGGCAACATGAAGTCGAACTTCTCTGAGAAGGTGGCAGCCGTGCAGAGCAAGGGCTTGGATGCAAATGAGCTGGTACACTCTGAGAGCGCCCATGTCGTGGATGAGAAGGGTACCGTGGTCAAGAACGACACCGTTGTCTAAGACCTCAAGCGTGGCATTGGGACGGAGGAAGAGAAGAAGTGACGCGTTTCTCCCTCGTTCTGTCTCTTGTTGGCTCGGCAGAGCGCTTGCTGTGCCACGAAAACGCTGATGTTCAGAGTGGGAAACCAAGCTGGATTTCATCAACTGGCGAGGTTTACTCTTCTCGTGATGTTCTATCTTTTTTTTTTTTACGATGAGATACCAGGTGAGCTGCGCTCGTTCGAGGAAATGAATGAAAAAATAATTTCTACTTTGATCCTTAGCTATCTGGTCTTCTGTGACAAAAAATCGCCAGATGCTTGACATACTATCGTCAATTGCGCCAATCTGATCTAAGTAGAATAGCTCAACGCCTTAGCCTCCTTTTTTTCTCCGCTTACAGGCCTCGATCAAACCGCCGACCTAGCTATATCGAGGAATATCTTCTCGAGGAAAAAGTGCAACTAACCCTTTCCGGTTGCCCGGTACGGTGGGAGTGGCGATATGCATGCTTGCTCTCCTGGCCCCTTCCCTGTCCTGTATACATGGTAAAAGACCCAGGAGCCTGGTGGGAGATCAGCGCCTCGGCCCAGGAACTAAAGCTGGCCGATCTTTGCTTGGCAGCGCAATGTACATGCAGCGTGCGCGGGAAAGATTGGCCGTGTCTGACCAGGGTCGTTGTCAAGGGGGTCGCCCGCTTGGAATAGGAAGACATGGCTGGCTGGTTGTTGGCGAAGGGCTTCTTTTCTAGTGAAGAGAAATATTAAAACAAGATGCTTGCTGTTGCTACATGGTCGTGAAGGCAGGGGAGATGGTGCTAGTTCGGATTGCATGAATGGGTGATGATATGAGAAAAGTAGTGTTGATGATGCGAGAATCAGCTGCCAGCACTATGAATGCCATGGTCGGCCTCGGTGCCAAAATCCCGAAGCTTCATACCGTCAAAGAGTTCCGAGTCTGGAAACGCGCGATCGAAAACGTTTTTGCGGTCCTCAAGCATGCCCTGTAAACGTGGCTACCTGGATTATATCAAAGCGTGAAAGCTTGAATTTTGACTACCCACGCAAGTAGACATAGCAACGGAAGGAAAGGCTTCAGACAGACAGATTGCAAATATGGGGGAATTTCATTGACGCCGGAATATTAACTTTTTACGACCCCTGAATGAATCCCTCATTTCTACCCCAAAACGCCAGCAGCCAGTGCCTCCAGATCCTCCAGAGTCTCGGGCTCGTCCTGAAGCTTCTTCGCCCTCCTCTTGCCCTTCTTGCTCTTCTTCTTCCCACCCTCACTATCTTCATCGCCGCTGCTTTCATCCTCGAACCACTTCTTCGGCCGCTTCTTCGCTGGCCTCTCCTCATCCTCATCCCTGGCCTCCTCCTCGTCCCCGTCACTTCTGTCTCCCGCCGTATCCGCCAAGAAGCTCTTGAAATCGTTGAAGGCGTCGCGATCCACACCGCCACCCAACTGCACACCGCCATCCTCATCGTCGCTGCCATCCAAGTCGTGGCCCAGTCTCTCCGCCCTCTCCCTCTCCTTCCTCTTGATCTTCTTCGCCGTCTTCTTCTCCCTCGCCGTCTCCCGATCCAACACGTCGGCCTCCTCGGCGCGCCGCTTCTCTTCCTCAAGGAAGCGCTGCCGTTGCTGCTCCGCGCTCCCCTTCGCCTTGAACGCGTGCTCGTCTTCCATCTCGTAGAGCTCGTGCGCGTTGCCCTCGTCGTCGAAGACGACTCTGTGGCCCTTGTCCTTGTATTTGAGCAGCTTCTTCTTGCTCTTGAGCTCCTTCTCGCGGCGTTTGCTATCAATGAGAATGGGCTCCTTAGCGCCGGGCACGTTGACAAGCCTCTTTCCTTCTGCACCCAAGACGTCCGCGCCGTCCTCGTCATCGGAAATCTCCTGGCCAGCGGTAATGCGGCGCTTGACGGCCATGAAGTCATCATCCGACTCGTCGGGATTGGCGACCTTGTCGTCTTCGTCGTTCTCGTCCCGGACGAGCTTGGTGTAGTGCTCGGAAAGAACGTCTTGGTTCTTACGCTCGAACATGCGGTCGTATTTGGTGCGGACCTCCTTTTCCTTCTTGGATTTCTTCTTCTCGCCTTCCTCGTCACTGCTCTCACCTTCGGATGACGAAAGACCGTGTCGGGGCGCGTTCTTGCGCTCCTTCGCGTTGTCACCCTTCATGAACTTGATGCGAGGTGCACCGGGCAGACCCAGACTCGCTGCGTAATCCTCCAGAGGAAGATTCTGGAGCTTGAAAACTTCCTTGTCCTTCTGGACGTGTATCGACTTGACGTAAGAGATGAAGGCCTTCTGTCCAAGGTACTTGAGCTGTGCATCCTTGAAGCACATGTTCTGCAGCTGGTTCTTGATGCTCTGCTGCTTCTTTGTACGCACATTGATGCGCTCAATGGGGATTTTCTTTGCCTCCAGACGCTTCAACATGCCCTCTTCTTCACTGGGATCCAGGAAGAGCACGGCACGCCCTTCACGCTCATAGCGCGCCGTTCGACCAACGCGGTGGATGTACGTGTCGGCGTCTTCGGGGCAATCGACCTGGACAACCCAGTCTACCGCGGGGAAATCCAGACCACGCGCTGCCACGTCTGTCGCGAAAAGGCAGGACGCCTTGGCTGCCGAGAACTTCTGCGTGATTTCCAAGCGTGCTGTCTGCTTTTGGCGGCCGTGAAGATGGAGCAAAGGAATACCAGGCTGCATGTGACGGAAGCCCTCGTACACAAAGCGCACCTGCTTTCCGGACGAGAGAAAGACAATGATCTTCGACTTCTTACTGGCCTGGATGAAGCTCCACAGGGTGTCCAGCTTCTCCGACAGGGGCGTGACAGTGTAATTCTGCTGCAGCGACTTTGGTGTCGCCGTCTCGGCCGCCTCGTGGACGGAGATGTACTCGGGATCTTTCAAGCTCAGCCTGGCCAAGTCGGAAACCTTCTTCGTCTGAGTCGCGCTGAACAGCAGCGTCTGCCTCTGCTTGGGCAGGTAGTCGATGATGGCGTCGAGGTCGCGCTGGAAGCCCATGTCCAGAATACGATCGGCTTCGTCCAGCACCAGCGTCTGCAGATTATCCACGTTGAAGCCCACCGTCTGCGACAGGTGCTGCAGCATGCGGCCGGGGGTGCAGACGACGATGTTCATGCGCACCAGCGCGTCCCTCTCCTCCTGCAAGCTCTTTCCGCCAATGACCAGGCCAGCGGCGAACATATGCCCCTTCTTGCCGACGTTGTACAGCACCTCGAAAATCTGGATGGCGAGCTCGCGGGTGGGAGAGATGATCATGGCACCAAGGCCAGCGTCGGCGCCAATGCACTGCACGCGGTACAGGTTCTCGAGAACGGGGATGACGAAGGCGAGGGTCTTTCCACTGCCGGTTCTCGCAGCGCCTAGGATGTCGGCGCCCTGGAGGGCCAGAGGGATGGCGCGGGCCTGGATGTCGGTCATTGCGGCGAAGTGGCATGCCTTGAGGCCTGCCTTGGTGGGCTCGGAGAGCGGGAGGTCGGTGAAGCTCTTGTATTCATTGTTCCTGGGATCCTGCAGACATCGGGTCAGGAGAGATTGAACGGCGAGTGTGCAGAGCGGACACTCACGAGCTCGTCGACGGCTTGCTGGAGTTTTTCTACGTCGACGTCGCTGCGTTTGCGCTTCTGGGCGCGCTGCAGCTTCTTGACCTTGGTCGGCTTGGTGCGACCGGTGAGTGCGCCGGCCATGGCTGCAGAGACAGAGGAGGAGAATATCGGAAAGGGTCGAGTCGCGGGCGTTTGAGGTCGGTCGGTTGCGATGCTGGGGCGCTCAAGAACTTTTGGGGCACGGATCGCGTGGCGGCGGGCGGTGTCGGCGCCGGGGCGGCGGCGGCGGCCCCAGATCGGTAGCCGGCGACAGCCCTACCTATCATCTGCCTTGGGTTGCGCCTCCAGCTCTCCATCACCGCCCGTATCTTAAAGCGCGCGCCCGCTTCCTCCACCCACTTTGCTCTCTCACCTCGCACTCGCGCGTGTTCCATCTCTGTCCGCCACGCTCGCTCACCCAGAAACAACCATGGCTGACGACGACAAGGAGGTTTTCGACCTGCTCGAGAGGGAATCCAAGGAATTCGACAAGGTGCGCGCCCCTCCGCCCCAACTTACTCCGCGGGCCGGCCAGCTGATTCACGCTCAAGGACTCTGAGATCGACCGTGCGTCCCCTCCCGTCGCGCGCACCGCCCTCGCGCATGCCAGAGAGCTCGCCCGCTGACACTGCATCCAGGCATCTGCAATGCCTTCAAGCTCGACGCGTACGCCGTCATGGGCCTCAAGCCCGGTGTCCCCGAAACCGACATCAAGAAGATCTACCGCACCAAGTCGCTGCTGATCCATCCCGACAAGACCACGAACCCCAAGGCCCCCGACGCATTCGATCGCTTGAAGAAGGCGCAGGAGCAGCTGATGGACGAGAAGGCGCGCGCCCGCCTGGACGAGGCCATCGCCGACGCGCGAATGCTGCTGATCCGCGAAAACAAATGGACCGTCGACTCGCCCGAGCTCAAGACGGAAGAGTTCGACCAGAAGTGGCAGAACAAGGCCCGCGACGTGCTTATCGAGAACGAGTTGCGCCGCCGCAAGCAGATGCAAGCCGCCATGCGCGAGGAGGGACGCCAGCAGAAGAAGGAGGATGCCGAGGTTGCCGAGCGCAAGCGCAAGCGCGAGCATGACGAGGCCTGGGATAAATCGCGTGACCAGCGCATCGGCTCCTGGCGCGACTTCCAGAAGAAGGGCTCGGCCGATGGTGACAAGAAAAAGAAAAAGAAGCTCAAACCCATTGGCTGAGCGCTGTCTCTTTTGCGTGCTTTCTCTCCCCAGCAATGTACAGAGTACCTCGCAGGGAGCGGGGCGAATAGGCAGGGTTTATCTAACGGCGTGAGGTACAGGCGCAGTCTCTAGATCACCGAGCTGTCATGGCGTTTTGCAGGGCGACACCAAGACCCACATCCATTTTCGATTCGGTTCTCATGGCACCAGGCCCGTTACGGGGAATCAGCTAGTGAGTAAAGACAAAAGGGTTGCCTTACCAAGTTTAATTGCTCATTCAAACCAAGCATCCCCCAAATCCCGTCCAAAGTGCTGCATCTCCAGCAATGCTGGCCGTGTTTGTATGACCAAAAGTTATGTTGTTTGATCCCGCCGTGGAGTCGGTGCATCAGCCGGGTGCATGTGCTGCTGCTGTTCGTTCAGCCGTCTTTCTTAACACTCTATTTGCAGGGCCGTTTGCATGTACTGAATGAAGCCCACTGGAAAAACCATGTGTCAGAGGACCGATCCTTTCATGCAGCTCTGGGAGGCTGCAGGATCCAAGTACCACCACAGTAGATGCACAACGAAAGAAAAACTAGTAGAAGCGCCCAATCACCGGGTAGAAGCCAATAGGGACACCACTAATCGGCAAACAACCTCTTCGCCACACACAATATCACTCAAGCACGCGCCTACCATCCCTTAGTGCCGGGAGGAGGGCACTGAAACAAAGTTTTTGATGATAGTGCTTAGGGCAGCTAGATATCAGCCCAATCCGCGTCCCTTGCATCCGCGCAACCGTTCCGCCAGACCACGTGGGCGAGGCACCATGGTCGCGACTCTCCTGAAAAGGCTAGAAATCTGAACCAAGCGGATCGCAGAGTTCAATGTTCGCTCGAGCAAGCACGCAGAGCTCCAATAATGAAACACAAACCCCAAGATCATGGCATCCAATGCCACGTTTGCAACCAGTGAAGGCAGTGAAGGTGTGGTATTGGGAACTCCAATGTATGTACATACTAACTTGAAGCGTCGCAGCTGTACCTATCATCATCCCCGCCGCGACCATGGATATCCAATCATCACGATGCGCTACGGAAGCAAAGGCAACAAGAGATAGAAAACCAAGATTAAAACGGAGGTGTGGGCGCACGCATGAACACGCGCGCGTGCGCAGCGGCCAGCGCGTCCACGCGCGGCGACACGGCGTCACACGGCAATCGAATGAAAACTCCCCCTTGGGTTACTCCCGAAGAATTTCGTTACCCTCTTCACGCCCCTCCCCACCCACCTCCAACAGCCTTGCTGCACCCGCGGGAACAACGGCGCAAAAGGATTGGAAAAAGAATTAATTGCAATAAACGGGCCAGTGGCGTGCCAGCGCACCACTGCCCTCCCTCTCACCGACTTCTCCCGACCTGGACATACGTCCAATCATTTCTCTCGGAATTTTTCCCCCTCCCCTCATTCACCGCCTCTTCCTCTCTTCCCGTCCCAAAGCAAGGGAAAGCTACCGTCGTGCCTTGCTTGTGCCTGCCTGCACCCCCGCCGCCCTGCCGCCCCCCGCTGCTTGCCCCGCGGGATGACGTGCAGGCGTTCTTCCTCTCCCAAAGTTTAAGTTGACGTCGTCCCAAGTGTTGATACTACAAAATCCTCCTTCGATCCCCTCCCCCATCCTTTCACTTTCACTTCGCACCTTGGTGCCTCCCACTCAAGCAGCGACGAGCATCTAAGGGTAACAGTCACAGTGACTTTGTTATGTGCCTTTTAATGAGGGGAGGCGGGGATTTTTTGGAAAGAAAAAAAAAAACTACTGTTGTAAATACATTAACACCTCCCTTTCCCCCTCGTAAACTCTCCAATCAATCGTATATGACCGAACGTTGAATTTTAAAATTGACGACTGCGTAGATGGCTGAGCTCAGACTCTGCCTGCCTTTTTACTCTATGCCTCCTTTGAATATAACACAGGACATTTAGAAGCAAGCGATCCAGACGCCAAGCACATAATATAGCGTTTCTATACACAAAGCGTTGTCGTAGAAAGAAAAGCACCGCCCTTCCAGCAAGATATAGAAACAAGATGTTGCCAAGAAACAAAAAGGAAAAGAGGAGTCCCCAAGCGGAGCCAGCGTCTCCCGTGCATCCAGACTTCTAGTTGAGCTCGCACGCTGGACATCTAAAATTTCAGTCGAGATTTTAATACGTTCAGTTCGAGCCCATTCCGACCATTAAGCACGTTTACTTTTGTGTCATGTTACCATCCTGTACTGTGCGCGGACTGTTCCCATGTCTGATGCCCCATCTTTGCCCTGTAAACCCAACAAGAAAAGAGAAAAGAAAACAACCAAAAGGTCCCCTGGATATCCGAACGGTAATGCGTCGCATCCAGGAAATATGCCCCGAAAAGTTCCAGGAACAGCCCCCCCGAGAGTTATGTCTGAGTTTGTATATGTGCAGCGAGCGACTGAAAACGTTTATGAAGAACATTTCTACAAGAGAAAAGATCGACTGGGGTCCAATGTGGATGGAGATTAGCTTGGACCAGCCAAGGCTAGCGAGCAAGGTGGTGTTGAGAACAAAAGAGGACAAATGTGAGCCAGAGAAGACGAAAGTATGTGCCAGCCTTGGTGGAAACCGAAATCTATGCAGTTAAGTGAAAAAGCGTGTCCGGCCTAAATGATGTCCCGTATATTCAGTCTCCGTCGCTTGGATGGCTCCTCCTCCTGTGTCCCCTCTGAGGTGCCTTGGCTACGCCTTTCGTCCAACGAAACTCTACGGACCGAAGCAGGAGCAAGGCCTTCAGGTGGCTGGGCAGGGTCCCACACGGGCTGTTGCTCACCCCTCGAAACCGGCCGTCTCTGGTATGCCGGGTAGGGATGATGTTGTTGTTGTTGCTGCCAAGCTGTTCTCGGATCATTGTGCCAGGGACCCTCGGCTGCTAAAACCTGGCCAGACGGTCTTCTAGGCGTCACCTCGTAAGAAGGTACATGAAGCTCCGCGCTACCAGTGGATGACCACGATCCACGCGAGTATCCATACCCACTGGGAGGTGCCTGTCCATAGTATGTCTGTGCTGTCGGCGTAGGAGCTGCCGCCGGTGGGAGGGATGAAGTGAGATTTTGGAGGGAGAAGTATGAATACGGGGATTGCGGCTCAGCAGCGACGGGAAGAGGTGAATTATGCCCGAACGGCGAGTATGGGTATTCGGTTGGGGCGGCTCTCGATGACGGCCGTGACGATCTATGAGGCGGAACCGGTGTAGCGAAGACATGCGGGTAGCGTTGGGGTTGTTGCTGCTCACTAGTGGGCTGCGAGAATTGAGCTCGGTCAAACGATGGTAAAGTCAAGGAGACGAAAAATATTGAGGTCTTTGCAAGACGCACGCGGACACGCACTTCCTGCGGCTGTCCAAAAATAGAGCTGAATCGCCAAGTGAATCTACGATCCGTGTAGCCCAGGCTGATGCGTTCCAAATCCTCTTCTTCAACGTTTTGAACCGCCTCCTGTTCCCTAGGACCAAAAATAGGAGGCATGTACGAAGGTTCTCGCTGATCCCGCTCTTCTCTCAGCTCGCTCCGTAGCCTGTACACCGTTTCCGCGTGATGGGACTCGACAAGCTCGGACAGGTCTCGTCCGTAGAAGTCTGACCGGTTGAAGAGCAGGTTGAAGGCCTGATTCGTTTTGATGATGTGGAGGTCTAGATTCAGCAACGCCATGGGCGTCACGTAAGAGGGCGCTGATCGTGCGTACTCGAGTGTCGGATACTGCACCGCACCCTCCTGGGGGTAAGGACTTGGCGACAGACTTTGCACGGTCGAAGTGGGATGCCGAAAAGTTGCCGGGGGCACTCCGAAACTCCTTCGAGTGGCTCGAAGCGGGCGACTGGAATCTGGCCGCACGCCTACATGAGGCGCCAGACCAGGCACTGGGCTCTCACTAGCTGACGTCGAGTGTTCGGCTAGCTCGTGGCCTGGCGGAGGTCTGCTCTCCTGGACGTCGCGAAGCCTGGGGCGGCCCCTTTTCTTGTGCTGGACGTCGTAGCATGAGGTCTGCGCGCTCACTGAATGTCAGCCTTGGCCCGCCGCCGTGGAAGCTCGTCGAAGGGCCTTTCACCTACCTCTTTGCCCGAAGTGACGCAGCGCGTGCACGGCCGCTGGACGTCGCAGCTGAGATGGGCCTTTTTGCAGTTGACGCAGGCCGAAGCAACGTGAGCCTTGTTTCGGCGCGCGGTTTTGGTGTTTCGTAACGACGGCATCTGGCTAGCTAGCGGGGCGGGGGGCTGCAGGGCGACAGTTGGACCGCCATAGCCGGGGGCGAAGCTGCCGGACGCGCCGAAGGCGGAATAGCCGAAGGGACCCATCTGGGAAGACGGCTGTTGTGCGGTGTCGGTCTCAGCAGAAGACGACGACGGTCGCAGCTCCGGGCGCTGGTCTGTAGGTCGCAGCGCTGAGCTGCTCGGCGGCGGCTGCTGCCGTTCGCCTCCTTCATAAACCATCCTGCGCGGTGGCACTGCACCGAGCCGATCCGTGGAGCGGCCTCCGGGGCCCTCGTGCTCGGCGGAGTGGAGCTGCCGGCGGTCATGCTGGTCCTGGGGTGGGCTGTATTTTTCCTTCTGCTGCGGTGAATGCGTCCTCGCCCGGAGAGGTGGTGACGGCCTGTCTGACATGGGCGGGGACGGGTAGCAGGCGGCAAAACGGAGCCCAGGTGAGGCTTTCTCACTGCTGCCCGGTAGCTGGCGGCGCCCAATTGACGGCGCGCGGGAGTAGCTCGAGCAAGGAGGAAGGGCCAGTCCATGCATAGCGCCTTCAGGCCGCAGGAACACAGCGAATAACGGTCGGCGCCCGGAGACGGCGTGGCTGCTTCAGCTGCTGCGCGGGCCCTGGGCGGTGGGGGTGTTCGTCCGGGTTGAGGTCAGGGAAGTGGTATGAGCATGGGCGCGCTGCTGCTCGCAATATGTAATGTGGGCGAGGTTCCTGGTAGGCCGGATGTCTTGGAGGCTGGCCGGCAGTAGCACGAGGAGAGAGCTGGGAAAAAGGACACACAGGCATGCACGCTGCAGGAGGCTTGGGCGAGCAATACCTGCAGATGACGACACCCGGGGGATTGAGGCGGCGGCGGCGGGACCCGCGTGGTCTGGGTGCAGTGGGAGGGCAGCCAGCGGGGGAGGCCAGGCCAAGCAGAAAAACGAAAGGGCGCCGTGTGGTCTCGGAGGGAAGCTCGCTGCTGTCGTCGGCGGAGTGGGGCCTGGGGCGCGCTTGAAGCAACCGGGCAAGGCGGCGCGCTCTCGAGACCCTGTGCTTGTGGTGATCATGGCAATAAGAAAGATCGGCCTCCTGGGCGCTCTGCGGATTAGGGACTCAGATCTCCCATTCCAGATCCCTGTTGACACCTGCATAATTGGACGGCGGCTTTGGCACGGGGCCGTCTGCCGGGTCGGTTGATGGCCGTGGGCTGGTGCATTGCGGCGCGGCGCGAGCGCATGGTTGACAGGCCCTAGCTGATCGGCGACGTCGACCAAGGGCCCAATTGATGCCTGCTGCGGCCGCCGCGGGGAGGTGTGCTGACGGCGCGGCGCTGCTCACCGCGAGCCTGCCAGCTGCCAGCTGCGAGCTGCCAAACCCATGGCCCCTCTCGAGGGGGCGTGCCCGGCGTGTTCCTTTTGCACACCTCGCGGGCGTGGCTGCCGTGCCCGCGCCCCCATTGGCCCCGCGCCGCGCAGCCTGCTCTCCTTCTGTTTGGGGCCCAGCTTCTTTCTCCACGCGGCAGATCTCGGTCCAGCGCTCTCGCGCCCTGGTGCTCTCACGCTGGCGCACACTGGCGCACACTGGCGCACACTGGCTGGCACCTGGCGGGCGAGGGCTGCCGCCGGCGGCCCCACCGCGAGGGCGAGCGCCTGCAGCCACCAGGTGCCAGGGCCACCATCCTAACAGCGGATGAGGCTGCGCGCCGCGAGGTGACGATTCAGCTCGCGCTCGCTGGCGGCGATGAAGAAGGAAGTGGCACTGCTGCACCCATGCCCGCAACGGCTGCTAGCCGCTTCCGTGCTGGCTGGCGGATCGGTTCTGGGAAGAAGGTGCGTGCCCGCTGCCGCCGTCCGCCGTCCTGACGGCGGGCAGGCGCAGTGAGGGTAAGGCTGCGCTCCAGTGCCAGCCCACGCCCGTCCACGCCCGTCCACGCCCGTCCACGCCCGTCCGCGCCCACCCACGTCGCATGCAGCCCTCAGATGACCGGCCGGTCGCCAATATAGTAACCGTTCATTTCGACGCAGCGATCCTTCCACTCCTCCTTGTGCCCGCCGCCCGCGACCTGCCCGCCCATGCCCGCACGCAGTCCACACCAGCGCCCGGCATGACTCTCTAGGCGCATGTGATCTTCGCAGCAATGCGCGCCATTGCTTTTTCTCCGCTGCGCTGCCATGGCCGCCAGCCGTGACGGCGCCGCGCCACCACGCGGCAGCGGTGCCAGCAGCCAGCAGCGGCGCTACCGCTGCCATCGCTCGTGTCGCTGTGTTGGTGCCGACGGTCGTTCGGGCGTCCTTCTCGCGTGTCGCGCCGCGCGGAGCGCCGTCGGCAAGGCGGAACGCGACCCTAGCGAAAGGCACAGGGCAGCGCGCGGCGATCGAGCGCTGTTGCGAGCTGAGTCCTGGGGCCCGCCACTCGCCCATCGCGCTGGCCGTGTGTTTGCGCGCGCGACGTCCGGGCCCCAGCCTGGCGTCGCTCACGGAAATCCGCCGGGATCGCGCACCTTAATTTGCATGCCCAATCGGGAGGCACAGCCAGCCAGCCAGAGAGAAAAAAAAAAAGCCGTGCCCAAAACTGCACGGCATTGACCGCCAAGACATCGCTGGCGTAGCGCGTGCAGCTGGCCCTGGTCCCTGTGCAGTGGTAGCCGAAATGTCGAGCATGAGCACGCCAGCAGACGCCGCGCCCTCACACCTCATCCGCGGCCGGTCGTATCGTGAGGTAGCCGCGTAGAGGTAGCATGGCAGCGTGCGGGCAGCGTGGACGGCGACGCCATGCGTGCTCTGAACCCAGGCCTGTGACGTGCATCCGACCCTGGGCGGCTTCGGCAGCTTATTTGTATTGTCAATAATGTGCCGACGGCGGCGGTGCCTGCACGCACCTAGGCCAGAAGAGAAACAGATGCGCTCCCACGCCTCGCCGGGTCCACATACCCGAAAGTCCCTGGGCCGGTTGCAACACCAGCCATATGTACGTGCGCATCCTCGCGCCGTACGTCCCTGACGCCAACGCCGGCGCCTGTGGCTCCAGCCGACGATCGGGGCCAGTTTTACGCTCCTCCCAAACGCTCAGTAATACAATACTTGGCCGCCGCTCCCAGGGCCTCGTCGCCGGGTACTCAATGAGACAATAATGTACCGCTGTTGCCTGCCGCAAAGCGCAGCATGTCCCAGCATGTCCCAGCATGTCCCAGCATGTCCCAGCATGTCCCAGCATGTCCCAGCATGTCCCCACTCAAGGCCCTGCAAACCCGCTCCCAGCTGCCGGCGCCCGCCGCCCGCGCCCTGCCGGCGCCGCAGGCACACGCACCCGCAGCAGCAGCAGCAGCCAGTCCTGGCGCGTCTGGCGATTCATCTTCCCAGAGCTTTGTTTCTCCTGCCCATGGGCTCGATTGCGCAAAGACCACGACCCTGGCCGCGCTTGCGGCTGATCCGCTCCGCTTGCCCGTAGTTCGGCGGGCCTGTGGTCAGATCGCAGGGTGCAGCCGGCCGGCAACACTCATGCCCTTGAGAGATGGGGGCGGCCGACCGAGAAAAAAAGCAGGTAGGTGAGGCGCCACCTTCCCCGATCGCGGATCGTGACACCTTGGCCCAGCTTGCGCTTTTTCCCACGGCAAGGGGAAAAATGAAAAATTGTCGAGAAGCATGGACTGCAGGCGTGGGCCTCCGCGCCTCCCGCGCCGTACCCTGCTGCGCCAGCGTGTTGCCGGGGGGGTTTGTGCGTGCGCGCACCTGTGCCGTGGCGAGCACAAAGGACGGAGATGGGGGAGCGTTTTGCTTGTTTGTGGGTTCGGCGTGCATCCAAGATTATGGTGGCGCCCGTTCTGGAAAATTAAGAAGCCAGAGAGGCAAGCCTATTCCAAGTCAATCAAAATGGCTCCTGTGCCTCATCGGCCCTGCTGCAAAATCCGTTCGCTTGCTTCCTACTTTGTCTTACTTCTCGCCCGCCGGAGCCGCAGCTACGGAGAATTCTTTGGGACAGCGTATTTACCTCTGTCCCGGTAGCGAGTCGAGGCGTGCGCGGTGGTTCCTTCGTTTGGATAGCGCGGGACCTGGACGTCGTACGATTCGGCGTCGACGGCGCAGGAGAGCGCGCGCAAGACAGACGTTAGGAAACTTTCCGCAATTCGTCGCGGAACATCCGAAGCCTATAGCCAACGCAAAGGCCCGAAAGGACCCCTACTAAAGCCGCTAAAAGACGACAAGCCTCACCGCGTTTCGGTGGGCCACGAGGCTGCTAAAGCTGAACACCACGTCACCGCCAGCAGTCGAGATTTGCAACGACTTGAGTGGTGGCTTTTCAAACAGCGGAAGCCTTCAGTCATCCAGCCCAACGGCCGTACATGGCGCGCGTGGAGAAACGAGGCGTCGACCTGCAGTTTCGGGCCCGGCTGAATGCTGGTTTTCCCTGCGCTATTCTCGTCCCAATGTCAGCACGCTACACGAACCGTCTAGGGGGGGCAATAGTACGAGGTACGAAGGCACCAGACGTGCAGAGCAAGTACTCTCTGATTGAAATACGGTCCGAATGCTGGTATCAGATTGGGGCATGACAAATGCACCAGATGGCTAAGTCCATAGCTTCTACTTTCGAGCCTTGGCAGCGAACATGGGTGGTGTGCAGCCTTCGTTGCCCTCGGTTGTCGACTATCTATTGGAAGGGAAGTGGAGAGCGGTACCGCAAGAGTGTTGCAACCGGCTGTCCGGGAACCTTTGCGCGTTGGCGCCGTCGCAAGGCGGCCCGGCATCGCTAATCTCCGCAATTAGAACTTTCCTTTCCTTGACGGCCTTGCGTTTTTCGCGCGGCGCTTTTCTTGGATCGCTCTGCTCTTGCGAACGTCCTCGACGCCCTTGAGCTCGCTCTTCCCCTTGCCGTCTGAGAACCGGCCAATGCGCTTCTCCTTAGCTGCCTCTACCCGCTGCTTCCTGTCGTGGTAGTCGTCCCTGTACTTGTCGGCTTCCTTGGGCGCCTTGACCATCTTGTGCTTGAACCTCTTGTTGGGGCCGTGACCGCCGCTAGAAGGCGCCTCAGCCTCACCAGCACGTGGTAGACGGCCGATCTTGTTCGTCTTCTTCCAGTTCTCGAACCGTCCAGCTCGGAAGCTAGCAGCGATCTTCTGCCCGCTTTCGCCACGAACGTATTTTGCTCCCTTCGATCCATCTTCGTCATTTGCTCGTGCAACATACTTCTTGCTCTTCTTGTCCCATCTCATCCCGCGCGCTTTGGAGGCTTCGGCAAAGCCCTTCGACTCGTCCTGGTTGAGATCCATTGTCGCACCTCGTGCCTCTTCGACAAAATTACCACTCCGTCCCTGGTTGTCGTATGATCCAGAGTGGACTCCATAGCCGCGGTCTTCCGCCAAGTTCAGCGTCTTTGGCGTATAGGACATGAAATGTTCTGGATCCTGCCAAGACTCCTTCGAAGTCTTATTGGTCTGGGAATCCGGGAAGGTGATCTCTAGCTCATCCTCCGATGCCGAGTCCATGTCGACATCCACGTCCATGTCTTCAAACTCATCGTCCTCTTCGCCATCCCGTGCCGCGTTGGGGGTATCAGTCAAGCCTGAAATGCTCTTGTCATTCCAGGCCTTCTTGACCTCTTCCTGCTGGCGACGTCGCGGGTCGACCTTTTCCCTCCTCTTGCGCATCATTTCAGATGCCTCGTCACCCACACCGCGCTTACCAATCTCGAAAATGGTCTCTTGAGGGCGGAATCCACTGATGCGCGCCAGCATTTTCTCTCTCTCCACCTCAGCCTTGTCCACGTCATCGTTGAAGAGCATGTTCAGCTCGGAAACTGCGTCAGAAGCCAGGATGTCCTTGGCCCGCTTGGCGCTTTGCGATGATGCCGAATTACGCGTCCTCATGTAAAGCTTCTCGCCCTTGGCGGCCACAATGCGCAGGTTGCCCAAGTCTTCGTCCTCGTCCAGTAATTTGTTGATCCACTCGCACGCGCGAGCTAGCTTGTCCCTCACAAATCCGCCGACAACCACATCGTTGGCGAAGCTAAAGTTTTCATCCGTTCTGCCCAAGATCATCTTCCGACTGAGAAAGAGCTGCAGATCCAGGAGATATGGCATGTCTGAATCCCTCACCAGGTTGTAGCTCCATCCTTTCTTTCCTGCTCTTGCTGTTCTACCGACACGATGAACGAAAATCTTCGGCTGAGCTGGGAAATCGAAATTGATGACATTCGCAAGGATGGGAATATCGATACCACGGGCAGCCACATCGGTGACAACAAGGATGTTACTCATCCCGGTCCGGAATGCATGAACCTGCATCTTACGAGCAGTTTGGTCCAACGAGCCGTAGACGTAGGTAACAGCGTATCCAGCAGCGCGAAGGAGCCCTGCCAAATACTCGACGTGATGTTTAGTAGCCGCAAAGACAATAGTAGAATGTTCCGTGGGAGAGTCCTTTGCGTTGTTGGTGCTGTCAGAATCCCTCTTGCGCTTTTTGTTCTTGGGATCGGCCTTCTTTTGTTTGGCCCTGATGGAGGCCTCGGTCTCTCCGGTGGGCATTTTGATGATGTCCTGCAAGATGTGCAGCAGAGCACCCTCCTTGTCGGCACTCTTCACCGTGAAAAATGCGCTTTCGAGGTCAGGTGAAACCTTGCTTTCGGCGTCAAGGCGTACAAGTTTCGGTTCTTGAAGGCCAGCCCTGGCGAACTCGACGAGGGATTTCGGAAGAGTAGCCGAGAAGAGGAGAGTCTGTCGGTTGGGAGGGAGGGCGTAGAGGATTTCAGTCAACTGGGTAGCAAAGCCCATTTCGAACAGCCGATCAGCCTCGTCGAACACCATGTAACGGATTGTGGACAAATCAAGGTCCATTTCAACTTTGAGATGCAGAAAGCGACCGGGAGTTGCAATGATGATATCCGGGTTCGTGTTCATATCGGAAAATTGGTCCTCCAGGCTATCACCACCCACGAGAAGTACAGTCCTCAGGTCCGTACCACGGCCGAACTCTTTGACGACCTTTAGAGTCTGAAGTGCAAGTTCACGCGACGGCGACATGATGATGGCCCTCGCGCCAACCTTTGCGCTATGGGCTTTCAGCTTCTCGATCATGGGGATGACGAAGGCAGCGGTCTTTCCGGAACCAGTCCGAGCCATGCCAACAACATCTTGCCCGTCCAATACAAGCGGAACAGTCTTTCTTTGGATAGGGGTCGGCACTGAGAAGCCCTTGCGGGTAATTGCCTTGAGCAAGTTCGTGGACAGACCCATGGCTTGAAAACCACCGCCTTTCTTCACGGTTCTCCCCTTCAGGTTGGACGACTTGCGGTTCGCCGCACTCAGCTGATCTGCGATGAAAACATCATCATCGCTGTCTCCGCCATCCTCTCCGCCAATGTTCAACTCTGCGCCGATGTCAAGGGTCGCATTCTTGCGACTTTTTCTCGGTGCGACCGGTTCGTCTTCGCTGTCGCCGGCAAGCAGGGCTTTCGAGATATCGAATTCGTTTTCGGACAGCGCCGGGGAGACGTCGCGGTGCGGCATGTTGTCGACGTTTGTCGTGTGTTGTCAGCCGGCTCGTGGTGCGCGGCGGGTGTCGATGGCAAAGGGTGCCGGCATGAGGCAATAGAAAATAATTTGGGGCCCGGTCTTGGCGCCGCTTTACTCGCGACATACCGGCTTATCGATAAGGGGGCGCGCGCACCTGACAGCGGGGCGTTCGTCGCGTCGCGTCTTTGCGCGTCACCCGAAATCACCGCCGCTGCCTCGCCGCCCGAGAATCCAACAACATTTTCCGCCACCCAACGCAACCATGTGTCAGTGTACCTCGATGTCTGGAATGGACTTAGCTTATGCCATGCAGCAGAGTACGGTAACTATGGCGATTACTCGACGACGTCGTATGGCGGCCAAGGCGGTGCTGGCGGAGGTGGCTTCATGGTGGACAGTAGCCAGAGCCCTGGAAGCGCGGCAAAGGTACAAGGCCTGTTCGCAACTTCTTCCACATGACTGATGTTCAATTCAGGGAGTCTGGAAAGATACCTTAAGGCCTGTCACCATCAAGCAGATCAACGATGCCGTCAACACACAGGAGTCCGACTTCAGCATTGACGGGGCCGAGATAGCACAGGTATAGATGACGAGCCGTGGGATGACAGGCCTGTTGCTAAGCAGACATAGATCACCTTCGTCGGCCAGATTCGCAACATCTCGAACCAGGCGGTCAACATCGTCTTCAAGCTTGATGACGGCACGGGCATGACAGAGGTCAAGCTATGGATCGATGCCGACGCTCCGAATCCTCTCGAACCCGCCGACGGCTCGAAGCCCACCCTCGTCGAAAATGCCTATGCTCGCGTCTGGGGCAAGCTGAAGTCGGCTGGCAACAAGAGAAATGTCGTCGCGCACATCATTCGCCCTATAAACGACTATAACGAGATCTCCTACCACCTCCTCGAGGCTACCGCTGTGCACCTGCACTTCACACGAGGGCCTCTTAACGCTGACGCGAGTAAGCCTGCCGCTGCCAACGGTGGCGATGTGCCAATGGGCGGCTACTCAGATGCCAAAAGAGGAGCACCGGCCCACCTCAGTGATGGGGCAAAGAAGGTCTGGAACGCTCTGCGGGTCTCGCCGCAAGGTAATGACGGCCTTCAGATGCATGCGATTGCGGTGCAGACAGGAATGACCTTGGCGGATGTTGCCACGGCAGGCGACGAGCTGCTTAGCGCAGGCACGATCTACTCGACAGTGGATGATACCACCTGGGCGCTGCTTGACGTCTGATGGCAATCATGGCTTATTGGCGCTACGGGAAGGCTGAGACGGACTTCATGGGGTTGCAAAAGGATAATGATTCGAGTACCTCGCAAGCCATTCATCTGCTTGACTGGCTTGATTTTGCGTTGGTGGAGAGGAACAATACACAGGCTGCAACGATGGCCGTTGCCACCACGGTAAAGACCTGGTTGTGGTCAGCGCAAAGCGGAGGGTTATTAAGCACATGACTTACCATTTGAGTCTTCCACCCTGACTGCACAAGAGCACTTCTTCGGCTGTAGCGCGTGACTGTTTGAATGTACGTTGTCAGACCAGAGACAAGGCATGCAAGAGAGAGCAGCCAGAATACGATGCCGAAAGGCAGAGCCATGCGTCGCTCTGCGCATGTCAGCGTGCGCCTTGTTTTGTCTCGACAACTGTCACGAAACTCACCGAGGTCACTGGGCTGGGCTTTGAGATGAAACGAGATGACGATGGCGATGGAGACTATGGCCATATATATGGAGAGACGCAGCCATGACAAGAAAGCTGTCGCGAGCGATGCAGTGTCAGGGAGAGGGCAAATACAGCGGACGGCGGGAAGACGCACTTCGCTCGTTCGCACAGTGATCCCGCGCGTCGGAGGCGTTGTTGGCAAAAAGCAAGGGACCGCATAAGGGGCGCTCGGTGAACACACAGCGGTTGTACCCGTTGTCTCTGGTGGTTGCGGTCAGACCGACATTTGCTCGCGCGATGGCCGGGCGATGCAGAGCACTCACTGGTTCACGATGACCGGCTTCGTCGGCACGATTGTGTAGACCGGGTTGTACGGATCGTGGAAGAACTGCTCGTCAGCCGGCGTGCAAGTGGCCATGGTGTGCAGAGGCGAGAGAGGACGGACAGCGGAGCATGTGTTTGTGTTGGTTGTTGGACAGCGAGCTCACCTCTCGCTGCGGCTCGCGCTCTGGCCTTCGGGCTGGGTCTCGTGCGTCATGACGCACTAGCGAGTAATGAAGCTTCCCGAGTCCTCCGCGAAACGAACGAAACCCAAACCTAAAGATGGCCCCTTTCTCGTTCTTCTCCCCGTGTCCCAAACATTCTCCACGCAGATCAGTACACAATGGCGCTTGAGACGTGCAACTTGTTTGGTGGCAGCCTGTCAGGCTCTCCCGTCCCGCTCGCGCTCGGGACAACAACGCTAACGCCCTCGAAACAGAGTCTGGAACACGGCCGATTGGACGTCTTCGGATGATCGTGTCCGCGGCGGCAAGTCGCACGTATGTCCTCCGCCATAAGCCGGACGATAAGGGATAGGCTGACACTAGGCCCAAGTCTTATTTCGACATCTCCGAAACGAAGCCTGTGGCCCGCTTCTACGGCAACCTCGATATAAAGACTCTCGGCGGTGCCGGCTTTGCAAGCCAACGCACAACCGGCGAGAATCGCTCGTGGAACATCGACGGCTACGATGGCATCCAGATCGAGATCGCAGAGTCTGACGGTATGCCGCTGCAATTGACGGAAGAGTTACGGGGACCGCGGCTGACCAAGTGCACCAGCCAAGAAGTACACGTTCAATATCAAAAACGAACTTCTGCCGCCGGATCCCGATACTGGCCGAGAGCAGTCTACCATCTCGTATGAGTACGACTTTGTCGCTCCGCCAACCAACATGACGGGGGCAACCTCCACCGTCTTCGTTCCCTGGGAAGACTTCAAGGCTACATACAGAGGACGCGAGGACCCCGATGCCCCTCCTATCGATCTCACAGACATCAAGAGGTTTAGCGTCATGACGAGAAGGTTTGATTTTCAATTCTCAATTCTCTGGTCCATCGTTGTTAATGTTCTCGTAGCTTCTTTGGCAACCAAGAGGGCAATTTCTCGTTGTCCATCAAGTCCATCTCAGCTGCTCGCAACTGCTCGAAGGACAAGGAAGTAATTGTTTTGGAAAGCAAGAACGTTCAGCCCGGTGACGTTGAGAAAGGGGTGCTTGCTGGACAGCTCCAGGAGATGCAGGCCCGTGTGCGTATTAGTCCTTGTCGGCTTTGAACTGTAGCTAACGTAACCTCCAACAAAGGCCGTCGACTCTCCAGCCACGCGCCGGCTGCCACCCATGTCAAAGGTCATGTACGGCGCCCTGGCTGCGCTCCTGGGCATCTGGGTGCTATACCCTGGCACCCCTCACTTTGGTTGCCATTCGAAGGCCGTCGGTCCCTAAGGAGTAGCTTTGTGAGTAGCCGGTCAATGAAAATAATTCCAAATCACAAATGATCGTCTTCGTATGGCTGCCCAGTGGCAAGGGTGCAGCAGCTCAGCAAGGAGCCGTGCAGGCAGGCGGCCAAGACGTCATAGACAAGCAATGACTGCCAATCAAAACGCGAAAGCGGGTTCTGATAGGTCACCAAAGCGCCACAAGAAGGGATCATGATCCTCACATGGCTCGTGGGAGAAAATCTACGGGCTCGCGTGCAGAAGTTCTGGGGAACCGATTCGGGCACGAGTGCATGATCGGATGTGCAGCATATGTCCGAATACAGCCGTGAGAAAGCCATCCTTTCTGCTTACGACGGTGGGTGCGGCCCGTCAGCAGAGCCGCCTACCGTGGGGTCGGGACAGGGAGGATCGCGGCGAAACATTTGTCCAGCAATCAAGTCGACGGGCTTTGTGAAGTTCAGCTCGCCCAGGCCATGAAGAGAGTCGGAGTGCAGCAGGCGGCAAGTGCTCGCCGAGAGGATGGTCATTATTGGGGCCATGCCTGTGCCGAGGTCCACACCCAGCGTCGTACAATCACATAATCACCCAGCAGACGCCATGACTGCTGCAACAGGGGCAGCAGAGTGCAGAGCGCAGCACGTAAGGCGTCCATCGGGCTGATCACCAGGCATGCGGGCTGGACGCATGCTCCACGTTGGACGACCCACGCACCCACGCATCCACGGCGCCACAGGGCCTTCTGGGGCTTCAGGCCAGCAACAAGAAATTGCCGAGGCAGCCCTGTCCGTGCTGAATCTCGGGAGCTTGGCCTGGGGAGGGTGGGAGGCTGCCGGAAGGAGCGTCGGTGTGGTTCGTCGGGATCATCGCAGTCGAATCTTTCGCGATCCTGGCCCTCATCCTTGCGGCGATGGCCGCTTTGAGGCCGGCCGTCGACCGGCTGACGCACGCCTGCGTGCCTGTCAACACGCGCCGCTGCACAGCGCGACCGGCATTGCTCGTATCAAACAACCAACAGCACCGCCGGCCCGCCTGCCCAGAGCGTGCTGCCAGCCTGTCCTGTGCCTGCGCAATCGACGGAACGCCAGGGAGGCGAACGAGCAGCAAAAGGAAAGAAAGTGGGTGGTGTGGTGTGCATGGCCCCTGCGGAGCGTTCGCGACGTACACGGGTCGACCACTACTGCCGGCTCACCTGTTTTTGCATCATCGCGGGGCCACCGGAGTCCCTGCAGCCCGGAGCTGGGTCCTCTCGAGGCGCAAGCGTTGAGCCCCAGAGGAGAAAAAAAAGGCGGTTGCACGTTGTGGTTACCCTGGCTCCACTCTAATCGCCCGGCGTTACGGACGTACCTGGTATCTGCCAGATAGCAAAGTCCTCTTTTCTTCTTCGCCCTCTGCTGCTGCTCCTCGCGCGGCTTTCTGCTTGCTTGCGCCCCATCCGCCCCCTTGGGCTCTTTGAACCCGGTTCACCTTGGATCTCCGGCGTCGAGGCGTAGCGGTGCTTTTGCCGTCCGCATTATCGTGAACCCCTCAACCACACGTACAGACGCCGCGCGGCATCCCTGCTTGACCACGCCCGTTGCTGGCCTTACAGCTGCTCGTACCCCACCAACTGCCGGCCGCGCTGTGCGAATAAGCAACAAGCGTCAGACTCAAATCGCCCGCGCCAAGTCCGCGCCACGACCATAAGCAAATGGCGGAGCAGAAGAACGCGGCCGTGGCGCTGGCCGTCGACGTCGAGTCTGGCCAGGGCCCCAGGTCGGTGCCGCACTGGAAGCTCGTCGTAGACCAAGCCCTCGTCACCCCCGAGGTGCTGAACTGGAAATACGAAGGCAGTGGAACCGTGGAAGATCCCTTCGTGGTCAAATGGATCGAGCATGACCCCAGAAACCCGATGACCTGGTCAAAGACATACAAGTACTGTCTCAGTGTGACCATGGCGCTGGCCACGCTGGCCGTGGCATTCTGCTCCTCCGCATATTCCGGAGGTAAGCACACCCCGCCGCCGTCTTGGGCGCAGACATGATGGGGCTAACATGGTGGCGTTCCAATTCGGAAAGCGTTGACCAGCTTGGTCATGGAGTTCGGCATGAGTCTGGAAGTCGCCACGTTGGGCATGTCATTCTTCGTCTTGGGCTTCGCTCTGGGTCCGCTTCTCTGGGTAAGCTCGTTCGTGTGAAGGTTTTAGGGAAATGGCGCACGTGGTCAGGGGACTGGACTGACGTGAGACAACCCGTCCCGGCAGGCTCCCTTCAGCGAACTCTATGGTCGCCAGATTCTGTTTATCCTGACTTTCGGGGCGTTTACCTTTTTCAATGCCGGCTCGGCGGGTGCGCAGAACACAGCAACGATCCTGATCCTGCGCTTCTTCGCCGGCTCGTTTGGATCGTCGCCTTTGACAAACGCCGGTGGTGTTATTGCGGATATGTTCAATGCGAAGGACCGTGGCCTTTGCATGAGTATCTTCAGGTACGTCACCTTCTTATTTGGTTGTATGTGAGAGTGCAATGTCCGGGAATCAGCTCAAAGACTGTGCCCAAAGTCTGCTGCAGGTCAAATATTCGCGAAAGCGATGGATTCAAGGTGACTGCTTGACTTTGACTTTGTCTAAGCATTCTCATACAAAACTCTCCAGTTTTTTTTTTTTTGGGAGATTACTTTTTTTTTCCTGCTTCCCGTACCATTGGAGAAAAGAGACCCTGAATATGAATCACGGAATTGTGAACACGATGCTGACTTGAGTAATCGGGCAGCCTTGCACCTTTCATGGGACCTGTTCTCGGACCAATTGTTGGAGGTTTCCTGGGCGAAGCCGAGGGATGGCGTTGGATCGAAGGCCTCATGGCCATCTTCTCCGGGGTATTGTGGATCGCTGGTAGCGTCTGCATGCCCGAGACATATGCTCCCGTCCTCCTGAAGAAGCGTGCCGCGAAACTGTCCCAGATGACCGGCAAGGTCTACCTCAGTCAGGCCGAGATCCGCCAAGGACCAATTTCGCTCAAGGAAGCCCTTTCGACGAGCCTGTCTCGGCCATGGATTCTGCTGTTCAAGGAGCCGATCGTGCTGCTCTTGACCATCTACCTCGGAGTCATCTACGGTACTCTGTACATGCTCTTCGGCGCGTACCCCATCGTGTACCGGATTGAGCGCGGCTGGACTGCCGGCATCGCCGGGCTCCCTTTCATCGGCATCGCGATTGGCATGGTGGGGTCGGTCGTGTACACCATCGTGTTCGACGACAAGCGGTATCGGCGCAACGTGGAAGAGCACGACGGGTATGCGCCTCCTGAGGCTCGTCTTCCGCCCTGCCTGCTCGGCGGCCTCATCCTCCCGCTCGGCCTGTTCTGGTTCGCGTGGACAAACTACCCCTCGATGCCGTGGGCGGCGAGCGTTGCCGCGGGCATCCCCTTTGGCTTCTCGATGGTGCTCATCTTCTTGAGCGTGATGAACTACCTGATCGACTCGTACACGATCTTTGCGGCGTCGGTGCTGGCGGCGAACTCGGTGCTCCGTTCTGTTTTTGGTGCTGCGTTCCCGCTCTTCACGAAGCAGGTGAGACTCTTTTCCCCGTCGCTGCGGGACGGTTTTGTTCTCCGGAGGTATATCTTGGGCTAACCGAGCATGGTAGATGTATGCCAACTTAGGTCAGTGATATGGCCTCGCTCTCCCCCTTTTGCGTCAACCGGATATGACGCGCGTTGTGGTGGTCATGTCAAGTCACTGCGTTTTGTGGATACGGTGGCAACGATCATGTAGCGCGTAAATCATGATGATTGCTGACATGGATGATAGGGATTCACTGGGCGTCAACTGTCCCCGCGTTCTTGGCGCTTGCGTGTCTACCGTTCCCCTTCCTCTTCTACAAGTACGGCGGCTCGATCCGGATGAAGTGCAAGTACGCGGCAGAGGCGGACGCTTTCATGAGGAGCCTGCGCGAGTCGGCGGAGCCCGTCACGGGGCCCTCGTCCGAGGCGGCGCCATCGAGCAGGGGAGAGGAGGTGGAGGATGAGAAGGAGGCCGCGGAGACGGGCAGTGGTGAGGGAGAAGAGGAGCCAAGATTCGCGAGGATCAAGACGGGCCACTCGGTGGCGACGCATAGGGAGGTGCCGCAGTACGAGGAGAGCCCGTTCGAGATTGACCGGGTGCACACGCGGGAAAGCTTCCGCTCGCACAGATCAAAGGCGGAGAGCTTGGCGCGGAAGGTGAGCAGGAGGAAATGAGAGCGATCCCGGGCGGTTCGAGATTCACGATGGATGGTTTGATCCAGGCGTCCCAGGCGGGGAAGCGTCGCACATCAGCTGGCGGCCGTCTCTTGGTCCATTCGCGGGGGTGGAGCTTTTTTTGTAAGCCCGCTCGAGGGGGTGGGCTCTTCTTGTAAGCTCGCTCGAGGGGGTGAGCTCGGAAAGGGCAGGGCAGCAGTCTGTCTGGGCGTCGTATACGCGTAATGTGCATCGAGTAATGGGAAATGGACAATACCGGGCGGCGTGCACGGTGGAGAGGAAGCATGGGGCCATAAGGCTGCCGGCCCCTTTTGGGATGGTGATGTGCATGGAGCCAAGCCCCGGATCTGCTTCCAGCTAGCCGCCGACTGGCTGCCGCCGTTTCAGAAGCTCAGCCCAGCAAACAACATCATCCCCGACTCCCCCGTTCTCTCTCGTCTCTCGCTCTCTCTGCCCACCCACGTCATTCTTTCTGGCTGGAGCATTGCACCCGACGTGCCTGTCATTCCCTTCCCAACCCCCATTTATATCCAATCGCCCTTGCTTCACCCGCGACTCTTATACCCGCCCGTCCCCCCAGCAAGCGCCCGACTTCACCGCCGATACCATGCGTCTTTCCACCCTCGCCCCGACCGCTCTGGTCCTCGCCCCCGCCGCCGTGTCGGCCGCTGGCACCCTCGGCTTCTCGCTCGGCACCAAGCTGGCCGACGGCACCTGCAAGTACCAGGCCGACTACGAGAAGGACTTCGACGCCATCGCCGCCAACACGGGCAGCAAGCTCGTGCGCGGCTACTCCGTCTCCGACTGCAACTTCGCCCAGCAGATTCTGCCCGCCGCGAAGGCCAAGGGCTTCCAGGTCGTGCTGGCCGTGTGGTACGTGCGCCCCCTCTATCCGCGACGCGCGGATTAAGCATGTCGCATAAGGTTGTTTGGTGGAGCGCTGACGCAGCCAAACAGGCCCGACGTCGACGAATCGCTCCAGGCCGACAAGAAGGCCCTCAAGCAGTACGCGACCGACGAGTACGCCGACCAGATCTACGCCGTCACCGTCGGCTCCGAGACGCTGTACCGCGGCAACTTCACCGGCGAGGAGCTGCTGGAGAAGATCAACGACGTCCGCACCGTGCTGCCCAAGGGCACCAAGGTCGGCACCGCCGACTCGTGGAACAAGTGGGCCGACGGCACCGGCGACGCCGTCGTCAAGGGCGGCGTCGACCTGATCCTGGCCAACGCCTTCGCCTACTGGCAGGGCGCCGACATCACCAACGCCTCCAAGGTCTACTTCGACGACATGTCCCAGGCCATCGCGCACATCCAGAACGTTGCCGGCGGCCCCGACAAGGCCCCCGAGATCTGGAACGGCGAGACCGGCTGGCCCACCGATGGTGCGTCGCCCATCTCCATTCCTCCCCTTTTTCTACCCGTCCATGGAAACTAATCCGTCCCGTCCAGGTGGTTCCGACTACGAGGCTGCTAAGGCCGGCACCGACAATGCCAAGACCTTCTATCACGAGGCCGTGTGCGGCGCCATCAAGTGGGGGTGAGTACACATGCATCCCTCCCGAGTCCCGACAGCCCTCTATCAGCGCGCCGTCTTTCTAACGCCAAACCACCACAGCCTGAACGCATTCTATTTCGAGCTCACCGACGAGGTCTGGAAGCCCGCGTCCATCGGCGACAACGGCGAGGAGAAGGACGAGACCAAGTGGGGAGCCATGACGGTCGACCGCAAGCCCAAGTTCAGCCTCAAGTGCACTTAAGACTGCTCCAGTAGATGCTCATCCTCTCCTCTGCGTTTAGCGGCGGCCTTTACTCGAGTCTTCTGGGATGAAGGGTGGAAACCCCGATGTCCTGAATTCTTCCTGTTCAGCGCCCTTACCCGGATACCCGTTGATTTAGGATTGTGAATACAAAGACCGAACCATTCTTATTTCCACCTCTAAGCCCCTCTTCTTTTCGATACTCTTGTACTATTGCTCTAGATTTGGTCTTTCTTCCATCTTCTCTGCGCCTGTGTGTGAAATTTCTAGAGAAATGATTCGTCTGCAAAACAAGCAAGTGAATTAAAAGGACCGCTTTGAGATGTCTAGCACTGCCAGCACTTCCCATTTAAATGTGCACCGAATGCTCTTCACTCTGTTTTCACCAATTTTGGGTGAACTGAATTGTGGTCCAATGAAGTGCCCTCACAAAACAAACCTCGATCAACTACCCTCCGTTGACATACCAAGGTGCACAAACAACAGCCAAGCCTACATCAGACCATGGGATATCGAAACACCATCCTTAATTGTACTGCGACTACTAGTCACTAGTCGCTGTAGGAACGAAATTGAGGGCGACCCAACTTCAACAAGAACTTTCACCGAAAACAACTGGACATGATCAGTGATTCACCTGCGTTCCCATCAACATTAATATAGTACGCGCAAGGATCATGGTGCTTAAAAAAAATAAGCAAATGAGAGATGGAGGAACTAAAAGAACCAAGCAGACAACGATTGTTATCCTCGATTTACTTGTATGGATATCATCACAACAACAACCCTGCCTGCATGTCCCAGCGCCAGAGCTTCATCCAGCCATTAGGCACAGGAGCGCGCGGACCCTGTGAAACGACACCATGGCGCGACTCTCCACCGTTGCTCTCATCTGCCGTGTCGGAATCTTCCTCTCTGATGCTGTCAATCGTGTCCGAATCTTCCTCGCTGCTGTCATCATCCATGTCCGAATCTTCATCGGTCTCCGAGCTGTCGCTGATGTCATAATCCTCTTCGGCTGGGAAGTGACGAGATCCGGCCGTCGTGACCAAAAAGTCGGGCCAGATGGGGTTGACGGCAACGGCCGCTATGTGGTCTAAATTGAAGTAAGTACACGCAAACTGGGCCGGGACTGAAAGAGATGTGAACAACATACCATCGTGAGCTTGCCACTCGACATCAGGTCCCGTGAATTCCTCTGAGCGCGCAGTAGGGTTGTGCCAGACACGCACGGCACCATCGCTACCACCGGCGATGACGTGGTGGCCCTGGTCATCGACCATGATGTCGAAGCCATGCCTCTGCTTCGACATGGCGTGACGACCAGTGAGGAAGGATACCTGACGAAGTGCCATGCGCACGTCCAATATGGTGAGCAAGTCCGACATGCGCTCGCATATGTAGAGGTAGTTGCCGTCCGGGCTCCAACGCAGAGTCTGGACGCCGCCGGCGAGATCGGGGCTGCGCATTTCAGACAGGTAATCGACCGACATGACCTCGCCGACGCCAAAATCCTCGTAGAAGCCGATCTTGTTGCCCCAGGTGCCGACGGCGAGTACTCCGCCGTCATAGCGGTAGTCAATGGCCGAGATCTTGCTGCTGAGAGCGTACGGGTTGAGCTTGTTCTTCTTTCTACATTTGTTGTGGGTGTAGAGCTGTTCCACTGGCTTTGAGCTACTCCCTTCGATATCGAACCTCGCTAAGCAGTTGGCGCCGGCGGCGACGAACTGATGGCCGTTCGGCAACACCTTGATACAATCCACCGGGATGTGAAGCACGTCATCTGTATCGTACATGAGAGGATATGAAGCGTATACTTCCGAGTTTGGATCGTTGATGTTGAATAGGCGGATCGGCTCTTCCTTGACAGACGCAAGTACACACATGGTCATCGGATCATCACTGTCGAACAATGGAGCGGCTGCGAAGGCACGGATGGACTCAGGTGATTCGTGAACGCCAATCAGGCGGGACGGCGGCTCCTGCGCTTTTGATCATTTAGACATTCTGGCAAAAAGTGACCGGGGAAACTTACGAACATCAAATGTGTTCGCAGGCACCTATCTTCGCTCAGCTGCAGAACACACTTGCCATCGGGGGACCACGCTGCATCTTTCTGGGCATGGTATGCTCTGTAATTGGGTCCGCTGCGGACCGGGTAAGGAGGGCAAGATTCAATGAGCTGCGGAGGAGTAATGCCGAAGCCAGGAAGGTTAGCCATCGTGTATTCGGACCAGCTTTGCACATTGTTGTCGTGTTGCTCAGCGCCAGCTTGCGTCGCGATCGGCATCCTTGAGTCGAGATCTTCTGCAGCGCTGGTCATCATATTGGCGACAGGGTCAGCTTCAGGGCGAGCATCGGCCGGAAGCATGCTGCCTGGATTGGTATCTTGCTCGGCCGTGGTTGGCGACGCGATCGGAGCAGGATACGCAGGTGCAGCAGACCAGCGCAGTGAGGATGGTGGAGGAAGAGGGCGGCGGAGCGGCATGTGTCGGCGGAAAAGCTCAGGCACCATGACGCGCGGGGTCTTATCGGTATCGCGATAAGCGGGGTCCAACGGTCCAACAAATGTCGCGAGCTGCGATGCCGGCGCAGACGCGCTGTCAGCTTCACAACCTCCAATGTCCTCCTCCAAGCGCGTTGAGTCGCCCTTCGCGCGCTCCCTGCTGGTAATTGCTCTCTCCATCTGCCTTGCGACCGTCCCGCCTCAATGACCCCGTCCTGACGCTTTCCTCGTGATTCATCCTGCCAGGCCGGAGCCGTGGCCGGCACCACCGTCGACCTCTCGCTCTTCCCGCTCGACACGCTCAAGACGCGCCTGCAATCCAGCGAGGGCTTCATCGCCTCAGGCGGCTTCCGCGGTATATACCGCGGCATCGGCTCGGCCGTCGTCGGCTCCGCGCCCGGCGCCGCCCTCTTCTTCGTCACCTACGACAGCGTCAAGCGCGCCCTCTCCAACAGCCGCAACCGCTCCCTGCAGCTGCAGCAACAACAACAATACACGGCCGATGGCACCAAGATAACACCGCCTGCCGCGCCGGGCAGCGGCGGCTGGGCCGAGCCGCTCAGCCACATGGGCGCCGCGAGCCTGGGCGAAGTGGCGGCGTGCGCGGTGCGCGTGCCCACCGAGGTGGTCAAGCAGCGGGCGCAGGCGTCGCAGCACCCGTCGTCGGCGGCGGCGCTGCAGCACATCCTGCGCCAGCGCCACGCGCACGGGCTGGCGCACGTCTGGCGCGAGCTCTACCGCGGCTGGGGCATCACCATCATGCGCGAGGTCCCCTTCACCGTCATCCAGTTCCCGCTGTGGGAGGGCATGAAGGAGTGGAGCCGGCGCACCAATGGCAAGGACAGCGTCTCCGCCTTCGAGGGCGCCGCCTTTGGCTCCGTCGCGGGCGCCGTGGCCGCCGGCGTCACGACGCCGCTGGACGTGCTCAAGACGCGCCTGATGCTGTCGACGCAGCGGCAGAAGGTGGTGCCGCTGCTGACGTCGATATTGAGGGAGAGCGGGCCGATGACCTTCTTCTCGGGAATTGGCCCAAGGGTGTTTTGGATCAGCACGGGAGGCGCGATATTCTTGGGGAGCTATCAGTGGGCCATCAATGCTCTTGGTGGTGCGGACTAATGTGATCAGGAAGCAGGAATAGACTTGTAACAGTAGGCATGTACCAGCAATGGTTTCATCAAGATACAGAGCAATTGCATAGCACAAGCCGGGTCGTTGGCTCGCAGGCCCCCCAGACAGCAGATCCCAATGGGGTAAGACATGGCCACTGCAGCCATATTTTCTTTTGTTAGAGCGTAGAATTCAGCATCGTGCTTCAAGGTCAAGACAGGTTGTAGAGCGGAGATATGTTCGTAAAGCATAAAGTACACAGTTCGAATATAGACGCTTCGGTATGCTGCAGAGTTGCCAAACGCCGGGCCTCCAATTGAACGTCTCGAGGTATTTTCTTTTATGTATTACATGGAAAAGTACAAATAGGGCCGGATTTACTCGTTGAGCTTGGCCAGGATCCTGCCGCAAGTCAGAGCCAGGCCGGGACGGGGGGTGCGGCGGAGGGTATACGTACTCAGACTCCCTGAAGAGGGAGTAGTCATCTTCCTGGACCTTGATGGGGGTGCCACCGTACTGCGCGACGCGTCAGACTCGCGGCCTGAGACTGCGGGTTGCGATTGCGCCAACATACCTGGGGGATGAGGACCTTGTCGCCGGGGGCGAGGCTAGGAGTTATCCTCTTGCCATCCTTGTCAAAAGCGCCGGGACCGACGGCCAGGACCTTGGCCTCGTTCAGCTCCTTGACGGAGCTCTCGGGGAGGAAGATGCCAGAGGCGGTCTTGGCCTCGGCCTTTATCCGCTGGACGAGGATGCGGTCGAGGAGGGGCGCAATGGCCTTGACGGACTTGATCGCGGTCGACTGTTCGGCGAGGTGATCAGCCGGGCAGAGCTTGCGGCGGGGCGGAGCAGAGACAACGTACCATGGTGGCGGAGAGCGGCGGACGGGCGAAGTACTGAGCGTGCGAGAAGAACGGGACGCGACGGAGGAGGACTGGCGGCGGGAGCGGGCGTGGTGAAGAAGAGGGCACAAAAAGTTCTCTGGTCTTCTCGAAGAATGGGCGTTAGTGGTCTAAGCTTCTGAGGCGCCAGACAGCCTCGGAAAACGCGACACCACCGCCGCCCTCGACCGCCCGCCCCGTGATACGCCGCCGGCCCGATAGCCAACCACCTGCACCCTTCTCCTCCGCCCCGTCACTACCGCTGCATGCGGCCCGTGGCTCTCGACCCGCGATGTGATGTTCGCTCCAACGAACCGTCTGCTTGCTGCCTTGCCCATCAGCGTGGCCGAGTTTCGCGAGTCTCTAGCTTCGATATGGCTTCCTCGCGTCCGCGTCCGGAGCCCGCGTCTGGGTGAGTCGCAAGCTCGCGAGTGAGGCAGTAATTCCACCTTGCCCTGTCTGTCTGCTCCCGCGTTCTGCCCGCATCCGCTTCATTCGTCGTGCGCCGCCTGTCACGAGATGCAAAGGTACTGTACTGACCACCACCCAGGCCTGGCCGTCAGTGGAGGCGTCGACTCCATGGCCCTCGCCACGCTGTGTGCCGATCTCTCCGGGGAAATCAACGATGACGACGACACCGATGTCTTCACAGCCTTCATCGTCGACCATCAACTGCGCAAGGGCAGCCACGAGGAAGCTCTGGAGGTCCGGGAGAACCTCTACAAGCTGGGAATTGCCTCCGAGGTTCTGCAGATGCAATGGCCGGAAGACACAGATACGAAGCACCTCACCAACATGGAGACTCTCGCAAGGCGGTCCAGATTCCGCCTGCTCGGCCAAGCTTGTCGTGATCACGGGATCGAGTCCCTCCTCCTTGCCCACCACAGTGATGACCAGGCAGAAACCGTGATGATGAGGCTCATCGAGGGCCACCGAGGCATGGGTCTGCGCGGCATGCGAGCCGCCGCCGATATTCCAGAGTGCTTTGGCATGCATGGCGTCCATCAAAGCCACGCCGAATGGGTGACAAACGACGACCCTGAACCATCGCGCGGCGTGGGCTTTGAGTACTGGGGTGTTCAGGTGCTACGGCCTCTGCTCCTGTTCGGTAAAGACAGGCTGATGGCTACGTGCAAAGCTTCAGGCACCCCGTGGGTCGAAGATGAAACGAACAAGGACCCGACCTTGACCAGGCGCAATGCCGTCAGGCATGTCTATCAAAACCACCGCCTGCCCGCAGCCATCAGCAAGCCGGCTCTGCTGCAGCTGACGCAGCGCACAGCGGACAAAGTCCAGAGACGCGAGGAAGAGGTCGACAACCTCGTGCAGAAGCTCGATTCTGTGCTGGACCTTCGCTCCGGCGAGCTCGCCATCCGCTTCTCGCGCTATTTCTGGCCACCCAACATCGCCCCTGCCCAGCGAGCCTACACTGACAATGGCTACTTCGAGCCCAACTTCGAGGCGTTCGATACCAACGAGGGCATTGCCGTCGCCGCTATGCTGATCCGACGGCTGGCCAACCTCGTCTCGCCGCGCGAGACCGTCGACCTCTCCTCGCTCGACACGCCGGTGCGCCACTTGTTCCCGCGACTCTTCCTCGACAGTCCCTTGGACTACGTATCCGGCAGCGTGCCCTCTTCCTTCACCGCCGCCGGCGTGTCCTTCGAGCGCGTCCAGACCGCCAACGACATCTGGCCCTACTACACCTGGATGCTGAGTCGGCAGCCCTACAAACGCGGCGAGGAGCCCACCATGGTCATCCCGCCAAAGAGCCCCTCTCCATCATCAGCCCCAAACATTGACCGCACCACCACAGACGACGACGACCACGACGACGACCACGACAACATCCCCTTCCTTCCCGAGGAAGAAGAAGTAGAAGAAGAAGAAGTAACCGCCGCCACCGCACACGACCCAACCCCCCCACCCCAGGAGCTCCAACACCAAGAACCCCCCTTCACCCTCTACGACGGCCGCTGGTGGCTGCGCGTCCGCAACCCGTCGCCGGCGCACGCCCTCGCCGTCCGCCCCTTCCGCCGCGCCGACCTCAAGCCCCTGCGCGCCGCCCTCGCCGGCCGCATGCGCGCCCGCTTCGAGTCGCTCCGCGCCGACGCCGCCCGCAGCAAGGGCCGCTTCGTCCTGCCCGTCATCGTCGCCCCGGCCGCTTCCGTCTCCTCCTCCGTCGAGACGGAAATCGAGGATGAGGACCTGCACGACGGCGGCGCCGCGATGGAGGAGGAGGAGGGCGACGAGGGAGAAGACGAGGGAGAAGACGATGCAGCGACCGCAGCCGCGCACGGAGAAGACACGGCACCGGCACCGGCACCGGCACCGGCACCGGCACCGGCACCAGCGGCAGACGTCCAGCACCCCGGCAGGAACGACGGCGACGACGACGACGTTGTCATCGCCGTGCCCACCTTCGGCGTCAAGGTCAACGTCGGCCCCGCGGCGCGCGCGTGGCGCGGGCTGCGGTGGGAGGTGCGCTACAAGAAGCTGGACGCGAGCGTCAAGGTCAGGGACGCGTGGGAGGGAGAGGGCTTCCTGTTGGACGATGGTGATGGTGATGATGCTGACGATGATCATGTGCCGTTCGTGGTTGGGGAGCAGACGTGGCGGCAGCAGCCGAGGTAGCTTGGAAAGAATGTAGTGGCAGCAGCAGCAGCAGTGGTGGTAGTAGTAGTAGTAGTAGTAGTAGTAGCGGCAGCAGGGGGGTTATTAGTAGGTCAGGAATGGGAGGGTATGGGTTGGGCGCATTGCATTTTTTTTTCTTCTCTTCCGGTTTGGGTAGAGAGAGAGAGGAGCCATAGATACCCTGGAGGGTTTTCTGGGGTGGTTTGTCAAATGTATCCGTAAGTGATATAATACATGCACTGGTAATTCCTCATGAGAGAGCGAACGTTTGGTGCGCATATGCGTGGCCATTGATATTCAATTTCCTTCTATCTTAAAAAACCAGTTACTCGAACTGGTAATCATCAAAACATGCAGCAGGGCTCTTCTAATAACCTGATCGGCTCGTTCTCTTAGCTCAACAACAAGGATTCAATCTGACGTTCAACTGGTCGGCGGAGCCGGATTGGGCTCCGTGGGCATCGCTTATCTCACCTCACCGGGCTTAAATTTTACTACATACTTACCTGCGCCCTGGAATTTACTTTTTGGCTTCGCACAAGGCTTGGGCGCCACTGATGGACTACGCCGAGGATGCTTCGAATATCGCGCTGTAGCGAAAAGAATAGGCCGCGGAATGGTGATGTGCGTGGGGGAGCGCAAGTCAAACTCGCCGCACTTACTGTACGTATGCGATTCAAATGTCGGAGGAAGGAGACAAAAAAGAAAGAAAATAGAAAAGAAGGGCATGTGAACGTCATGGGATAGGGCGACCATGGGAGAGGAAAGAGGGGAGGAAAGAAGAGCTTGCGAGGTCAAATGAGCCCACCCGTAGCAAGCCAACATTGTCATCTTGACCGATGAGCAGGACGGAAGGCTACGACAGCGGAGCGCCAGCACTTCGAGAATAGAGACGAGAGACTGAAGGCTATCCCAGACGCCCGCAGCTGGCCTTCCTCCCACCTAACCCATGCTTCAACGGGTGTCTCCTTCTCTAACATCCTTTTGTATTTATTTCACGCCTGCGTACTGGAAATGATCGAGAAGAACCGCATTCCCAGCCACCTAAAGAGAGCGCTTCGGTTGAAAATCTGAGGGTATGCGTGCGCGCGTGCAAACTAGATTAGTGCCATCGCAAAGTCGCGTATGCCAAGGGGCGACAGGGCGTAAGCGATCGCGACACAGCGGCCGGTCCAGGTCGGGGCTGTGTTATCGAGGATGCGGTGTGGGAATTAGGTTGTATCGAGATCCTGCGGCGGATAGAGAAAGGGGGCTGCTGGCTGCCCCAGCCAGGCGAGTGGCAAAAGGAACGCATGGCGTAATCCCGTTCGTCATTCCATTATGTTGGCAAGCCTGAACGTGTCACTGCTGTTAGTGTGCCAAGCTGTTGTGGGAGTCCTTGGATGTGTGCAGGTTGGGGGCGCAGCGACAGCCAGCAGGGATCCAGCCCGACAGTGGCGACGGTGTGTGAGAGGTGAGCTGTGATGAAGGCCATCTCCGCGGTCGTCTGCCGCTATTTTTTCCCGTGTATCAGTAATGCGGTCGCTGAGTTGGTGACGTTGCGGTGGACTTTGGACGTATGCAGGCCTCAGAATCGGTGACAGCCAGGGAGGGTCCAGCCCGAAGGTGTGGCAAGAGTGTGTAAGATGCGAGCGGCGATGAAGCGGCCTTTCCCGTCGTCTGCAGGTAGTTCCCGCAACCGGCTGATTTGGGACAAGGCGAGAAATGGATGACGGTTGTCGTTTCTGGGCTGTTGTCGGCTTTCCGTGGTCCTTGCGGGTGCGAGATCGAGATGGGTGGCACGGAGTAAACTGCGATGCCGGTGGCGACCGTTGTGATTAGACGTGCCAGGACGGATGTGACATCCGCACAAGTCATATCATCTCAAACCACAACGATTCAAGAAACAAATCTACCACTGGCAAGGAAGGTTTGTCAAGCTTATGCAGTGGTTCTTACCAGAAAAGCATCCCTCGAGGCGTCTCTGCACAGTTATCGGTGGCATTTCGCCCAGGTGAAGGACAGCTGCGCTGGAATCGACCCGTTGTGCCGCTGTAAACCAAGGGCGACGAGGCGGGGTATGGGGTAAAGGCCCGCTGGCTGTCAGGCAATGCTCCGATCTCTCCAAGAGCCCTGCATACCGTACACCCTACGGCATGACGCCCATACGTTCGGTCTATGGCACCGACGTATACACCTGCCGTCGAACGTTGCTGTGACGGAATTGAGCCGGGAACAGCCAGCCCATCTCGATGGCAGCGCTGCATGAGAATGCCGGCGGAGCCAGATTGGAGGTACCGCCCGACATGATGCGGTTCTTTGCGGCGTCTACCATTGAGATTCTGGCTTGCATTACGAATGGGCCAGAGAGCCACAGTGGCGCGCAAAGATCGAGTCGGACTTTTACGGATTGTCGAGAAGTTCGAACAAGCATCTCCTGCCGCTTTCCTGGAGGTATCGACATCCATACGGACACGGTCGTGATACGCTGGCACCTCATTCCTGCAAAGAAAGACAGTATCGTGGTAGTGCAACTAAACCGATGCTGTTGAAAACATGAGCCAATGCTCATTGGTCGGAGTGGGGTCCGCGTCGACTTTGGATGGACTGTTTCTGTTAGCTGCCAGCGCCGAAGGGTCCCCGTCAATCTGGCCCGGTTCTGCTGAGCCGTAACAGGGGCCAGCTGGTCAAGCAGTACGCCCCCCTCGATGCTGACAGCAATCCTATCCCGGCGGAAGTGCGTGCAAGATGCGTTCACTACGTCAACTAGTCGTCGCTGCCTGCCCAGGGCTAGTAGCGAGTCGAAATTGAGGCGTGGTCAATAAGTAGAGGCATAGCCGACAGCCCTGCAGCGGCACAAGCCTCCGCCATGCCCCTCTCGTCCGAGAGTGGAAGCACCGAACTCGCGCAGACGGCGTCCCGTACCATCCAGCAATAGGAGCGTACCCTCGAAGGCCTGTGTTCCGAAGATGGAGTCGACTGACCCGCCAGCGGAATCTCAAGGCCTGAGTGACTCGGGCTCAGCGCTACCACCACGACAACAACCGTCAAAGCGCACCAAGGTCACACTGGTGGCCTGCCAGTCATGCCAGCACCGGAAGCATAAGGTGAGGTTTGCCCTTGGTTAACACAGTCTGTGATGTGGTGCTGACGTATTGCCCGACGAAATTAGTGCGATGGTGCGCGCCCCATCTGCTCGCAATGCCGAGCCAGGAAGCGACCAGACTGCACATACGACGCCGCAGGCGATCAAAGACGAACGTCGGCCTTGAAGCAACGCATCCGGGATCTTGAGAGACAAACAAGGGACCTCCAGGATGTCCTTGTGGGCATCGGGGCCTCGGCCGACAGCGAGGCGGCCGCCTCGACTGCTCGACAGCTGGCCGATGGCGGCTTCCAGCACACAGCCGAAGTTGCGCAAGCTTTCAGGATGGATGAGACAAAGGACAAGACGCACGCCGAGTCCTGGAAAAACATAACGGTGAGGCCAGCGGGATATGGTGAGGCGGCGGATGATGCAATGTTCGAGGCGTCGCCCTCCAGTGCGGAGACCACAGACAGCGTGGACCCGGAAGGCATCGTAGACCCGAGGTTACAATACTGGCCGATTGATACAGCGGAGGGGACTGCCCCGTTCGGACTGCATGAGGACGACAATACAGTAATGCAGGTAAGAGATGCCCATCCGGCCAAGACAATGCTATGGCAGCGAAGCACCAAGGGCGGTAACGTCCGGTGGATCATTCCCAAGCACCACCTAGAGGCACGGGGATAAAGTCGTCAAAAGGAGATGGTTGGCCCCAGCAGCGGCCTTGGGAGGTTGGCGGGGGTGGACCGGCGAACCGTTCCAAATGCTGCAGACGCTCTGATGAACAGCGCAACGCCATGCGCCAGCGCGCATCGAGCAGGAGACGTGTCCACATCAGGGGCTGGTTTCATCAAGGGTGGATGCCGTCAAGGGTTTGGATATTCGTCCATCTGTCGGCGCCTTGGGTGGGGGGGATTTGCCCTCTTGCCCTTGCTCTTCCATACTAACGCTTGAGACAGACGCTCGAGATGTACTGGCCGGGCAGCGTGGGTGCGGAGGCAGGCTTCCTGGATCAGACGCAAGCGCAATGGGACGGGCAAGCAGGAGCAAGGTATTCCGAGTAGTTTGCTGCTCACCCACTCCCAGGCAGCGAGGGACTTGCACGGCTGACGTTGCGGAACAGTACATGGGCCAGCGGACCCAGTGGCGGCGCGGCACCCGACGCCGCACCGCCGGGAACGGGGCAGGCTGGCGCGCGGAGGCGGGGATGAGGACCGAGGAGTGGCGGCGGCGAGGAAGACGAAGTCGTGGGGCCCGGAGGTGGCAGACGTGGCGGACGCGCACACGGGCCCGGTGAGCGGCAGCGAAGCGGAGAGGGATGCGGCGTCTCTTTACCTGGCGGGGCGGCTAGCCTCCGGTCTCTGATGACGGGTGGGTGGAGCGGAGCGGTAGGCAGGCACGTTGGACGGAAGGCGCTGAACACCCTCTCACGGCACCCCGGGGTTTTATGCACGACGGGGCGGGCGACGTGCTGTAGACTCCCGGTGCAGCAGTGAGCATCCGGTTTGCCACACCCACACGAGTGACGACGAGCAGTCTCTGCGGGCTAGCCAATGCCTCCCTGTGCTGTTGCAACCCAGAACGTTGATGCCGGGCCCTCGTTGGTCTCCAGCCCTGCCGGCTCATCGACCCGTCCAGCGCCCTCCCTTCTTCCCTCATCATGACCCGCTCCCGTCGTGCCTCGTCGGAGCACGCTCCTGCTCCGCCGGTGCCGCCCCATGTTCGCCCAGCACCATCTCGATTGTCACCCGGTTCCACCTGCAGTCCAGATGATGCCTTGGCCTTCAACCATCTGGATGGGCCGTCCGCACAGCACCGGCAGCCGCGTGCTGGATGTCCAGCTGCTGCTCCTCAGGCTTGCCTTGCACTTTGGATCGACGTGTCGAGCGCAGCTGCAAGCCGGCATGGCCTGCTGTGCTCCTGCGTTGCATAAGTTCCAGTACACACCACGGCCACATCCAAAGTAGAGCACGCTTGAGGGAGCTGGCAGTCTATCTAGTTTACTCTTCTTGAAACTGCAGTCCATGAAGCTGCACTGGTGGCAGCATAGTGACATTTGCGGGGCCGTCGGCCTTCACTCGATCACGACGCCGGAGTCTCTGCTGCTACAAGGCCGGCATCGAGCGCGGCCGACGAAGTCTCAATTTGCGTGCAAGTCCGTGGACAACCGCCAGAGTGTCGCGCACGTTCAGCGGCACTGGGCATCATGCGGGGCCGAGACATGCACCGGAGACCACCATCGACCTCGAGAGAGCGAATTCGAGCACACTTCAGGTGTCTGAATCCTGCTTCGAGACACATTGTGATGGAGCAGCGTGAGCAATAGCCGGAGCAATCGCCAGCCAGCTCTCCGGCTGGACGCTGGACTCTACGGCCGGCGTCGTTACGCCGCTGCAAGCGAGCCTAGCGGTGGCACCATCACGGCGACCAGGTGCCAGAGTCGCTACCCGAGAAGCGTCCAGTTTCATCAAGAGGCCAGCGCCGTCAAAGCCAGAACGGGCATCAACGAAGAAACGTCTTTCGCCCGGGCGCAAGGCCGCCGGGGCAAAGACACCACACGGCGGATGCCCGGCGTCAACCCCTCCAGAGGCAGACAGACAGCCATCAGACGCCACGGTAGCCGCCACGGTAGCCGCCACGGCCGCTGCGAAGTGATCCATCACCGGGCAGACACCAGACGCAACCGGGCCGCCGACGGCCGTTCTGGTCTCTATCCAGAGCGAGCCGGTGTATGTCACCAACGGCACCGTGACCCTGTCTCTGCTACATGAGCGACGACATGACTGCGCGTAACGTACGTGCCAGCGGTCCCGCAAGCACCAGTAGCCCTGGACTCGTCCTTCGGAGAGACGCCGGCATCTTGGAACGCGCGAGGAGCATTCATCATCACAGTCCTGGGCGATGGGTGCTTTGTTTGTCTATCTACGTGTGCGCATCTCCGGTCATCACTTGGGCCTCTCCGCAAAGTGTGAAGTGGTATTGGGTCATCGGGTGAGCCGGCATGGTCTCGAGTGAATGTGCGTGAAGGGTGTTGGTCCGATTTTCTGCAGCTGCTTGGTCTCGCCGGTCAATTGTCCTTGGGTCAGTAGGGGGCGGGCGTGCAAGCTGGCTGGGACGGCGGTCGGGCATTGCGCAGCGGAGAGGAAAGGCCAGGGCCGCACAGAGGGTAGCAGAGGAGAGCGGGCATGGTGCACCGCGGAGGAGAAGGGCCGGGCACTCGGAGGGTGACGCGGAGGTCAGAGACGCAGGTGTCGGTCCACAGTGCGCCTTGGCGGCTGGTTGGCGAGAAGAAGGGAACCTACTGCACGGCGTGCAAACACCAACGGGCGGAGACGGATTCCCTCTGATCAGGCGTCCGGGAAGCCAGTTTGGGGAAGCAGCGCCGGAGAAAGTGTGCTGGAGCAGCGGCGGAACAAGTGGACGAGGGAGCGTATCCGCCGGCCACGCAGCAAGGCGGCGCACGCCGCAGCTTACAAAAGGGCTGCGGATGTGCAGCCAGGGTAGCCGGAGTAGCCAAGGCTCGGATTGCACCGCCGAAACCACTGCCATCTGTTAGTGCTCTGCAGGGCAAACTGGGTTGAAGATGACGCTTCTTGATGGCGCAGCCAGGTGTGGGCAGCCAGGTGTGGGCAGCCAGGTGTGCGCCGCCAGGTGTGGGCAGCTTCCAGACGGACGGCAGCTCCCCAGCTCCGCATCCATGAATCGCCGCTGCTGGGCTTAAGAATGCCAGGCAGCCGTGCGAGCAGCGGGAGGTGAAAGAGGAGCGTCTCGGAGAAGACCAATCGGATCAGCGCAACGGGCTGCAAGTGAAGACGGAGAGGATCCGCGGAGTATACTCCTGGCTCGCGGGGCGGGGCAAGGCCCAATCAGACGGCGAGAGGAGTGACGTAACAGGGCTGTGTGTATCTGGTCCGAGGACACACGCTCAGGAAGATCGTCGGGGCGACTTCTTGCGTCGCATCACCGTGACGCGGGGTCCGTTCCGCTTTCTTGTGCATCTTCATCGAAGCGTCGTTGCGCATCCCGAGCTTACTGATGCATTTACAGGGTCCGCGTGGCGCACATCCATGTCTACGCTTTGGATGTAGATTTGCGCCTGCTATCTCCCGGCGCTATGAACATTGTTGCGTCATGCTATCCTCACCATCGCTCAGACCCTTGTTCAGCTCGGGGCCGTCATGCCACATGTTCTCCACGTCAATCCAGACCAGTCTTTTGAGAGTCGGTGAGAACCATGGAGCAGTCCCCAGAGACATACACATCATTCTGCGGATATGCTATCCAATTGACCAGCTTCTGCTCCAGGACCGTGAATGTGCGGCTCATCGTTCTTCAACAATGTCAACATGATGCATCAGACACTGAAGATCCCCGCTCGGCCACAGCAGAAATGCGGGGGAATAAAAACGCTTCCTGTTAACCTGCATGCACTGGCTCCACATGTCTTACACTCCGAAACGAGGATCCAGAAGGTACGCAAAAACATACCCCCTTTCCCCTGATCCGCCCGGGTCTTCACTTCAAACGCATGAACATGAGGTGGCCTTGCAGCTCAAGAAGAGAAGTGCTCCGACGGGAATCCAGTCGATGCGAAGTTGGGTGGCCCTGACTCGATGTGGATTTTTTTTAATTTATTTACACGCGAGGCCGATTCAAAAGGAGGAAGCCATCCCCAGATATCGACAGAGAAACGAAAATATAGACAGTAGAAGAAAGACCTCCAAACATAATCTCCTCAGCTCCCGATCCCATCGGGCATTTAGATGCATTCACCCTCGATGCTGCTGGTCGAGTTGGAGATGTACGTGCTCAAATCGGCATTCGCGCACAACACACCCTTGACGAAGGCCTGGGAGACAATGTCCGCCGCCTCGGGGCTCGTGTGGGTGTGGTCGTTGGGGAAGAAGGCCGTCACGGCATCGTAGCCGAGGCTCTCGTACCTGGCGCCGACGTATGCGCCGTGGTCGATGTAGGTGGCGCCGTCGCCAATGTTCGCCGCCGCGATCTGCTGGTACTCGACGAAGCGGGGGGGCGAGTAGACGTAGCTGCCCGTCTCCCACGGGTTGTTGGGCGTCTGCGACGACAGGATCACCTTGGCGCCCTTGGCCGTCAGAGCCTTGCCCGCGTTGGTCACGTAAGTGACGAAAGTCTGCACAATCAGGCCGTCGGGCGTGGTGCACGTCTCCGAGCCAGTGCCGGGGCAGTCGCTGCGGCCGTTGTCAGAGTTGACGGGGGAGCCGCCGTCCTGTAGGCTGGGAGTCAGTGACTTTGTTTCGCGTAGGTGGGTTGATTGTTGCTGTGAAGTGATGGGTGAGGGAAAGGGGGAAGACGTACGTTGTGACCGAACTCAATGACGACGTAGTCGCCCGACTGGACGGCGTTGATGATCTCATCGAAGCGGCCCTCATCGGTGTAGGAGCGAGCGGAGCGGCCGGCGCGGGCCCAGTTCAGGACCTCAGCGTTCTTGATCGAGTACGCAAGGTACTGACCCCAACCTGGAGAGCTTGTCAGTCATGCCACTTCGCGGATGTGGGGAATTGGCATCGGATCAACATACCCGCAGTACCACTGCCACCACCGTTGTTGGCCATGGTCGAGTCACCGGCCAGGTAGATCTTAGGAGTAGCCCTCTTCTCATTCTGGGCAGACTTCTCGGTGGGCAGAGCCGCAGCAGCCGTGGCCAGGGCCAGGACGGAGGACGAGATGATGAACTTCATGATTTGTGGATGGAGGATACGGTTGGCGATGGAAGGACGGAGAGGCAGTAAAGGCACCGGGCCGGGGATTACAGTGAAGTAGATATAAGCGATGGAAGGGAGGAACGAACGGTACAAAGCACACCGAGGGCTCTGACTGCGGAACGAATGGGATGGAAAAACTGAACACCCTCTGGCTGCCGAAGCGGCTATTTTCTTATATACATTCAAGTCCCCAGGGGAAAGGGAGAGGGAGAGGGCGCATACGCGAGGCATCCGCCAAATGCATGCAAAACGCCGCTCGAAACAAGATCCACCTATCACCAGGTGCAGGTCCATAACAAGCAGGCAGCTAAGAGCCTGGAACCCTGGACGAGCCCCATGGCCGGCTTGGCTGGCGGGGTGGCTGGAGTTTGTTCCGTTTAGCGTTTCGACATGGGAGCAGCCGAAGCCGTGCTTGGGGAAGGGCGGTTGAATACGGAAGCGCTGGCCGGCCATCCTCCGTCCAGATGCGGCCGGGAGTCCCTAAAGGGTTACTATGCGGTATCGGCCCGGCCAGCGGCGTCGCGATGCACGCTGAGCCGACGGATGCGAGGAATCCGAGAGCAGCGCGGGTCCTATAATTGGCAGAGCGCGATGCGCAGGGCGGCTTCAGTGCTCGGAGATTGGGGGTTGCGGCATGCTGAAACAGTATGTTTCGAGAGATGGCCTATCCCCTTTCGGCCGCGTCACGTCACGTACGCGAGCTTCAGGACGGCCGCCGCGCCGACGGAAGCGGACGGTTTGCGGGGTACACCACCTCGTGCTCGACTTGTACCGAGCAACACGATGGAGCCATACACGGCGCGAGGACGATTCAGCCGACCGGCGCGCGGCGAGCACAGAGCCGCGGCGCTTGAGAAAATGGGGAAGCAGCTTCTATGCGTCGGCAGAACAGGATGTATATTTGATACAAGTGGCGGCGGCTACCAAGAGCTGCTTGAGGGCGCCAGGGCAAGGATGAGTCGAGGGGAGGCATGGTGCCATGGGGGGCGTGTTTCGCCAGCCGTCGACGAACAGACCGTCAGCCCAGCTAAGCGAGCTGTCAGGGCAGCTAGGGCAGCTAGGGCAGCTAGGGCAGCTAGGGCAGCTAGGGCAGCTAGGGCAGCTGTCACCCACTACCACCTTCCCGCCGCCCGCCGGTCGCTCAACAAGACGGGCCGCTCAAGCGACCCGAGAGCGCACGCGCACCCCGGCTTCGAAGAAGTTCGAAGTTCGAAGCAGCAGAAGGCGCGCGCGACCCAAAAAAAAAAAAAAAAAAAGAAGAGTGGGAATAGAAGCAGAAAAAGAATAGAATAGAATGCAAAAGCCAAACAAAAAGAGTGCAAAAAAAAAAAAAAAGAAGAATACCTGGTTGATTCATCAGTCCATAACACCTATCCCAAACCGAAGTGAGGGTATTCCAGCACCGCCATCCAATGGTGAAGTCGTGTCTGCAGAATTGCTTCCCTCGACGGTCGACTTCATTGCTTAAGCCCACCTTCATCGCAAGTTACCTGTACGAGTTGGTCGGGCACCACCGGATTCGAACTGGGCCCTCGCTTCAGCATTGGAAGGGAAAGGAGTTACGGTTTCAATGCGCCTCTCAGATGAGAATGACCATTACAGCCGAGAGAAGACCGACGCTTGCAAGCCATATATACCCAGAGCTAATTTCCCTGCGCTCGCAAACCGACTGCCCGCCCGCCCGCCCGCCCGCCCGCCACCCCGTCACGCAAAACAGCACGATGCCCGTTTGTGGTCATGCAGCAAGCAAACGCGTCGAAACTATAGTACAGCCCGGTATCATCAAACGACCCCGTGGGCGCGCCCGCCCGCACCCGTAGCATGCAGAAGCGGCACCCACAACCAAAGAAACAAAAGCACTCCCGAAAGACCCGCGGTGCAGACGCGGTGGACTACCCTCGCATGCAACCCAAAAGCGCTCCTCGGTTTCCCAAAGCCCTCTCTTCTCGCGGCAACCGATGCCAGCCGCCTGGTCTAGCCTAAAGCTCATGAAGTCCGGATATCAAGCACAGAAAGACGTATATCGTATCCACACCATCTGTTCGTCCACTCTATAGGAAATATTCGCCGCGCGTGCCGCGCCCAGCAGGCACCGCCCGCCGGTTGTCGGGAACCGCGCTGAAAATCGTGAACTTCGGATTCAGGTCCTCGGCCAGGCTCATGATCGACGCCACGTTGCCACAGCGGTAGCAGTAGTTGGGGGCTGACCACACCGTAACCACGTCTTTGTCTTTGAAGTGATACTGTCTCATCGTTAGCTCCATCGACGCGCGCGGCTGGGCCTCCCCTTACCTTGTAGCCCTCGTTGACCAGCTGATGCGCTCGCGCAATGAGCTGCAGACCGTTGACGTGGTTGAACTGCGTTGACCCCGTCAGCTGACTTGTTGCACGACGCATGCCGGGAAACTTACCTCGGACGAAACCTTGTCGCCAAAGAGCCAGCCTGCTCCACGCGGCGACACTGCCCACGTATCAACGTCCTCTGGATCGCTCCAGACGAGATCACAGAAGGCTCCCTCGTGCGGGATCTCCTGGGCGCGGGCGACCACCCGGATTTGGTCCAGCGTTCTGATTTCAGGGCTCAGACCGCCGTGTACGCACAGAACCTTGCCATCCACAATGGCAGCGAGAGCTAGGAAATCGAAGACCTGGCAGCAAGCCTTCCACACCGAGGCGTTGCCATACTTGGTCTGGCACTCCTCGTAGAACCCATAGACTTGGGTGATCTGCCGCGACTCGTGGTTGCCTCTGACAAGGGTTACCCGATCGGGAAATCTGCGGAGTACTTGTTAGATGCGCCGCGACGCACACTTCGCCACTCCTCAACTTACTTGGCTTTCAGGCACATCAAAAGCGTGAAGGTTTCCAGACTGAAGTAGCCCCGGTCCACGAAGTCGCCCAGGAAAATGTAGTTTTGCATGCCGTTGCCACCTGAGCCCGAGATGTTGCGGTTGCTGTCGGCGTCCGAGGAGCCGTCACCAAAGCTCCCTCTTTGGCTGCTGCTCCGACTGCGGCCGCGACCCTCTTCGTCGTCGTCATCGCCAGCATCCTCCTCTTCGATCTCGGCGCCCGAGCCTGGACTGGTTCCGGTGTAGTTGGCGTCCCGCTGGTACCGCCGCTTCATCTTGCGCTTAGCCTTGGGGTCGGTGATGGTGCTGGGCGGCTCGATGTCGGCAGCGGTGATGGTCTTGGTGGGGACGGTGGGCGCAGCAACGGCCGTGTCGCTGGGCATGCCGCCGGCAACGCGGAACAGCTCCAACAGATCGTAGAACTGGCCGTGGATGTCTCCGCAGACGGTGACGGGGGTCTTGACGGGCTGGATGTTGGACTCTGCAGGGCATTAGCGTCAGCCCCTGGTCGGGAGCACGAACAGGCGGCAGCGCGCACCTTCCATCAAGCATTCCTTGACTATCTCGCAGAGGCGCTTCATGTCGGCTTCGGGCAGGTACTTGCACCGCTTTGCGGCGTCCAGCCACTCGTCGGGGCCAGCTCCAGGGCTCAACCGGGCAGGGCCCGGCTGCGGGACGTCATATTCCTTGGTCATTGCGGGCGGGATGAGAGCGGTGGTGTTGGGGGGGTGTCGTCGGCGAAATGGCGAGGAGTTGAAGCTATCAGCACGGTGACTGCGGCTTAGCAATGGCTATCTGTCGTGTGACTGGGCTGCCTCTGCGGGCGGGAGATCATGCGCGGGGAGAGCGGTGGGGATGGCGATCGTGGGCAATCATGCGTGAGTCTGGGGAGAACAGCGCATGGCGGCGCAGCAGGCAGAATGGAGGCGCGGCGATCGGACGCAGCGATGTGGGCGGAGTGAAGTGGTGAAGGCGTGGGACAGACAAGTGACCCGTGCTTCCAGGGCCCAGACGCAGCCGAAGCCTGAGCGCCGCCTGCGCCGCCTGCGCACCAGAGCCGGCCAGCGCCCAAGCACCGATGTCATAAGCCCAGCAGCCGCCCGCATCCCAGCGCACCACATTTCAGAAACACCACGCTGCCCCCGCCGCACCTTCACCATGGCCCCGCCGTCCACCGCCGCGGCGCCGGGCGCCAACGGCGTGCTGCCCGTGCCTGCCGCCGCCCTGCAGAAAAACACCGGCCCAGCCCAAGCCAACGGTGCGCCCCGCAGCGCCGCGAATCGCTCCCACCAGCCGCGCCTCAAGCTTGTCGTGCGTCGCCTTGCCCCCGGCCTCACCCAGCAGGAGTTCGAGCTCGCGCTGGGCGATGACTGGAAGCTGGGCCAGGGCAGGGTTGATTGGTTCACCTACAAGCCCGGCAAGATTTCCAAAGAGTGCGCTCAAGCTCCATTGCGCTTTGGAATGCGCCCCGCTGACCACATGCACCAGTCTGGCGAAGCCTTCGAAGCCATCTCGCGCCTATTTTCACCTGACTGATCAAGCCCATGTCATCCCTCTCGCCGACAAGGTGCGCAAGTCTGCCTTTAACGACGCGAAGAACTCAACACGAGACCCCGCCCTGATCGGTGCCCCGACCCTTGACGTCGCCCCCTTCAGCCGCACCCCTGGTGGACGCCGCCGCAATGATGCCCGCCAGGGCCTCATCGACCAAGACCCAGAGTTCAAAGACTTTCTCGAAAGCCTCACCAACCCTGTCTCGAAGCCTGCCCCGGTTGATAATGCGGTTGAGGATACGACTGCGAAGAAGGAGGACGTCAAGACGACCCCGCTGATAGAGCATCTGCGGGAGAAGAAGGCCGCAAAGGAAAAACCGCAAGCCTCCAAGGGTCAGGGCAAGCATGCCAGGGGAGAGTCCAAGGAGGAAAAGGCAGCTTCCAAGTCTGACAAGAAGAGCCGCAAGGGCGGAAAGGAAGAGAAGGGCAGCAAGCAATCTAAGTCTGAGAAAGCTGCGAAGGAATCCACCCCGAAGGAGGTCAAAATCTTAAACAAGAAGAGCACGGAAGCTGAAAAGACGGACGAAAACAAGACTCCTGCTCCTAACGCGCCCGCTTCAGAGCGCAAACGTGAACGTGGCAGCACTAGCATTGCTAAGCAGATGCTCCAGCGAGACCTAGGTATTGGCCCTGCTGCCAGTAGCCGGCGTGGCCGTCGAGACACAGCGCAAGAACCGGCGAAGGCGGCTGAGACCACGACACCCAAGGAATCCGCTGCTGCATCACCGGCTTCATCTTCACCTGCTACCAAGGATAGTACTACCGCTACGCCCTCCAATGCTCCCAAGGCAGGCGCGGAGTCTCGCTCCGGCAAGAAAGATTCTCGTCCCACACGTGCGGAACGTCGTGCTCAGAAGGCTGCAAAGGCAAATGCAGAGGCAACCGCTGCTGATCAGGCCAAGCCAGCTACAGCTCCCATGCCGCCCACTGGGCCTAAAATACTCAAGAAGCCCCAGAACGCACAGCAACAGGCCACACCCGCCAACGACGGTTCAGCCAACGCTCCCCCGCCCAGAGCACCCACCGGTCCAGCCGCTCAACAGAATTCGCCCAGCGCTTCGCGCCCCAATTCTTCCCGCAAGGCCAATAACAACGCTGCTGCTACCCCTGCTGCCGCCGCATCTGCACCCACTGCCGCCGCCACCGCTCGCCAAGCTTTCCTTAAGCACGCCAACCCCTCACAGGGCATCACAGAGCCGCTCATCGAAGCCGCCCTCTCCGCCTTCGGCGCCATCGACAAGGTCGAGATCGACAAGCGCAAGGGCTTCGCGTACGTCGACTTCAAGGAGCCCGATGGCCTCCAGAAGGCCATCCAGGCCAGTCCCGTCAAGATTGCCGAGGGTGCCGTTCAGGTACTTGAACGCAAGGATAAGACGCCCGCTCAGCGCGCACCGAGGGTGCCACCTGCTGGTCCAGCTGCGGCTGGCGGCCCAATTATGGGAGGAGGTGGTGGCGGCAGCGGTGGCAGCAGCAGTGGCGGTGCTGGTGGCCGGGCTGGGTTCAGAGGCGGGCGTGGCGGGCGTGGCCATGGTAGCGGCGGTGGCGGTGGTGGTGCAAACGCATCTACTGCCAATGCTGCTGGTAACACTGCCACTGCCACTACTCCAGCTGCTGCTGCTCCCAAGGCTCAGGCTGCCGCTGCCGACACCCCGTCTTAAAGATGATGCAGTTTCTGCGCTTTTGAGACGGTGACTTCTCCACGCGGAAACAAGTACCACCAATTTCAACCAGACGCGTGTGCGGCAGCATGTTTTTGAGGTTTCCGAACCCAACTAGTCAACTATAGCCGCAGCTGTTTGCGCTGACTCCCGCTCAAACTCTTCAACAACCGCTCTCTGACACTCCAGTGGCCTCTAAGGTGCGCAGGTAACGAGATGAGAGGGAAAGATAAGGATTATGTGACAGGAGCATCTTGCTCGCGCGGGGCTCTGCACGCAGCTACGACGGCTCCCGTCGACATGTACTGCTGGGGCCAAGCAGCTAGCTCTCTGCCTTTTGAATTTCTTGCGTCAAAGAGTTTCCAGTTGTTGCGGACACCCGGGGAGCTGATTATTTGAAGGTCTTCGATAAGACATGAGGAAGAGTTCATTAAGGAACGCTTGCGTCCCTAGAGGAAAAGAAGAACACGTTTATTCTTCTTCCTGCTGTCCCTTCCTTCACGGACCAGCCATATCACCATGGTTCAATTCTTCACCAAGCCATTAGAGCTCGTAAATTGTCAAGTTGGGATATTGAAACCATAATCATTCTCGAAAGATGAAAGGGGATATGCGGAAGGAGAAAGAGGGAACGTATGAGGGCGAGGGGGGGAAGCGAGATCAGCAAACATCCCAAGGGCTAGAAGGACAAGAAAGTTGTCAAAATGATGGAAAAGGAACATAGCTAGAATTAGGAAGGGGATGCGTTGAAAGACATACTCTTCTTTCGTTTTCCCATCGCAAAACAACTCTTTTAGTGTGAGTTTCGATCACCTCTGTTGTCCAGTCGTGCCGTGAGGCAATTACCTTGTGTTCTCGCGCGCAAACGTGAGGGGGAAAAGATGGGACAAAAGAGAGCAATAACCAGGTGGGAAGAGAAGAAAGCTATCAGATCGCGCTCGCGGCAATTTGCCGCTGCCGCGCATCATGCATGTGCATGCATTTACACAGACATATCGCGCAATGCGCACCAACTTGGCTCTTTCAGACCACCAAGTATTTCCCCCTCAAATGAAGAGTATGTACGAGAAGCTCCTGTGTGAAAACGCACTATATGCACTTTGCTTTGGGACTAGACAGGGGACGGGAAGAAGGAAAAGAATGATGAGAGAGGGAAAACAAACAAATGAAGCTATGATTCGTTCACATTATGAAGTCGTACTCAGCTATTGGTCGCGCTCAAAATCACGAATCCATCTCAATCAGATAAACTATGCTAGAATCAAAGCTAATAAAAGATCGGATAATCAATCCAGTAAAGGAAAATTGAGAATCAAGATGGTGGGCGGGGGTAGTCAAATGCACGTTGAATCAGTCAGCCTCAACTAAAGGGAGTAAATTTATCGTGCCGGCAAGCAAGAAAAAAAAATAAGGGGGGCTATAGAACTACAACAAGGGGATGGGTGTGTGAAGGGAAAGGGAGAAATTTTACAGTCGGCAAGAGATGTTCAAGGAGAGCTGTTCTTTTTTCCCGTTTCCCATTCGTTGCTCATTCCCTTTTTCCCATTGTCAAGTAGCCCCAAATAAACACCTTTCTTTCGCTGGTCCAGTACAAGAATCCCCTCAACAAAAAGGGGTCGGAAGAGGTGAGAAAGCTGTTCGAACACACAGATCAATAGTATATTCAAGGAAAGTTATCGAATACGCACTGCAAATCAAATTTGAAGAAGAAGTAGATGGAAGAAAAGTTGTCGTACCAGCCGCTAAAACATGAGAAATGAAAAAGTACAACAGAAAAGAAATCCGCCGAAAGCAAAGATAAGTCCAAACTAGTCGTGAAGCGAACAAACTGTGAGTGCTTCGAAGAGAAGTTTCCGAAGAAGGGTATCAGGTATCAATGATGATGAATGGTAGGATGGAAAGTGCCAAAAAAAAATTTCCCTTCCGCATCCAAGGCAGAGAATTGACGTTCGCGTGTGTGGGTGTGGGTGTGTGGAGATGGTATATATCGAGCTGTGCTTTGCTTCTCTCGGAAGAGATGTACAAGCACGAATGAGCATGTTGGGGCCATGCCTAGATTATATAATGCTTTTCCTTCCGCGAAGAACTGAAGGGAAGAACCGAGAAAGCTTGCAACAGATGTTTGGCAGAAATGGTCGTTAAGGGTCATCTCAGTGGTATAATGGGTTAAACTCGAGCGCGAATGCTTTTTTTTTGTGGGGGGGAGGAGTTTTCGTGACTTTGTGTATCAGGGACGGTTTCCTTTCGGGTGAGGGTAGGACAAGCGGGAGAATCGGAATGAAAGCTGAGACTAGTTGAGGGCTGGCAAGAGATGCTGTCCCAGCTGAAAATTGGCGGTGGCGTGTGACACGGCAGCACTTCAGCTGAGGGCTTGACCCATGCGGCCACCCACGCGCTAAAGACGGTTGCTCAAAACGCTCAGATCATACCGGTAGGACTCTCCATTGGGACGACGCCGGCCTGAATGGAGTCCGGCGGCATGTTGGCCCTGATCTCCCGCGGGTGGCGCATGTACCCGCGGTCGTTTTGGCGGCTCGGCGCATATGGGTCGGGCGGGACGACCTGCTCCATCATGGGACTTCCCATTGAAGGAATCGGCGGCGGCGGAGGTGGGATTTGATCGAGGAAGCTCTGAGTCTCGCTGAGCGGCGACTTGGTACGCTGCACCTGCTGGTACGAGCTGTTGGAGCGACTGTGGCTGAAATCGAGGCCAGGGATGACCGTCTCGTAGGGTGAAGGCGCAAAGTCGTTGGGTGGCGACTTCGCTCGCGAGCGTGAGGTGCTCCGCATGCGCTCAGTCACACCGCGAAGCCTGCTACCGATGCTCTCGCTGACGGAGCCGCGACCGCGACGGTGCATGGAAGGTGAACCGGTATGCGGGCGCGGCGGTTGCGGCGGCGGAGGCGACATATGCGACATATGTTCGTTGACTGGATAGTCGACTGGTGGAGGCATAGCAGGGGTCGTCGTGCGGCCATTGGGATTCTCATCGATGGCGATGTTAATGACACCGCTTCCGGTGCGACTGTGCGAATGAAATATCGGCGGTGGCGGTGGCGGCGGAGGAGCGTTCAAATGCTGCAGCTCTGCGAGAAGGGGAGGGTTCTCCTTCGCTTCAGGCTCACCAACGACAATTATCTGTTCGCCGTGCAACGCCTCAGCGATGCTGGCCGTGATCGGTGGCGGGCTGATCCGCTTGTTGCCACTGCCGCGGCTGCTGGCCGATCCTCGCCTGGTGCCGTTGATGTGCTCCGGAGGGGCGGAAACCGAGCGCTGTGGACTCTGCGGTCCTGTCTGACCAAAGGTAGTTGCGGGAAGCAGGGGCGCCACATCGTCTTGGACTTCTGTGTTGTTGTCGATGTTCACCTCGATGATGTGCTCGGGGATCTGAGGCACGGCAGGCACCTCATCACGCTCAGGGTCAGAGCTCATGTACCTAGGATGACGCAGAGCCCGTGGCGTCGCGGGAAGTCCAATTGGCATTGACCTGGTCGAGGTTCCAGTGGTATGTCTGGGGTTGTAACGCATCATCTCGGGATCGACGGTCTGGCTGCGAGGCAGGCCTTTGTCGCTGTGAGAGGACATGGGTGGCATGGCAGAGTTAGGTGAGTTTCCCAAATCGGTCAAGGAGCGACCGTAGATCGAGGGCCGAGACAGCTCATGCGGGTGCGGAATCACCGGGGCAGAAGGCCTCCTGGCTAGGGACAGACGACGCTCCTCGAGCTCACGGGCAGCCCGTTCCTTCTGAGAGAGGATCTTTTGCGCAGCAACGGCGGATCCGGACGTGAAGTCCGTCTGCAGTTTAGGCATGCGTTGGCGAGAGGCCTGGCGCCCGGTGGTCATCTCTGGGGACTCAGGGCGGATGCTTGTGATGTCCTGCTGGCTGGGTCTGCGGCTCTGTGACCGATCCCGACCATGGCGGTCAGGTGAAGCTTGTCTCGACCTTGCACTGGGACGGCGACTCGAGCTTCGCTGGCGGGTTCTGACGGGAGACTTCACGATCTCGAAAGCACCGTCATCGTCGCCATCGCTCTTGTAGAAGAGTGGATCCGAAGACATGGGAACAGGGGAGATGGGAGAAGTGCGACCTCTGTCTTCTCCGCCGGAACGACCATCTCGGCTTGCCTGACGGCTGGCCGCCTTGCTGCCGACGTGTCCGTTCCTGCTACGAGATCTGCGCTCAATGGACTCATGGCGCCGGCCAAGCTTTGAGGATGATCTGACCTTGGACGTGCCGCGAGTGTTGCTGCGGCTGCGTCCGCGCATGGAAGCCACCGCAGGCGAGGCGATCTTGTAATACCGCTCGTCATCGTAGCTGTCGTTGTTTCCGCTGTTGTTGCCACTGCTGTACAGAGCGGCTTCTTCCGGGGACATGGGGACCGGCGAGGACGGGGAGCGTTTGGCGGGCTTGATGTAGCGTGTGCCGGAGCGCCCGCGAGTCTGAGACTCTTCGCGGCCACTTTGCCTGCTGCTCCTTCCATTGCGGTCCTTGCTGCCAGCACGAGAACGGCTAGCCTTGCGCGTGTACTTGGCCTCCCCCAAGCTGCTTATGTACTGATCGATGCTTCTGACCTTGGAGCTCTTGATACTGTTGCTCGTCAGTGGGGGGCTAAGCTCGGCGTTGCGACCAGCCAAGAACCCAGACTGCGACGCGGTTGAAGGCGCATCGCTGGTCTCGACAGTGTCAACCACGTCCAGATAGAGGCCATCGGGCTTTCTGTCTCTGGAACCGTTCCGGTGGCGTGATTCCTGCTTTAGGTGCTCGAAAATGCCATGAGCAGGGGACGGTAGGGCATCAGCTGCCTTCTTCTTCGGCTCGACCGGGGTGTACGCAACAGCACTGAGCAACATTGGTCCTTCATCTTTCGGCTCCTCCTTCGGCTCCTCTTTCGTGATCTCGATGCTGGGATGGCGAGAGTGGACAGAATCTTGGTCGATTCCGAAATTGATCTCAATAGACTCGGGTTCCTTCACCGCAGTTGTCGGGAGTGGTGTTTCGCCACCAACGGTTGGCGTCTCTTGGATGGGAGTTCCTCTCGTGTAATCGGGCTTGGATGGGAAGCGCCTCCGACCGTAGCCTCCTGGAGTCGCGGTTCTAGCGGAGGACGGCTCCCTGGCACTCCTACCCGGGTGCAACCAGTTGTTTCCTCCACCAGGAGAAAGCGCGGACTGTGCGATAGGAGTGACACCCATCGCAGTGCGGTCGCCGCCAGCAGAAAGTGCACCGCTGGCATCGTCGTTAAAGCTGGTGAAGAGCTTGAGGCCAGATTGTTTGACGCGGTTCGGGCCGGCAGAAGGCGGGGAAAGGGGAGGGCTAAGCTGGGCCTCGTTCTGGGCTTGTTGGGCTCGGTAAACATCATCTTGCGCCCGAGGGGATGTCCAGGGCTCGGTGGATTCCATGCTGGTACAATAGAAGCATCGGACTGCAAGCTCGGGCTGGCGAGTAGTGACTGCAACCTCACCCCACTTCCTGACCAGGAAGGATTGCCGCTGCCAGTCGTGAGGGAAAAGGAGACAAGTGAGGAGCACAGCTTCGAGGTAGTATTTGCGAGCAACATACACCTCGACGGCTTCGTTCAACTCACCGAGGCCAAGGAGGAGTGCGACCGCAGGATGAACGTCGCCCTTCTCCAGCAACCTCTGTACAAACGCCTCTCCAACCTTCTTTTGCGAGTTCTGACCCATTGAGCACAGAGCAAGCAACATCCAGTCGGAAGACGTCATCGACTCGGAGCCAATCATAGAAGCCATCAAGTCGGCCCCGTTATCACCAAGCCATTTTGACAACAAGACGCTGCTTCCTGAGCCAGCGGGATGACGACTCACTGATGAAATTAGCTGCAATCCAACGCTCAGTGTCAAGGAAACTTACGCTCTTCGCGGACGAGCATCTCAATGTCGTCCTCCCAGCCAAAAACCACGCTGAGCATTTGCTGTCGGAGCTCGTCAGGAGTTTTCGCCGCGCCTGGCTGCGGCATTCTGAAGGGAACATCATTGAGTCTGGCTTTTGTGAAAGGGAACAGATCCGTTTCCGTAGTGGTTGCGTCCGTGCTTTCTTCTGGACTTCGAAGCATTTCCTTTCGGAGTGATGACGAACCCTTGGAACGGTGTCTCGAAGATGCGTAGGAGGAGCCCGAGCGGATAGACATGCTTTCACGGGCTTTGTAGGAAGAGCCAGACTGCATAGAAGAGCCGGACGAGAAGACGGTTCCATCCGAGCGTTCGGAAGCTCGAGAAGACGGCTTGTCGTAACGGTAGAGGTTTCTCCGCGATCCGCCAGACGAACGGGAGCTTGTAGAAGAACCACGGCTCGACACAGGGCTGAGCGGCCCGACGCGATCCCGTCGTTCCTCCTCCAGCTGGTCCATCTCTCGCGCAATCTTCTGCAACGGCGACATGGCGGCGGCCCCCTCGCCCTCACTGCTCTCATCGAGGTAAACTGGTAAGGCCGGAGCGGGTTCTTCGTTCCGTAGCTGCATCTCCTCCTGCATGTGCTCTTCTTCTTCTTCTTCTTCTTCTTCTTCGTGGTAGTGATGATGATGATGATGCTGCTGCTGCTCCTTCTCTTCAATCGAGTTTGGCGGCGAGGGGGGTGCATTCGCCGGCACATGTTGGACATTGGCGACTATTACGGGGGTTTGATTTGGGTTGATGTCGTATTGTTGAACGGTGTGATTGCGGCCCAGGGTGAACAGAGCAGCACCAGGGCCGAAGTTGGCGATGGCCGAGACGCCCTCGATTGTGGGGACGAGGTCGTACGTGACTTTCTTAGTTCTTACGTCCCAGGCGTAGGTGGCGCTGTCATCAACATTAAGCATCAGCACCAAGCTTCATATGATTTGCACGCTACCGAGACAGGTCTTACCCTTCCGAGTACTGCACGATGCGGCCGTTTTTGGACCAGCCGAACCAGCACGGGCCAGATTCCCTGTTCTCGGACCGATTGAGAATCCGGATCACGCAGGGCGGGTCGCTGCTCGGCGCTTTGGGCACGCTCCAAACGCGAAGATCGCCGTCGCATGTCTGGGTGGCGAGCATCTCCGACTTTTGCTTCGACGAGGAGCCATGCCACGCCAAGTTGATGATGGGCGACGGCTGCTTCGGCGTGGTCAGAGTGTGCAGGATGGTGAAGGACGGCTGCAGCGTGACGATGAGGATGGACCCGTTCTGGTAGCTGTAGCCGCCGTTAGCGAAGCAATCCTCCGGTGGGGGCGGGCGAGCCGCAGGTCAGAGCTCCGGTGCATACCCGATCGCAAAGGTGCGGCAGTCGGCCGCAGGCGCCAACGCGGTGATGGGGTCGAAGATTGTGCGCGCCGAGATGTGCTCCGAGGTCGAGGGCTCGAAGAGGATGACGTTTCCCTGCGAGTTGCCTGGTGGTGGGCGTTAGTTCCGGGGCGCATGACAGCAAGCCAACTGCGCGCGACATGGGGTGGGTGCTCACCGAACGCGACGTTGCCATTGCGCATGAAGGTTGCAGCGTTGATGGACTCGTAGGCGGCGAAGCGCGCGACCTCTTCGCCGGTGAGGAGGTCCCAGACAATGGCCGTGTTGCCGACATCGTAGCTCACGACCAACCTCCCCGCGCCCCTCTCGCTAACGTTGTCGACGGCGATCCACGACACGTCCTCGCGGTGCAGTGTCAGGCGGCGCTCGATGGCCAATGTGTCGTGGTGGAGGCAGAGGATGACGTTCCGCTGGGCGTACAGGAAGAATGCGGCGGTGGCGGCGCAGGGCTCAAACTCTTGGGCCTTGGGGGTTATGCTCGGCGCAGGCGGTGCGAAGGAGGACTGCTCGTCACGCCGCGAGCTGCTGCGCGACGTCGACCGGTGTCGACGCAGCTGGCCGGCGGACATGACGGCGGCGGGTGGTGGTGCTGCTGCTGCTAATGGTGCTGCGGTTGCGAGCTTGGGTTAGCAGGCGCGGACGGGGGACCATCTAGCAGCGTGGGTGGTGGAGAGGAGGGAGCGAAATGCCAGAAATAGAACAAGCCTTGGGGCTCGAGGGCGGCGGCGAGGCCTTGTATATCGTGGTCGGGGAATTCCAGCACGTACCCTGTGGCTCGCACGCGTCTGTGACTGTGCTGTGTGTGGACGGACTTGCATGAGCCCGCTTGGTGCGGGCAGGTACGGCAGAGTGCGGCTTGCAGCTAGCTTGGGACAGAATAAGAGGGAGAAGCTGCACCGGGGGGCCAGGCCTGCAATGAGCGCAAGTCGAATCAATCGCCGGCGCCTATCTGGTACTCGGCAGCCACTCTCTCGTGACCGCACGACACCAGGGGTCTTCTTTAAAGAGAAGGCGAGGCGTCTAATAATCGCCTGCAAACTCTGCAACCAACACCATCTAGCGGTCGACGGATGCGCTGGGGCGAGCGGCAACTGGGCGTAGCGTTGCTCCCGGGCCTCCCACTGGGCCGCATGAGAGGCGGTAACACGGTGATCCGGACGTGTTCCACGCGCCGTGCCTCCAGTAATCCGCTTCAATCCTGGGTCGTGTGTGCTGCGAAGACGCCAAGCCTGTGATTGTCGGCGGCTACACAGCCTATCAGAGTTTCGAAACACGCCTGCTCGCGGGACGGCCACGCTAGGTGCTGCCTTTCTGGAGCTTGGGCCCCCCGCACCCTGGCCGCCCGCCGCTAATTGGCAGCCCGTCGCCCGCCGCTGTGGCTCTGCTGCAGGCACGTCAAGCCATGAGGAGCAGCGAGCCCACGCCAGTCCCCTTCTTTCGCGCCCAGTCGCGCCGCTACCCCAGCCGTGAGGCTCGACAGACGATGATTATAATAATCCCTCCGGCCGGGCGCGCGATGAAAGCTCCGGCGCCGCTTCGCGCCTCGCGCCTCGCGCGCCGCGCGCGGTGGCGCAGCCGCTCACACGCAAGCACCAGCACCCAGCACATAACCACCAGCCCCCAGCACCAGCCAGCACCAGCCAGCACCCGCCAGCACCAGCCAGCGCTCCGCCGGCCCGTCTTCGCTACCAGCGAGATGCGCGGTGAGTCGCACACAGGTCGATCGTGCCTGCGCCGCCTCGCATGTCGGTCACCGTCATCCCAACCTCTCTCGCGAGGCCCCAGCTGCCCTTGCCGGTTTTTTACTCGTTCTCACTCCCAAGCCCGCGGGCTGGGTCCAGCCAGCGTCGCTTGCACCATGATCTGTTCCGCGAACTGGGCCTTCTCTCGCTTCTCCATGCCCGCTGCCCACATTATGTGCTCCACGATGCCGTTTTCTTGCCGTCCACATGCCGCATGACGTGTATTCTCCGGGCTGAGGCGCTGCCTGCTGCTGCCCGGCGCCCAACGTAAACGCCCACCACGGCCACACACGAGCGTGATGGAATAATGGAGCCCCCCTCGCCATCTTGCGGTGAGAAAGACGTGCGCCAGAGCCGCCCGACACATCGCGCCCAGCCAGCCATCGTGCGCAGACGAATGTGAAAGGCAGGCAGGCAGGCGAGGCGCGCGGCGCGACTGGGGGAGCGGGCCAACACTTCTATTTTATGCGAGCTGGGATCGTACCAATTGATATCTTCCAATCCGCGCCTTGTCCGCTGCACTGCCAACTGGCCCCTCATATTGGTTGCAGCAGAGCCAGCAGCAGGTAATCAGGAACCCGGTCCGGCGATCGCCTCATCGGACTGCCGTCTGGAATAGAGCGCGCGCACATCCTCGCCCAGCTCCAGCCGACTTCTCCTTCACAGGAACGGACGGGCTCACCCTTGTGGATCCTGCGTGTTGTGTGACTTGCAGCGAGGCCAAAGCGTCGCGCTGCGGTTGGGCAAGCGCCGCGGGCGCGGGGAAGGGGAAAGGAGCGGCCGACTGACATGGCGCGTCGCCAGTCGGGCACGAATGAGTCGTGCGATGGGGGCTTTTCTGCCTCATCGCATCACCAAAATCCTCCAGCGGACCCATACGAGGCAATCATCACGGAGGAACCGAACGGTGCTGTTGCGAGTGTTGTGTGTGATATCATCTGCTTTGCATTTCACAGGGCGTTAAGCGCCCAGGCTAACGACTACCCTGCCGCCACGCCTCGCTCTCTTCCCGCTTCCCCTTCGAGCGCGTGTGGGCTCTCTCAGGCGGCTTCCCTCATGCTTCTGGAATTTCCTCCACGCTACTGCAGATGATAAGAGTAGGCATGTCGCTCCGGAATCCAGTTCTGACAGCGGCTCGCTAGCCGGCCATTCATGGGCGGCCCCCCCACTCCCCTTCTTCAGGGCCCATCCCTTGGTTACTGCCACTTTAGGCAATGCTTATGAACGAAAAAAGAAATAGAAAAGGGCTGACGCTGGCGGAGCGATCCAGATCGTCAGCTATGGCCCGGGAGCCGCGCCCCGGGCCGGGATGGTTGCAACGAGTGCCAGCTGTATCACAGCGGCAGCCTCGGTTTATGCAGTGCTGCTTGTGTGCGTGGCGCGAGGAACAATGCGCGTCTCGCCGGGTGTGCGCACGTCGCAGACAGCATGTCGTTGGATGGGAGGATGAATGTGGCAGCGCGCAGCGCGCCATGCGTCGGTGTGTGTGTGGTGCTGCCGCAGTACAAGTGACGTCCGCGTCTATACTGATCACTGTCGTGTCGCGCATTGCACGCTACCATCTAGAGGCGTGCAACGCGCCGACTCGGCGGGCGTGGCGGCAGCTAGGGTCGTGGTACTGCATGTTGCGAAATGAAGAACGGGGTATCGGATGGGGTATCGTAAAGAATCGGAAACGCTCCGGAAAAGTAAGACCGAGATGTTGGATAAGGAATCATCCTGCGGGTTGAGTCAGCCGAGCTCGGGATCTGAGGCCCTAGGGCCGGCGAGCCGGATCGGGAAATGAGTAGCTTACCTTGAATATCGATGATGTGAGAATGCCGTCCGCTCACTCGGCGGGCTTTGCAGGCGACTCGCTGATGGGGCTCATGGGCTTGGAAGGGCGCCTTTGCTTGGAGCTCTGCTGCCTGGGCTTCTTGGGGCTGGCGTAGAGCGGCAGGAGGGGCTGTGCGACCTGCTGGGGCATCTGCGGCATCCGGGGTGGCGCTGGCGCCTCCTCGAGGAAGGGAGAGCCGCCGAGCAGGTCGTCGCCGAACAGATCCTCGTCGCTGATGTAGGAGCTGGGCGTGTTGTTGCGATACGAGCCGGTGCCGAAGCTGTTGCCGCTCGGCCAGCTGGGATAGGCGCACGAGTAGCCCGACGGCGAGGAGCCGGAAATGTCGCGAGGCGAGCTCGAGAAGGTGGAGCTGGAGTTGGAAGCCATGCTGAAGGTTGAACGGGGAGAAGAGGATGCTGAGGACGGCGTGATATTCATAATGTCGTAGACGCGTAAAGCAGGGCGGCGCGGTGCTGGAGCGAGGCTGTGGCAGCAGGCGTGTGGTGGGCGGAAGTGACCAATGCAGTGGCGCGGGCGGTGCTCGCGTGGACGAGTGGTCAAGGGCGGCGTGAATGTGATATAGGCTGGCGTCTGGGTGTGAAGCACTTGAGACCTAATCATGGGGAGGAGGCGCGTGCGATGTATTATATCAAGAGAACAAACACGGCGACCACCCTTGCCCACCCTGGCCCTGCCGGCGTTGCTTGCTTTGCCGGGGGGGTCTGTGTGGCGCTGGCCCCGAAAAGCAAAATTCGGGCCAGGAGGGAAATGCGTGCGCTGTTTCCGCTTGCGCTAAATGGGGCGGGATGTTGGTCGGTGCTCACCGCTTCGCCGCGCGTGGCCAGAGCTTTCACCGCCCCGGCGGACGCTTCGCATATGACTCCAGTTGGCTGCGGAATGAGGATGACTCCTCCTGCCTGGCCACGTCTCACACGCCCTCAGCAAGCAGCTCTGCTGGCACAACGCAGCTGGCCTCCTGCCGGTGGACTGCCAACTTTCTGCCTCCGGCAAGGCGACCAAGCACCGGTGCCTCCGGCGGTATTCTGGGTGGGGGTGCTGCGACGATGACGACGGCGCACAACAAGATCTCAATCTCCGCCGGTCGGGTAGATACGGGGCTCGCGCCGCGCTGCCTTGAACGAGGCGTTGCGCACGTATGGAGCTACGGAAACGACGCCGCCCTCGCCCACCGCGCTGCGGAGCCCACGGCGTCACAGCAGGCTGAACTCGACGGCACCTGTTGCCATTTGCCCGTCAGCTTTCCCATCCCCAGGGCCAGCTGCGCGTTCCGCCGACGGCAATGCTCGCCGCTGCGCACACCCAGCTGGGTCCAGGGTCCAGCTGCTCCATTTTTCCTGCTCTCTCGGTGCGCCGGCGCGGGACGGTCGCACGGCGGGCCCTGGGCTGGAAACCGTTCCGCGTCGCAAGCACGACGAGCTGCGGAGAAATTATGGATACGACGCTGCTCGCGGCCTTCTGACAGGCGGCATTTGCGTTTGATCGCTGTGATCAGCCGCGGCCGGGTGTCGCGCAAGTGCTCGCAGGCAGCTGTTCATGAGGCACCCTTCTCGTCGAATGTTGCCCAAACACAACGCAGCACCGGTCTGCCTTTTCCGATAATGATTGCCGGGGGGTCCCAGGCCGCCGCTCCAGATGACAGCCGGCGCGTGGGTTGAACTTCGGTTCCAGCTTTGACAACTCGCTTGGTGTGGTTGGCTGGTATCGCCGCCGGATCAAACCGCCGCTCGTGCGCTCGTGGCGCGGGCTCTGCCTCGGGCGCCCTAGCCGTCCCTTTGATGCAGAGCATGCCGCGGCGAGTTTCAAAAAAAACGTGGCAGCACGCGGGCGCTCTTCTGTCCGCCGCGCCCCCCTTCACGCCAACGAATTCCAGAAGAACCTTATTGAAGCTGGCGCGCCAGCCGACGGACGGCGCAGCAGCCGTAGGTAGCTTGCCATCGTGCGACAAATTGCGCGGTTACGCAGCAGCACGTTGCAGGGTCGATCGACGGGGATCAGCAAAGGCGGTCGGGAAGGGGACGATAGCCCGCCGCCATCTCCTCCTATCCGATAGTCTCACCTCGAGAGTTTTCGGTTGCTGCGGCTCTGTTGTTTCGCCGTTTTGAGGCAAATGGTGGAGACACGCTCACTGAGCGGAGATGAAGCATTGCGATGCCGTCATACGAATCCACAAATACGGTGGGCCTTTAGGGAAGTCCGCCACCCCTGTCTGCGGCACTTCCGAATTCTACAACACCAGTCTTCTGGTGTCGATGTTTCTGCAGGACGGTGATCCGGAGCATGCAGATCTGCGGCCGGTCAGCCTCCGCCGCCCCTTGGGAGTCTCCTGTCCCTTTTCGCACGGACTGCACAGCAGTTGGACCCCTATCGCCATCAGCCCTAAGACCCTAATGGCGACACCCAGAAGGCCATTTTCGGAATAAGCGATAGTCCGACCGTACGTTACATGCTGAGTGGAGAATGCTAAGCATTTAAATGGGGACTTTCGGAACGGTAGCACGTAAGTCGCAGGGGGCCCATGGCGGCCACCTGCTCCCTAGCCACAGTTGACGTCACTTAGCGCTTCTCTCGGGAATGACTTCGTCCTGCTGGACTTTTCCGTCAAACTAGCTGTCAGTCTCCACAACCACGGCGGCGATTTCTCGCGCGTGGGGATGATAGCTGCCAACAACTATCGCAGACCTGGGGGATTTGCGACCGGCAAACCTGCCAGCTTACTGGCTGACGTCTTTCAGGGCCCAAGGAAGCGCCTCCGGCGGCTACTTCGTCTCCGCAACACAATTCCGGGGTGGCTGGGGGGCTGACTTGGACGAATGAGCTGTCGACAAGGAGAAAGTCTTTTCAATTCCCTCCGACCGCGTCAAGCGAACCGACGCTTGCAAGGCCCACGACAGAACAACCGAGCGGGAAAGGAATCGACCTTTGGAAGAAAAAACACGCATCTCTGTCTGACGTAGGTAGTCTCCTCGACTCGCGCCAACGCCCTCATCGTTCCGACCAGCGCTTCGCACGACTTCGTTCCATCGCCGCCTTCTCGTTTTAAACTTTGGGACCGTGGCCTTCTGTGGCGACCACGCGACAAACGACGACATGGCAGCTTGGCCCACGGTCCGCGAGCAATGTCGCACGGATTCCTGAACCAGATTCACACTTTAGACGTTCGAGATTGTCTCAGGATGCAGGCCTGGCGTCTTTGGTTGCGCAAGCGCAGTCTGTCCGGTCGGTTGGTTGTTTCGACGCGAACCGCCAAGTTGCAGGAGGAGAACGTGGCAAAGCTCATCAAGCTCGTAGATTGGCGCAGGACCCTGTGGCGGTCAGAGGCGAAAATCCACTACGTAGTGGATGACGCCGCCAACGTGCTTCACATGCCAAAGGTTGCCGTTGCATTACTCGCGTTTTTCGAAACGGGGAGGCACGGTCCACGGCTGTTTGACCGTCGTTTCCCATGGTTCATTAAGCGAAAACAAGAGCGGTAAGGAACATCATACGAGATGGACTACATGCGGCGTCAAACATCCCCTTCCCTTTTTCATGCAGCGTGCACGCTCCGTTATGCGTTCACGAGCCACGGTAACGGCGTGTTCTCTGCATGGACAATGCGCTTAATGTTTGGAACATATTTCTCTCCAATTGCCAATCCTGTACACCTCCATGGAGAACAGGGGCTCAGGCTCGTGTATGTGGGCATTAGGGGGCGAATACGTCTTAGAGACTCAGCTGGGCGGGAAGGGATGAGGGAATGGGAGTCATCGCCCATCAGTCCTTCCTGTCGAACTTCTCGGGCGGCCCTGTTCGGTGCGGGAAAGACAACAATCGATCCTCCGTCACCCCAGAACCCTTTCGACACCCAGGTGCAGCGGTCGATCTAAAAAAAAAAAAGAAAGAAAAAACTGACCCACCTACAGCTATCGAACATACGTACCGAAATCCCGTATCTGGATGGTTTGTACAGTTTGAACACTCGCTTCTACATTCAGAAATCTGCTTTGACTACTCACGGTAAAAGGTCGTTCAAAGCTACGTCGGCATACTGCTTCGACTATCCATGCAAAGGATCGCTGTAGGTAAATTCCTTCCGTAATCCACTGTGCTCTGTTCTACTTGGCGCACGTGTATACAGGTCAGGACCGCTTCTAGACGCCGAGGATGGAAGCGTGGTCAACTGTTAACGCAATGATCGAAAAGTGGCGAGTTATAAGTATATACTAGCGAGCATTAATTTCTGTATGTCGGCACTGTTCTTAGCGGTAAATCAAGCGTAACACGAATACAGCTTTCTTGAATCTTAATTGATGGGATCACGATCAGGGTGTGAGGTCACAGCCCACCCGTCGAGTCACCCATGTGACGTCACGTGCGGCACGTGACCTCTTTACAAGTAGATAGTCCTTCGTTGCGGCCTGACCTCCGCAACCCGTACAACCTCTTATAACCAAACCAACTCTTTGCTCTTGGAACCGTGACACAATTGTCGATTCTCTACATACTGAGGACAGGCGTGAGGAGAAGATGGCTACTCTAGAGAAGAGGCCTTCCTCTTCTCGCCGACCTTCTCCAAAGCAGCCGGCTTCTCCTCACTCCTGTCCTCCCCCGCGGCGACCAAGTCCCGCTGGGACAGGTACTCCTCCCCATCCCACTTCTCCACCCCCTCCCTCTTCTCGCCGTCAGCCAACCAGTACCTGTCCCAGTTGAACTTGATCGCCTCATTCCCCCAAGTCCACCATCCCGCCACGGAGACCCGGCCAAAGATCTCGAGAGCCGTGTACTGGCCCTCGGCCTTCCGCCAGACCTTCTCGATGACGGGCTTCAAACAGGGCTTCACCGAGTGTAAGTCTGGCACCGCGGCAATCACCCGCCTCTTGACAGGCCAGTTGCCAACAGGCGGCCAGCGGACACCAGGCTTGTCAGGCGCCTGGCCCAGTAACAGACACTCCCATGGCTTACGCCAAGTGCTGTCTAGATCGATGACAGGCGTGCCATCAACTGTCGTCTTCACCCACACCCATTCCTCGACAAGAGCGACCCCCCACCTGGCAAAGAGTCCCTGCGGACCAAGCACGTAGCTGCGCTTTTGTTCCGAGTTAGTGACCCAGACACCAATGAACCCTCCACGAGCAATGCGCGAGTCAAGATCCATCCTGTCGAACATGGTGTCCATTCCGGTGACCGACCCGAACGTGTCGTAGAAGCCGGTCGCCTTTGCAGAGGCGTTAGACCACGGAGGGTCCATGATGATCAGGTCGAATTTCTTTGGGTGATCATGCTCGTTGTGCATGTACTCCACAGCTCTGTGTAGATCCCGGCCATTTTTGCAGTCTCCCAGGATGACGGTCGCAGCGGGTGGGATGCGGAATCTCTGTGGCTTCCCGTATGCCGGCGTTTGCTCTCCATAAGCCTTTGTCTCTCCGCGTCTCTTCATATCTTCGGCGGTCTCATTGTCGGGAACGTATGAGAGTTTCAGTGTAGTATCGTGGGGATTGTGGAGAAATCTATGGAGGTCTTGAGGGAATGACGGCGGCTCATCATTGGGACCTTGACTCTCTGCTTTGCGGATGTGAGGGTAGCCTTGCACAAGGAAGTGCATCAACTTGGCGGGAATCTTGAGCGCTCCGACTCGATCATCAGTAGTACCTGTGTCAGAACCGAGTGCAGAATCGCGTACCGTATGACCTTTATCACCATTGGGGTCTTCGTTTTCCTGCTCCAATACCTGATCGCGGAATGGTTTTGCGACGTAGTAGCGGTCCTCGCACCAGAGCTTAGTCTTGAGAGCGGCTTTGATTTGATCGAGAGCATCCGAAACGTAAGGCCGGATCTCTTCGTAGACCAACTTCATCATGGGAGGAACGTTCTCTTCCATCGCCATTCTTTTTTTCTCAGACCTGCCCTTTGGAATGTTGTCGTAGGGTTGGAGCACCGGCTGACCCGAAAGCGGGTGTGAAGTGTTGCGCTGAAGTTTCAAGACTTGCGCGGCGGCGATGGATCCCGGTATGTCGACCAAGAAGACGGTGAGGTCTTTGTTGTTCCAGATGATGCCGTACATGATGATGTTGGACGGATCTACCGTGACGGCGGTGGATGTGTGTCGGAGGGCTGGACGCGACCGGGACGGGCTGAATGAGGTCGCGCTGATGCGTCGTGGCGAGGCGCGGAGTGGGCAAGAAGAGCAAGAAAGAGGAAGAAGGGTGACCGTCGGCGCGATGGCTGAAGGAGTGGCGGCAGCTGTCTGAAGATGCAGCTCTGAGGGGATGAGGATGAAGATCGAGCGAGCGAACACAGAAGAAAGAAATATAAGGTGGAGAGGAAACTGGGTGGTTGCGAAAAGATCTCGTGGAGGCAGTCGCGCGCGTCGTCACTGCACTGCACCCTCGACTGCACCGCAATAGGAAGCGAGATAGGCAGCCATGCTCAGAGCCACAATCGATTACGGTAGGCGCGTCTGGGGGCAAGCAGTAGGTGCGAGCACCATACGCGACTTCCCAAGAAGGCGAAGAAGAGAGAAAAAATTTCCTAAGCTGGAATTCCCGGCGCGATGTGGTTAGAAAGCGGCAAATGCACTTCTAGTTGATTTTTTCTGGTCTGATCCCCTGCGACCGCGCACACACAGTGCTCGGCGTACGAGCTAGACCCCAGGGTTGGGGGGTCGATCAACAGTTGACCAAGCTTCAAGGCGTGGTGTTGAAGTTTTCAGCACGCGCCCAGCTCGGTCGGCGCAGCAAGCGTGGGCGCGCACGCGCGGTAGGGCCGGCCGGCTAGGGGCGGCTGACGGCTAGAGGGGTGGTATCGGGTGCGGATCTGGGCTCCGCAAACCGAGGTCTAATGACGAGCGCTGCAATGCCGCTGACCCCAAGCCCACCACATCGCCTTCACGACACCGCCCGCCATTCTACCATCACTAACTGCACCCCACACTTCCCCCGCAAAGTGTGCGCGCAGACCCTGATCGGATGCCAGAGCGCATCTTGTGCGGCCATGAAGAGCAGAACAATCCGATCCATCCCAACCAGACAGACTCCGCCCATACCGTCCATTCTCAACCGCCAGCGATGATTGCTGCCCACGTCGAAACCCACCGCCATGGCCGCGGTCCAGCCATCTGTCCCACCGACGATGATGCCATCGTGCCCCGCAAAGCCGCCGCCCAAGCCGGTGCCCAAAAACTCGACAAAAGGAGTTGGGAATACATGATCAAGAGCGGCGTCGCGGGAGGCGTGGCCGGCTGCGCGGTACGCGCCCCTCTCTACACTTGCAAGCGCATTCCCGGACTAACGGTGACTCTGCAGGCGAAAACCGTCGTTGGACCCCTGGATCGCGTGAAGATCCTCTTCCAAGCCTCGAACCCCCAGTTTTCGAAATACACCGGCTCCTGGACTGGCGTAGCCATTGCACTCAGAGACATATACCACCAGAACGGCGTGCGAGGCTTGTTCAAAGGCCATTCTGCCACATTACTACGAATCTTCCCTTACGCCGGTATCAAGTTCCTCGCGTACGAGCAAATAAGAAATAAAGTCATAAAGAACAGAGAGCAGGAAACGCCATTTCGAAGATTCATCAGCGGATCCATGGCAGGAACCGTCTCGGTATTCTTCACTTACCCCTTAGAAGTCATCCGCGTCCGCCTCGCGTTCGAAACGCGCCAGGACACCCGATCATCATTGTCAGGGATCTGCAAGAAAATCTACCACGAGACAGCGCCTGCAGTACATTCTGCCGGCAACCTAGCGGGAAGCTCGACCGTTTCTCGTGCCGTCGGAACGCCCGTGGCAGTCGCCGCGAACACGGTACAACACGTCACGCCGCGAACCGGCCTGGCCAACTTCTTCCGCGGCTTCACACCTACTATGTGGGGCATGCTGCCGTATGCGGGCTCCTCGTTCTTGACGCACGACACCATCTCCGACCTGCTGCGCCATCCCAGTATCGCCGCACACACGACGCTTCCGCGCACCGAGCGCGCCGACGACACCCGCGGCGGACATAAGCCGGCGCAGCTGAAGTCGTGGGCGGAGCTGACGAGCGGCGGCTTGGCCGGCTTCTTCAGTCAGACGGTGTCATACCCGCTCGAGGTCATCCGCCGGCGAATGCAGGTCGGCGGCGTGGTGGGCGACGGCCACAGGCTCAGCATGACGGAGGTTACGCACAAGATCTGGCTGGAGAGGGGCTGGAGGGGCTTCTTTGTCGGTTTGGCGATTGGATACGTCAAGGTCGTGCCGATGGCCGCGACAAGTTTCTTTGTGTATGAGCGCGGCAAGTACTACCTGAATATTTGAAGCGGGAAGGTTTAGCAAAGGCGTTTGAGAGAGAAAGGGTAACTTCACGGGTACATATACGGATTAGGGGCTCATAGATGAGACGTGAACGGCCGTGGGAATGGGATTGTTCATATTGCCGGTTTTGGCTATCCCTATGATTGAATGGTTCCTTGTTCAGCTACCTTTGTGATTTGTGCCTGCGTCAATGCACATCAACGTACCCACCTTTGTCCCTGTTCAATCCGGAGGAGATCTCTCATCACTAATACAGACGTGAATTCGATGCGAGCAAGTGTAATGAATTTGACAGGCCAGCTAGGTTTGAACTGAAGCAGACCAAGTGCTAGTTTAATGTGAACTCTGCTGCTCTGTGGACATTGCCACTCCAGAAAGACCCGTGCATTTAGGAGATGTTCTTTGCGAGATTAGACAAAAGGCGACGTTAGCCGTTAAGAAAAAGCTCGTCTTAGGGTAAGCATCAGCCCGTTTTTATTTGCCTTTGGGTTTCCCTTCCTTTTTTTCAAAGGTAATCAAGTTTTGTTGTTAAATTGTGTTCTCGACTTCTGTCATTACACTGCTGTCACCGTATATCAAATTGTAGAAAGTAGTACTGCTGCTTTAAATGTCTGCCTCTTTTAAAAGTATGATGTAAACGTGCTTGATGAGGAACAATAGAGAAGCAAAAGGAAAGCCTTGAAATAAACGTTAGACAACCCCTTCACCTTCATAGTAGTACCACCACCACCCACCCTACCAATGCCGCACAAAATACAACACATTCCTCTCCCTCAGTCCTCCCAGCACGCTCCACACCCTCTTCCTCTTGATGCCCTCCCTCCCAGCAATGTCGTCCAGCGCGTGCCTGCCGTCAAAGTACTTGAGCAGCTGCGGCCACAGGTCGCGGGCCTCCTTTTCGACGCCTTCGTCGCCGACGAAGCTGCTGCGGATGTGCTCGATCCAGCGCGCCTCGAGGGCGTTGGCGCGCTGCGGGCTGTATATCATGCGCGGCGCGTAGTCGTCGGGGTCTTTGGACGCGGCGTGGGTGTGGCCGCCGTGGTGGTGGAGGAGGCTGTTCATGTGCGAGCCGCCGCGGCCGGGGTGGTGGTGGTGGAGGTGGGACGAGTTGGCGTCGTCGGGGCCGATGCCGCCGCTGCCGCTGCCGCCGCCGCCGCTGTTGGCGTTGCTGTGGCTGGTGGTGTTGAGGTGGTGGTGGAGGTGGTGGCGCAGCGAGTTTGCGGTGCGCTGGGGCGTGTTGGGCGTGCCGTGCGGTATGCCGGACGAGGCGTTGGACGAGACGGTGCTGAGGCCCGTCAGCGACGTGGCCGAGTGCGAGACGTGCAGCCCGGACGACGAGGTGTGGTGCAGCGGCGAGTGGCGGTGTGCCGTCGGGCTGGTCGTCAGGCTGGCGGTGCCGCCGTCGCCTCGCGGATTGCTGGTTGTGCGTAGCTGGGTCCGCGAGCTGCCGCGGCCGCCGTCTGAGGCGGTTTCGCTCGAGCGCGGAGACCACTCTTCGCGGCGGTGGGTGTAGATGGGCGTCATAGGCACGTCGTCGCTGGCGATGGTGGCGCGGTCCGAGCCGTCGTCCGAGTGCAGCTCGAGCGCGGCGTGCCTATCCCGTGCTGCTTGCATGGCGGCTCGCGCTGCTTCTTTGGCTTCGCGCTCCATGATGGCAGCAACTTCGGCCTGGACCTCGGGAGAGACACGTATCCAGGCGAAGGTGCGGAGTTGGGTCACCCAACCGCCACGCATCAGCCAGGCCAGAATATCCATATACGCAGTGCGGTGGTCTTTACTGGGGATTATGGTGCCGTAAGTCCGCGGCGACTGGTTCGAGAGAAAGCTGAGCATCTTGGGAAGCGAGGGAAGCGTGGGAAAACGGGCTGCATATGCTGGGATGGCCTGAGGTAGTTTCCGCATGTCAGCATTGGGCGAGACAATGTAAATGTCTCGGTGGTGAAGTGGTAGGATGGCTCGCGCTCGGCGCCAGTAGATGAGATGTGCCGCGATGAACTCTAGATCCGCCACGGGGATCTTGTTCTGGAGAGCGAGTTTATGGAGTGACCTTGTGGGTTCCAAGTTGCTGATGTAAAAAGCTAGTTGTGCCGAGTGTTCTTTGGCATCGCCTTCAATCTCCTTGAGAAGGGTCTCCTTGTCTTCTAGCAGCAGGAGAGCAGAATGCGGGGTAAGGGCAACGGTGAAACCGGAGTCTGCTTCGGCGTTCTCGTCCGGGAGATTCGCAGTGGTCAGCCACAGTCCGGGCATCTGTGGTTCCGTGGGCCGAGGTATATAAGGAGTGGAGGGAGCCTGGGGTATTTGATAGGATGCGTCAGCCAGAGTAGCGAGATTGATGTGTGCAATCTTATTATTGGAAATAGCGTCGTAAATGATGGCGATGGCCTTTGCTAAGGGCGATGCTGAGATGATGCTGTGCCAAAGCATGGACATGGGTTCTCCTGGCCAGACAGTTAACCGTCATTCACAGAGGTGATTCGTTGCTCCACACTCACTGTTCTCCTTTGCCTTATTTTTTAGGTTGAGAATGATTTTGGATTCTCTCCATACATAATTGGTCTTAGCCTGCTCATACTTAAGGTCCTTCGCAAATTTGCGGATGACATTATCGTACATCTCGCCAGTTCGGAGCTGGTACTCCAATGCTGGAGGGTTAAGCACAAAAACAACATTGAACATTGTCATCTCAGCGTCTCCACCAGCAGTTGAAGCACTTTTCGCATCTGAGCCGGCATCGGAACCTTCGTCAGACATCCTATGTCCATATCCCGGCTCGAAGCCCGAGGGGAGGTCAATGGTGGGCATACCGTCTTCAGGGCCGTTCACGTCGACACCTTCATCTTCGTCGTCGGCCAGCGCACTTTCGTGGCCATCCGATTCATGGGCGATCCTGTTGTTCCACAAGTCCTCCTGGTTGGCAGCATCGCGCTTCTTCTCGCTTCTCCTCCTCTTCCTCCACGCGCCGTTTCCTTTCGCAAACATGGGATTGCCCAAGAAGCTCAAGCCCTCCATTCCCACCTCGAACTTCCTCTTGTTGAACGTCTTGCCCGGACACAACAGCTTCTCCAACCCCTCGGTCTTGAACCCCATCACGTTCTCCCATTCGGGCCCTCCATCGTCATGCGCGCTTATCCCACCCTTCTTCGCAGACGTTCCCGGTCCGCCCGCACCTCCCCTCCCCTCCTCATCCCCCAACCCTCTATCGTCATCGTCGCCGTCGTCCTCGGTAACATCCTCGCTCGCCGACCTCAAGCTCCTCTGCCCTCTGCTCCTCCCATCCCTCAAGCCGGTCCCCCTGCTCGTGCCTTTGCTCGTGCCCCTGCTGCCCGCCCTGCTCGCGCCCTCGGCCTCGGACGCCGCGCCTTCGGCCTCGGACGCGGCCTCGTCGGACGCGGCGGCGTCGCTGTTGTTGCCGTCGTCGGAGCTCCAGCTGCTGCTGGACGAGCCCGAGGTCGAGTCGTCGTCGTCGTCGTCGGTCAGCGTCGAGCCCGAGGTGCCGTACCACTGCGGGTGCTGGGGCGTGGCGTTGGCGGGCCCCACCGGGTGCGGCGGGTAGTGGAAGACCAGGCGCGGGCCCGACAGCGACTTGATGACGAGCAGGATGGCGACCAGCGACGGGTTGGGCGGGAGGATGTTCGGCGACGGCATGCTGCGGCGCGTTTCGGTCTTTCTCTCTCTCTCTCTCTCCTTTGTTTGCGGCGCGGCGGTGTGGTGGGCGGCGGGGAGGTTTCCGTTGCGTGTGCGCGCGTGCGGCGCGCGTTCTGCTCGTCGCGTGTTTGGGCGGCGGAGTGGTTCGTTCGTGGGAATGGGGACTCGGATCGCGGGCGTTGCGGATGGACCGCCGAGGCACCGCCCGGGAACTTTAAGTTTCGGTCATTGCTTGTTGAGGGGGCGCTTGGTGGTGGTGTGGAGTGCAAAGCGGTAGCCGCGCGAGAGCATGGTGGGGACCGAACTCCCTGCCTATGACGCCTGACGTTGATCAACGGCACCCCGGGATTTTCCCAAACGTATCATGGGCATCAATTGGCACAGCTGATATGTGGCTGCCTGCCACGGAGTGCTAAGGAATTCATTGGCTCTTTCGACTGGAAGACTCTGGTCTTTGATAATGAAAAATTGCCATGATCAGACAGTGCATTGACGACTGAGCGATTGGGGTGCTGATAGCTGAAATATTTGGAGATTTTTCTAGACGTAAACCGAACAGAGATTCGTCCTAAAGAAGACTCCACACCAACTGGGAGTGTGTCTGGGATTTGTGAAAGTTAAATAAGATTGGTCCATAGAACCTGTCGGACGCTTCCTAGGAGCACAAAATTGCCAGTGTGGCATTTTGCAGGATGGCTTGAGATAGCCGGCTGCATTGCACCTGAGGCCTCCATCATTGACTCTGCATACGAAGGAACGTCCCCCAGTATGCGTCTTTATGTGTACTCGTAAGCATCTATTGGTGGGGACTGTTATGAAGCTCTACAATCGAGCTACTGGCTTTATTTTCTTTGTTTTAGCCCCGGAATCGCTGAGCTTGCGGAGCCGCTTGCAATGGTCGTACAGTCTACGAAAAGGCAGGAGATCTACCGATATGATCGCTCATGCGCCCCTCAGGCAGTTGCCAGAATCCAACATGCCTCTATTCGGCCCTCATCTTCCTGAAGAAATCGCAGACGCCCGTGTAGACGACGAGCAGGATACCACCACCCGGGCCCAGACGCAGCACCTTGGGCAAGAAGCCCTTGTACAGCGCAGAGAAACCCTCCTCCTTCATGACCGTGCCAAGAGCCGGCCACGCCCAGTTGTACTTGGGAACGACGCCAGGAACCTTGGGGGTGTTCTGGATGCGCGACTTGACAACGTCCATAGGCGTGTTGACGATGGTACCAACCGTGCCACCAATGGCACCAGAAAGCATGTCATTCCTGACCTGTTGGGTCTTGTCCGCTGCCGCCGGCAGAAGCGAGCGAACTTGGAAGATGCATCCAAAGTAGCCAGCGTTCCACAGAACGTGCCTCCACATGGTGCTCTCCAGACCCTGGTACAGAGTGAGGGGACCCTCGTGCTTGATGATCTTGGTGACGCAGTCGAACATGCCGTTGTACTTGCCGGCCTGGGCCTTGTCTTGCAGACGGATCTTGACGAGCTCGAAGGGAACGACGACAAACGACTCGGTCGCACCGGCGGAAGCGCCGGTCAGAACGGAGAGACTCTGGGTCATCTTGGCCTGGCCGAACAGGTTGCGGTAGAACTTGCCCCACTCGTCGTTGGCAGCGAACTTGGTAGCCCTGGAATTCGTCAATCCTTACGCTTTGACCGGAACAAGTGAAGCATACCTCTTGGGGGCTTCCATCATAATGGGCGCGCTAATACCACGGTACAGACGGGAGAACCTAGGCACCCGTCAACACTGCGGTCTTCTGTCCGGCTCGAAAATATCGCCTTACCCCTCGTTCCTGATGATCTTCCTGAAGCAGTCCAGCATGCCATTGTAGGCATCCTCACCAGCGCCCTTGCCAGTCTGAAGCTGCCTGCATTGTCTCAGTATGTTTGCGCGTCGGTCGGGCGGAAGCTGCGTGCTTACACTCTGGTCTTGACCACGTCAAGCGGGTACCTGGGGTCTGCGTCAGCCAATGCCGTATGAGCGCATGAGAAAGAGCCTTACATGACGAGAATCTGTTGTGCGAGCGCGCATTAGCTCTGCGATCATGCGACCAGCGCGCGCAGCGACTTACCTCGGAGACACCAGCCACCGCGCCTGCGCGGAAAATTAGTGCATTGTTGTCGCAAGGCGCAAAGAGCGTAGCTTACCGGCGGCGAACTGGTAGATGAACGGGAGGGGCTTCTCGGTTGCCATGGCGTCGGTGATGGGCTTGGTGAGGTGGAGTGGGTGGAAGAGTCAAAAGAAGGGTTCAGCGGTTCAGCGGGAGTTGTGGTGGAGCTGCGGCGCCGGAGCCTGAGGGCGGAAGCGGAAGATAAGGCGGATGGCCGCTAAGGCGGAGAAACGGATGATGCCTTTTCCCTAAACGCAGGCAAGCGACACCGGACCGGGCAAGCATACAGTGGCAGAATTCACATACAGCGCGCAATTGCAAATGGCGCCGGCGCAGGATCTCGAGGGCCTCAGCGCGGGCGGCTTTGGTGCGTGCGTTCGCAAGATCAAGCGGAGCCCCGTTGCTCGGCGGCCGATGTCCGGCGCGACTCGGCCCGCTGCAAAAAAGCCGCGCGCTGATTCGCTGGCTGCACACGGCGCGTCATTACCCCAGCAGCAACAACCTGCGACGCGTCTCTCGCCGCCCACGCGCCTCGCTCCCCAGCCCTCGACCACCACCACCGCCCCATGGCGAGCCGCCAGAAGTCCTTCTTCGATCAAGAGCACGGCGCCCGGGTAACGGCTCCGCTGCATTCTTGCTCCGCAGTACACTGACGGCGTGCCTCAGAAATCGCGTCCCCAATGGAACCGTGCTCGCAGCGTCAATGACCTCCACAAGAAGCCCAGCCTCGACAAGCGCGAATCTATCATGACCGGGCCCCCGATCAAAGCATCGTCTCAGTCAAGGAGGAAGCTGAAGGGCTTTCAATTCATCGAAGGAGCCCCCGAATACGTCTCCGACAAAGAGAACATGCCTCAGGACGACCCTTCCAATGATTTGCAGACCGGTGATGATGCCTCTGCATCTGTTGCGCCATCTATCCAGCAGCCAAAGGCATGTCCCGCAACCTCTGCTGCTCCCCGACACCCGCTAGGCGATATAGACGAGCCATCAGATTCGGTCATCAAGCGCATGCCTTCACCCGACGAGATAGGATGGGGTGCACCTACTCAGACCCAACACACGCCTATTCAGAGGAACCTCAAGAGGAAGCGGAGGAATTCTTCGCCAACTTCCGCCTCTCAGCGCGAGGCCAAAGGTGCACCGGTTCCGAATATAACGACCGAGACTCCTCGAGCAGAGCCCGGCCAAGCTTTGCTAGCCAAATATAGGAACGCATTCAACCAAGAAACCCCTAGCATGTCGCGCACTGCCGATCTCATAGGAGAGTCATCACCCCGCGATGGCTCCGTGAGTGGATTGCGAAGGTACTACAGCTGCTTTGAATGGTCCAGCACAAATACCCGAAGGAAAAGGCCAAGGACAAGCGGAATCTTCCGTGCACACTCAAATGCAAATGACAACAGGAACGCAGATGTAGCTGGTGCTCAACCCAAGGCGCGCAGAAATTGGCAAAGGAGTCTCGAGGAAATCAGCCAGATACTCGAAGAGCCAACGAGGCAGGACTCCAATGTCCCTTCCAGCTCTGAGCCGATGCCTGAATTACCTGCTTTGCAATCATCAGCTCCGCCGCCATCACCCTTGAACGGACGAGGCAATTCGCGAGAGCCTGACAAGCATGATCTACACCCAGAGAAAGCGGACAAGTTGGACCGCGACACGTTTATGCAGAATGACTCGGAAGACGAATTCGGCGATTCAGACTTCGATGACGACTTTCTGGAAGCGGCTGTTGCTGCGATCTGTAATACCCAGAAAGCACCGGAACTGGAGACGGAGGATGCTCATCACGAGACATCTGCCAAGCATGCAATGACACCTCCACAGCCCCGTACCCCGGAAAAGAAACCGCGGATCAAAGACTCTGACGACTTTGGGCTTGAAGGTCTCAGCGACAACGACTTTGCTGATGCGATCAAAGATGTGGACTCTCCGTTGTCCAGGCCGACAACAGCCCATGCGTCGGAACCACCACCACAGGACCAGGGTAGAAAGCCTGTGCAAGATGTTTGTGTTGCTCAAGATGATGATGATGACAAGGACTCGTTCGATGGTGGTGACTTTGACGATGAAGATTTCGAAGAGGCTGAAAAAGCAGCGACGCAGGCGGCGGTGTTTAGCGGGACATCTGTGCGTACATAATTCCCTCTTTCGTTAGAGTAGCATTGGCTGAGTTATTGGAGAGTGAGATCGACAGATGTGTCGGTAAGATTCAGCGTTATCTTGTCGTGGATATCGTAGAAGGCCAGTATAAAACTGGCAGGTGTATGACCCTACCCGAGAAGGTATTCATCTCGAGAAACTACTCGCTATGGACAAATGCTGACAGTCCGTAGGTCTTGGTGGTTGAGGAAGAGCAAACCAAAAAGGTCAAAGCCATTACTCTTCGCGAAGAGTGGTGCGACACTCGTTGTACCAAGGGCTCTTACGTCCACGTCATTGGTGCCTTCACGGCTGGCGGCCAGTGCACAGTAGATAATGGGCACAACATGATCATCCTCCATCCGGACCACCTCATCTCAGCCACGACAGTCGGAGACTCTTTCAGTTGCATGCGGAAAGCCGTATTGCAAGATCGCGTCAAAGCTACTAGTGATGCAAACGAGTCTGCAATGATCGGCACTATCCTGCACGAGATTTTCCAGGAGGCGTTGAAAACGAATCGGTGGGATCACGAATGGCTTCTTGATCTCATCCAGCGCACCATTCCCAGAAAGTTTGAGACAATTCTGGAGATTGGTATCACTGTCGAACACGTCATTGATCGCTTGGTCAGCAAGCTCCCACATATCCAGGCTTGGGCAAAGATGTTCGTCAAAGCTTCCCCAGGCGTAAGTTACCCGTGTCACCTCCGTCTCCTATATCTCAGCTGACATTGTACAGTCGGATGCAGTAGTTAGAGATCGAAATGGCAAGATGGCGCACATGAGCGTCAACAAGCTTCTGGAAGTCGAGGAGCACATCTGGTCGCCAATGTATGGACTCAAAGGCAACATCGATGCCTCTGTCCAAGTTCTCATGCGCGACGAATCCGGGGAGAAGACCCTCACTGTACCGCTTGAATTGAAGACCGGAAAAGCCGTCAACGTATCACACCAAGCCCAGACGGCGTTGTATACACTGTTGATGTCCGATCGATACGGTATGTTCATCGAAACCAACATGTCTGGAGCAAACACGCTGACAAGTATAGATATTGACATTACATACGGCGTTCTGTATTATCTGGAGAGTGCGGACACTAGCCGTGTTCCGGCAATTCGCAACGAAATTCGGCAGATGATTATCCAAAGGAACGAACTCGCATGCTACGTTCGGGAGCGATTGCAGCTTCCTCCTATGACAACCGACTCCCATCAGTGTAACAAATGCTATGCTCAAGAGACGTGTTTCCTGTACCACAGACTCGCGGAGGATGGCACGGGCGAGACGCTCGGAATGCCAGCGAAGCAAAAATTCGAAGAGCTAGTCCGGAATCTCAAAGTCCCGCACCAGGAATTTTTCCGGAAGTGGGACCTTCTTCTGACCAGAGAGGAGTCGCAGATGAAGAGGTTTTGTCGTGAGCTTTGGACAATGCTTAGCGATGAGCGTGAGAAGCTGGGAAGGTGTTTCGCGAACGTCGTGGTTGACCCTGGCTCGTTCAAATATTTACCCGAAGGCCAGAAGATCAACCAGTTCCAGTACAACCTCGTCAAGCACAATGCTCCTGTTGGGTTCTCTTTCGCAGAATCTCAGATTGCTGTTGGCGAGCCAATTGTCATCTCAGATGAGAAGGGTCATTTCGCCTTGGCTAACGGCTATGTTATCTCGGTTCGAAAGCGGTCGATCACGGTGGCCGTAGATAGGCGTCTCCACAACGCTCGCACCAGAGAGCCAGACTTCGATCCGGAGACCAGACAAGCTTTTGTGGGCCTTATGGATGTCACGGCTGGCATGGTTGCCTCGTCGAGGAATTACGGACGCGATGATGAACCGATTATCTACCGCCTGGACAAAGACGAGTTCAGTAACGGCATGGCCATGGTTCGAAACAACCTCATTCAGCTGATGAACGACAACGACTTCAGATCGATCTCTCTGCGCGCACTTGTTGTAGACGGGAAAGCTCCGACCTTTAGGCCAAGTCCAAGTGGATACTCGATCCAGTCGCAGTCGCAACATATGGTCATGAACTCAGACCAGGAGGCTGCGGTGGACAAGATATTCTCCGCACAAGACTACGCTCTCGTTTTGGGCATGCCAGGGACCGGAAAGACAACCACCATTGCACACATTATTCGATCTTTGGTGGCAAGAGGCAAGAGCGTTCTCTTGACGTCATATACACACACCGCTGTGGACAACATTTTGCTCAAGATTCGTAACGATGGCATTGGTATCTTGCGGCTCGGCGCTGCAACCAAAATCCACCCAGAAATTCATGAGTTTGCGACGGTGGCCGCGCACCCATCAAACACGTTGGAAGAACTGGAACGTACTTGGAAGGATCCTCCAGTCGTAGCGACCACTTGCCTGACCATCAATCACCCAATCTTCCGCCGTCGCCTGTTCGATTATTGCATAGTCGATGAGGCATCTCAGATCACCCTGCCTGTATGTCTGGGGCCCATTCGAATGGCCAAGCGATTCGTTTTAGTCGGAGACCATCACCAGCTGCCGCCGCTTGTTCAGAACAAAGAGGCTCAGGAGGGCGGACTCGACGTCAGCCTGTTCAAGCTATTGTCAGAAAGCCAACCCGACGCAGTCGTCAGCCTGGAGCATCAGTATCGCATGTGTGCAGATATTATGCTGCTTTCCAATACTCTCATCTACGACGGCCGCCTCAAATGTGGTAACGACTCGGTCGCCAGCCGTTCACTCAACGTACCGCATCTCGATGCCCTTCAGCGCTACCACACCTCTCATACTCACCGCCGTCGCTCCAATAACCCATTCCTTACGCCGCTCGATCCCGCCGTCGCTTGCACGGGCCCCGAACGAAGCAGCTGCTGGCTCGCCCACGCCATCTCACCTTCCAACAAGGTCGTCTTTCTCGACACGGACGGCCTCTCCCCCGCCTCGCAAGAGGCTCTTTCCGGGGGCAGCCGCATCGTCAACGAGCTCGAATGCACGCTGACGTACCAAGTCATCGAGTCGCTGGTCACGGCGGGCGTCGCCGCGTCGGAAATCGGCGTCATCACCTTCTACCGCTCGCAGCTCGCGCAGCTCCGGCACCGGCTGCGCCACCGCGCGCCGCAGCTCGAGCTGCACACGGCGGACAAGTTCCAGGGCCGCGACAAGGAGGTCGTCGTCGTGTCGTGCGTGCGCAGCAACGAGGCGAACAAGGTCGGCGACCTGCTGCGCGACTGGCGCCGCGTCAACGTCGCGGTGACGCGGGCGCGGAGCAAGCTCGTCGTCGTGGGGAGCGCGAGCACGCTGAGGGAGAGCGGCGAGGCGACGTTGAAGGGGCTGGTCGGGATTTGCGAAGAGAGGGGGTGGGTGAGGCGGTTGTGCCCCGGCGACGTCGAGGGCCACGTCTTTGACGACTCTCCGTGCGCCTTGTCCTCCTCCTCCTCTGCGTTGGAGTGTGGCGTGGGCACGGCCTCTCAGAAACAGACGCAGACGCAGACGACGGGTGTTTCTTCCACTGCCTTCACGACGATAGCGAGTCCGGTGAGGAGGAAACCGGGGAGTCCGAAAAGGGCGGCTGCGAGGAAGAACAGTCCGAAGAAGATGACCGGTGGCCCATTGAGGCAGAGGGATGCGAACGCGGTCGTCAAACAGCCGGCCATGGCCACGGGCAGTCCGACGAAGAAAGGGAGGGCGGCTTTGGGAGAGGGTGGTGGTGGGAATGCTGGCCGTAGTGGTGGCGGCGGGAGGCTGAAAGTTCCGCAGAAGAGGGGCCGGGTGGGGCAGAAGATGTTGTTGAGCAACAAGCCGGTGTTGAGGGATATCGTCAATGAGGTGTTGGACGAGCAGGCATGGGAGGAGGAGCGTGAAGGGTCAAGATAAAGAGATGGGTATGGGCTTGGGTCAGGTTTGGGCTGGTAGTGTGGGTGAGGTGTTTGGATGGGTAGGTGGGTGGGTCGGCGAGATTTTGGGCTGATTGTATTTTTCCCCATCCTTTCATTTTCCACGTCACATTGTCAGTGGGCAGTTTTTGGGGATTGGGGTCTTGCATGGGTACATCTTGGATATGAGATTGGGCAGGCAGGGAGCGGGTTATTCTGGGTACGGGCTCATGGTTTACGTCTTGGTTATTGCTTCCTCGTAGTCGTACCATACCGCGAATGGAGTTTTCTGCGATACTAGGCTCATGGTGTGTGGCTTGCTGCGCACCAGCTTGGGGCACCAGCGAGCTTAGTTTAAGATGGAGAGTGAGCTTGACTCAAAACAATACTGAGCGAGCTTGATGTAGTAGCTCTTGAGAGGCTGTTCCCTTCCTCGAAGACCGGAGCAAGTCCAGGCATTCAACGAAAGGAGAACTCGGGACCTTCCCTCATCGCTCTCCGGGGAAAAAACTCTTGTGCACTAAGAGAAAACCCCGACATGGGTCGTTGCGTGCCAAAGCCCCCATGCCTTTGTTACCCGCCCAAGCGCTTTGACATCCCGCAGAGCGCATCTGCGAGGAAAAGCAGGGAGGGAGGAGCTGTAGAGAAGAAAAGAGAGCGAAGGGCGGAAGTCGGGGGGTTTATATATTTTTTGGGAGCAGCAGTGCACGTATTTGGATCAGCTGGACGGGGTGCGACGCTAAACCCAAAATGGGTGGAGTGTAGGCGTGCGGGTGGTTGATCGGGCAGGCGCGCGGGTAGCGACTTCCTGATGCGGCATCACCTCGCGGCAACGGTGGAAGCTGGTGGAATCGTATCGGGGCCGCGCAGTTGGAGTGGGTGATGAAGCATTGGAGAAGTGACAGGAGGGCGGCCGGGTATATGGCTGGAGAGCTAGACCATACGGTGCCGGCACCTGGAGGCGAAACGGCTGCCATTGACGGACCAAACGAGCCAATCCGAGGTGAAGGGCGCAACGGCCGGCCAGGGCCCCTGGAGGCTGTGCGCTGTTGGCATCATCAGTGGAAACTGGGGTTATCCGCTGCACGTCATCCATGGCTCGTGCCGTCGCGCGTTGAGTCGATTCCTGGAGCCAATGGGCGTCGCTTACGTAGCCCGCGGGCCCGTCAATCTCCCGTACCGCTTTTCGCCGCACCACGAGCACGACAGCCATCTCCAATCCATTGCACTGCCTACGCGTCGCCCGTGACGAGCACCCACCATGAGCACCTTTGGCAGCCCTGGCGGCAGGGTCCAGGTCCAGAAGCCAATCCCGTAAGCCCACTCCCCCTTCCCGATAGAGCTGCGTCCGAAAGCTCACACCACGCCTCAAACCTCCAGACCGGAGCGCGGATCCTTCCCTCTCGATCACTTTGGTATGCTTGCTCCAAGCCTCCCCGCGACACTTGCCGCTTGTCTCTTGCGCGACCTTCTCTCGTTCGCCCGCGCCCCGTCATGCGACCGCCCACCGATGCAGAACACCCACAACGGAGGCTCTGGAATGTGCGCTGATGCATGAGATGCAGGCGAATGCAAGTCCGTCATGACCCAATACCTGCGCTGCATACGCGCCCACAAGGGGACCAACGACGACGAGTGTCGCCAGATCTCCAAGGCCTATCTGCAGTGCCGGATGGATCGGTGCGTACAGCAAGCCTCCTCCGCCTTGGCACCCTTGTCCATACGTCAGCCCACTGTTGCCCATCGAGGGCCATAGCAGGCGTTGTAATGCAGGAACACCTGCGCAGCACCATGGCTGGCTGAGACCTACTCACCACCCGTCTGCTATGCCCGATCTGCAAGCTCAGCCAGCCGCGCCCGCCTCCTCTTGCCATTCCACACGATCCCCCGCTGATCTTGGTCCTTGACAGCAACCTCATGGCGCCAGATGAGATGAAGAACCTCGGATACCACGACGACCCCAAGCCTGCGGCGCCCGAGCCACAAAGCAAGGGACCCGCACAACAGTAGCAGTGGACCCAAAGAAACGCACCCCAGACCGCCCCAAACGCCCGCGCATAGCAGCAGACACACGAAACACGACATGAACACCTTTGAACACATCACCGCCACAGACGTACGATAACGCCCCTGCATGATGGACCCAACCGCATCTCTCCGCGACCACACCACACACCCAATCTTCATCCCTCCGCTACCGATCCGCCGTCGTCGCGCATAACCGAACGAACACGTCGTACATTGCGCGCGCGCTCTCTGTCCCCGCCCCTCCTACCTAGATCAAGCTTCGTCCACACGGAACGAGCCGAGGGTTGCATGAACCGTCGGCGACGCATGTGCCACTGGCTTGTGCCGTGGGCCGCGCCGCTCCGCGCTACTCCGCGCTCTACTCCCCAATCCAGCAGACCCATCAGCGGCGCAAGCAAACATTGCGCATGAGCCACCTCTCCATCAATACTTCCCTTTCCTTCCCCATGAGAGTAGTGGCAAAAGCCTAGCGCAAGGCTAGCGCAAGGCACCGCCGCCAGCCCGTCCGATCCGCTCTACTAAGCCTCTCCCATCATCCATGTCAGCCAGTCAGTCAGAAAATAGCTTTTTTTTTTGCTTCTAAGAATAAAACAATTGGCACTCTCAACCAACACCGACGGACCCAACACGAGTAATTATGGGTCGATGGATTTTGCCGGGTGGCAGTGAAAGGGAAAAAAAAGAAAGGATGCCGATAGCCGAGTAAAGAACACGAGAAGAAAGAGTCAGCGAAGCAAGGGATGGATGGGTGGGGAGAGGGGCTATGCTGCCGATTTGCGCCACCTGCCTCATCGTCGTGTTCCTTCTCCCCGGAACCCTCCCCCTCAACCGTCAACCAAACTCTCTTTTGTTTGACAGGTCACTCGGCTTTTTCCCCTTTCACAAAACCAGTCAGAGACATGCCAAGATGGAAGTGAATGGAAGGGAAGGGAGGCAAAGTGGTGAGATAGAGTGAGAGAAGAAAGAAAGAAAACGTAAAAAAAGTAAAAGCAAGCAGCCCAAGTCATGATGGAAAAAGTGTTCGCGGTTGAGTGGTACAGAACCATATCACACACCATCATCATCAATCGTCATCGTCACCAACCCTCCAATATGTATGTATACATAGTAAAGACGATTCATTCCTCGGCCCAGGCCGAGGTGTTGCGAAAGCTTGTTTCCCGAGACATTATTCGGTAGACGTACCGAATTGCCTGCTGTTGCTCTGCTCTCTCTCTCTCTCTCTCTCTCTCTCCCTTTGTTGCCCACACTCCTACTCTCTGTGCGACATCGCGCACCACCCTTTGGAAAAACAAAGTCCGGCAGGAAGGGGGCTTCCGGCAGTATGCAATCTGAAGATCGTCTTTGCTGAAAGGGAAAAGGACGAAGAGATATGGAGCGAGTCGGAAAAAGAAAGGAATCGAGAAAAAAAAGAAAATTATCAAAAGGAATGTTATGCGGTCGCCATAGAACATTTCTCATTTCTTCCGGTGGGTGGGAGAGTAAACGAACGCTTCGCGAGGGGGGAGGAGAACTTTGTCCCTCTGCCTCCTTGTTGAAGTCTAGAAAGAAGCAAAAGGGGCAGAAGGTGTGTGTGATTGAAGGAAGTGCATCGTTGGAAAAAACAGCGGTGAGGTGAAAATGGTCCCGGATATCTGGTCATATCCCCGTTATCGACAGATATGCGGATATGGAGCTCGTGGTGGCGGTCGGGGTATTCCCGCCCTGGTGGGTGGAAGAAATCTGGTCACTCCCTTCTTGGCTTCCACTCGGAGCCTTTTCCGGAGGGAAGGGGTGAACACCCAAGCGTGCTTTTGACCCTGAATTCCAGCTTGTCAGTCGAGGTTATTCTTGGTTAGCGCTTTCAATTGCCTCGTCACTGGACATCACTTGTAGAAGAAGCACGGCGGACTTTGTATGAATGGTATGAAATCATGTGTGAGGGGATATTAGCTAGCGCAGCCAACAAACGCGGCCGGGCAGATGAAAGCATGAAACCAGTTGCAGCGGAAACCCAAACCAAAAGAAACGACATGCCGAGACCTATATGCTCGAACTGAAGAAAACGACCAAGTGTGCAAGAAATGCATCATGGTCCTGAAACTGAAAGATCATTCCCTGCGGCCAGGCTAAAATGCAGCCATCACCCCGAAGGTCTAATGTCTGTTTGCCGGTCCGCGTCGTCATCATGTTCAAATGGGCTGAGGTTGTAGGTGGTGGAATTGTTGCCGGGGTATGTATGGAACTGAAGCAGAAAGCAAAGCAATAAAGCCACAGGATATCATCTCATCGACCTTGTAAAATGGGAAAAATCTCCAAGCCACGAGAGCGCTTGGCTGGAGGAAGCTGCTGTTCAATCGTGGAAAACTCCGATGATCCGTAGAATGCCTCGCACGATGCCCGTAGAAACTCCGTGGAAGATGATGTTGTAACAAGAAGCAGAAGAGTGAAGGCAGAAAGCCGAAGGGTAGATAAAATCAATCGGAAACCGAACAAACGCCATCCGACAAATCCCAAAGGAAGAAAGGCCGGTGCATATCGCAACGATATTCGAACCTTGGGTCGCCGATGCCACTGGGTTGGACAAGAAGACCGTTCGATTCGATGCCGCTGCGATCGGGGTATCTCAAATTCTGCCGAAATCTGACGTACTCTAGATCTGATGGTGCACCATGTGTAAAGCTCAAATGAAAGAGATCAGAGCTCCATGCCAAACTCCTCTTCTTCCTTGAATGTCGGCTGTTGATTGGCCCAGAATCCCGGCTGCCCGGCACCAGAGTTGGCACCGCTACCACCAGATTGAATGGCTGGGCTTAGGCTCTGAGGAGAGATGGGGTTCTGAAGGGGCTCGCCGGCAATGTTGGTGTGCTTGGGGACCCGAAGGCCGCTGCCGGGACCGCGCGAGTAACGGAACGATTCCCAGTTGTTCTTCTCGACCGCCTCGATGAGCTCCGACTTCATGCGAAGCTCATCCTCGGAATACTCCATGGTTGCCTCGCCACCTAGACTCCGGATTTGCTCGTACAGCTGCTCCTCCTGCCTCAGCTTCATGTAAAGCATCCACATGAGGTCACGAGTCCAGCTGACGGAGCCGTTCAGAATATCCCCCTTGTTGGGACCCTTGTCCTTCTCGTCGAGCGGGAGGCCGGTGGTGATGTTGCCAGCAGCACGTCTGCCGTTAGGACCAGCCAAGAGCGACGTTGCCTGCGGTGGCGAAATGCCAGTGGCACTCATTGTGGGCGACAGAGGGCCGTTGTTGTGGATGTGCTTGCGGACCTTCTCGTCCTCAAGACGATGCTGGGGCACCAGCTTGGAAAGGTCCTGGATGCGCTCGTTGATGTTGTCTCTCCGACGACGCTCGACCATGTTGTGGCTTTCACGACGCCTGCGGCGCTTAGCCTCCTGGGTCTGGAAACCGGGGTTGCCATTGTTCTCAACCTTGGTAGGCAGCGAAGCGTGCTTTCCTGAGGCGAGAACATCGGCAATCTGTGCATGGTGCATTCCGGCCTGTTGAGGTGACACAATCGGAGAGTCGATCCAAGAACCGCCGCTGTTGGGGGTGTTGTCCCATTGGCCCGACATGCTCTTCTGGTGGCCGTGACTGGGGCGGCTGGCGTGGATAGGCTGCGCGGCCGGGAAGCTGCCCGAATCTGGGGTGCTGAGGTGAAGCCCAGCCATGGCGGGTGTCTTCGGCGTCATTGGACTACGTGAGTCAGACAGTTGTCTTTCGAGGCCCATCCTGGAATGCTGCCTAGCGGTCATCGCGAAAGAACCGTTGGGCATGCTTCCGACGCGGTGACCACCTTGCATGTTCTGGAAGTTCTCGTAGTTGAAGTTGTTGTTCATGAAGGGACTCTGGATCGGGGCGCCATCGGGTGTGTTGGAATACATGTTCATGTTGTTCTGGGTGTTCACGGGCACGGAACCGTTGGTCATTTGACCCTGGTAGTAGCCCTGCTGATGCTGCTGCTCATTGTGGCCATCGTTGTAATTGTGAAAGCCGGCGTTGTGGTTGTGGCTGGGCTCGTCCACAAGGTCACGCAGCTCGTCGTCGGCGATATTCGAGTTACCCAGGAAGCTGGACGACATGTTGTTGGAGCCGTATTGGTTGTTCATGATGAAGTTGTTGCCCATGGTGAGGTCATTGGGGTTGACGCCGTATGGCTGCCCGTTGTTGCTGAAGTGTTGCGACATGTCAAAGTCGCCGTGGAAGTTGGGGTTGAACTGATCGGGGTCCTCCTTGATGTAAGGAGCCGGCGAACCGGGGTGCGCCATGGCGGGGTCAATACCGGAGTCTGGCGAGTCGAATCGTAGGTCCGATTTGCAGTTTGGTTGCTTGTTGTAACCGCTGAAAGGTGGAAAGTGGGTAATCTTGGTGTCGGCTGGAGGGGTGGTCAGCGGGGGCTCTTATAGGGTGGGAGCCTGAGCGATCGCCCAATGCACAATAGGCGAAGATCACCGCCACAACAATAGCTGAATGCCTGGAGCGGCAACCGCACACCATCCCACATCCTTCCTCAAATGACGGAAGACACCGGGCCGCCAACACGCGCGGGCAACGCTTGGCGATGCAAATGAAATCAATGCTTGGGGGACTGCTCACCTATGATCATCACTGGATTGGTCAGATCTGACTTCTTTAGATGGAAGGTTGCGTGTCGGTCCCTTGACGCCCGGGTTTGCGAGGTCTGCAGCAGGACACTATGCGAACGGTGGTGGCAGGCAGCACGAGACTGTTGCGAGCGTAGCTTAAATGGCAACGTCGGTTTGCGGTTTGGTGAGGGTGCAGTGAGGCAAGCTAGGCGAGCATGGGCTTCGAATAGATTGTGAGGAACTGGCAAAGCTTGCAAATACCCTCACTGATCTCTCGAGCTTGCAAACGTCCTGCATGAAAAGCGTTAGCCTCGCATTGCTCCAGCCGTTTTTGCGGCACTTGGCAGCCTCTTTCGGCGCGGCCTGCACGCCTGGATGCCGTGGGATGTGATCGACGCACCTGTGCAATGCTTACAGTCGCTGTCGCTGACTGCGTGAGGAGGCCAGAAGTGCGCGGAACCCGTTTCGGAGGGGGTCCTGTCGGTGACAGATGCCGGTGGAGCAGCGGCCGAGCTGGGGCGAGGGAGAGGTGCTAAGGACCCTGTGCCTGCAGCCAGCGAGATGGATGGCGGGGCTACGGTGTCGCTTTTCGGGCGAGGAGGCTGCGAAAACGTGTTAGCTCGCCTGCTTGCATTGAGGGCAGCGTCCAGGGCGCCCAAGAGAGGAACGCGCATGGGGCGGTGGCGCGCGCCGCACAATGAGACAATGGCTCAGCAGCGCAGAAAAGCAGCGACTGCGGCGCGGGCCACCGTCTGGACCGTCCCAAAGCGTGCACAGCAGCAGAGGAAGCAGTCGCACAGGGTGGAAGCTTCATGCGCTGGACTGCTAAGGCTGAGGGCTGCCGATGGCGCCACCGTGGGCGTCTGGGGCGGGCAGCAGAGAACGCAGGGAGGACTCACTTGCGGGGAGAGGGCCGAGGCGTCGAGCTGCCTGGGCGAGTCGAGGGAGGAGAGGAGAGAGGGAGCGCAGAGGAGCGGTGGAGGCCACGAAGAAGCCGTCGGAAGCGTGCGGCGACGGATGTGCGGGCGGTGCAGCGCTTGCTCGTGCGGGCAAGTGCGTCGTTCGGCGGGCGGACAGCGGCTCAATGCCCTTTGCTGCCGTCGCCTCGGGTGGCGGGCGATGGGGGGAGAGGCGCGGAGGCCGTTCGGCGCAGAGCCTGTGGGACGTTGAAGGTGACGATGGCGGGGTCCCCGGGCGCTGCTCAGTTGAGGATCTCCAGCCGGGCCTCGCTGGTGCGAGGGTGCTAGGCGGCCTTTATTAAGCTGACGGGTCGCCTTTCCGAGCGGGCACACGGGCGGCCGGCTTCGGGCGTCAAGTCAAGGCTGACAGGAGTAAATTCACGTCGCCCGCCGAGAGCGCCGGAATTCGAGTTGGTGCGGCCGACGTCGAGGCGGTCAGACGTGGTGGGATGAGGCTCGCGCAGCGACTGGCCGCGGGGGGCTTAGGCTACCAGATTTGGTGGGCGGCGGCGGTGGGGGATGCTGGTCGCGGCGGCGAGGAATGCGCAACAGGAAAGCAGCGTTCACCGAGATCGAAGCACTGGTACGGGCGCGAGGATTGGCCCGAGGGGCGCGCGGCAGTTATATGGCTTCAATGCACTCGCCGCGGCGCGCGGTGCTGCCCGCGAGCGCGCAGCCACACCCCCTCCTGTGCTGTCTAGGGTGGATGGTCACGGAGCGGGCAGTCTCAGATCACCGCCAGGACGCGCAGTCAGTCGGGATGCGGATGATGCTATGATGAAGGCATCGCGCAAGTGACTCACGGAGCGCGCGCAAGCTGCCGCCCGGCGCGGCGGGCTGCTATCGCGGCAGTGCGCGCCCCCCAGCTCCCAGCACCGCGTCGCAGCCACAGCCTGGAGCGAGTGAGACACGCGCCTAAGCCCAAACCCGCGCCGATCGGCCCAGGCCGCAGACATCGCGAGCGCAGCACCGCGGCCTCAAAGAGCTGCCCGCGCTCCCTCTCTCCCTTTCCCACCACACCCTCCCGCAGCCTCTCTCACCGCCGCCCGCCGCCCAATCAGCGCCCGCGCCACGCTCCCGCCAGCGCCCACGCCGCCCCGCCGCCGTCCTTGCCAGCTGCGTGCCCGTTGCTGCCCCAGCCAAGTCGCACCCCGATCGAATCACACGTCTCCTCGCTGTCTGAGACCCTGCCAGACACCCTGGTCACTGGATACTCAACCTCTCGCCCTCCCAAGCGCAATCGCGGAGATCATCTGCACGCAATCAGCGCGATATTCGCCGCCTCCCGTCCGCGCTAGCCCGCTTCGCCGCGACCAGCCCGCCGCCAGACACACTCGCACCCTCCTCGGCCCTCTTCTATACGAGTGCCGCCGATCGGGTTGCACGCTTGAGGAAGCTGCTCCCAGCCAAGCTCCCGCCGCTGCCGTTCTGGTGCTCGATCAAACGGCCCCGGCGGCTTGATTCTGCACACCGCAACCATGGCGTCACAGAACTTTCGCGACTCCATGAACTCGCTCGGGTGGAGCCGGCGCGATCCCGACATGCCCGTGAGCACTGCCCAGACACCGCTCTGGGGCCGCCTCAACCCTTTTGGCAGCGGTGGATACGTGAGGCTGCCGACACACGAAGGCCCGGGAGCCCCGCTGCCCGCGCCGACGCGCCGTGAGGAGGAGGAGGGATGGCTTGCCCGTAAGTCTGCTCTGCCCTGCCGCCTGGCCGGCCCTGTCCTACCGTCTGCCCTGCCGTCCTCCGTCCAGCCATCTGCTAGCCGTCCAGCCATCCGGGAATCAGCGGCCTGTTGGACGGCGCTGCACCCTGCGCCGGGCAGATCTGTGTAAGAGGGGTGGCCCGGTGCAGTTCCTGCGTATTTGACCTCTACGCGTGCGTCAGGGTTGCATGAGCGGGTGCGACCTCTGCCAACCCTGAAAAGCGCGCGAGCAAAAAGAAAGAGTCTTCAGGCACTGGCTGACGCGTTCCGGGGACAGTGAGCCGATGGGACAGGATGCTCGTTTTTGGCGGCCTGAACCTTGCCGCCGCCGCCATGTTTGTCGTCTGCTTCGCCCTGATGCCTACTGGCGTCTTTTTGCTCAAGCCTAGGAAGTTTGCCATCCTGTAAGTGCACTTTGCCACCCCTCGTGTCTTCAGCGGCCTGTCCGCTTCGTATCCCGGGCCCGCTTTCATGCATTTTGACAGGCTGTAGCGGCTGCGCTGCAGCCGTGGCGACGTCTCTTACATGAGGACCGTCGTGAGCCACGTTCCCTTTCCGAGACATGGTCCTACCCCACCAGCGATCATGCGGGTGCGACCTGCGGTGCACTGCAGACGTCGCTACCTAATCTCAACTTCCCTCGAGCCCATGTTCCAATCATATCAGCTGGCAGTCCTGCAGGGTTCCGCAGCAGCTAACCGCTCGATCTTTCCTCAGGTGGACCATGGGCTCCGTGCTCTTCTTGGCCTCATGGGCGGTCATGATGGGCCCAATGCAGTATGGTGAGCAAGCCTCTGCACTCTTTCGGCCCGCCATCTTATCGGGCGCTGACCAAAGCTGCCAGTGCAACATCTTACCTCTGGACCTCGCCTGCCCTTCACTGCCGCCTACTTTGGCAGCATCGCACTGACGCTGTACTTTTCCCTTGGGGTAAGTCAGATTGCCTGTCACGCCCCCCCCCTGCAATCGATAAACCTGCTTTCCTACCCGTCCCCCCCTGTCGCCCCGACCACAGCCTCTGCAGTCTCCACCACCACCACCACCCACCCACCCACCCACCCTCCCCTCCCCCACGCCAGCCACCACATGCGATTGCTCGTGTTAACCTCCGGGGCGCGTGATTGACTGGTACAGCTACACTCGACCATCCTCACGCTCATCTCGGCGATCGTGCAGCTGGTTTGCCTGCTGTGGTATCTCGTCTCTTATTTTCCGATGGGATCGTCCGGCTTGCGCTTCGCTGCGCGCTTTGGCGGCAACCGAGTTGCTGCGTGGATGAACGATTAATTTGCCGTTTCGTATTGCCACTTGTTTACATACATAGACATGACGCGTATATACGCGTCTCTGGGTGTGCCACCGCGTCCAGTGCGCAGCCGCATACGCAGATGGGCCCAAAATGCCATGCACTTAGAGCCTTCCGAACGAGCCGCGACGCTACATCCAGGTCATCAGGCCCGGATTTCGCAGTGTAAGATTTTGGCTGAAGAAGCCACCTGTTGCCTCTGTGGCCCGGGGCCTGCCACCACGGTTCAGAGCAGTCATATGCGCCTCCGTTGCTTACTCACCCACGGTCTAGTTTCACCTGGAGCCAATCATGCAGCACGAGTTCCTACATATACTAATGCAAACAACGGCGACCTGCGTTGCGGATGCTACACCTCGAAGCCGAGCCAACCAGTCTCGTTCGCACGATTAGCGATACACCCCCTGGGCCGTGTCCTTGTGGCCAGCGTAGTAATCCCAGCGGCGTCGCTTAGGAGCCGGTGCAGACTTGGTTCAGTGTCGACGGCACTGTAACGACACGGCGGCACGTCGACCCGGAGTCGAAGCCTGGGTCCGCATGGACTTGGCGGATGCCTGATCGCTTTCGTGTGGACGAGAGACGCGGATTCCGCTGCTCCATCAGATGCCGTCTCTCCTCAATATCATGCAAACTGACCACGGTGCGAGAATGTGGAGGGGCGTGTAGGCTGTGCCATGGCTTGACTGCGGGCCAGAAACGCGCTGTGACAGGGCTTGCGGGCTTGCGCCTCACGCATCCGATGTTGAGCACGTTGCCAATAAGAGGTGATGGGCCACGGTGCTCGTCTGGCTCAGCCTTGTCAGCTCGGAGTGCACCGGCTCGCCTGCGGTACGGTGGGCAGCTCGTGGTATTTCCATATAGCATCCACCCTCTACAACCCTGGCTGCCACTGCCTCATGCTCACTCATTCCCATAGCGGCCACGAGCCTAGACCCTTGCCACTCTGCCTTGGATGTGAACCCTGCCGCTCGGTGAAGCGAGGAAGCCACTTCCCTACCGAGCCGCGCCCGCTTGACGGACGCTTTCACGAAGAGCATATCCCTGCGCCGCTGGCGGTCGGGCCGCGGAGGGGCACATGGAGAAAGCAGGCGGATATCCCTGTCACGTCTGTTCTAGCGCTTCCGCAGAATCACGCCGCCCAAGAAGGAGGGCGGCTTGGATCTCAACGACGCCTGAGTAAGGTCCGAGGAAACGCCTGGAGCACCGCCCTTCGCGGGCTGGCTACCTATGCAGCAAAGACAAATTGCGACAGTCACGATCAGCGCCGTCGTGCCGGCGGGCTCTTTGATCTGATCTCGAGACTCAGCTAGCGCCCGGCGTGCAGCCCAAGCTCGGAGAGACAGGAGGCACGCCCACCACACTCGGCGGCCTTTCTCTCGCGGCGCTCACACAGGCCTCGTCGACCCCAGCCCGCCGACGGTGGCTCGCCCCGACGCCCCTCAAACCGGCTGTGATGGACGGCGCCCACCCACAAGACCAAAAGAAGCCAGACAGGGGTGCACGCACGCACCCATCCAATCGCCGCCCTCATGCGCACACACCTCGTCCACCCTTGCGGCCAATCCCTACGCGTTTCACCCCTCCAACGCAGCGGCCGGAGCGGCGGTAGCCGGCAGCAATCTACATACCACACACGAGAACACCCCTCTACTCTCTCCTCGACCTCTGTCCAGGCGCGGGCGCATTCTGCTCGCGTTTGCGACCAGGGGTCGTGCAGGGCCGGGCCTGCTCGCTGCGGTCTCGCGTATTGCTGCCCTTGCCCACTGACCCCCCCATGTTCCCCGCATCCGCCGTCCGCTGCAGCGCGCGCATGGGCTGACGGCGGCTTGAGCGCGACGACGCACCCGGTGCCCGCGGCGCGACGCACATACCTACCTACACACTTCCATCCACATAATACCTACTTACTTACACAACTACAACACGCGTATGCGCAAAAAAAAAAAAAAACCGAGTCGCGCCCGGCGCGTCGGCGCGTCTTCGCTCTACCACCGTAAAAAATGACCACCACTGTTACCCACCCACACCCTCAGCTGAGCAAAGAGAGGAAAGGCCGCGACCACCGGAGTTCTCTCCTGACACACCGAGTGTAGAGGTACACACGCTTTTGGGTGCTGACTCTGACACCCCTCCCTCCCTCCCCCCCTCTCATCTCGAGCGGCGGCGGCGGCGGCGGCGGCGGCCGGGGCGCTTGAGGCGCCGCGCGCGGCTGCCGTCGTGAAGAAAGCAAAAAAACCATGATCCCAAAAAGCAATGTGTGGAAGGGATTCCCCACACTCCCCCCAGCCTGCACAATACAGTCAGCACCTACCAGGCTGACGGGCAAGCGGCTGGAGAAGGGGGGGGGAAAATACAGTGAGCAATAAAATAAAGGACGCCACGCATGATGAACAAAGCAAACGGAGAAAAAAACAAAGAGATCGGATCCTGCGCTAATTAACGAACCCGAACTTTATTGACTCAATAATAATAGTAGCATGAAGCAAACAAAATGCTGAGAGGAGGGCGGAAGCATGAGGCTTTCTAAGCCGCACTTGCCCACCACCGACGGGCCACGATGGGTGGTGAGTCGACGGTCGATGGTGGTAGTGGCGGACTCCACGTGCCCACTTCTCCCCGTCTCTCCCCGTCTTTCCCTCTTCCCCCCAGCCCCCCCTCCTCCGGGTAGACGACCTAGCCCCATACTCACACTCAGCATCACTAAGCTCCTTTCCCTCCTGACGCACGCACACTGCGTCAAACAGGTCTCTTTGCTAGCTCGCGGAGAGGACCGGTTCCGTCGTCTTTGATGCTCCTCCCCCGTGTAACCCTCCCTGGATGTTTTAGTGTTTGTGCTAAGCAAAGAGAAAGTAGAGAAGGGAAAAGAAGGCGGAAAAAAAAAAGAGAGAGGTCGGGATGATACACTCCATCCCATTCCGATGTTCTGCCCACCCCCCGGCTCGCTCTTCCGTCATCGCGCAGTTGATGCCTGCCTAGCTTTGCATGACTCAAGCTTGTCCTGCCGGGTTTCTGGTGTCACGTTCGGCGATACGAAAGCAGCAAAGTGGTACGGCAGTCTTCTGTGTATTTCAGAAAGTAGAAGATAGCCAACGGGCAGGGCAGGAGATGCGGAGGAGGTGCCGGGGGCGCGAGAGGCGTCTATCGGGAGATGGAGAGCACGACGACGACATGGGCAAACGACCCACAGCAGCAGCGACGGCAAAGACAATAAGGTTTGACAAGCCGAAGCGACGGCGAGCGGACATTTCCTCCCCAGCCGCGCCTCTGCGCAGAACGAACTGTGAAGGACAAGACAGGCAAGATTCTGACTGGGGAGGGGTCAGCACAGGATGGACGCGGGAGAGCGAGAGAGAGACCATCCTTGCACGACCAGACCGCTGCGGCACGCGCACTTTGGTGTGCGCAAGGTATGAGAGTAGAAGAACCGACGGCAAAGCTTCCATCCCCTTTCCGTAACCCTCAGGTGCGGGAAAGGTACGGCACACGCGTATCGCGCGCCCGCGCGCAGATGCGCGCTAAAGTGAGTGGGTGGACTAGACCGCGCCGCCTCTTCTTTCGAACAGGGCAGACCCGCGGTGGTGCCGCTAGGAAATCTTGTCATGACGACAAGGCAAATCGACACAGCCAGCTTGATCATCACTTTGCGAGCGGAGCAAGCGGGCGAACCACGGCCAACCGTTCGCCTGCCTCCGGATGATTTTCATTTCGCCGGGTTTGGCAATCTGCATGGAGCTCCTTCCTGTATACCGCCGATCATTTTACCCTCGACAGGATTAGGACGGCGGAACGTTTGGCTGCCCCGAAACCCTTCACGCCCTCACCCCATGCCGCAAACACCTGACTCATGTCCCTTGATGGGGGCTGTACATCACGACGGGGTACCACCACCACCATCCACCGCCATATTTTTACCACCAACTACCGCCTCTGACGGTGTGGGCGGTTTATTCCCAGGCGCCGCGCGCGGGGCTTGAACGAGGAAACCGGCTTGTGCGGCGCTGCTAGCTGGCTAGTGAAACGAAAGTTAAGCCTAGTCCCTTCGATGATCCTCCTTCCTTCGGATATTAGGAAAAGGGACAAGAGAGCTGACGGGGACCCCGATAAGCTCGGGACGTTACTTCTTTCTGATATCTCGTCGCCGCTTCCAGTGGGTGGCTTGCGAGCCGAGCATGGCGAAGTGGTATCAAGAAGAAGGGACGTTGGACTATCAATCCTCCTAGCGTCTTCCACCGTGCGCGCCGCGTGTATTGCTTTCGCATTCTTGCTTGCAGAAGGAGCGAGCGCCTTCGCCACCATGGGCGTGCGCAACGCGACCCATGACTCGTGGAGCTATTCTGGGACCCGGTTGGACCCTCATCGTCTTTCTTTCCCTTTTCTCTGGTGGTGCATTTTCTCGGTTCTTAGCATGGCGGCGCCTTGGCCGAGACTAGACTCAGTTATGGGGCGCCAAACCGCTTTGGGGAGCGTCCTTCGCCTTGGCTTGCGCAGCCGGGTGGCTGCAGAGCAGCTGGCGCTAAAACAAGTAGGCCCTGCGATGGGGTGGGGGGTGGCCAAAGACGCGACCGCAGGGGAAACAAACCTTTGGCGAACGGGAATACTTCCATTTGTGGACCCGTCCGAGGGATATGGCGGTGATGCTCAGAAGTGAAGTTGCTGGGGTTTCCGCTCATCTAACCATCTGCTGACGACGATGATGCTCTCATCAGTTCGATTCCTGGAGGCAAAGCGAGCAGTCCGCAACCCGTGGCTCGCCTCCCCGATCGACACCGGCAAAGTTTCCTCTTGCCCCAAACATGCGAGCGGAGGGTGTGGTCGGCGCTTTTGGCGAAGGGCAAATGTTTGGATGCGTCTCTCGTCTCTCCGCCTTGGCCCCCGAGTCACGCAGATGCAGATAGATGAGGGATGGTACACAGACGCACACGCACGTCCGCCTGGACGCTCTGGCTCGCTTTCTTTTTTGCCTCTGCGTTCTTTCGCGACCGCGCGCGGTCAGTTGGACACAGGGCTGACTGTGACTGACTGTGACAGCCCAACAGGGCGCTCACCTCGTGCCGGTGACGAAGGCACTCCCGCCAACAATAATCCACCCGTCGGCATGACTCCGTATCGGATGTGTTGGAAAATTAAGCGCCTGAGGTGGCGCACTAGAACGGCCCTCCTGATGGGATTTCCCTGATTCTCCATCACAGAGCGGACTCGAATTCTCAAATTTCTCGAGCGGCGAAGCCCGAAGCCGACAGCTCAGCCCTGTTTTTTTTTTTTCTTTTGTTGATGGTAGGCAGCCCCCCAACAAGGCTAGGTAGGAGGAGCAACAGCCACACATCAGCAAGGATCATGTACATATCGAACGGGGAAGACCGGAGACGGGACGAGGTAGTTCGACCAGCCACCACCCCTCTTGCCCAACTCACTCTCGTGCTCGGCCGTCTTTTTGCCGGGTCCAGAAAAAAAAAAACCACGACGCGCGGAGTGCGAAGGGCCAGGATGGCGGCTGGCGGCCCTCCCAAGCTTTCTGCACCGCGGCGGCGAAGGATACGAGGGACCCGCCGGCTCGGCGGCTGGGGCGACGTCAAAAGCGCATGGCAGGGCGTTTTTTACGGCAGTTAGCAGGGCGGGCGGCCGGGATGTGAGAGCGGTGGAGGGACTGGCCGGGGACGAGTCACAATGGCCAGTCAGGCGGCAGGGTGGGTGTTGGTGGATGTTCGAAAGCAGCGGTGTACGGTCATAAGGGCGATTAGCGGGCAGACGGAGGCCGTCTAGGCTGCTCACTAGAAGCATCTCAAGGCTGGCGGCGGCGGCGGACATGGCATGGCATGGCAGCCGCGCACCGCAGTCGGTGGTTCCAGTGGGCGGCGGACGAGGGCTGGCACGGCTCGAGAGGCGATTGGACGCGCAGGCGCTCGGCGGCGGACGGCGGGGGGGGGAACTGGGGCAGGCGCGGCTTGATGGCGCGCTCGCGCGGTCGGTCGGTCCACCCACCACACACCAGCAGCTGCGACGTGCGGATCTCATCAGTCGCAGTGGACTTGTCGCGGTTCGGCCCTTTAGCCTGTGCCCTGCGGCCGGCCATGCGCGTGCGTGCTGCAGCGAGGGGCCAGTGCGCGGCGGGCTCGGCGACACAGACGTCAGATCGTCGATCGCCGCGGGCGCTGCACGCTGCTGGCGGTGCTGGCGGAGCTGGCGGTGCGGACCCGGCGGGGCGCGTGCGGTGCCGTGGTGCTGCTGTCTCGCAGTCGCGGGCGCTGCGGCCGGCGGCGAGCTGCAGGCTGGGGAACTGGCCATCAGGCGTGCGGGCGTTTCGGACGGGCATGGGCGAGGAGGACATGGGCGCGGCGGGAGCAAGGGCAGCGGCACGGCGCACTGGCCTGTGGGGATAAGCCAGGCTGCCGGGCCGCACGTCACTGCGCGGCACTGCCTGCACCGCACTGCCTGCACCGCCTGCACCGCACCGCACTGCACCGCACCGCACCGCGCCGCGCCGCGCTCGTCTCCAGCCAGCGCTGCCGTGCAACCCCCGCGGCGCCGCCTCAACAATCGCTTTGTCTCGCGCGGCATGAAGAGGGTGTCCTGCGAGATGGGCCGGGAGATCTGTGTTTCAGCACCGCCAGATGCAATCTCTGTGTCGCCGCACCCGAAGCTTAGCCTGCGAGCCGTTGCGGCCATGTGAGCGCCCGCCCTCTGCTACCTACACCCGGCCTGCTGCTCCCCCACTCCAGCGCGCCTGCCTGCCGTGCGCCCTGGCCCGCCGCTCTTCACACAATTTTCCGAGGCGACGACAGGCGGTCTGACCGTCTGCCCGGCGCGTGTAGCGCTTCATCCCCACCGTAACGGCGGCCCGTCGACGCTTGGCGCAGACGATCCGTTTCGCCGCCGTTTGGCCTACCGGTCAACCACCGCGACCGCGCCCTTATCATGCGACTGATCCCAAAGGAGCGGTGAGACAGGACGCCCGAGGCCCATGTACGTCAGACTGAGTCCGGACGCGTGGGCGCTGCCGCGCTTCCACTTCGTACCAGCCGGATACCGTCTGCCTCACACCACCAACGCCTTGCCACTGCTCTAGTGGCGATGCCCGGTCTCGGGGGGGAGTGCCCGTTGATCACCACTGCCACCGCCGCAGCCCTCCGGAGTCCTGTCCAGACGCCCTCGATCAGCTCGAGGCGAGAGCAACTCCGTCCTCATGCCATATCAAACAAGTAGTGTAACCGCCGCTCAGGTGGAGACTTAAGTAATTAAAATGCCTGCGCTGGATATCATGGGCGCGCTAAGTCCGTGTGCGTGAGGCGAGCGGACATCTTCAAGTATGCAGAAGTGCAGGTGACGGTTGAAGCTCAGATCGAGGGCGGCGATGTCCATCCGACATGGTTCTCCGCATCCTCTTCGAGTAGTGGCATGTGCAAAGCCCACTGAGGGATAGCCGTGAGTTTAGCAATTCCATGCTGTCATCGGCGTTTGATGAGCTCTCTGAAGCAAATGCTGAAGCCAGCACGGACGTTCACTCCACTGCAATGTCCGAGGAAGTGCTTCGCATGTTTTGATGCAGTGGAAGCGTCGCTTTGGAACATTTGAAGCGAGTGACCAGACGTAGCCGTGAGCTTTCTAATCCCCCGACCGAGCACTGGAAGCAAATGTCCAAACATAAACGTAACTTTTTCAAGTCTTCTCAGGCGGACGGCGGAAGCAGATGTCCAGACGTAGATACAAGTTACAAGACTGAACATATGCACTCTTGCAACGTTACCCCGCTGCCTGTGGAATGAGATTAGTAGCAGCAGCGGAATTCAAGTTACGGACATGGCTAACAGACTGACCGTTGTCAAAGCTAGTCACCGGCCCTATCTGAGGTTCCTGTACTGAGAGTCGCGCCGATGTCTTTGATTGGCTTTCTCTGCTTGCTTACAAGGAGTTTTCCACATCCGCAAGTGGTTGCCTGGTGGTCGTCGTGAAAGTGATTGTGCCCCTTCCCAATTAGGCAATTTCGCTCTTCCATGCTGTTCGAAAGTGAGCAAACACACATCACCGTAGTAACAGACGTATATCTGGTTCCGTGTCGCTCGACATTCACTGCGTCTCGCTTAGCCCATATACAGTTTGTTTTCGCCCCCGGTCCTGATTTCTTCTTCTTCAGCGTCAACCAACCTGTTCCAAACCCACCCTAGATTCAGACCAAGAGCAACAGCAATAACCTCATGTCATCCACCGACCCCCTCCCCACCCCTTTCAGCAGCCAGTGGCGTGCGGGCCACTGGCAGGCATCCAACTACGCCAACCTGATGCGAGACCAGCGCTTGGCCCGCCTCAACGACATTCTAGACAAGGCCCACGACCACCACATGGCCGAGAAGACCAACAATCGGCCGGTGCTGGACTCTCTCCGGACTACAATGAACGCGCCGCCGTACGTCAGTGCGGCTTGGGTGGGAGAGCAGTTGGCAGCTGCTTCCCTGCCCAAGAAGAAAAACAAGAAGAAGGGCAAGAAGGGCAAGAAGAATAAGAAGAAGGGGGGTGTTGGTCTCGAGGCCGAAATGGAGAAGACCGAGTATTCGAACTGTGAGTCCGTTTCCCCAACACCATGGAAAGCATTGATACGAACATAGCCCGCTTCATGAAGTACATGAAGCTCTTAGTGTCTTCTCAGAAGGCACTGCCTCCTCTTTCTCCCAGCGAGACAAACTTCTTGCGGGAGGGCGTCATCGGCGACACGGCGCGCGCCATCACAGGTCTCGCCCACAGCAATGAGTACCCCATCAGCCACCGTATTGGTGACGCCGTGCCGGTGGCCCTCGTCAACATTCCGCAGGGCTCGACCATCTACCAAGAACAGCCCTGGATCACTCTTCGGCTCCCTCTCGACCCCTCGGTCATCATCGGGAAATACTGCGCCCTCTCCGCCGAAGACCAGGCCCTCTTCGATTCCTTGGGCCATAACGTCAGCGCCGACTTCATCGAGCGGCAGCTTCCCACGCTGAAAGACACGCACCCCGTTGCCCTCAACACGAACTCCAAGGAGCACGCCATCATCGCAACCTGGCTTACGCACCAGGATCCCGGACTACACATATGCAGCATTCCGACTACGTCCCGTAGAGACAGCAGGAGCATCTACCCCCATCTCCTTCAGCACGTCCGCACTTCATGCTCTCCCAATTGCCATCTGATCCGCGACGACCGCTACAACGGCCTAGTCCTCCGCTCCGCCCGCGCCATCCCCCGCGGTGAGCCCATCACTTACTGCCCGATCCCCGACTACATGCTCTTCACGCACGACGCACGTGCGGTCAAGCTCCACGAGACGAGAGGCCTTCCAAGCTGCAAGTGCGACCTCTGCTGCCCGCTGATCGCCCCTCCTCCTCTTGCATCGGGATCCACCACCACAACCACCCCGAGCAAGACCAAAGACAAGAACAACAAGGGCAAGGCCACGACCCCAACCCCATCCACAGCTGTTCGCGACAGCAGCAGCAGCAGCAGCGCCACCACCACCACCGTCAACCCCGACGCCATCCCCCTCATGCGCCGCATCGCCATCGAGACCCGCCGCCAGCAAACCGCCCACGCCTGGTCCGCATGGCGCGCCCTCCGCGACCCCTTCTGGTCCTCCTCCCCATCCTCCCCCTCATCCTCCCCCACCGCCTCCCCCCTCCCTCCCCCCACCCACAACCAGCACCCCTCCCCCCCCTCCCCCCAAACCATCGAATCCCTCGCCCTCCGCCTGGACAACCTCCTCAGCGATAACGACGCCGCCGCCACCGCCACCGCCGCCGACAACAACGAATCACCCTCGTCTTCCTCCTTTCCCACAGTCAGCCCCCTGCAAGCCTGGCTCCGCAGCGACGCCTCGCACGCGCTGCAAGACGCGGGCGACTGGCGCGGGGCGGCGGCGTGGGCGCGGCGCGAGCTCGAGGCGGACGCGGTGCTGTTGGGGGTCGGACACGAGGGGTGCCGGGCGACGCGGATGCGGGTGGTGCGGGTGGTGGAAGAGGGGGAGGTGGTGGGGAGGGTGAAAGGGGGGGTCTTGGCGAGGGGGAGGGAGAGGGAGAGGGAGAGGGAGAGGGTGGGGGAAAGGGGGGAAGAGGGGGGAGATGTGGTGGTGGCGAGGGGGTTGAGGGATGTTTTGGAGGAGGAGGGGGAGGAGGGGAGGGAGGACGAGGGGGAGGTGGTGAGGGGGTTGAGGGGGATTTTGAGGGAGATGGGATTCGGGGAGGATGATGGGGAGGAGATGGAGGCGAGTACTGGCATTGGGAAGGAGGAGGAGCGGGATAGGGGTGAACGTGTGGAGGAGGAGTAATAGATGGGAGAGGCGGTGGTGGGTGGAGAGCAGGAACATTCTCCATGTTTGATGGACATTTGCATCTATGTAGCCGTGGCTTAGCTTCCGACAACACTGCGCTTCATAGTCGGGATGCATATCTATTTGTTTTTCTCTGCCTGTGGGAGCTTGGCACTCCGTCTATCTCAGTTACTTTCCAAGGCTCTTGACTGCGTCATCTACGTCTTGCTCCAATACGTCCCATATGCTGGGCGCTTTGGGCTCCCAGCCGAGTACATCCTTCGCCCTTACTGCGGCGCTTCGTGCATTGCTCGCAAACATGTACCGCCCAACTAACGGAACGCCGACCGACTTCAACATGCCGTCCACGCGGTCGAGCGGCACCTGTTTCGGCTCCTTCTCCCCTATCAGCCCCTTCTCATATAGAATCCTCCCAACCGCCTGGGCCAGCTCGAACTGCGACGTTTCTTGAGTCGTGGCATGGTAGTATCCCTGCAAACGATAGCCATCAGCAACCACTCCCTCAAACGAACGTATCGGAAGACGGAAAGGAAAGAAAAAAAAGAGAAAAAAGAAAGACTCACCTCCCTCCCCCAAGCCTCCGTCGGGCCATCCCCACCGCCCTCCCCATCCTCCACCGCCTTCTCCACCAACCGCAAATACAAACCCATCAAATCCAGCAAATGCACCCAACCCCTCCGATTCTGGCCCTCGCCGACGAAAAAAGCCGCGCCGACCCCCTCCCCCCCCTCTTCACCACCACCACCACCACCACCCAAGATCTCCTTCACAAACCACGGCATATACGCGCTCGTCTTCCGCCCGACGCCCAGCCCCCGCCCGTAAATGTCCGGCGGCCGCACGACGGCGGTGCGGACTCGCACCCCAGCTTCGTCTCCGTCTTTTTCGTCCTCCTCCTCCTCTTCCCGCATCCACGCCTCCCGCACGATCCGCTCCGTCTCGCCATGCAGCGGGTCCTTCCATCCAGCACTGCCGGGCTCCGACACAGGGGGCGGGATGAAGACGTCCGTGTTGTCGGCGAGCGAGCGGTCCGAGTAGACGCGCGGGTTGAGGGAGCCGACAGGGACGGGCGGCGCCTGGAAGTCGGAGAGGAGGCCGGTGCCGGAGAGGTGGATGAGGTACTTGGTTTGCTTCTTCTTCTCCGTCTGCTGCTTCGCGGTGGCGGCGCCATCGCTACTACTGGCTGCTTTGAGCACCCGCAGCAGGGCGCGCAGCGAGGGCGCGTGGTCCGAGTTGCCCGTGTGGACGACGACGTCGGCGGCGGCGATGGCGGCGGAAGCGGTCGTCTCGAGGCTGTCGTAGTCGCCGCGGACGACGTGGGCGGCGGGGTAGAGGGCGGAGAAGGCGGCGGGTGGGGCGGAGCGCAGGAGCACCGTGTAGGTCCATTCGGGGTGGGCGGTGTAGAGGGTGTGGAAGACGCTGCCGCCGATGTAGCCGGTGGCACCGGTGCTGGGTGTCGGAGTGATCGTCATGTGAGCGGTGCTGTCTGGTCGTGAATTCGGAGAAAGGAGACGTACAGGAAGATTTTGGGGGCCATTGTTGGTTGGGATCGAATGGAGGGAGTTGGATTGGTGAGGAGGCTGGAGAGTTTAGGGAGTCAAGTGATTGGGTAAACGAAGGGCAGCTACGGATTCATTCGAGGTTTTGGAACCTGAGCTAGCAATTCTTATACGAATCATGATGCAAGGATGGATGGCGAGATGGCGAGATGTCGACACGATGGTGTGGCATTGCTTATTAATGCGGCGGCAGCCCTTGGCGCAAGGCTGGCCGTTGTTCGTCCGCGGTTGATAAGATGACGTTCTAGCGTCGAAAACACGTTCACAGGGGAGACGAAAGGGAAGAAGGCGAGCGGCGAATGGTTGGAGCAGCTCGTGCAGGCTGGCCCATGCACGATAACAGCAACAACACCAAGGGAGGCTCGCACGACATGCAGTAGCGCGTCGCAAGGGACCAGGGGACCAGGGGACCAGGGGACCGTCATCAGGCCACGGGTTGATGACGGGTCGCGGGGGAAGACGGGGGAAGACGGGGGAAGCCGCCAGCGCGACGGCACACGGCTGCACCACGCCGCATGCGGCAACGCGTCGAGCCACAGCCGCGCCGAGGAAACAACTTCGAACAGCGCAGCGCGGCGATGATGTGCGCAACTGCGCGACTGCCCGCCGCCGCACCGCGACTTGCATCTCCGCCACCGTCGCCCGCCGCCCGACCCACGCCTTCTGCGCGCCGTGAAAGCGGCGCCGGATGCTCGCCGACCCCTCCAGCAGCGTTTACCGCCGGTTTGCGCCCCGACCCGTCTGCTCAGGCTCATCGGACGTGCTGGACGCGCTCTGGACTGACGTGCGCAAGAGGCGTTCTCCCCTCCAACCGGCGCGGGGGCGGATGGCGGATGGCGGATGGCGGCTGGAGTGTGACGCTTGTGCTCCGTGAACACGTGGTCCGAGCGCGCTCTCCCCTCTGCGCTTAATACTTCTGCCTCACTGCTGCTCCTCCGAGACACGCCTTACTAACAATCGCAGGGCTGTCGCAGACTAACCAACTATGGCCGTGCACCGCTGGAATCATGAAGTTGAGTCAATTCATTCCATATCCTCCTCATTCCCCAACTATTTCCTCTCCCTGTATGTATACCTCTCTATACCTCCCACCCCAACATCCCCATCCCGCCCTCTTCCCCTTCCCTACTAGGGAATATACCTGAACCCCGGGTGCCGGTACCCCAGCGCCGCGACCTCCTCCTCGCTCTTCCCCTCGACGCGATGGTCCCTCCTGCCGCGCTCCCGCTGCCCGTTCTCCCAGACGACGTACGCCATGCCCGCGAGGGCGAGGAAAAACGCCGCCGCCTGCGCCCCGAGGTTGATCGAGTGCCCGATGGGGTAGCGCGGCGCGTCCGACGGGAGGTACGTCCACGTTGCCACCACGGCCCCGAGCGTGCCCACCGAGACGATGTAGCCGCTTGCTACCGCGCGGATGGCGGGGCCGGCCGCGTCTGATGGGGGTGTTAGTATTACCATCTCTTTTCCTTTCTTGTGCTCTCTTCGTTTGGTGTGGCTGTGAGAAGGGAAGGACGTGGAGAGAGAGAGAGAGAGAGAGACAACATACTGTTCAAGCCCCAAGACAAAAACGCCGGGCCACCGGGAAACACGCCAATGGTCACGAAGAACACAGCCATATACTTGATATTCGGACTGGGGCCGTCGGCACGCAGCACAGCGAAGCCAACGATACCCACAGGCGCGAACAGCGCAAGCCAGATGCCGCGGTGCCGCGTGCGATCCGACGCAAAGGCGACGGCGATGGCGACGACGCAGGCCAGCACGTACGGCGGCACCGTGTGCAGCTGCGCCTTGGTCGCCGTCCAGCCGAGGTCCGCCAGCAGCGTCGGCATGAACAGCGAGATGCTCTGCACCGTGATGTTGATGAGGAAGAAGCCGAGCGCGCACACGTTGTTGTTGATGTTGAGCACCGCCCGCCTGACGTGCTGCGCCGTCACCCGCTCGTTGACGGCGATCCCCTTGTGCTGGTCCAGCGCGAGCCGTTCCGCCGCGATGTACCGCTCGCGCTCTGTGAGGAAGGTGCATTCTTCCGGCTTGGTGGCCATCAGCCACGGGGAAGCGCCGCCGATGAGCAGCGTGGCGAGCCCTTCGAAGAAGAAGATGTTGCGCCAGGTGTGCATCGGAGTGGCGGCAACGCCCCACTCTGGGATGCGTCTGCTCTCATCATCAGTGATCCATGTCTCTGTCGTTGTTTCTGATCTACTCACGAGAGACCGGTCGCCAGGAGTCCGCCGAATGCGCCAGCCATGGATGCGGCCGAGACGAAGATGCCGATGCGGAAAAGAAGCTCCTGGCGGCGGTAAAAGCAGCTCAGATAAAAGGCGATACCCCTGAACAAAAGCACAGCCAGATCAGCCACACTTCTCCAACAGCACATCTTTGGATCGGAGGGCGCTGCTCACGGCATAGTGCCGCCTTCGAAGAGACCCAAGAAGGCGCGCGCAACCATCAGTTGCGAGAAGTTATGCACGAACGCCGTACACAGCGAGACGAGCCCAAAGCCGGCAACCAGGAAGGGAACTGTCAAAGGGAGATTCCATCAGCGGCCGACAGCGTTTACTGGTACGAAGCTGACGTGCAGCTGTGACAGGGGGGAAGGAGATGTTCGCTTACGCCACCAGCGAGGCCCGATTTTCTTGAGTACTATGTTGCTGGGAACCTCGACGCTGTGCAAGGTTAATTCGACGACACTCAGACTCCTGGGAGCGGAACATACAGCATGTAAGTGATGTAGAACACGGTCAAGGACCAGTTGAACTGGTATCCCACGAGCTGCAGATCCTTGGCCAAACCCTGGATGCGCGCATTGCTGGTTGCGGGTCAACTCTTCGTCCAAAGCGATGCAGGATGCAGTTTGTGCATGGCAGCAGAAGGGCTTACCCGATATTCGACCTGATCAGGACGTTAGTGAATGCTGTCGGGAAGAAGATCAACGCCGAGGAGCGATACGGCTTGAAACCAGAAGGAGAAGGAGACGTACCGATCCAGGAAGCATAGCAGGTACAACAGCGTGACCAGCGGGACCAGATGCCAGTCCATCTTCCGCCTCACCGCACGCTCCTCTTCTTCCGTCCATGCTGGTTCCAACGCCACCTCGCCCGACGACCTATCGCTCGGGAAGATGTTCTCGCCCTCCAAGAATTCTGGCTTTTCTGCCGACATGGTTGGCTACAGCCGCGAAAATGTGCTGTCGACTGCTGCCGCCGCCAGAGTCCTTGCCGGTAAGTTTTTTTTTTTGAAAAAAAAAGGAAAGAAAAAAAAGGCAGCGGCGCGGTTCAAAGGACGTCCAAGCCAACGTAACTCGCAACGTTACCGCTGGTGTGACGATCGCACCGACAGGACAAATTGACGACGGGAGTTGGAGGATGAGGAAGATGCGCGGAATTTCGGAGAAGAAACAGAATGGGTGCGGGGGATGGAGTCGCTTTTTCTGCGGCGGGCGACTGTATCAGAGAAGAGGGCGGCAGCGGGCTGCATTGACGGGGTAGTTAGCCGTGCCCTTGTAAATGATCCTCGTTGGCATGCGGCAGGACGGTGGGCTAGCTAGCGGTCAAGATCCCCTGCTTCCTTGGCTCCTTTTCGAGCAGGACCTTTGCGAGCGAGGACAAGACACACGAGTCCACGGCGAAAGAACTAAGTAGACTAAGTTTGCGGAGCAGAGTCGCGGCAGGTGTCAGCGGTGCCGGGGGCTTGCTTTTCAGTCAGTGTTGAGAAGTCAGTGGCAGCCAGCTACTGTGCAAATGGGCATTGGCAAGCGCCGCCATTGGATTCCCAAATGCTTGGACGCGGACACCTGCTCGTCACAAGCCAGCAGGAGGCAAGCTGGGCAGTGTCTGGCCGCTACCACCTTCCGAGGTCCGACTGCCAGCGTGGACTTATCCATTACTTGCGAGCGTTATTGTTCCAACAGTGCCGCCAGCCAAGATGCAAATGTGGCGGAATCCGGCAAAAAGGGTGCCAATGCTTGGGAGACAGGGTTGATGACTCTGTGTGTCGCAGCATGCTCGCTTGGCAGACCGTCCGCCGTCTGGAGGGAGCGCTACCACTGCCCCAGACGGCACAGGGAGGCGTCTGCAACGGCGCGAGATTCGCTGGCAGCTCCGCCGTGGTGAGCGAAGCGCAGTTGCCGGGCGAGGGCAGATTGCGGGGAAAGAGGTGGGGCACGCGGAGCTTCCCCGGACGGAGGGCAAATCTAAAGCCGGCTGCGCACGTTGTCCAGGTCTCCGTTAAGCTGGCCGTACGCTGTATACCGTGAAAAGTCCTGGTCGGAGACAAAGTGACGGTAAACGTTTCTGTTGGCCTCGCTCGCTTGGGCCTGCCTGTCGGGTCGTTCTCGACCATTGAGATCGCGCGGGGAACTGCTGACCGCTGCAACAAATCCATGTCTTGATCGCCAAAAAAGAAAAGAAAAAAAAAGTCTGCAACATGTCGAATATACGCTTATAGGAAGTGCACTATGTAAGGGATAAGTGCGAGGTCCACGAGCATTGCGTCATATGCGCCAGGAGCAACTGCTTCCGCCGCCGCTGCCAACGAATCACTCATCACGCAGGAACCTCCGCTTTGGCCTATTCATTCCTTGGTATACTGTACACGATCCGAGTAGAAACGCAGCCAGCACGCATCCCGATCAGAACAACACCATCCAAACGGGCAGCTATGTGCAAGATGAATCTCACCGGAGAGCTTCATAAATGGCCCAGTCAATCTTTTTACGCGCCCTTGAACGCCGACAAAGCCTCCCCCCCCCAAAACACGCCCGTGTCTTATGCATCGCTGGACAACCAAAAGAAAAACCCAACAAGGCCGTCATCCCGTTTCATCGTGCAGCATCCACCACCCCCTCCTCTTCCACCTTCGCGTCCGCAGTAGTATAATTTCATGCAGCTCACCGCAGCAGCAGCCGCAGCAGCAGCAGCAGCATCAGCTCATCGGAGCCACGCCATCCACCGCCACTGCCGCCCAGCCCAGCCCAGCCCAGCCCTCACACCATCATCATCATCATCACCGCGCAAACGCCTGCTGTCCCGCCTGCGCCTGCTGCTGCTGCAGCATCTGAAACCTCCTCGCATCCTCCAACTGGTCCTGAAACCGGGCATACTCGCTCGACCACACGCCGGCCCAGTAGCGGCCCCACACGGCGAGGTCCTGCGCGGCGCCCTCGACGCCGCGGCTCCACACGAAGAGGCCGACGACGACGACCGTGGCCCAGAAGACGAGCTTGACGGCGAGCGAGATCCAGAAGACGACGGCGCGGTAGAGGATGTTGACGATCTTGAGCGACACGAGCAGCACGATGACGAGCAGCGTGATGGACGCGATGTCCGGGTTCTTGGAGACGTGGTCGATCAGTGGCACCAGGTGCCGGTGCAGCGTCGCCATCATCGACGAGAGGGGGGCGAGGAGCGAGGATGGGATGCTGCTGCTACTACCGTCGCCATTGTTGTGGTGTGTGAGCAGGTAGGCGGCCCAGTCTGTTTACCGTCGGCGGGAAAGCGTGCCGCAGGTTAGTTGCCGGAGTCTCCCGCCGTGTTGGGGAGGGGGGGATGGGACACGTGTGGTGTTTGTGGGAGAGAGTTGCGGCTTGCCTTGAACGACGTCCATGATGAAGAAGCGTGGGTTTGCGTTGTTTTCGAAGGGGGTAGTGCGGCGGGCGGGCGGGCGGTAGGTTGCGCGCCAGTGGCGTCAGCGGGGGGAGGAATCCGGGTGCCGTTGCGTTGCCGTTGGAAAGCCGGGTGCCCCGCGGTCGGACGTTGTGTGGTTCTTGCGAAGAGTAGCAGCTGGGCGGGTGTCTGTGTGTTTGGCGGTGTGGTTGCGTTGTTTGTGTGTTGGTGGCTCGGGGGTGGTTGATCTGGGATCGGCGGTGGAGCTTCCGCGCGTGAACCCTTTGATTCTCGTGCCACCCCCCTTCGCTGTCCCTTCGCGAACAAACCCAACCACCGGTCTGGCGGTCTTGGCGTCCGAGCGCGAAAGCGCGAGCTCAGCCGGAACCGATCGTCTCTCTGTCAAGCGGCCACCGACGTCAGCGAAGGTCGACATCAAGCCGGCAGTGCTGCTCTGGAATTTTGCAGCTTTTTTGGCGACGTGTGCGAGGTCTAGACCTGTGTATGCACATGTAGCTGCGCAGGCTGGCTGCCAATGCCTGCCCCGTTTATCCGCCTTCCTAATGCGGCAATCCCCCTTTCCCCGCCAGGAAACAACGCACACGCACCACGTCAAACAAAAAGAAAAAAAAGGAAACAACAAATCAAGCAGCAAAAGCACGACGACATGCTGCGCCGTAAACAATGCCAATCAACCATCATCGGTTGACGTTTCATCTAGACTGCGCTCTCTGGCAGCCACGCCGCCAATGCCTAGGAGGCCCGTTGTCGAAACAACAACAGCGAAAGTGGAGCTGGCTGGCGCTTACATAAGCCCCTGGCGACGATGATCCCGATTGTTTTGCTGCATCTCTCTCATCAGAGATGCAATCGCGGCTCGACAGCCCGGGCGGACGATGATGCATAGCGAAATGAAACAAGGACCGCCGATGCGTCCAATCCCGCCCGCGTCGAGCCCACCCATGCTCTCTGCTGCCACTCCTCACTCGCTCGCTTGATCTACCCGTTCCCCGTCATCGACGAGCCCCCCCCGGGACCACAGCGAAAGGAGACGACCGACGTGATGCGGCTGGGGTGCTGGTGCAGCTTTAGGATGACGGATCGAGAAGGCAGCGGCCGATTTCTGTTAGCTGGACGCGTCTTGCGATCGGCATTCGACTCGATGAGGGTAGCGCCACACGCCCGCCTGTCGCTCATACACAGCATCCGTGCCCACGGAGCTAGATACCATAGAGGGGAGAGAGAGAGATAGGAACGGCCGAAGAGCCGCAGTATTGTTGACGACTGCGCATGTATCCGTCACCTGTTGGCAGATCTGCCTTCAGAGTGTAGGTCACGAGCTCCGAGTGAGATCCTC